CGCTAAAATATAGTTGTAGGAATATTCCCTAGAATAAATAAATATTTCTTCAAATAAAAAATGTAAGTGTATTATAAAATTAACGTAAATAATAATGCTATAAAAGCTTTACTTACGGGGTATTTTATGCCTAATAAGGCAATTAATATATATATTTACTAATTATTAAACTATGACGTTATTTATAATTAGAAATATGTCGTCCATAAAATTATTTATAATAATAATTAATAAATTTTTATCTTCTCTATAGGTATAATTTCAATACCGTTAACTATTTTTATTATTTATTTACTATAGAGGGTATTATTTTATAGCCTCTATTTTTCGCTTCGATTAGAATTTCCTTAAATTATCCTAATATATATTCTATTGGGTATGTAAGGAGTTCCTTTCTAACGTATATCTAATCTCCCCTTTAATTAATAATAACGATAATATAAATTATGTACGAATAAAAAGGGTATATTAATTTCTTCTTCGTAAAAGGAGGGAGATCTCTCTTAACGTATATTTAATTTCCCTTCTAATTAGCAACGACGACGATATAAATTATATGTTCCTAAACCTCCTTAATGGATAAATGAATGGTATTAACTTCTTCTTTAGAAGAAGTATTAAAGGCGGGAAAAGGGATTAATAAATAAAAAGAGCGTATTAATTTCCTTCTTACGAAGGGGGTAATATATTAAAATATAGTATTAAAACTACTCATAACCGAACGTTGACCGATAATATGGAACGGAAGAAGAAGAAGGAGAGGAGGCTTTAACTAGTATAAATATAAGGTTCGATTTAGAATAGGATATTTAAATTATTTAATTATTTAGAAACGATTCGGCCGTATATAGTCTGTTTGGCGGGCTATATATTTTAATAAGTAGTTTATAAATTTATTATTTAATCCTTATTACTGTAATTATTTGGTAAATACCGATTAGGTAATTATTTACTTTAATAACTACCTACCTTCGTACTTTATAGTCCGTGCCCGTACCTTCGTTAGCGATATATTTTACTTATTATTTAAAATTATTCTAACCTTCTCCCTTCCCTTCCTTCTTCTTCCTTCTTTCTTAAATTAATTTATTTATTTAATAATCGTTATATAAATATAATATCTTTTAAACCTTTCATTCTATTTATTAATTTTATCCCTAATTTTAGTTAATTGCTTACCCCCGTCCCCGCTACCTTTAAACGCCGCCGCCTTAATACGCCCGCTATTATGGTTATTCCGGTTATTTTTAATTGCGAATTTTAATTGCCCGTCCCCCCGCCCGGCGTTTATTTCCCTTCGCGTAATAAGAAATGCGCCGAAATTACTACCCTTTTAGTAAAGAAGAAGAAGATTATACGTTTATATAATATTTAATAATATATTATGTAATTTAATATATTAATTATAATATTTAAAATACTAACGACGCTAAGGATAACGCTAGCGATATTGCCCTCCCTAATAATACCCCCGACGAAGATAATAAAGAGGATAATAATAATATTAATAATAATAATAATAATAATAATAATAATAATAATACTAATAATAATAATAATAATAATAATAATAATAATAATAATAATAAACTATATAGTATATTGTATATTAGCTTGTACTTTTATTATATAAAAAATAAGTATTATTATATTGAAAGTAACAAGGGTAAAAGTAAAAAGTATTTCGTTTATATTAAGGATAAAGTCCCTTATTTCCCCGGTTGTACTAAAATATATATCGTCTACTTTATTCTATAGGGTTTAATAAAAATTTCTAATAGCGAGGTCCCCGCTGATAATAGTATTCGCAAATAATGTAACGATATATATAATACTATTTACCTTATAAGTCGTATAGAGAAGTAAAGAATTGTCCCCAAATAAATATTTTATCTATTTTTATATTTATATATTAATTATAAATATTATTTAACGTTCCTATTTTTATGAAGGTTCCCTCGATTATATATTTAGTAAAGAAACCCCTATAATCCCGCGGGTCCGTAATAATATTACCCGTCGTCCTACTTCCCTAGTCTATAACCGCCCCGTTATTCCGAATTTTAATAATTCTATTACTATTACTTTAGCCTACCCTTTCTAAACCTTTACCGGTTATTCTAATTATCCCGTCCCCCCGGCCCTCCCTACTCCTACCCTTACTTTTATAAATTACCCCGTCCCTCCGGCCTTTCCTATCTCTACCCCTATTTTTATCCTTAACGGTTACCCCAACTACTATATCGTCGATAACTATTTTCTTAAAATAAAGGCGAGGATTAAAGAGTTGGAAAAGGAGAAGGATAAAAAGAAGAAGGAAGAGAAAAAGAAAAATAATTTAAATAAAGCTATTAATTGTACCTTCGATAAGGGTAAATATACCTTCGGTAAGAGGGGTAGCGTTAGACCTAATACCTTTATCTTCGACTGTAATTAATAATAAGGATAATAATAATAATAAGGACGAAGATAAAAATAACGAAAATAATAATAATAATAAGGATAATAAGGATATTAATAATACCCAGCTTTACTGTACTTTACCTTCGGGCTACAATACTAATTTTACTATCTCTACCATATATATATCGTTCTTTTTACTATAATATACTTTACCTTAACTAATCCCATCTTCGATATTATTATTTTTAATATTATTATCTTTATTATCGTTACCTTCAATATTACTTTTAATATTAATACCTTCAATATCATCACTCAATACTACTTTCAATATTACTCTCCACCTTTAATATTATTATTCTTAATATTACCGTCGATATTATTCTCCAATACTACCTTCGATATTACTCTCCACCTTTAATACCATTTTTAATATTACTATTTTTAATATTATTACTTTTAATATTATTACTTTTAATACTAATACTTTCAATATTATTACTTAATACTACTTTTAATATTATTATCTACCTTTAATACTATTTTTAATATTATTACTTTTAATATTATTATTCTCAATATTATTGTCGATATTACTATTTTTAATATTATTACTTTCTATTTTATTACTTTCTATTTTATTACTTTATATTTTATTACTTTTAATATCATATTTAGCATTATTACCTTTATTATTACTATATTACTATATTAATATTAAATTCTATTATATAAATTCACTTCCTATAAATTTTATTCTTAATCCTAAGTAACGACTAATTATAATAATTCTATAATTTAAATAGGGGTAAATTATACCCTTACTTATAAGATTAGTCCGGATCGGCTTTTATTCCCGGAAAACTTCGATTCTACTAACCCGACGCTTAACTTTTTAACTGACTTCGATTCCTTAAACCCAGATTTTAATAAATAAATAAATAAAAAAACTCTTATACTAATTCGAATACCCTTTTAATAAATATACTAATTTTAATATAAATTATAAACGCGACCGTAAAATACTAATTATAATTACTATATATTAATTGCGGGGGTAACTAATTGAAGGAGACCGAATTAGGGAATCTATGTATAAAAGTCCTATAATATCAATAAGGCAAAGAAATTAAGGTATAAGTTAATCTCGGGCTATCCTTCGGAGTAGGCTTAAGAAACTCGTTCTCTAAAAACTTAGAGTAGAGTCCGCGCTATAAGTCCTAAATTCTTTTTTAGTAAATTTTCATTCATATTTCACTTTTTATTCAATTTGAACTTGAGAGTTTTATAATAAAATTAAAATATAACTTAGTATTTAAAGTAGGCCGCCAAATCTTCGTTTTTATAATTGAGATTCAATATAGCGTTAAGGTAGATTGCCAAGTCTTCGTTTTTATGAGATTGAGATATAACTTAGCATTTAAAGTAAACCGCCAAAATTTGAATTAGTAATTGAAATTCAACTTAGAGTTTTATAGAAAGATTAAAATTTAATTTAACGTTTAAAATAGACCGCCAAATCTTCATTTTTTTAATTGAAATATTACCCTAGACCTATATAACAGCTGCGCTTCAGTCCAATTCTGCCGGCGCGCCGGAAGACGATGTTATTAAAAAATATTGTTAAATAATTTAGCATATCCTATTGATTCGGCGTACCCTTTTTAACTTGGTGCACCATAATGTTCAAAAACATTGAAAATACTGAAATTTCTATGTAAAAACGGCTTATAATTATAACAGCTGACATATAGTGCGGCAAATTAAATATAGTGCGGCAAGGCAAAAGGGGTAGTGCGGTAAGTCAAGCTCCTTATCTTAGATCTTGAGCAAGCCTGAGAGCAGAAGGAGAAGATGAACGGCCGCTCGTCCACGTGCAAAACCACGAAGTCCACCACCACCGCCAGTCCGCCACCTTGTATTTCGGCCGTTGTCGTCGCTGTCGCTGTCGCGTCTCAAGTGAGCTTGCGAGGTAAATAGGTAACTCACGGTATCATACCACGTAAACCGCCGTACGCCTGCTCGACGATACCTCGCAATCACCACCAGTTCAACCGCCCTCTACACTCTTTCTCCGGTGCCAACTGGTCAACCAGCGGACTCTTCTGTCCCGGGTGTCAAGAGAAGGACTGGAGGTGACGCTGCGCAAGACGCCAACGGATAGGTGGGTTTTTATGGCGGAGAAGAAGCTTAGCCTAGAGACTGATCGGCCGAGGGAAATATTTCTGGAGCGACAGAGTCGGCTTTTGGGGTGAGGAAGGCAGGCAACGGATGTCAATGTTATCGTCGTCGAGTGTTCGGTCAAAAGAAGCGTTGCTGGACGGGTTCAAGCTGGAGGAAAAATCTACCGTAAGCAAATGTAAGTAGTCGCCTGAAAAAGATGATCGCTGACAATGCTCCATTAATACTTCTTCTCCGTTGCTCTCCAAAGTCCAAACAATATCCAACAAAGGTATCAAACTTTGAACTTGAAAACTCAGGCTAGTTAGTAGGCTAGGTAGGTATCTCGTGCGTAAAGCAGTGGTATCATGAACAAACTTAACTTCCCCTTTCCCTCTTCCCCTCCTCCTCCAACACTTCCCTCCTCCGTCCAACCCCTCCACTACCGCCTACTCCTACTCCTCCTCCTCCCTCTCAGCAATATCACTATTCGCCCTCCCCCTGCTGCTCCCCGCCAACCCTCCCATCCCAAGCCTGCTCCAACTCATTCTCGGATAACTCATCCTCTGCCTCTCCTTACTTCTCTCCATTTGTTGCTTCTCCCTTTCCTTGCTTCTTTCCCTCTCTCTTTGGAGCTCCCTCTCTCTTTCAAGCAGCCCCTTCTCCCTCTCCATTTCTACGTCTCTCTGGTGCTGCTGCAACACCTCCAACTCCGGCCTATCTTCCTCGTCCCCACTAGGGCGGGTGTTGATTATGGTAGGGACTATGAGCGGCGGACGTTGGAGACCTTGTAGTCCGGTGATGGTGGAGCTGGATTGGGAGCGGGTGTGCCCGTTTCCGTTTACGTAGTCCGAGTGGCCGTTAGCCGACCCGTTGAGATCGTCGTCTTCATCGGTGGTAGCGAGCAGCGGTCCAACAGGTAATGACCTTCTCGTCACTTCCCGGTCCATCTTATCAACCTTCTCCCTCTCACCCTTATTCCCGCCAGTAATGGTGGTGAACACGCCTAGACTCTTGCGGCGTCCATGACCACCGCTGGCGCTGGACTGGGTCTGAACCGAGGAACTCAGCGGGACGTCCCAGGGTGTGATACCGGGTGATACCCCGTAGGATCCCTCTCCCTCCTCTGCCGCCAGCGGTGACGGGATATGTGCCTTCAGGTTGACGCCGGCGCTCATGCTCCGGTTGTGTCCCTTGCCACTGGCACCTTCCTTGTCTAGACCGGAACTACCTGGCCGTTGTCCACTGGAATGAGAGGGCGTCGAGTTTTTGCCGAAACCGGGTATACCGACCTTCCACCCCATGCCCTTCAACGGATTCCAGAACGAGATACCTCCACTGCCGCTGTTGCCACTACCGTTGCCATGACCACCATTGGAGCCATCATGCTGGTCACTGTCCTGTGGCCCGCTTCCGCGACGTTCCTCACCAGTCCCCGTCCCCGCCCTAGCTGGCCTAAAGGAAAACCCAGGCGCAGGCGGACTACCCGGCCTCCCCTCCCTCTCCTCCCTCTCCCTAGCCTGCCTGTTCCTCTCAGGCGTGATATCCATCGGCACTGACCTCGTCGGACTCCCCAGTTCCGTTCCCGTGCCCATCGTATTAACCCTATACAACGGAGTCAGGTTGGCGGGCGACTCCAGCAAGTTGTTGCTGGCTTCAGTGTGCGTAGCGAGGTGGGAGTGCCCGTGCGGGTATCCGTTCGTGGCGCCGTTGGGGGTGCCGTGCTTGGGGGTAGACGTTCCGTTGATATTGACGTTACGGTTGGGAGTGCTAGGAACCGAAACAGCTGCTGGCATGGAAGCTCTGTTACCTGCCCCCACGGGGACAGAAGAGGTAGGGCCGCCGCGGACGGGGCTCAGAGAGCGGTCGCTGTGGGTTGGGGTTTGGACGCCTGACCACCTGTTGCTGCCGTTCACGATGGCTGATGATCTGTTACCAGGTGCGGTTCCGACTTGGCCGGGGCGTGGTCCAGCGAGACCGTTCCCGCCGGCATCAGCACCGTTTTCGATGCCCATCCTCCAACTGAGAATCCTATCGCTGCCTGCGTTGACGGCCTGGTTCAGGGCCGAGGCGTGAGATACGGGTGAAGTAACCATGTATGGCGCAATATTCCCGGACATCGACCCCCTTCTTGAATGAGCGGCGCTACCTGTGCCCGCGGAAGTCCGAGAGTACACGCTAATGCTCCGTCCCAGTCTTCCGTTGTACAAGCTACCGCCGTGGGAGGTCAGCTTGCGAGAGAAAGTCGAGCCAGTCTCCCAGGAGTCGTGCTTGCGCTTGGTATAAGCGCAGTCCTGTCGAAACACCTTGATGATACCAGTATCATCTGTCGTGACAATGATATTCCCATCATAATGCGTCGACCTCGCGATATACGCCGGGCTTGGTTCCGGTCTCTGAATCGGTGCCGACGTTGGCACAATCGGCGGCGGTGGTGGTGGTGCTGGCTGATGATGGTCCTCCGAACTCAACTCAGTCTGACTAGCAGCAGCACTATGCGCACTAGCAGTCGCCGCCTCCTCCCCCGCACTCCTCAACACAACAGGTGGTGGATTACAAAGATCGTAAATGGGATCTTCGCTCCGTCCCAGCAACATCCTCGTCTTGGTAGGCGCAAAAACAGCAGTGGTGACCATCTCCCCATGAGCCTCAAAGTATTCGTATGGTGACTTTTCCTTGTCGATGTATGCCGCTCTTTGCTGCCCGCCATTCAACCCCCATATAAACGCCTTCTTATCTTCCGATCCGCAAATGACGTATTTCCCATCGTCCGAGAAAGACGCAGCGATCTGCGAAACCGAGTTATCGTGTCCCTTGAGCTTGATCTCCAACGACTTATCCCTGAGATTATATATCCTCACTCGGGAATCATTCGAAGTAATCAGCACTTTCACCTCCCCCTGGGCTTCATCCCCCGTCCCAGGCGACTGCTCCTTCAACGGATCCATCGGCGGCACTGCTATCGTCTGAATCCCCGTAATCTTACTCCCCTTGGCATTCTTCCCCCTCGAACTCCGCACGTGCACCTGCGCCTGCGGCTTCAGTCCCTCCGTCTCGTAAAACAGACACAAGCCGTTCAACAAGCCGGCAATCGCCGTCTTTCCATCGGGGGAAAACGCCACAGCCGTTATGAGGTCAGGACACTGCGCCGAGAAAGCAATCTGCTTATCCGGGATTGACCACAGTCGCAGGATAGTATCCAAACTGCCCGCCAGGAAAAAGCGGTCATCGCGGGGATGAAACGCCAACCGCGTAACAAAATCCTTGTGCTTGAACGTGCACAGACACTCCTGTCTGGAAATGTGCCAAAGCCGCACAGTCTTGTCCATGGACGAGCTCAGCAAAAAGTTGTTTTTGGACCAAGAAAGATCCAACACCTCGCCGCTGTGCCCCACAAACTCGCGGAAAGGTCGGTCGCGGAAGACGGGCGCGCTAAGCCTTTCTCCCGTTGCGTTCCCTCCGTTCGCTGCGGCTTCTTCCTCCTCGCGGGCTCGCCGTTCCTCGGGCGTGGAGATTACCGCCCATACCCTGACTACATTGTCCTTGCCCGCGGCAGCAAAGTACTTGCCGTCGCGACTGAACTCGGTGGCCCAGATTGCGCCGCCGGTTTTGGCGACTTTGCGACCGCTGGCGCTGGCGACGGAGACAGTTAGTGTTGGCCCTGGGCCGTTGGGTTCTCCTCCTTGGGCTGGCGCATCCCCTTTATTGGCTCCTCCATCTTGTTTGTCCCCCTCTTGGTACTTGTTGTACCCCGGCGGTCGAGTCCCTACTAACTCCTGCGCCAGAAACACGCGTCCAAAGTCTCGTTCCTTTTTGTTTGCTGCCTTTGTTCGTATGTACCTCGGCGGTTCCTTGTGATGGGGTGTGTAGCCGACGGCTTGGCTGAAGACGCGGGCGTTGAAGCCATTCATGCGGGGGTCGCCGCCAAACTCGGAGTCGGAATCGAAGTCGTTGTATTTGGAGGAGCTGGAACGGCCGCGGAGGGTGAGGGAGCGGAGGAAGAAGTTTTTGCTTTTGCTGTGGGGGAGGAAATGGTCAGCACTCTGTGTACTGGGCATGTATGGGTGGACAGGTTGAATGGGGGTAAGGTACCTCTTATCCTTGGGAACATCACCACCCGGTGTATTCGGTTTCGAAGATTTTCCCTCGAAGTCTGAATTCTGACGGCCTGCTATCCCTGCTCCCTCTCCAGTCGACATTAGGCCCGGGGACTCGGGTCTCGAATTATTGCGTAGATGTTTGGGTGGTTTCGAGGAGGATCCTTGGTCGCCAGTTTGTCGTCGCATGAATATTTGCTAGAGAGAAACAACAGGAGATCGTTAGCTCCATGCGCAAGGGAGAAGGGGTGTGACAGAATGTATAATGCGGGGGAAGGACTGAGGCGCAAGCTGCATGGTGCTGTAAGATGCACGATGACTGACCTGGGAGAGGGGATCGATGGCCGAGTTGGCTCCTAACGATTGGGCTATGGACGGATGGGTTGTGCTGACAGCGGCGCCATTGCCCGTCGAGCCACCACCATTATCATTGTTGGATCCGAATCCGAGCTGCTTGTTATCTTCCGCGTATTGGTCTCGGTCTTTATTCGATTGCTGTTCGGTAACGGTCGCGAACGAACCAGGAGTCGCAGTGGCCTGGGTATTGTAGGAGGAACCTCGAGCGGATATGGAGAGGGATCGTCTGATGGCGCCCGGGATGGGGACGGGAGTGGTGGCCGGCGATGGGGTCGCGGATGTTCCTCCTCGGATCAAGCTGTGGGTGCCTAGTGCGATTGCGCCGTTGTTGGCTTCGTCAATACTTTGCCGCATGGCCGTATGCTATAAAGGTGCTAGGTACGGTATACGCGTAAAGATCGGGTAGAGGGGAGGTAAAGACGACGTAAGGGGAGAAAAGGACAAAAAGGTGGGATACGCGTATGATACAAGGAAGAAAGGGAAAAAGACCAAGACAACTACGTCAAGGATCGATCGCCAATGCAACCCTTTTTTCTTTTTGGCCAATTGTTCGAGAAAGGAAAGAGGTGCTACCTAGCCGCAGCTTGCTTGCATACAGCACCTCCTTGCTTCTTGGTCCGTGATCCCGCCTTGTTCCTGTCTTGTCTTTGGTCTTTCCGCGTATAAGCACCAAATGTGTCTACCTCTTCAACGAACATCCAAGAAGGGAGAAAGGGGAAAAAAGAAGAAAAGGCAGGGATTGAGTAGAAAAGGGACAATGCAAAATAAAAAGTCAAGAGAGACAGCGGCTTGGCGATACCCACAGCATCCAGCAGCAAGCGATGCCACCAGCCCGGGTCCCAACACAAAAAATGGTCGATCGCCATGTTTTTAACCATGTCAACTTACCTCGGCCTTGTCCATTTCCACTTTCGTTTAGCTCTTCGGGATCTTGTCTAGTTCGAGGCGCAGGCGCAGGCGTATATTCGGGAGAGAGGTATCTGTTCTTGGTCGTTGATATCGCCGTGTCATCCCCCGCTTGCCATGATGCTCGCTTGGTGGTTGTGGTCGACATTCTTGATTTCTTGATGCTCCGGGATGGGATTATTCGTCCTGGTCTTCCAAAGTCGCAAAGTTCGGACAATGGAAGCCCCTGATCGGTCGGTCGGCGGCGAGGCAGGCACAGACTGGAGTCCCGCTGGAGTCCCGCTGAAAGCGCCCTGAAAGAGTCCACTGTACGATGGAGCCACGGGGGCTGGATTCAGGGCGCTGTGGGGATTTTTCAGCAGGGGCAGCTGTCCGTCAGGGTTCGCAAGGGACAAGGGCGATCAAGATGATGTCGTGCCAAGACTGTCGGACTTGTCGAGATGCCGTGGCCCGACTTGGGCTCCACTTCCACTTTGTTCTTATGAGATAGTGAGCCTGGAAAGAAGATGGACAAGTTGAAAGATGGGTGACGACAAACGGTGCGACAATTGTAACTGGCGCGCAATTCCGGAACGAAGCACAAACACAAACAACGTGGTGAAACAATGCCGCAGTGCCTGGAATGCAGAAGGGAAAGCATGGGAAGTACAAGTGAGGCACCCAAGGCACGGAAAACAATACCTCTCAAGTCGGATGTGCCGGGTAGGTGGGCGTCACATGATGCACCCACATTGCCGAGACATGTATTTTAACTCTTTGCGTCCAGTCTTCTATGGTCTTCAGAACAATAAAGAGCTTGAGATACAACATGTTGATTCACGATTGAGAACCCAATCTGTTAGCCCATGTTCACAACTCATCACATCAAGGTGACAAGAACACATGCAGTCCAGACCATGATGAGACATCCTGGGCAGTTAGTTGATATAATCGAAATAAACATTGACGCGAAATGACTGACTCAATTGTGACGATGAAGGCATCTCGACAATGAACCAGCGGCAATGCGCTCCAATCAGAATTGCATCGCTCATTTGCCCCACTTTGTTTTCAAAGCACATGCCAATTGTTTGGAAATGACGTCGGTCGTGTCTTAAAAAATTTGGAGGTCCAGTCCGAGAAGCGGAGAGTGGCAGCAAAACACCAAAGCTTTGCATCGCCATGTCTTTGTAGTAAACAATGGTAAAAACAATATCCCGCTGCAAACCTGTAAAACAACCACCCGACCATCTCTCATATAATCATAGCTCCCTCCTCGGCTGCCTCATTCCCTCCCTCTACTCCTTCGCTCTCCTCCACCTCGTCCTCATCCAAATCATAAATCGGATACGTGAGAATCGCAGCAATCCCACCCAAAGCATCCAGTCTCTGCCCACTCTCGTGATCACTGCTCAACACCCTCGCCTCCCCTCCATCCTCCTTGACCTTATCCACCAGTGCCACAAACCTCTTCCTCGTCTTGATATCCAGACTCCTGAAAAACTTGTTATTGATCAACAGGACACCCCCTCCCCGACCCACCGCACCCTCCTTCACCGCCCTCTCCACCGGTTTCGCGCCGTACCACGCCCTCCCATCATCGTTCCTCAGCCGATCATACAACTGATCCATCAACGACGTCTCGCCCGTGAACCGCTTATCCCTCATCGTCGCCTGCACCTCCGGACTCTTCAAGACCTCATTGAGGGAATGCACATACCCCGTGCTGCTGTGGACAACCACCGCATCCTTCGCTATCCTCTGCAACTTCTTATCCGTCCTCTTCTGCCCCTCACTCTGCATATACCCCCTAAAATCCTGCGCCACAAACCCGGGACTCGCCAACAACAACGGCCGCGGCGTGCTGAAATCGACAGTCCTGAGCAGCGTAGACAAAGTCTTTTCGTAAAAGCTCGTCATGCCGCCCTGGCTCGCCGATCCGCCCGCCCTCTTCTTCGGGATATTCGATTCAACCCTTTGCTTGACGACCGTCTGGAACTCGGTAATCAGACAGATATTCGCCAAGCCCTCCTGCATCACCACCGCGCACATGGCTTCGCCGGTATCCTCCGCCACCGCCTCCTCCAGCATCTTGAGGGCGACCGAATCCCACCCGCTGCGCTTCCACAGCTGAAACGGCCGGTTGAGTTCGAGGTCGAGAGTGTGGTGCTGTCCCAAACTAACGTATTGGTTCTCTTGGCAGACGGTGCCGGAGACGTGTAGACTCGAAGCGGCGGGGTCGAAGAAGACGGATTGCACGCGGATCGTCAGGTCGGTGTGGACGCGGTCCGACGTCGTTGAGCCGGTGGAGCCCGTGGTTACGACTTTGCGGATGGCGTGCGCGCGCAAGAGGTCCGAGGGCGCGATGAGGTTGTGCGCGTGCCACATGTCTTCGGGCGTGGTGGGGAGGAGGGAGACGGGCGATTCGCCTGAGGGGTCGAGGGTTGAGAGGGAGTGTTTGGGGTTGGTGAAGCGCATTTTTGGGCGGTGGAGGGGGGTTTTCGTGCAGGTGGTATACGGATTATGTTCGAGGTGTTTCGTTGGATGTAGGTATAGGTAGGCCGAGAGGCAAATTCGACGACGAGGTAGGTTGTGGGTGTGGTTGCGCGTTGGATCGGGACCGCTTATGGAGGGCGTGTGTCCTCGCGTAGTTGACTCGAGTGCGTCCTAGGTGCTCGTAATGGTGGTAGTGTTGATGTCGTTGTGGTCCGCGATGTTGCCGCTGTTCATGGCCTCGCAATTCGGTGTTTAGTGAGTCGATTGAAAAGATGACGAAGTGGAAATGGGGCAAAGCTGTTTGGCTTTGGCAGGGAAGTGCTGTGGGCTGAGTGTGGGGTAATTGAGCACCAGGGTTTTTTAGCGGGGTAAGTACAGTCCAATGCTGGTTTGTTTGTTAGCTTGGTACTCCTGGTAGGTATATTGGACGATATCCATCCCGAATTGTCCCAAACCTTATAAGGACAAATTCAATGGCTAAGTACGGATCGAAAAGGCATTATTCAAGTTCGATATAGCATATTGAACTTGGGAAATAGCATATTCAAGGTGAGATTACGCTTTGATCATGGAACGAAACGAATCAATTAAATGTAAAAAGGCCTAGGGAAGTTGACCCGAGGTTTCGAGCTAACAAACAAACCAGTATTGGACTGTGATCCTGTGTGCCGCTGTCCTGCTTGCTGTCTTTGACTTTACCCCATTCAACTTGTTCTCATCAACTTCTCTCACAACACTCTTTTCGCGAGACGTCTCTTCCATCCTCTCTCAATACCTACACGGCTCTGATTGGGGCAGTCTGCCTCGGCCCATCTTGCCCCAATTCCCTAGCCCTCATAGCCCCTTCTATCATCACAGAACGCAGACTAATAAACGGGATCAGCACTTTACAGAAACATGTGTGATATAGGATGACAACATGGAATGGATCCTCCGACATTATACGCACCGCCGATGAATCGAGTGGCCCTAGGAGCAGTGGAGTTCGACGTGTATGGAAGTAACGGGCAGCAACGGCGGCCGGACGCGTGGGCTGGCGGGAAGCTCCGCGGAGATGGCCGCGCAGGACCGAACCGGGTGGTGGCCGGTAGCACGGACCACTCGGACATGAAGGCGGCCGCTAAGCCTGTTTCGGAGTTTCTGTTAGCAAATCTGACGCCCGTGAAACCCCCGGAGGACGGCTTGCTTGCTCACCGTTTGCTCACTTGAAAGAGAGCGAGAACAATAGACGGCAAGTCAAGTTGGATTCAGGCCGCAGCGCCATCTCGCGGTTGGCTCAGCGAGATCCAAGGGGTTAGAATGTTTTGGTCACAACATCACTTTCATATGTCGCTACTGTGGGCCATGTCTGGGCGGTGTTTGGCTCAGTTGAGGTTGCTGTTTAATCTTTGGACTGTTTGCTGCTTTTCTGTTCTGGTTTCTGCCCAAGAGTTTTTGTTGAGTTTACAAGACAGCAAGTCACCGCTCCCTTTTTTTTCAAATTGTTTTTCATGTCATTCTCCGATTCCCGAGATGCCGATCCCCATCACCTTGTCACCATCGGTTACTAAAAAGATCAGCGTTTTTGCGTTAAAGAGATTTCACCTGCCTCGGGCTGACCTGCTTGGACTGGACCTCTGGATCCTTCCGCCCGGCTTCTAGCTCGTTATAACTGCGACCATTCAGTGCCTGGTTTTAGCGGACACTTTCCGCTGATCACCCAAACTGGACCCAACTGGACCCAACTGGACCCATCGGATGAGATCATGGGAACACTGGAACACCGAGACACCACCTTATTTTGACCACACACGTTTCGCTCTTCGGTTGTTCGGTGTTGTGTAGGGTGGGCATGGTGAGGCAGACCGGACAGTAGACCTTTCTTAAAAATCGAGAGAGGAAACGAAAAGACTTTTGAAAGCTATTACGTGTTGGAAACCTGAAGCAAGTTTTGGTTTAGCGGTCAACGGGAAGCGAAGGGGAATATAATGCTGCGGTACACCTGATCTTTCTTGGACTTTTTTCTGCTTTTGTTCTGTTTTTCTGCTTTTGCACATTGAGTCCGAGTCCGAGTCCAAGTTCCACAAACCCGTCTCCGAACCGCCAACTTAACCCAACTATATTTGAGGACCCAAAACAAAACAAAAACCCAACCATGACCCGACCGTGGTACCGCACCCGCCCAACAACATGGCACCTAGACATGGACCGCTTCATCAACCCCTTCATCCCCGCCTCCGTTTTACCCCATTTCCCGACGCCAATCGCTTACTTTTTGGGTTACCGAGGTCCGAGATCGCGACGGGCGAAAAAGCCGCCGCTGGGGAATATAGCAATCATCTTCTTTGCGTTTGTGGGCGTCTTTGTTACCATTACGATTATTGGGGCGGTGGGGGAGCATTATGAGGGGTTTAGGGGGAGGGGGGTGCCGGTTGTTGTGGGGAGTTTTGTAAGTTTTTTTTTTTTTTTTTCCCACATTTTTCAAGACAGAAAATGCGTCGAGGTGGGGAGGAGGGTGATGCGGAAGCGTGGTGGTTGAGGGAGGCCCCGGATTTGCACTACGTCAACACCACCATGCTACCTACTAACCCCGGATTTTCCATGCCCGCCTACCTAATGCACCCCTTCGGACACATTACTGTTACAACAGACCACTAACCTACCAAACCTCACAACAAACAGGGCGCAGCAGCAGTCCTAGACTTCTACGCCATCGAATCCCCCCTCTCCCAACCCCGCAACGCCATCGGCGGCCAACTGGTCTCCTGCATAGTCGGCATCTCCATCGCCAAACTCTTCGCCTTATCCCCCAACTTCGAATCCATCCGATGGCTCGGCGCCTCGCTAGCCTGCGCCAGTGCGACAGCCGTCATGGCGCTCACGGGAACGGTCCACCCGCCCGCGGGCGCGACGGCACTAATGGCGGTGCTGGATGATCAGGTCCAGGCGCTGGGGTGGTTTTTGATTGCGCCCGTGATGCTGGGGTGTGCGATTATGCTTGTTTGTGCGCTTTTGGTGAATAATTTGCAAAGAAGGTTTCCTATGTATTGGTGGAGTCCGGAGAAGACGGGGGGGGTTTGGAGTGGCCCCCCGGGGAAGGATGGGAGCGGGGAAGAGGTGACCATGGAGACAGAGGAGAAGGGGGGAGAGAAGGGACTGGGAGGTAAAGCTGGGTCGAGTTCGGAGTCGCGACTGGGGAGGGGAGCGAGGAGTGATGAGACGTTGAGAGAAGGAGATGTAGATATTGAAGCGCAGAGTGGGACGTTGTCCGAGTCGGGGGATGATAATGACAATGAGGGGAGGAGGAAAAAGAAGGAGGATGGCGATGGTGATGGTGATGAGAGAGGGCCGAGGGTGGTGATTTCGAGGGGAGGGGTGGAGATTCCTGAGGGTCTTAGTCTGAGGCCGGAAGAGGTGAGTTTTTTGGAGACGATTTGTGAGCGGTTATGAGCTCTTGAGAGCAAGCGTGTTTGAGCGTGTTGGCGTTTGAGCGTTCTTCGAGTTAGGATACCACTTAGTTAAAACGGATTGGGGACAAAGATGTGATGCCATGACGATGTGAGGCCCTCCAGGTCGGCAAGTTTCAGACCTTTCTGTTTGATTGGCGCCATTCCAGCGGGACATGGGAGGCTCGGGTTTGGCACGGACACGCTGAAACAGCCAATCGTCACTGAGCGGCAGGCACCTGTTGCACTGTTGCACAAAATTGTTAGGCTGCGATGGGCTGCGCGGGCGGCAGGCACTGCGTTTCATTGGATGTTAGCTGCACCAAACAATGCGGCCCATGCCCGGATCTCCAACTCCCTTTCGCCCAACCTTCTTCGACTTCAACCTCTTATCATCGGCTGAATCATGCGTGACGACGGCTCTCTTACAACCCCAATTCTCGCTCCATCATTCATATTTATGCTGATGAGCTTTTCTGGACGTCCATGAAAGCAATTACGACAATCGGATAATCACGCTGACGCTGGACCTCGGCGCCGTGTCGCGCTGGCAAGACATCCTGGCCGTCATCTTATCATTACAGTACTTCAGTCTTAACAATGTCCTTCTTCACTCTCCCGCCGAAACAGTCCAAGGCACTGCGCATCGTTAACCCCGAAACTGGACAAGACACGCTCCCGGTGCCAACGCCCAAACCAACAACACCCACCAACATCGTCGGCCAGACCGTCACGGCCAAATTCAAGGATGGGGCCCCAAACCCCAAAAAGTCAGCCAAAGCAAAAGCAAAGCTCGCAGAAGTCCTTTGGGTCCCCCCACCACCCGGCGACACCCCTCCAGCTTTTGATGCCGATGAACAGTACGCTCGGGGCTTCGACGTTTACGCACCCCCCTTCGTGCCCGCAGCCCTGAAGCAGATCAACGAGTACGCCGGCACTGCCGTCGACACCTTCCCAAAGACACTTATCGACTACCTCCAGTACATCTCTGGGATTTTGCCCACAAGTCTTTTACCCGCCCTTCCTCGGCCAAAGTTCGCCGACAATCCCTCTCTCCAAAATCTTTCACCACAATGCTACGCGAAATACTTTCGTTCCTTGATCGAGGTCGAGCTTGGTTACCAAAGGAAGGAGAACGCTTCTTATTCCCTATACGGCCACACAGGAATACTAAAGTTCAATGATCCAAACGAACCGACTGTAACCATCACAGTCCCAGGACTTCGGGAAAACACCCCCAATGTCGAAGTGGACGACGAGGTGCAGCTCCGCCAGTTACGATTCGACTACGGCGGCCACTTGGAATCCAACCTTTTTCCTTGGACCGGATACATCTACAACGCCCGCGTTTCGGCAGTGGTCAGAGCAACCGAGACCCTCGTCTTACGGGTAGGCGGAATCACCTATCACACCGCTGAAGTCGTTACTCCTACCATGATACCGCCTTGGCCGACAGAGTTTCTTGTCAAGTTCAACATTGTCTTCTTCGTGCCAATGGTCCGGTACACGCCCATGATTGACGTGCTCCCCCATGTTACGGAGTCGCTGGATCTGGCAGAACATTTCCTTAAAAATGACTTTGATGCGCTGGATTCTTTCATCGACGAGGTCACTCGAAACGGCTCCAAGAGACCCAACCCGGATGCGTTGTCCACAACAAATGTCTACTGGAAACAGTCCATGTTGTTCCCCACGGAAGCAGACTGCAGTTCCCAGACCAACATGGTCAACTGGTTGGAACACTACAACGGTTCGCGGTTCGACGAATCCTTGAACTACGAGCAGCGTATAGCGGTCGACTCTGTCATTTGCCAGAACTACGGCACCATGCCTTATCTCATCTCCGGTCCTCCGGGAACAGGCAAAACCAAGACCATGATCGAAATCGCCCTCCAGCTCGTCCGCAACGTCCCCGATGTATCTCATATCCTCGTCTGCGCCCCATCGGAACCAGCATCCGACACCTTGGCCGATCGTCTCTCCAAGTCCATGAACCGCAACGAGCTTCTCCGTCTCAACCGACCAACCCGCGACTCGCGAGAGGTCCTAACCACCCTCCTCCCCTACTGCTACATGCAAAACGACGTCTTTGCTCTGCCCCCTTTTGCCCAACTCATGTCCTACCGCATCATCGTCACCTCCTGCCGGGACGCCTCCATGCTCATGTACGCGCGTCTAACCAACTCGGACCTCTACACCGTCTCATCCACCTTGCATCAACAAATCCACCCCACCTTACCACCTCCAACCAAAGCCCGTCTACACTGGGGCGCCCTCCTAATCGACGAAGCCGCTCAAGCCATGGAGCCCGAGGCTTTAACCCCCCTTCACGTCGTCTCCCCCCCTCTCAAAGGTCCCGAGCCGCTCTTCACCCCACTAGTAATCATGGCCGGCGACGAACAACAACTCAACCCACGCACCTCCTGCCCCTCCACTCCCCTCCAACAATCCCTCTTCGCTCGCCTCTTCAAGCGCCCCGTCTACGCCAACCACCCCCTCGCCCGCCGCCTCGCCAAAGACGCTCAACCGCCCAAACAACAATACCAACTCCATCCCGACCTCCTCCCCATTCTCCGCCCGCCCTTCACCAATCTGATCAGGAACTACCGCTCCCACCCCGCCATCCTCGCCATGCCTTCCAAGCTCTTCTACTTCGACACCCTAGTCGCCGAAGCCGACACCCACGAGCGAAACCGTCTATCATCCTGGTCAGGCTGGCGCGGCCGTCGCTGGCCTATTTTATTTCACGACAATCCCTCCCCCGACGACCTCGAAGCTCCCAGCCCTGACTCTCCCTCCTCAACAGCGACAACAGGGGGCTGGTTCAACGTCGGCGAGGCCCATCTAGCCTGTCAATACGCCTTATCCCTCTTCCGCTCGGGATTAGTCAAGCAGAGAGAGATCTGCATCATGAGCCCGTTCAAAGCGCAGGTGAGGCTGATCAGAAGCTTGATAAGGGGTGAGCAGTACGGGATGATGTGGGAGGTTAATGTGGGGCCTACGGAGGCGTTTCAGGGGTTGGAGCATGGGGTTGTTATTTTGTGTGTGACGAGATCTAGAAAAAGGTTTGTGGAGAGGGATAGGGGGTTGGGGTGGGGGGTTTTGCCGGGCGGTGTTAAAAGAGGTGGGAAAGGGGAGCAAGAACGGGTGGGAGGGGGGATAAGGAATAAACTCAATGTGGCGTTGACGAGGGCCAAGTTTGGGTTGATTGTGTTGGGGAGTAGGGAGGTTATGATGGGGGATGCGGAGAAGGAGGAGGAGGACTCTGACGAGGAAGAGGACGACGATGACGATGACGAGTCGAGAGGGGAGGAGGATACCGGTGGTGAGGAGGAGGAGGGTGGTAAAAAGAAGGCAAAGAAAGAGAAGGGAACTTCTTCGACTCAGGGAACGAGAGGAGAGGAGGGAACGGAATGGGCACAAATCATCGCCTTCTGTGAACGCAATGGTTGCATCGCTGATAGCAACCCGCTGTCTGGATCTCCCCAGAGGAGTCAGACCCAAAATGGAGAGGGCTGGCGGGGCGAATTGACCAAGTGGGAAACAGACATCCTTCTTTCTAATCCTCACGGTGGTAGAGGTAGTCACTACCGGCATGGTGGGAATACCTTTACATCAGATGTCACCAGTGCCAGTGCCAGTAGAACAGGGGAGTGTAGCGATGTGGATGAGTTTTAGAGAAACAGAAGACAGAGAAGTCAATGGGGGACTGGAGAGGGCATCAAGTTTGTGGGAAGAGAGAAAACCTAAGGTACCCACAACACTCAACACTTGTGGGAAACTGGTTAGCGTGGTGTTTGGTGTTTGTGGTTTTATTCTTTCGGGAGTCCATGGTTCGTGAATACTGGATCGTACCTAGGTAGAGAGGTAGCGACTTGGTATTATGGTAGGGAGATAGTGTATTGGAGGTGTTTTTACACAGGGCTGATGGTCCCGGGTCCAGGTGTGGTGGTGCTGTCGTCTAGTTGGGCCTCCGATTCTCCCATGAAGCATCCCGGCGCTAACATTGACTTCCAGATCCAGTCCTTCTTCCCAGCAGTCGACGACACTAAAACTGCCCTTCAATGTCCATCCGCAGCAATAACTACAGCTTTCATCACCCCAAAAGTCGACTCTGTCTCTCCAGAAACATCACCCTCGGTCGATCAACCTCCAAGCTCAACTTTTTCTCCGCCAAGTTCAAGTTGATGTCCCGGTCCGTCCGTCCGGGTTTTGCGCAATATCCATTTCCGGCCAGGCCCCCAACTCTTTCGTCGTCGTCGTCCGCTGCAACGTGCTCATACCACAAATGCACATCATACGCCTTTTTCCAGTGTCTGAATCATCAACGCCTCGACTGAGCACCATGCCCTCTCGTGGTACTCGTCACCTACCAGACTGATGACTTGCGTCGCATTGGGCTAGGATCATTGGCAGCGCGGCGACGCCTGAGGCGGGATTGTCTTGGGTCTACGCAGGCAAAGTCCTACCGACTTCTTATTAGTCCTTAGGTAATCTCAACTTTGTTGGCCGTGGAAAAGGGGAACGAGATAAGGTACTCACCATCCAAATGCACAACCTATTCCTCTCCTCCACCTCCGGATGTCTCTCCAGAAATAGCTGTGTAGCATCCAACATCCTTTTGTATTAGGTATTATACTTATCGTCGGATAATTTCCACATCCCGGGATCTTTGTTAATCTACCGGTAGGAAAAGAAGATGATATAGCAGCTCTCTTGCTCTTCTTGTTGCTCCTCGTTTCTCGTGGGGGAAAACAACCGAGTCAACAAATCACTACTACTCCTCGGCAGCCTCCCAAACCTGGCAAATTCCCTACTACAAGGCACATACTTCAACCTATCAGAGATCCTCTCGCGAATCGGCCAAGCCGGGGCAAGATACAGTTCTTGTTGTGGTTTTTTGAGCTCGGCGCAACATCCATATTCCGATGCACTACTACCACTTATCATTTACGTATTGCACGTTGATATGGCCTGACAGGCGTGGCATACAGCTTTCAGCATGACTTTTGCAGCGACAAAGACGACGGTGATATCGGTCTGAATCGGGACAGTGTAGGTAGACTGGGAGTGTTACAGAGGAAGTGTGGAAGTATATGGCAATGAACGCAGAAAGGCAGATGCCGAAGGTTCTAGCCGCGCTGCAAAGCATACCTCTACTGTGTGTAGGTACGCAATTGTCGTCCTTCATAAAGTGGTTGGCAAGAACAAGCTAGCAACAACAAACCAATGCCTCAATGGTCTCGTGGTATGATTTGCGCTTCGGGTGGACAACTGCTCCTTGCTTGTACACAAGCAATACCAATGTGCGAGGTCCTGGGTTCGAATCCCAGTTGAGGCCTTTCATTTTGTCTTTTTTCTTTTTGCTTTTATGCGTGCTGCATGCTTGGTGCTGCTGGTGCAGGATCGAAATATCAACCCGGGCAACAATGGGATCAGGCCGGATGACTCATGCCCGCAAAGGTGATCAAACAAGTGTAAGTCAATATCTGTATCAGATCTAATACATCTAGTCCCAGTCTATATATAACCCAATCTATCAAAATATCCCGATTGCTCTCCTCTACCATTCCCTGTCTCACATCCAACTCTTCCTTGTCTTAAACCTTCAACCGTCCTCTTTCCACCCCAACACCAACCCGCCTCTCAAACTCTTCCCAACACAACCCCCTTCCCTATTCCCACATCCCAATGAACCCGCTCCCAACCCCCCTCAAGCCTTAATAGGCGCATAAAAACTAAATCTTCCCTTCGGATCATACTTCCTCTTCAGCATCTTCAACCTCTCCTGCCTCCACCCTTCATACCCATACATAGCCTGCAGACTTTCACTCCCCTTAGCATAATTCACATAAACGCTCTTCTGCTTGACCTTCTCCCCATACGCCGCATCCCTAATCTTCTCTCCCCACTTCTGCGCCTGTGCATCCAGCGTCTTGTTCCTCGTCGCGGTGGTGTTGTCCTCATACGTCACCAGGAACCCATACAGCAGTTTACGGTCGCGCAGCGCAAACGCGGTGCTCTCGTAGGGGACTGCTTGCACCGCTTGGAGGGCGTAACCCTCTAGGTAGGCCATGGAGAGGGAGAGGGCCGGTTCGGTGCGGATCATATCCCTAAAAGCGTTGTAGGATTGCCGGAGGGCTCTGACGTCGTAGGTGTCGACGTCCATGCCGTAGACGGTGGCGCCGCCTTTGGGCTGGCAGGCCCAGTCTGTGACGCGGAATTGGGCGGCGGCGGCGAGGCCGGGGTAGTCGGTTGTTAGGACGGGGGTGGTGTCGAGGGGGGAGAGGGCGGCGAAGGGGGCGAAGTAGGAGGCAGCTTCGGAGGGGGGGCCGTTGTAGTAGACTGTTGAGACTAGGATGGGCTGTTTTTGTTTTGTCCCTGGTGTTAGTGATGTCCTACCTAGTCAAGCAAGTAAGGGAAGTGGGGGGGAAAGGGGGGAAGGGGAAGAGAAAAAAAAGACTCACATGAACAGGATCAACCTCAGGCGCCCACCTCCAAAGACTCCAATAAACCACAAACACGCTCTGGTTCCTCATCGCCTCATTATGCACCCTGTACACCTCCTCCAGCCTGTCCTGCGTAAACGTATAACTCTGATACGTCCACTCCGGCCTCACCGCATCATACAACTTATACTCCACCTCCGTGACCACCCCAAAGTTATGTCCGGCCCCTCTCAACGCCCAAAACAAATCACTGTTTTCCGTGTTCGACGCCTTCACCGCCGTGCCGTTCGCCAACACCACCCGCGCAGACAAGATCTGATCAGCTCCCAATCCATACTGCCCTTGCAACCAACCGTGTCCACCGCCCAGCGCCGGCCCTAGCAGTGAGACGCACCGACAGGAGCCGGTGGTGGTTTGTTTCCCCTTAGCCCAAAGGGCGGGGACAACGTCGTCACCACGTAACCCGCCACCGAGAGTGGCGGATTGCCCGTCAGCAGCGAACTCCATCTTGGTCAGGTTGCGCGTCCAGATGGCCATGCCGCCCTGCAGCTGCGACAGACCCTGCCAGGTGCCGTGGGTGCCGGTGGTGGCGAGGAAAGGGATGGAGTGGACGTTGGCGTATTGGATGGTGAGAGAGACGTCGCGCTCGGAGGCTGGGACGACGATGACTGCGTAGGAGGGGGAGTTGGTGTGCGTGTTGAGGGACCAGCGGTGGGTGTATTGGGAGAAGGAAGGGGAGGAGGGGAGGATGACGAGGGCGGAGGGGGAGAGGAGGGTAGTTAGGTCTTGTTGGATGGTTGGCGGGAGGGAGACGACGGGGGAGAGGGAGGTGGTGTTGTAGTCGCGGTGTTCGAGGGAAGAGGGGGGAGAGGTGTTGTCGCGGATGGCGATGGGGAGGGGGCCAGTGGCAACTGGGGAGGCGGTTGTTAGGCCGGCTATGGCCAAGAGGCCGCCCCAGATGAGGGAGCGGGTGCAGAAGAGCATGGTTGTTAGGTGAGGAGTTGGCGATGTGATGTCCAAGTGGGTCTGAGGTTCGGGATGAGTTGCTCGAAGGTGTCGAAGTGAAGTGAGTCTCGAGGGAACTTGAAGAAGTGCTGCTGACTTCTTGAGGCTTCTCGAAGCTCTTGAGCAGTGTTTGATGCTTTTTTTTTCCAACAGATGCAGTTCCACAGGTCCGTACTTATAGCATCGCCGGTGATCAGTGTCCGGACCTCCGGAGACAAGGACGGAGGTTACCTAGCGGCAACAAACTCAGCCTCAGCCTTGTAAGTGATGTTGCTACGCCGAGAGGCCGACTTAATGGAACTTTTGTGGTCAAGGATCACAATAAAAGGCACGGACAAGCGAAGTTGACAAGGCGCAGGAACCGTACTCCGTGGGACAAGAGTTTCCATCTTAACATACAAATGTTCAGGGATCCCTTACTCGCTCCCTCCGGATGTCTGCGTCATGACACCAGTATTGTAGATGCCCTAGCGGCCTGGGGTAATCGTGCTCAAGGATTGGAACTTTTGCTTACAGGGAGTCTCATACTGGGAGACGTACACCAAGTGAACGGTTGACAGCGTGCAGGTACCGTGCTCTGTAGGACAATGATCCCATGCTACACTGTTACCTGGTTCTTCCACTGCGTAGATACGTTCTAGCGTGCCGAGTGGACCGTAGCTGGCCTGTGGTCGCTTATTCCAGGAGCCTAGCCGTGCCCTGACACAAGGCCGTCGCAGGTCGTGAAGGGATTCATGATATTACCATAACTTACTGTGCCGCATAGGTGCAACCATGGATCTTGGGAAACGAAAATCGCCGACGGAAGATATAGTGGTTCGATGGAAGAGTGCAATGGAATGAGACCTTGCCACCTTGCCCTATGTGGGCAAAAGTTCGGAGCGTTTCCAGTACGACAACATGGCGGGCCCGAGGAATTGGGAGATATCTCATGCAGTATCACTGCATGGAAGGCTTAGAAAGAATGAGAAAATATTTGCGGGTGCCTTAATATCGAGAGAAGTCTGTTGAAGTGCGGTCTTTGTGATGGTTCTTGGCTGTGGGGATGTCTTCAGGCCTCTCCAAGACGGCCAAGACACTCGGCCATAACTTATCCGAGATCAAAGTTGAGAAAACCTGGGCGCACCCATACCTTTCCTCCACGCACCCATATATCCACCTATGTCAGCTGTCATAAAATACACCCGTTTCAGCGTGTAATTTCGAACTTCCCGACTTTTTTGACGAAATGCTGCCAAAACCACAAAGTCCACCAAGATTTCTGATGTCGTGACAATTTCATTGTCCGATTTGATAAGACTCAAGAACCAACCTCTTTAGCTCATTAAAGTACTCCTTCTACAACGGAAACGAAGATGGAGGAAAACAAGAGCCATTATTCTAACGACGAGGAATAGGGAGATTACGAAGCAGACGAAAAGCGACAGAATACTTTGTACTGCGCGCGCGTATATACTTAGGAATTCAATACTACGATACGGAGTGGTGATGCAATACGCAAAGCCTGAAATAAAGTGTAATAAAACGGACATTAAAAGGGTGAATTTTCACGGCTAAAAGTGGGCTCTTGCATGCCAAGTGCCATGGCCTGTCACAGAGTGCCAGGGACCCTAACCCCCCAAAACTATGGCCATGTGCGTGGAGGAAAGGTATGGGTGCGCCCAGGTTTTCTCTCAAAGTTACAGCAAGCCGAGTATCGTTAATGAAAGCAGCAGCTGTCCCAAAACTTGGGTGCACTTTCTAGAACGCTACCAAAATCCTTGGGGGCTAAAATGACCTGGGGTGCAAGCTCAGGGCCTCCGGATCGCCCGGGCGGCGTTGACAGTTCGGCGGATTTCTTGGCAGCCGAATCACAACATCACCATTCCTGGGCCTGGTTGTGATGAGCATGCTAGCTGTGCCGCGGGCTGAGGCGTTTTGGATGATAAGAGATGTGAAGTGGGTTTGCGTGGCTCGAGGAAGCTTCACGTCGTTCTCGCTGGACAACGCTGTGAGCGCAATGATGGTGGAAAGAATGAACGGAAGAGAGAAACCCCAAGCAAAAAGCGGTTTGAGACTGGATCAGCATATAAGAGAGCAATTGCTGTTCAAGGGAAAGTCATCAACACCATGTTGGGGGCTGACTCGCCTGATCGTGAATCGAGTGTGCTGAAGGGACTTACTCGGCGGGCAGTGTTACTTTTCTCGGCGGGCAGTGTATACTGCCCGTATAGCAAACCCTACCCTGATATTCCTCCGCGGGCAGTGTTATAGTAATTCTTAACCTTCAATATTTTTGCTCGCCAATGTACAATAGGAGAGGTAGCTGAAAGATGCTAATCCAAGCAGTAAGATTAATCTATTTACCTAACTAACCTCTCTTTCTCTTACTCTTCTAACTTCTTTAAAGGTTTTATAGTCCTCCCGCTTTTTGCTACCGTCTACTTAAAGTATTAACGAACGTATTATAGTACGTTTCTTTCGGGTAGGCTGTTCATTACAGCTTGTATTAATTTTAGTACCTCTAGAATTATAGTGGTTGAGTGGTTGGCCCTAGATAGAGTTACTAATCTCGTATGTTCTTATTAATTGTAGAAAATGCTGCAAATAGTGGCTCTTACGGTGGCTGTACGTTCAAATCGCCAAGTTAAACGTATTATGTTCAGTTTCATTAGGATTAGGGATTACGGTGACACTGCCCGCGGAGGAATATTAGGGTAGGGTTTGCTATACGGGCAGTATACACTGCCCGCCGAGAAAAGTAACACTGCCCGCCGAGTAAGTCCCGTGCTGAAATGGCGTTGACAATAGTTCAAGCCTCAGCTGAAAGAAGCTAGGCGTCCAAGCCACGCTCATCCTTTGAGGGCACAGTACGGTCCTATTGAATCCTTGTCAAGTACACGCCGTATTGACTTTGTGATCAGTCCAATCCCCTGCCAAGACGATGCACACCTCGCTTGTGTCGGCTCACTTTGCCGCAACTGTGCCCCTGCTTACACATGTTCCACGCATGCGAGATCTCGGACTGGAGACACTCGATGATGCTATTGGGTGGATAGACGCGAAGGAACGCGAATGGGCGAGGGATTGCTTGGATGTTTTGTTGGTTGCCTAGAAGCGCAGACGGTCATGTCCGGGAGTGGTGATGCAGAAGATGGTGACTGAAGTCGATGTTGGGGGCCGAAACAGAATGGCAGAGCAAAACAAGGCGAACAAAAGCAATGACTATGAGTGGATCGTGCGAATTGGAGGTTGAAATGGAAGAAGAGAAAGAAGGAATTTCCGCAGGGCAGTCAGAAATACAGGCAGAAGATGAACAATGGTGGGCGACGACTGCCACAGTTGGTGCAACGACCGCTCTTGCCGTCTGAAATCCGCAGTGCAGACACTCACCATTATCTCTTCCTTTTCGAGCCGATTCCGCCGAAAGAAGACCGACAAAGCAATTGAAATGGATTCGAATTCTATTTTCCAGTCCAATCAAAAATAATGCGACAGCACGGCGCAGGCGTTAAAGCAATCGCGATGCATCACCACAATCACCATATTCTTTCCTAACTCTTTTGTTTTAGCTATGTAAGCACTTCATCACGGTGTTACAAACAACAAGGGCCGCTGGTCTAGTGGTATGATTCTCGCTTAGGGTTCAATCCTGAGCATTCTTGCGAGAGGTCCCGGGTTCAATCCCCGGGTGGCCCCATTATTTTTCACGTTTTTTTTTTTTGCAACAATTTCCCATTTTTTTTTCACTCTTTGAAAACTCTCCGATGCCATGTTTCTTTCCCATTATTATTTTCTTTTGGTGTTTTGTTTTCGTAATGTTTGGAGAGGAATAGTGTTCGACAATAACGCATTAACAGATGTACTGGGTAATTGGCCCGAAAACTGATAGCTGACCATCTCGGTTGCTGTCAGCATCGATAAGGCATTGCAATGCGCCATGATGCCCCCAATGTTTCGCAACTCGCCTAGGCACATCGTGAATCAAAACCTTCTTAACTCCCACGAAATAGAGCAAGAAAACACCAAGGAAGACCTTGGACATCTTGGAAAACTGGAATCAAAAAATGGCCATTCAAAAAGAAGGACGGAAAGGGGCATCGTCCGAAGTCAGATACCGAGCCAGGACCGTCCAAGCACCGGCCCAGGGAGGCCTGTCTTCAGGTCTTGGCATCCCTTTTCCAGCACCCGCCAACACCATGACAAGCCAGAACACGTTCGCCATTACGTATTCTTGGCCTGGACAATTATTCGACCGCGCCATGTTCAATACCTTATGCTTGCTGTTATGAGGCTCCAATGCATGTCTCGACGACCATAAACCGCACCCTTGCCGAAAGCCACCTGAGATATCGATCGGAGCTGTTTCTGAGAAGTGAGAAGTAACAAGTCAGAATCCCATCGGCCATCCATCCGTATTTGCTGCCCTCACCCAGCACATAGTGTCTCAACCCAGCCACGACGACCAGAATGCATGTTTCACATGATGCGCAGCTTGTTACCAAACACGCATCAAAAAAAGGAACATGTGCGTGTTTGTTGTACTCGGAGGCACGACATCCGCCATCGGTTAAGTCCTACGAAAGCGAATGCGAAATGTCGATCGACCTTTCCATGTGGGGGAAGAGTCCCGACAACCAGATCGATCGGATGGTCAAGAGATCCTCGATGATGTCGACATCGTGCAGGTGGCTTTCGACGCCGCGCGGCGCCGTTGGCAAGACCGGTGACTTGATGATGTTGGTACCCGACTGACTTCAGTACGTAAAAAGAAAGCCGAGGCTTGAAAGTCTCCCACTTTTCAGCGGCGCCCAACTACATGAATCAATTGATCGCTGTTCCCACCTGTTCAGCAGGTACAGGGCCGAGGGCGCATCTCCCCTCAGAACCTGGACCTTACCGAGCTCAAAGCAACCTTGCTGGAAGCTCCATCCCATCCTGTGACCGCAGCACGCTTTTGGCGGAACAGTTCCGGGCGCTTTATCTACAAAAAGGGGCTGATTTTGCTCGGAGGAGAGGAACATATGTACACCGGACCGGGGCTTCGGAGGCCCCTTGTACATACCTTCCGGTGAACCCGCAAGTTCGCGGCGGGACAAACGTGGCTTTCGTGTTCTGCCCAACGTGGTTGCTGCATATTTGCGAATAGTTTGTGCCCACGTCCCAGTTTCTCCATCGTGGAAATCCAGCCCGGACAAGCTGGAAGCCCCCTTTTGGGAGAGAATCAGTGATATTGTCGTCTGCTTTTGTTCCTGACCTGGACAGAAACATCAGATTAGCGGAGCCATGACAGGGACCGGGCCCGAAAGTGACCCTTGTCGGCGCCGACAACATGGAAAAATAATTGGTTGACAAGCCATCTGTCATGAAGGACCCCGTTGATCGACATCCAGGATTACAGGCCGATCATATTCCCCCCTCGCTGTAGCCAGTCTGCCAACCCGATGGTTTGCTTGATCGGGTATCCTTCAGTTTGCCCGTCTCCAATATAGATAGGAGCCCCCTTTTTCGCTGGTCGGGTTACGATCCGACACTCGGCAGGGCAAGTAGACGGTCAGTTCAAGTTACCGTGTTGAGCCACGGGTTCGGTTCTAGACGGGTCTCTCATCAGCGGGTTGAATCTTCCTTCATCTCGTTAGCATCAAGATGGCTCGCCTGACAAGTCTGTTGACGGCCGTCGCCGCCGTTGTCGGTACTGCCCAAGCAACCCTACCAACGGAATGGACACCCATCTGCAAGGAGATCGAGGCAAAGATCTCCAAGGCCAGCGATGTCATCTACCCAAGTAAGTGTTCCCACTCCCCTGAGTTGTCTCACAGCGTGGACGGACGACTCATATCTTTCGCGGCGTACAGTCCAGGCCATCTCCTTCACTTCGGCGATTACCCACTGGTTCTGGTCGTCCTATGAACAGCCATCGTGCGTCTTTGCACCTGGGTCTGCGGAGGATGTGTCGGTTGCGCTGCAGATTATTGGCGCCACCAAGACTCCCTTTGCCGTCCAGTCTGGTGGTCACTCTTCAAACCCAGGCTTCTCCAGCACCAAGGGTGTACATATCTCGCTCAAGAGGCTGGACCAAGTGAAGCTGTCTGAGGACAAGAGCGTCGCTGAGATTGGCTTTGGCAACGTGAGTAAATGTCGGTGGTATCTGGCCGAGACCGGTAGCTAACAGTGTTCCAGGTCTGGGTTGATGTGTACAAGGCCCTGGAAGGTACCGGCAGGAATGTTGCTGGAGGAAGAGTGCCCGGCCCGGGCGTTGGTGGCTTCACCCTCGGTGGTGGATACTCCTGGAAGACAAGCCAGTATGGTTTGACCTGTGACACGGTCAAGAGCTATGAGCTTGTCCTTCCCGCAAGTTACCATGGCTGGTCCCTAGTGTGACGAATGTCAGCTAACACACGGCCGAACAGAACGGAACCATTACCAGAGTGTCCAAGACCCTGAACCCCGACCTCTACTTTGCCCTCAAGGGCGGTCTTAACCGCTTTGGCATTGTCACGTCGGCTGAGTTCTACACCCATGAGCAGCCTGAGAAGGTGTACGGTGGTCTCGGCATCTATCCCACCAGTGCTGTCGACAAGATTCTCAACGCCACTTCTCAGTTCTCGTACCTGAACAAGGATCCCCGGACCCAGATCATTACCACCCTTGAGGGCAGTCCTCTGGGCACCACTGCTTTGGTTTTGTTCTTCCACGATGGTCCCGAGAAGCCGGCCACATTCGAGCTCTTTGATGACATCAAGCCGCTCATCAAGGCAGTCAAGTCTCAGAGCTTTGTTAGCTTTGTGCAGACCATCCCTGCGCAGGTTGTGGAGCTGACCAACATCCGCGGTGGTTTCATCAGCTTTGCGACTTCTGAGCTCTCTCAGACTTTCCTGGAAGCCATCAGGCAAGAGACTGATGTAAGTTGTTGTGCGTCTGAAGCAAAGAAGAAAGATGACTAACCTTGATAACAACAGGACATCAGCAAGATCATGGGTCTTCACGGCGGCATCACTGTCAGCTATGACATTGAGCCCTTCACCAAGTACGGCGAGCACGCCACTGAGAGTGCTTTCCCGCACACCGAGTCTCCCCTTCCGGTAAGTCACTTAAGTAGTGTATTCTACCTTGTGACAGATCCGAGCTAACCTGTCCCAGCTCAACATCTACTTCGCGTGGTCCCTTCCCCAGAACGACGAGTTCTGGTACGCCCGCATGAAGCAGACTCTTGAGACGCTCAAGAAGGTGGCCATGGACGACGGCATCTACAGTGATACCTTCACCTATTACCCCAACTACTCGCTCTTTGACGCCACTCCGGAGCAGCTGTACGGCAACGAGAACGCGGCGCGGTTGGCGAGGATCAGGGACCAGGTTGATCCGGACAGGATCATGGAGCTGGCCGGTGGATTCAAGATTTGATGGGAGCAGAAGATACCCGGTTGTGTTTTCGTAATGGCATTGCATTGTCGTGCTGTGTTTCATCTGTTCAAAGACCGTTGTTAGCCCTTGACCTCTTTGTTTAGTAGCAGCCGTAGGTACAGGCGGTTGGTAAGAAGTTGCCGGTTCCTGTCATGGGCGATGGAAGTCGGTAGCAAATGAATGCCGGCACTCACAAGTAGTGGCCCGGGGACCTCAGAAGGAAAGACCATAAAGCAACCAAAGTCAAATTTTCCCTGCTGGAATCCGGCTCTGAGGAACGAAGATATTAAAATAAGGAAGGAAGGAAGGTCAAGATGAAAAGGTTTGAGCGGGGTACTCTTCCCGCATACAAGTAAGTACTGCATGCAGTGCCAACAAGTATACGTCGGCAGGATCAGTCAATGATGCAGAGCGCCCAGGCTCAAATTACTGCCAGATGGTTGAGCGAGGGGTTCAGTCGGTTGGCAATGTCGGCAAAATGGACTCAGTGGATCGATGAATGGAAGATATCACACAAAGGGAGGTTGACCCCACGTGGCCGTTGGAAGGAAAGACTACTCTTCATGGAGAATAAAGTAAATTGCGCAGTGGCAGGTAACCGAAACCAGTGGAACCGACAATTACGGTCTGCTTGGCAGCTGCGTTGTCTATCATGGAAAGAGCGGTACCGATCAACACACAAGAATAAAAGGCGTGACCAAAAGGATCGACGCATCAATCCAAACAGCTACTGCCTCAAGCCATCTTGATCCTTCCTCTTTCACCGGGAAATACGTCCCGCCCAGATTCGAACAAGGCATAACCCTCCACACCAGGCAAAACCAACCGGCAGGCTTAGTGCACGGATGGGTCCAACTCTCCAGTATCCTCAGTCTCCTTAGTCTCTCCACGATGAGCCTCTTCATGATCGCCGTCTTCACTGAAAGAAGAGTCGTCATCAGACGAAAACACATGCTCTAGGTCTGACGGGCAGACATCCGTGTCTTGGAGTCTATCCCGAGCCTCATGTGTACCGTAGGAGGCACTAACGATCACAGTCATGTTTTGTTGCAATGGATCGTTCATACTCTCTTCCAAGTTTATGCGAACATGAGTTCCGGTGAGCGCAAGAGGTGTGGAACCAGTCTGGGAAAGAGACGGAGGGAAGAAGTCAGATACAGTCCATGCTATAAACGCGAGACGGAAACAGGCCGACATGGGTAGAGGTAGGTGGGTTGACTTACAACGTTGTGGATTGGCCCGAAATCCTCGTTAAAGTCTTCGGTCGGGTAATCCATGGCTGCCCACGTCTCGTCACTTGGATCCTGGCTGCCCCCGAACGCCCAATTGGCGACTTGGTAGTGATCAACTTTTGCCTCAACATTTACCGAAGAGTTACCCTTTACACAGGACGGCTAGTGTTGCGAGAGTTTACCATTAGCTGACTGTTAGGGTTACAAGACTGCCAGCTGCTGGGTGCTTACCTTCCACACCAACCCGTTGCATAAGGCGACACGGATTTCCTCGCGCAACCTGTTTGCCTTCTCTTGGATCTCTTCTTCTGACATGATGTCGAAGACGAAATCCTCTTCCCCGGGCCAGTAGTCATCGTCGTCGTCATCCTCATCGTCAAATGCCCAGCTAGGAAGGTCGGCCTCTGCGTCCTCATCGGTTTCGGAGGTATCCGCTTCCACAGCCTGCTGGACTGCTCTGGGCTGTGTCGAGCTCGGCGGCTCAGGAGTGGAACCCTTTTGTTTCTTGGCAGTCAGCCCCTGGGATGCGCCATCTTGGCCATCAAGGTTCTCAGGTTCTTTGGTTGACACCTCGCGTTGGCCTAAAGCAAGAAGTAAGGTGTGAGTACGGATTCGATCCAGACAGCAGAGAAAAGGGAAAAGAACTTACGCTTGTCGGACATTGCGGGGGAATTAGGATCAAAGACTGGGAAGGAACAGTCTGGATGCAGCGAGGAAGCTACGAAACTGGAGTCTTCCGTCGGGTACTGTCGCAATTTGAACTCGATCGGAGCTGGAAGGTGGAGGAAAAATTCAAAGGCAAAGGTGGCAGGAAGGAGAGGGGAATCTGGTCAAAAGGAGGAGCCAACTTTTTCAGGTTTTTATCACTGCATGATCCAGGGCGCCTCATGCAGATGATGCAGTTTACCAGCACCAACTTATCCTACGCTTCGGTTCTTCTGGGGGCATCGCATCTCTTTTGCCTGCGATCACGTTCAGTCCCTTAGTTTCCTTTCCTCCCGCCTCTCAGCCCCGGAACTTGTCAAGCACAAGCAGCGGATGAACTTGAAAGGCTACAGCCATGTCAATGCTACAAGGTGCGAGAGACCAGTTCTTATTCTCGATTTTCTTGTCTGGGAAGATACGATACACACAGTCCAGCTAACACCTCTTCGATGGCCCAGTTTCCCACCTTTCGCTGGCCAAGCTGCCGAGCTCGCGCTCACCGAGTCCACGACGACCTAGATTTTCACACTCCCGGATCAACTCGACTGCTCCCGCTCCAAAGCCCACCTTATCCCCATACCTCTCCCTGCCTGTGCTATGCCCGGCTTCCGCAACAAGTGCGTCCTTTAGGTTTGGAAGATGAACTCGGCTATCTTGACCTCAGCGTCTTGCGCTTTGATGATTGACCCGACCACTATGGAGGTCAGTCCTACGGCCGCCGCTCCGCCCATAACGTAATAATTCCCGGGCTGGTACGTTGCCAACCCAGACAAAAAGTCATGACCTTTGGCCAGACACGTATTGCTGATCTTCAGGGCGCCATCAGCCTTACTGTACCCTGCCACATGATCCCAAGTCACACATCCTGCATAGATGACTGCTTGCAGAGCAGAGAAGAACATCGTTACCATGCCCTTGAAGATTCGAAGGCTGCAATGCTTGATGCCAGCGAAGATGGAGACCACCCAACCAGTCAGTTGGAGGCCCCAACTGGGCGACGGATCATCGGGATCTGGCGTAGGGAAAGATAACACAAGTGAGAACAGAAACTTTGCCGCGCCGCCCTTGTCCCATTCTTTCAGAGCACCAAAATTCGGGAAGGCACTTCCCATCGGCGTCAACCACTCCTTTGCCTCGCTGAAAAGGGAGTAGCAGCTGTATCCAAAGTAGATGATACCGACAATATAAGAATGCGCCTTCAGCCACTTCGCAATCTTCTGGAGAAGACTATGCTTCATGATCTTACTGACGAAGGTCTGTTGGTTCTTTCCATCCCCAGGGCTGGGGTCTTTAGGCTTTTCTTCCTTTGAGGCGACGCCACTATCACTCGTTTCGGAAGCGGTGGGCTGCACGACCGCAAATAGCTGGGGAGCGGCCATGAGCTCATGCCCAACGAGCTCAGCATCTAGCTCGGTTTTGGCAGCCTGGATCTCCTTGAAGCTTGGATGCTGTTTCGGGCTCACACCGTGGCATATCTTGAATGCAATTGTGCCAGGGATTGCTAGTAGCATTGTGATGGCATCAAGGAACGACAGAGGTCGGTCGGATATCTTCGACCACAACCAGGAGATGACAGGGATATCGATGGTCGCCGTGGCAAGACTCTTCACCATGAGGATGAGTTTAGCTCCCACCTGGACGAAAAGCGTAATCAGATCTCTCGCAATTGCAATAAGTCTCGTGAGGAGCTTACTACCGAGCTGGGAGAAAACCTCGGAAACAGTTGCTTTTCGAGACGGGTCGAGGAGTGACACCAAAGCGGACCCAATGTCCCCCGCACCCTCCGCAAACTCCTTGACGAGATCTTCGAGAGCTGCCACGATCTTCGTCAGGTCGTCATCCTCGATCTTCTTTTTTGCAGACTCCATGGCTTGACGGACCTCAGGGTTGTGCTGGGCATGATGGTTCGCATAGTTTCCCCCTGGTGAGTGGAAAGCTTTCTCCATTTGGCTCGGCTCCTTCCCTTTTTGGCCATTGCCGTCGTGATCGACAGGACGGTCTACTTCGGGTGGCAGCTGGGTTGTGTTGCAATTCTTGCTAAGGCTCTCCTCTAGTTCATCAAGATACGACACCGCCTTATCACCAAAGAGAAGTACTGCCTTGACAGCAGTATCAACGAACCCTTCGAAATAGTCGCGGAAGATGTTGTGGGTCTCCTTGATATCACCCCAGGCGAAGAGAAACTTCAACCCGTTCCATATCTTCTTCAGACCCTCACCCAGCCACTCGAGGGCCTTCCTGAGGCCTTTCATCACATGCTCGTATGTTTGGACCAGGAATTTCCAGACCTTCTTTCCAATCTTGACAACAAGATGCCAACCGTCTACGAAGATGTCTCTCACAGACTCGAGAGATCTGGTGAGCCAGTCAAAAACTGCCCAACTGCCCGTAGTTGGCTTCTCTCCGCTAATATTGGACTCCTCTCCAAGTTTGGGTTGTTCTGAGGGCTGTTCCAAAGAGACAGGTTGGTTCTTCTCGGTACCTGTAAACTGCGCTTCCAGTTTCATGCTGGCACCCTTTGAAGACAATGACTTGATGGCCGCGGCAGCTCCTTCAATGTTGACGTTCTTCGATCCTCCGCTCAAGAGCTTTTCGCCATTCGGAAGGTGGGCATTCTGCAAGTCATCGCCGGACTTGATCTTGCTAAAGAAGTCCAGAACTTTTCGAGAGGGATCGATGTACGTCGTCTCGCATCCTGGAACGCCCGAAACTCGCAAGCTCGGTACATTCAGGTCATCAATCTCTTGAATCACCGTTAGGGTTCCCATCACATCGGCCTTGACTTTGACTGGCAGTCGGCTAAGCTCAATTGTTCGGCCGTTCACAGTTGCGAGACATGTACTGGATGCACTGAGGTCAACTTCCAGCCCATCAGCTGGAGATCGGCCCCCAGCACCAGGATAGATCTTGATGTGAGTCGTGTAAGTGAACACTTCTCGATGTGTCTTGATCGCTGGGACGCTGAAGTCACCAGTTGTCCAAAGACTGGAGTCACCCGACTGGTACAGAACTCGCATTCTCGGATGGTCTTCGTCGCCGAGAACGAACATTTGCTGGGACTGAGTGGTTTCGTTGACCGAGGCAGCAAAGCGCACACCTCCGTCAAGGACCTGGTTGGCATCGCTGTGTCTCTCGAAGGCGTCAACCGCGGGGCTTTCTGAAGGTCCAATCTTGAATTGAGTGTACGCTATCACGCCGTCATTGTTGCGAGTGAAGACGGAAATCAAGGAGCCAGACTGTGCAGCATGGATTTGTTTCAATCCTCGGAGGCAGTCCGCTGAGGCAACCAGACTGGTGTCAGGCAACTTTGTTGAACCTCTTGCACAGTCTCGGGCTGGAATACGGTGGATTCCATTTTCCGCGGAAACGAGAAGATCGGTCCGGCCCATCGATGTCCTGACGGTGGCAAGATCAGATGCACCTGGGGGAACTGGCAGGTGATAGTTGACATGGGAGTAGTAACCTTCAACACTCTGACCGCCCAGTCCGGTGAAGCTGAGCCGAAGAACCTCACTGATCCTGAACAGGACGAAGACTCCAAAGGTCCCGCCACCCCCAGGCAATGTACCAGGGCAGAGGCTGATGATCTGTCTTGGGTTGCAAGGCATCTCAAGATCAGTCTTGACGGACCATGAAGAAGCCTTGTAGTCGATATCAAGGCGACATATATCGTTTTCGGGAGAATCGACCTTTCTGAACCTTGCTACCGCAAGGGGATGGTCGTCATCTGAGCCTCGGCCCTATCAGGTTACTGTTAGTACCGCACGGAGAAGTCAAGGTCAACCACATGAGGCACTCACAATCAGGAGACCATATATCTGGCCCTGGATGGTGTTGTCCTGACCCTGGACAGCATGGTCTAGTAGCTTGTCGATGTCCTTATCAAAAGCTTCGGGCTTCAGTCTGCGCAGGACGACTAACTGAGACAGGCCCTTTGGCTCTCCGTGGGCGAACACGAGGTTCAGAGTCAGATCGGTGTCCTGATATACTCCAAGTGCTGTGGCCTCATGCTCCGCCGGGATGCTCAGCTTTTCGCTGAGGTTGATCAGCTGGTTTCGCCCCAATTCGTCTTGTTTGATGAGGTACAGCACACCATGAGTGCCAATGGAAAACACCATGGGGTTCTGCTTCTCATCCTTGACGACGTAGAAGTCCTGCGTGTCCAGGAGCGGTGTCGAAGTCACCACTTGCTCAATGAGCTCTGAATCATGATGAATGGACATTGTCGACGGGGTGTTAGGACACCAAAGTCCCAGGACGAGAAAGATAAAGACAATGGAGGGATACGATGGAAAAAGAAGTTGTGGAATGGAGGTATCAGAGAGAGGTAAGTTGACTGAACATTCACCAGCTCTTCGGCAAATACTCTGTACGGCGGAGGGTGATTATATGAGCTAACAGCTGTCTTGGATCCTCACAGTCTCGTATCTTCGTACCAAGATCTCTGCAAGATGGATGAAGTGCCTCGACTTGTGGCCAAAATGCCCGACGACCATCAAACCAAGAGCAGAAAAAGACAGACGTACCAAAGTTGGAGACTGCAGTGTTAGTTGCGGAGTTTCGTTCAGCTGAATGTCCACATTTGGCGTCATCGCTCATCCAGAGATGCGTTGGCATAGCCTCCAGCCAAACAATTTGATCACCTCTCGAGACATATTGGGCTGGACTGCATCTGTGTCTAGACAGATCATGGATCGTCTCCAACTGACTGAACAGCTCTTTCGTTCAACACACAACCCATTCCTCCGAACTCCGAAACCGTGCATACGTAGAGATACGTTAATGGCGCGGATCGGCGGCGGAGTCCATTCCAGCACTTGCAAGTCATAGGCTCCACATGAGGGTCGGGAAGGCCAAACCAAGCCGGACATACAGCTGGAGATACCCACCACAATACGACCCAATATTGACCCAGAAGCTCCCAGACTTTAGCACGTCGGTAGAGGCAGTCAACCACTCGGCAAGTCGGCAGGGGCTGAAAGAGATCCGACGGCTCAGTTGGGACGGACAGAGTACAAAGACGTGGCACAGAACGTCATCTGGGGGCAATGATCTACGATCTGGCATGTTCCTCGATCTTGGACTGCATGTCAATGAAGCGGGTCCCACCCAATTGGCCTCTTCCCGTCTCTTGGCTGCATATGATGATCTTGATCTAGCCATCCTCGACACTTCAGATGAGAACATGCATCGATGCCTGAGTTTCGGCGATCCTCCCTGCATTGTCGCCAATTCGCTCTGCTACCTTGAAGGTGGAGAGGGATACGTATGTATCAATCTTGAGCCCCGCCATTTGGTGATGTTGAGCGCAGATGCTAGCAGGTAGGCACTCCCGATGAGAGGTTTTAGAGGTATCACTTCAGGAGATACCATCTCCAGCCCAGCACAAATATCAACCGCAATTCCGCAATCACCAGATGCCCCTTTGAAGACACGGCTTTGCAGCAGACTCGACCTCCGAACCGAATACTTCACAACACTTGAGCACGATGGCGACAACTGAAGTTGACTCACGCCTGAAAGATTTCGATCTTCAAGGTTTCCATCAAATCATCGCTATCTCCCAAGATGTAGGTTCATGCTCCAGGCTTGCAGACCCGTCAACCACACGGAGGCCCTAACAAGGTTACCAGAAAATCAATGACAATCTCAGAGTCCGGTTTGATCCTGAGCTGCAACCCGAGCTTCTCTCTTTCAAGCATGAGATGCCCGGCTTCGGGACCTCCGAGGCAACGCTTGACCCTCCGAACATTGAGGTCTGCACCGAGAGCAACACGGAGACCAAACGTTCAAGGTTCTTCCTAAACTTCAAGACCGGCAGCTACAAGTACAAGATGAGCGTTGAGGCAGGAGACGTTGAAACGCTTCCCATTGACGGCTGGAAAGTTCCGTTCTTCGTCGCTTATGACGAAGAGACGCTGGCCAAACCCCCCGACAGCAGCCATCCGGACTTGAAGTCGAAATGGGCCGAGTTGGAACCCGGCAAGTACAGCCTGAGTCGCATCATCATGTTTCTCGGTTCGGCACCTCTCTCTTCCCTCGACTGGGACCACGCCCACTCCCCCGGCCTCAGCAAAGACAGTGATCCAGATGACATGAAGGTGATGTTCTTTAAGATGTTCCTCACAGCATATTTGAAGAGACTACAAAAGGACCCAGACGCTCTCACCCTTGGCTACACGATCAAAGAGGCGGCCCCTGACCCTACGGACAAGGCTCCGACGTTCCCTCCGACCGCTGTGAAAATCCAGAACTACCGATATCAACCTTGTTCCGACACGCAACAAACCATCAACGGGAAGGCTATCCCTCCGAATTCCCGTGACGCCTTCGTGTTCATGGAGATGACCGGAGGTTCTGACTTTCCCCGCGATGAGCTGCAGAGAAAGGGCAACCTCATCATTGGCGACATGCCAGGAGCGCTCGTGTTCAACAGGGAACTCTTTTTCAAGAAGTACCTGGTAGAAAACGCTCTCAGCACCGTCAACGTCTCCTTCCTCGACATGGCGAATGATCTGATGAAGTGGGTGGATGGAGGACGCTGGGAATCGGATTGGTTGCTCACCAACGGGTCAAGAGCCGAAGCCATTCCGGATGCCAAATGGACAATCGACGGGTCCAAGGCCAAGCTGAGCTGGAAGGGAAACAAGTGGTTCAGCAGTATCGGAGTTCACCGTTCTACGGACAGTTCTCTCGAGACCGAACTGTCCACTCAACCACGGACAAACAAGATTACTCTAACGTCCAAGATGAAGCTCGGTTCCAGCATGACGGTAGTCGCCGGGCGCGGCCCCGGGTACAACAGAGGAACAGACGGTGAAGTGCATCTCACGATCGAGTTCGTCATCCTGGCGGACGAAGATGGCACGCTTCATGTACAGCCAGAAGAGAAGATCGACTATGTCGGTGCGGAAGACAGCAGGGATGCTAGCCTTATCAAGCTGATCTTTGGCAAGCCAAGTACTGAGGTCGGGGACTTCATCAAGGGCAAGTTGAAAGACGTTGTCCGGACAAAGCACATCGGCGACGCGATTGCTGCGGATCTCAACGAGAAGAAGCAGCTGGTGTTTCCGGGCTCGGGAACGTTCAGCTACAAGGATCCTAAGTTCTCCGATGGTGGCGATCTTCTTATCACGTTGGATCTGGTTGGTAAGGATATCGAGAGGGATAGGACGTTGGTTTCTTAGAGGGTTCGACTTTCGAGGGGGGAGGGCAGTCATGCCAGACGGAGTGGCGCCCTTTTTTTTTTGAGGGGGGGCGGGTGGTGGCCAAGGTCAGTGGAGGTAGCAATGTGAATCGATGGGTCGTCAAAGTCTGCCTGCGATCCGCCTAATGGATTGACGTGGACAGTTTCCCAGCTTATTTGTCTCGTGGGTCATCTTAACATCGGAATTCAAGGACTTGGAAAGAGGGCGGACAATCGTATTCCTCCAATAAGTCGATGTTCCAATGCGTTGCGATATCCGCGCCAATCATCTTGCATGATCCCCTTTCCGGTGCCGTCACGCCGATCGAGAATACAACCATACTGCGGGGAGTGGGATGTAAACGAGGTCTACTATAGCCGACAGGGGTTATCAACAACTACCGAGATATTTGTTAAATATAGCTGACCCGCCAACCAGACGAAATCCCAATTTCCACATCAAAGCCGCATCCCACTTACAAGCCCAACTCGAGCATCCGCGGTACCTGCACAGGTAACCACCACCTCCGCCATGCTCTGGTCCCCAACACCTAAGCTTTGGCCTCTCCTGGTCTTCCTCTCCCTCCTCCTCCTCCTCTCCCCATCCACCCTCGCCCTCACCCCCTCCCCGCTCGTCACCTACACCAACACCCTCATCCCCCAACGCGCCGACCCTCACATCTCCAAACACACTGACGGCTACTACTACTTCACCGCCACCGTGCCCGCCTACGACAGCATCATTGTTCGCCGCGCCCCCACCATCCAAGGCCTCGCCTCCGCGCCCGAAACCACCATTTGGCGACGCAAATCCTCCGGCATCGGCTCCAACCAAGTCTGGGCCCCCGAGCTCCATTACATCGACGGAAAATGGTACATCTACGTAGCCCTGGGCGTCGCCAACGAGTGGCGCATCCGTGCATTCGTGCTGGAGGGTGTCGGCTCCAATCCGCAGACGGCGACGTGGTCGGAGAAGGGACTGGTGAACACGGATTGGGATACCTTTTCTCTGGACGCGCATCAGTTCCAAGTCAACGGGACGCGGTATCTAGTCTGGGCGCAGCAGGAACCGAGCAGGACGGATGAGAACAGTTCTTTGCTTTTGGCAAAGCTAGTCAACCCATGGACAATCCAACGACCAGCAACAGTCATCAGCCGCCCTCTCCTATCCTGGGAACGAATCGGTTACAAAGTCAACGAAGGCCCCGCCACCTTGCAAAAGAACGGCAAGATCTTCCTCACCTACTCCGCCAGCGCCACGGATAGCAACTACTGCATGGGCTTGCTCACTGCTTCTGTCGGTGCAGACCTGCTAAACGCAGCAAGCTGGAGCAAATCGCAAACCCCCGTCTTCCAATCCAACTCCCTCACCAAGCAATACGGCCCCGGCCACAACTCCTTCACTGTTTCCGAAGACAACCTCTCAGACATTTTAGTCTTTCACGACCGCGGCTACCCCAACATCACAGGTGACCCGTTGAACGATCCCAACCGTCGCACGCGCGTGCAAAAGATCTACTGGCGAGCGGATGGGACGCCGGATCTAGGCATCCCCGTTCCTGATGGCGCTACCCCCGTCCGGTTGCGCAGCTTCTCTTCTCCTGGGTCGTATATCAGGTACTACACGGGTACTTCCCCCTCTGGCTCAGCAACCCTCGCCGATCAACTGTTCCGTATCATTACCCCCGGCTTAGCAGGCGGGAACACCGTTAGTTTGGAATCCGCCAGTCGACCAGGTCTCTACCTGAGGAGGAGCGGGACGCAAGTGCGGTTTGATGCGGGGTCTAGCGGTTCGTCGGCAAGTTTCAAGAGCGAGGCGAGTTGGAATCGGAGGGAGGGGTTGACGGATGCGGCGAAGGGAGTGTCGTTTGAGGCGGCGGGGGTGAGTGGGCAGTATTTGAGGTTGACGGGAGTAGATGGGGGGTTGGTGTTGGCGGCTGTGGGTGGGGATCAGGGGCAGAGGGGGCAGGCGACTTTTTATTTGGAGTAATACCATGTAGAAATTGGGGAAGATGGAAGGTGTGGAAGAGGAGGAGACAATGGTGGATAAAGGGTTAGGGTTCGCGATTTACCCCTGAGTGTTTGTTTACTTGCCAAGACAAAGGACGTCTGGAAGAGGCACACCATGCAGAAATTGTGCGAACAAACGCGAAGAGAAAAAAACCAGCTTCAACGTGCATCCTACAATCTAACATCGTCATTCACCAATTCTCCGGTTAGAGTTCCCTGTCATTACCCCTTCATCACCAGGACAGACAGCTCCTTCCAAAACAGAACCCACAACTACAACCAACATGCCAAGCCAAGGAAACACTCGCTCATAACTCCTTCCCTGCCCATGATCCAAAGTCAACTTTGATGTTCAACGCCTATTCCGCCTCTTTCGCCCCTGCGTGACGCCTATCTCCACTCATCCTCCAACCCTCTCACCCTCTCACCCTCTCAGCTACCGTCAAATATCGACAACTCCTGGCCTATCTCCGCCCACCCCCCTCTCAATCGACACTCACCTCCTATACGTGCCCCCATGTCCAAAATCCTCCTCAAACCTCCCTCCACCCGGTCCACCCCCATACGCCCCCGACGCAGAATAAGGCGGCAGCCCCCCATTCCCTCCAAACCGTCCACTATCCCCCGTCCCATTCCCCGGACTAGGCAGCGAAGGCGACAGCCCTCCTCTAGAGATGGCATCATCCCCCGGCCCCAAATCCGACGGCGACCTTGCATGCCCATGCCCGTTGTCATGGTACCCCGTGCCCACACTCTTCGCCGGCGTAACCGGCATCTCCTGACTCCCACTCACCGTCCCAGAACCAGGATACTTGGTCTTCCCCTCCGCAATGTGTCCCTCCCCCGCTTCCGCACCCGGTAGTTCCACAGGCGGCGCCAGCGCCACGCCTCTATACCCATGTCCGTGTCCATTCGCCGACGGCGGGGAGGAAGGAGGAAGCTCAGTAGCCTGCGTATTATAAGTCGGCGCCTGACTGAACGTCGGAGACGAAATGGTTGCTCCACCGGGCCCATCAGCCCAGCCACTAGAGCCAGGCGGGTGTTGCGCCATTGGACTAGCCGGGTTACTTCCGGTCACGGGCGCGCCTCCGACGCGCGGTTGTTTGTAGTGTTTCTGTCTGCGACGGATGCAGAAGAAGCAGAGGGATGCGAGCGCCGCGATGCCAGCTACTGCGGCGCCAACGGCGATGCCGGCGATGGCGCCTGTGCTGAGTCCCTTTTTGTGGGGGTTTGGGGATGGGTCACTGGTGGGCGAGGAGGTCGGGGTGGTGACGTTGCGGGTTGCTGTGCGTTCGGCTAGGCGAGGTTTGCGTGTCATGAGCGTGGACATGTCGGGGGCGTCGAAGCCTGTTTTGGGGGGAGCGGTTACGGTGGCGCCGCCGGTTGGGTTTCCTCCTACGACGGTGACGATGTCTGTGGGCAGGGTGTAAGTGGTTAGGTTGGGCTGGAAGCGAGCCCAGATGGCTTTTTCGGGGTTATCTTTGCCGAGAACCATGTTGTGTTGACCCAGGACGCCGTCGGCATCGCACCCTGTGGTGTCGTTCATGGCGCGCCCGCCGATGACCAGCATTTGGGCGTTGTTGATGACGTTGCAGGAGGCCATGGCTTTGGGGAACTCGCCGGTTACGTTGGAGTTGGACGGGTAGAGGCTGCGGATCCATTGGAAGGAGGGGATGGAGAGGACGTAGATGTCGTCGTAGCCAATGGGGTTGGAGCCGAACGAGGCCCCGCCGTAGATGTAGCTGTTTGGCTGTTAGTTCTGGTCTATGGGATGAGGTGGGGGGGCGGGGGGGAGACGTACATGTTGTAACTGGACTGGTCCTGCGCCACTGCCGCTCCTCCACAAAACAACCGCCTATCCTCGGGTGCTCTACCCGATGTCTTCTGCGTATACCACTTGGTGTTTGCCAGATCGTACATGAAGATGGTATCCAGGGGCTGAGGCGACACAGTCCCGTTCCCATTGTCCCGAACACCACCGAAGTAGGCCAACATCCCTCCATCACTAATGGGGAGATAGACCATGGTCCCTTCGGCTCTTCGGACGTTATCCGGCCCGGTAAGATTGCTGAACTCATGCTTGTCCATGTCGTACTTGATCAGTCTATCGGATGCCCGTCTAGTGCCTGACCAGCCAGGGACCGAGTTCTCGCTGAACCATCCGCCGTAGTAGAAGGCCTCACCGCGTTCGGAGATGGAGACACCTGCTCCGTGACTCAGTGGTGTGATGGTACCGCTGCTAGATGGTGGACCGAAGGAGGTCCAGTAGTTGTTAAGGATGTCGTAGCCGTAGAGGATGAAGTTGCTTGCTGTTGACTGAGACTCTCCGCCGTAAGAGTAGAGCCACTTGTTGATGGAGTCCTCCCATAAGATACCAAAGCTCACGCTGGGGATAGTTGCGTTCTTGGATAGGTTGGCGTAGACATTGGGCATTCCATCGGTCTCATGGTTGAGGTCGCTGTAGAGGAGGAATTGGTCTGTCAAGTGTTAGTGGTGGATTAGTTAACCAGGCATGCTTGGTATAGGATACGAACTGCTGATGTTCGCCGAAGTCTGCGAGTACGGTTTCCAGTTGACCAAACCTCCATCCACATAAAGTTTGTCGTCCACCACCGCTGACTGATGTCCGAATCTTCTACAGAAGTCCTTGATGGGGTCAAACTGGGCAACTGACAGCTTGATCAAGAACCCGAGAAGGAGAAGCAGAGTCCTGCATGTTGATGTCCCATTGAAGCCGACCATCTTGCTGATCGATGGCTCGCGCCACCCCCAAACTCGTCGTAGAATCCCTGAGGAATGTGAAGCAAATGTGAGGATGATCGCGCTCAATGCCGAGTTCAGACCGGCATTCGATTTCCGCCGTCACATTGAAGATGAAACAAGTAAAGATTATTGTGACGAATGGAAGTGGAAAGATGGAAAGTGGAAGAGAATCATTCCACACGCAAAAAAGCATCCGGGGAACGAGGACCAGGAAGATGGGTCGTAGATGTGGCTGGTTCTGGCCCGGAGCCCCCCCAGAGCCTCTTGCTTTCACTCTCCAATCCACTGGTTTGGTGCTACGTTCGTCATTCAAGCTCGGAAAGCCGTCCCCTAGCAGCGGGAATTTCGTTCCTGTAGTGGAGGTAAGTCTAGCGTGCTGCTGTCAGCTTCCAACCCGTCACACCACCTTTTCTGACTGTGTTGTGTTGCTGCCTCCGCTGCCTCCGTCGCCTCCGCGCTTCTGCGGTTCCGTCCCTGGCAAGTAATGATGGTTGACTGGCCCCATTTCTTTCTCGTTCATTCGCAGAACCGTAAGGGATCCTCGCCATACGGTGGTGGGGGCTGTATGGGCTGTATGGGTTGTATTAAATCCTGCGGGCTGACACCCGGCAGCGCCGAATCGCCAACGAGGATGGGTATGACAAGTGTGGTTGCACCGGTTCAGGCTACCAGTCAGCGAGAGGCCAGCACCCGAAGCAGGGTGAGCCGGGGCAGGCGTGGCGTTGCAGCTTGCATGACTATCGCCGACGGCTGGCAGCAGAGTGGTTGAATGGCGAACTGGAGGTAATGGAGTGAGAAGAGGGTAAGATGGGTGAGATAACGGCACTGGGGCGGCAGGGAAATCCCAGAGTGAGGGTTGGAACGGAAAGATTCTTCGCCAGAAACTCAGCCCTACAAGCCTTTGCACAGAGGTATGAAAGCCAAGAAGCGCGTGGTACATGTTGGAAAGCCAAGAAGCGCGCGCGGTACATGTTGAAAAGTGTGCATCCATTTACAGTGCCCCTCCTGCATGACCCCTTTCATCCTCCACAGCTCACATGCATTCTTTCAGCCAACTCTCGAGGTCCTTTCCAGGCCGACGTAAGCCGAGTAGAAAACACTCTTTATCTCCTCATAAATACGCAAACCCGTCTCCCCCTCCACCACCCCAGAATCCTCGCTCCCTGTCGTCCCCGTCGTCGCCGTCGTCGCCGTCGTGCCCGCCCAACCCTTCCACGACTGATTTCCACCCTTTCCACCCCGCCGCGCCAACCCTCTCTCCAGATTCTGTCGCCCCAACTCCATCTGCATCTGACCCCGCTGCTGCTGCTCCCTTTGTTGTTCCTTCCCACCCTCTCTCCTCCTCCTCCTCCTCCTCGGGTTCTCCCTGAATTGACGATACCGGTCACCCAGGCCTTGCAAAAAGCGAGAAGGCCAAACTAAAAGTGGCTCAGCAGGGATCCTCAGGGAGCTGCTGCTGTCGAGCCCAGACCGAAGCCAAAACCCCCCCGCAACCAGCACCCCCAGCGCGCCCAACCCGACCCCAAACCAAACCGCCATCCTCATGCCCTCCAACCTCACCCCGACCAAAACCTCACTACTCTCGCTCAGCGCCGGCACGGGCTTCCTCCCGTTCCCTTTGCTTCTTTCCACCCCCGCTCTGTCCCCCGCCCTCAGCAGCGCCCGCTTATGAATACTCCCCGCCAATCCGAGTCCGCAGCTGATACTGTAGTTGACGACCGTAGCCACCAGACTGGCCGCCATGCCCTGCTTCTCGCGCGGCAGTTGCTCGCTTAGCAGGATCGTAGCAGCTGGAAAACTCAAGTTCATGGCGCCCGGCATCAGGAGGATGGCGAAGAAGGTGTTGGCCCAGTATGTTTGGTGCAAAGGCGTCAGGACGACCAGCAGACTGCCTAGGAAGAAAAAGAAGCACGAGATGAGCATGATCAGCGATACCGCCACCCCGCGCCTCAAAAGGTAGACGGTCAGAAAGGCGAAGAAGATACCCGTCAAAGCAACGGGGGAGGTTTCGAGGGATGTAAGCAGCGCCGAGTGGCCTCGTAAGTGTTCGAGGAAGATGTAAAGGTAGTAGACCCAGATGCCGTGGGAGGACCAGCCGGTGAAGACGATGGCGAGGACGAAGGCTGCGTGGCACTGGAGGCCGCGGAGGGGGACGATGGGTTGCTGGGCGAAGCAGAGCTCAACCCAGACGAAGGCGAGGAGAGAGAGAAGGCCGAGCAGGAGGAGGGCAGGGATGTAAGGAGTCATCCAGCCGACGAGGGGAGCTTGGTTTAGGGCGAAGTTGATGAGGATTAGGCCGGTGACGCCGGTGAGGGCGCCGAGGTGGTCGAAGGTGGGTTTGGCTGGTATCTGTTCGGACTCGGGTTTGATGGTGGCTCGTTCCGGGGAGGCAGGGGACTCAGAAGGCCAGGGAATGACGAACCACGATACCGCCACCAACATGGCGCAAGTCATAGCCAAAAACCAGAAGCACCAATGCCAGGAAAGGTTCTCAGCTACAAGCGAAGCGAGGATGGCGCCCACCGCGGCTCCCGTTGGCCCAGATGCTCCAAAGTAAGCAAAAGCGATATTCCGTTTCAGTCCGATGGGAAACGTTCGTCCGATGATGGCTATAGCGTTCGGGATGACCAATGCTGGACCCATACCTTGAAAAGCTCGGCAAGTGCTGAACCATATGAGATTGGAAGGGCCGCAGAAGCCGGAGACCAGAGACCAGAGACTGAACCAGGCCCAACCTATCATCAAGACGAGCTTGTGGCCGTGTATGTCACCGAGTCGTCCTGTGAGGTCGTCAGGCAGTCAGTCATTATCCTGGTGGACATTGATGTCAAGCTTGACGAGAGGCCACTGTGAGGTTGGCTGGCTTACCAGCAGGAAGGATGAAAGTCCCGACAGTCATGCTGTAAGCTGCCGAGAACCAGCTGAGGTTCCCATAGTCATGGATGTCAAAGTACTTGGCAAGGATGAGCATAGGGGCAACAGTCTGGTTCATTGCAGCCAGGGAGAGGAACTGAGCGAGGCAGAGAACGAAGACGAACACGACCTCGTGGACGGAACTCAGTCCAGTGTGCTTTCTCTGTTGTGGCAGGAGCCGGGCCGGCGGGGCGATGATCTTGCTTTGAGCCATAAAGTGGCTGGTATTGTCACTTGTCGACATGTTGACTGATGGTGAATGGCGTCGTGCATCAAATGAACATGGCCAGGGTTCGGCCTTGAGGATCAGAATTCAGGGAAACGAAACCTCACTTATATCAGAGCAGTATCGGGGTAGACTACCTTATGGTTTCCATGTTGCAGGCATGTTTCTGAGGTGCAATTTGATCTGCAGAGTTGAAACAGTCAGGGTTTTTCGTTCTTGGGCGTTAAGAAGAACATATGCGCCCCGAAAGTAGGCTTTCGGTGATTCGGTCTGTCTTCGGTGGTCCGGTCGCCGGTTAATACCTTGATGCAGGTGTTGATGACCCGAGCCCGTCTATCCAAGGCACTACCGCTTCTACTCATCAGAACCGATTTTTTCTAGCCTAGGAGAGGCTTACCGCGGAGACTCGGGAGACTCGCGAAATTTGCAATAGGACTATCCCTCTTTAAGCGCCGGGCAGGGCAGAACGTGACGCTCCGTAAGCACGCATACACCAGCAGATGTATCTGTCCCGTTAGTGAAAACTCGAGGACATTGCCCACCACGTTAACTTACACACATTCAAGTGCACAGGACCCGGCCTTGCCTTACCGCTGCCTGCACAGATATGCCCTCTGTCCCGCGCTCAAAGAGGGATAGGCCTATTGCCAATTTCCGAGTCTCCGCGGTAGTCGTTGTGTTTGTGCCTTAGAGTATCCCACGTTACCCTTGTGTCTTTGAACCTGATGACTTTGCCCTACCGCGGACGAGCGGGTTCCTGGACGTCAGCCATGCATAGAGAGCACCAACCGGTGCAAGTCCTCCGGGAGGCGTTACCTGTGGCGCCGGACATTGACTCTCTGGAGATTGGCTTCCTCAGCACTGCGAGTTCATCAGTCATCGGTGCCCTTCATCCCGCACTGCGAGAGTTTGAGCTGTTTCGGGTATAGACGCCTTGTAAGAGGTTAATGGTGCGGGCCGCGACATGGGAGTACGTTGGACAGCGAGCTTGAAGTCAGGGGCGGAGATCTGATAGGTGCATCAAGACGTACGAATAGGCCTTGGATGTGGTGGAACTCGACGGCAACCAGGACAGCAACCAACCGTGGAAGCTAGCCTAAACCCGCCTTATCGTCCAGTTCCACGGCTTCCGCGCGTGTCAGCGTAAACTTTCCTAGCAGAAGCTTCTTTCGAACGATATTCGGATCTCATGCACGAGACTTGAGGCTGCAACGCCGGGAAGATCCGTGGAGTTTGAAGATAAAGCTCTCGATTGGCCTGCTTGTGAACCTGAACAACTTGGAAGCTGTTAACGAACTGTCTTCGGTTACTACTCGGGACCGAACACATTGTTTCGCCAGCTTTGGGTGACGTGAAGCTAAGATACGAAGGCCCTTTCGTTGAACAGAGGGTAACACTCCCCACGTGTTCGCAACCATTCTTCAAGAGGTTTGTATTCTCCGCTTCAAGTAGGCCCAGGTTCAACAGCTTGCCATGTGTTAACCGTAGCACAAAGTTCACGCTGATGGTCTGTGATCAGCTCCTCCTCCGGTGTCCAACTGGAGACATGAGAGATGAGAGCATGCACACGTACCTGAAGGTGTTTATATCCATAGATCATCAGACAATCTGGATCCATGTCTCCTCATACTTTCCACACTCTATCGCCTCGCCGTCCATGAAACCGTGTATATACGAAGGACAAACCAGCTGCATCGTTCCTTGGTCGTCATCCTTATTAGGGCGGAGGATATAAGGAACTTTCGCCCCACGGAAAATGCAAACGAGGTCTCCGACTTTGGCACCAGCTACTACGGCGCCCATGTGCCCTTCATCTGTCACTACAAAGGGACAGGTAGTTTTCCTCATCCGGGATATGACTTTGTGAAAGCAGTGCCAGTCCCACCGATTCGCTTGAAGTTCCTTTACCCTTGAAGCGAAGTCTCCTCTTCTCAGCGCCTTACACGCACTTTGAAATACCGCATACCCTCTCCCCAATTCTTCGGGTGCCGGATACGTTATTTCGTGTTCCATGTCCATGTTCCCCACCACTGTCCGGAAGAGCGCTTCATGGAGTGGCATCGAGACCCCGTTTGGCAATAGGTACGGCTCTGGGCAGTGTGCCGGAACCATCTCCCATATTTCGTAGTGAAAGTCCGATTCCGGTTGTAATTGCTCGCCGATGTAGTTTATTGACCCCTCATTAGCACTGCGACTCGACCAATCCATCGTAGATCTAGTGTCACTCAGACTGAACGCTTTCCAGCGGGATGGTTGGACATGGAGCGTGGACATGACAGCTATGCGTCCGATAACCATGCCCTTCACACCGAGACGGTTAGGGAGTGGAGCATCGTATTCGTTTTCAATCACGATATTTGCTTCTGCCCACGGTCCTCCAGAGCGGTATGGCCAAAATGGATGGTCAAGACTGGGCAGGAGACCAGATGAGGAGAAGTCTGGGACCCACGAAGGCAGGCCAGAGATTGTTGACCCGTAAAGTTCGCGGTTGGCTAGACCTGCAATACTCAAAAGAGCAAAGCTACCTTGCCGGAGACTGTGGGTCGTTACCTTTTGGTATACCTGTTCAACTGCCAGCTCGTGGTTGGGTTGGAGGTCAGGGTGGTCAGCATCACTGCTCAGGCCCACAAGGGCAACAACCTTGTCTTGCGGCAGTGAAGCTTCGGAATAACCTGTATTCAGTAGGATGGTAGAAAGGGGAAGCTGTGATCCCGAAGCCAGTACTCTTTGAAGTAGCCGTACACTGAATATGCAACTAACTGCCGATAGTATCACGGCGCTTCTTGCCTCATCAAAGCCCTCCAGGAGCATGTTTGACATGTCTTTTTTCGTCTTCAGAAGAAAGGCAGCGGAAGATAGCAACTCCCAGTCGACGTAGTGCTCACCATAGAGTATGGACACCTGCTTTCCACAGATGATTTCCTGGATGACCCAAGTCCTAGACCAATAGTCGTGGGTAACCATGCGCAGGAATGCATCACGGCTTGCCCGATCATAAAGAGGATTCAGATGCGGAAACAAGGCCTCGAACATCGGCATCATTGTTTGAGTAGACTCGAACCTAAGCTTCGTGTATTGCGAGAAACGGGCAAAAAATTCATGGCCCGTTCTGCGTCAGGGGCATCACCAAGATAGATGACGACCTTTGACAGCTCTGGACTGCCCCATCGGTACGAGATGGCTTCGTAGCCGGGCGCGTTCGCCAGCTGGAAGGGCACGACATCGTAGACGACGCTGTCGTCAGCACGTTTGAGGAGTTGGATGAGTCGGATCATTCGCTCGTCTTTGGGGAGGGGAGAACTATCGTAGTCATATTCTTTGCGAGTCGCCATCTTGGAGCGTGAAGGAGCTACGCTGGACATGCACTGGCCCATGGTGATTGTCAGCTTCTCGTGGAAATCAGATTGTACGAACGGGATGGGATGGGTAAAGCATGCGACAATTCACAATAGTTGCTTCTGGTGGAGGACAGCAAAGGGAAGAACGGGACTGACTGGTGGTCGACGAGTTGACGGTAGAAGAGTCAATGCAAGCGACTGGTGGGTTTGTATGCGAAGCGCGTCTCTGGGTTGAGGAATTGGAAGGAGGGGGAATGGCCGAAGTGCGACTAGGACGAGATTTGGGTTGGCAACTTGGACGCGCAGTCTGAGAGGCAGAGGCAGCCTGCAGGACATCTACGCAAATGCAGGTTGATAAGAACGACAGCAATAAGTGCTAAGCGACCGTGTCTCTCCAGCACACATTAACACACAAAAGGTACAGGCCTTCCTAACACATTCCGCGAATTACCCCTCATCCCCAACACGAGTAAAACACCCTCTTCTCCTTCCCACCTCAAAAGTCAAAAAGTCTCCACTTCCCCTCCCACCCCGGAAAAAACGGACTCTCCTCCAGCGTCCCGACCTCCCATTCCCGCGGCACCCACCCCTTCCCAACTTGCTCCTCCGCCCACGCCCCCAACGCCCTCATCGCCACCTGCCTCACATGTTCCTCACACTTATACCCAATCAGATCCCGCTTCCCCTCCTTCAACATCTTGGCCAACAACTGTGGCACAAACCTTTCGTTTCTCAACTCGTCCAAGTCCCAAAAGATGGCCTTGAAATTAAACACCACCGCCCCACTAACCGGTAACCTCCTCAAAGTCTGCGCGTCACACCTAAGCTTAATATCGCCAACCGTCACTTCTTCTTCCCTACCGTTAAACGCGGACCGGTTCCATTCCCCCGAAGAAGCGTCAGGGTCGGGAGAGGTGTGAAACGCTTCCCAGTCTTCCAAGCCCCACGAACATCTGCTCACCGGCGCCTCAGTGGATAACTTGCTAAACCACCGGTCCATGCTAAATGCCATCTTGGACTCGTAATCGGGCACGTGTGTATGGATGGTCTTGAGCGGGGCGTCGCGGTGTTGAGCGACGTACCAGCCTACGCTTGAACAAACGATTGCTGCTCTCAGATAATATAACCCATCTGTTTCGTTGCGCATCATGACGGCGTAGTCTTCGGGGACGTTGTCGAAGAGGACTTGTAAGGGGTCGGTTTGGAGTAAATTGGTGGTGGTGGAGAGGAGGTTGTTGTGGAAGAGGGATTGATCTGAAGAAAAAGAAAAGTGCATCGGGTACCGCTTGCACAGGAAGGAGAGGACCATCTCCATTAGTTCGCGGCAGGCGTGTGTGGCGCAGGGGTTTTGGAAGAAGATGCGGGAGCCGTGTTGGGTGAGGAGGGAGCGGCGGGTGGACATGATGGTGTGGTAGGAGGAGGTGAGCTCGACCCACCAGTCTGGGTCGTATTTCATGAGGGCTGGTGATGTCAGTTGAGACCGTCAACAGGGAGAGAGGGGAAGGAAGAGAACGAACCCATGTGCTGATGATATCCCCAGCGAAAAGGACGGTAAGGTCGGAACTTGGCTTTGGTAATGTCCCAGTTTTCCGGGACGGGATTCGGATCGCGGACACCACTCAAGGCTGCGTAGTCGGGGAAGCGTCCGAGTTTCTTGATGTCCTGGGTTGAAAAGCCGGTAGGTGTGTAGAAGCCCTCTTTGTCAAAGTCGGGTGTCGTAACCGTTGGTAATGCTTGCGATTTGAGGATCTCGGGTGCGATGGCTTGTACATCTGCCTTGTCGAATTCGGGAAGCGTAGCGAGGACATGTCGTCGTGAGGGGGGAAATTGTAGCAGATACGGCAGATCAGGTTTGACCTTCTCTTTCTCCTTGCTGATTGCGATGCTCGGTTTCCGTTCCCTTCCTTTCCATCGGACAGTGAGAAAGCGCTGGAGTGTGAAGAGGATGATACAGACTACGGCGCCTGCCACTGAGATGTGGGCTGTCGAGACGCCCAGTATTTTGCTGGACAACATGGTATCAGAGGTGTTGAAGACGTCTGAACTGTTGATGACTGTTGTTGTCCAGCTGTCGTTGAACCGCATCAGTTATATCTCCCTAATATCAATCAAGTGACGTCCACCCCGCCAAACCATACTCTATCTCCATCAACCACCCATCAATATCCGAAGCTTCGATGTCCAGCTGCGGCGAGGACATCATACGCCCTACCAGACCTATCATATGCCGATCCGGTTCATCGCTAACCGCTATCGGTCTTGTTGTGCGACCAATCTAGACCGTGATTGGGGAACCGATCCGAATTCTTGCGTGTAAGTGATAAGATATGGGCGCCGATAAGATACCCCTCGGAATGGTGGTGATGCGGATGGGAGAGAATGAGGGGTCGATATCGCTGCATGAGCTCCGAGATAAGAGGACTTCTTGATCTGGCAACGATTTTGGATGCCGTGCAGGTTCGGTCTTTTGTGGTTTTTAACATGGTCTTAACGTCAACAAGCTTGAACAAGAAAAGTGTCGCTGGAAATCAGATCGCCTGTAATGAAGTGACGTTGAAAACGCCAAGATGATGGTGGGAACGGGCGGAATCTTTTCAACACACTCATAAGCCCACTAACCGGACCCCTCTTCCAACAATCAGCTACGGCAGGTGCCCACACTTGCGAATCTTCCGTAGTATAGTGGTCAGTATGTGAGCTTGTCAAGCTTGAACATCAGTTCGATTCGCTCGAGACCCGGGTTCAATTCCCGGCGGGAGAGACCTTCTTTTGCTTTTTGCACCTCTGCACGCTCCTCCATCACGGTCTGGTTTTTCTTCCCTGGTTCTTTTTTTTTTCCTTGGCTTCCTTTTTCATCAATTCCTTTTGATCTTTGCTATGTTCCTTCTTGCACGGCGATTCAATGAGGTTCCAATTGCAGTTTTCTCTTGGATGCATTCAGCAGTTCGGATGCATGTAAGTTCGAAGCTCCCGATTTCCAATCCTGAATGATACCCTGAAAATCCCGAACCCAAATCCCGTTCCAGTCCAATCCCCGATCCTACCCCCAACAAATCCGTCTCGCTGCCCTCCTCAATCATCACATGGTCAATTCAACGGCAATATCCTCAACCCATTCGGCAGCACCATATCATCCTGTCCCTTATCATTAACAAACGCCAGGCTTATCTCCTGCAAGTCCGAATCATCCACCATCAACACGCCCCGGGCCCTCTCCTCCCGTGTAAAATGCGACGCCGCGCCTTTATCCGCCTTCTCCACCGCTCTGTGAATCAAATCCGCCACCTCCTTGCGCATCCTACAGCTCGTGAAAACCGGACTGCTCTCGATCTCTTCTAGCAATTCCCTCTTTTCGGTCCCCACCTCGATCTCGTGGATGACGCGCTGCACGTCCCTGGCCGTTATGGTTGCCGGTGGCAAGATGCCGCGCAAATTGTCGCGGTGAGGCCATTGCACGTCGGCGAGTTTGTGTAGGAACAAAATGACGGCTGCCATGGCTTGGGCGAGCATGACTGCGCGTTCGTGCGGGGAGAGGCCGAGGAAGATGCTTGGTTCGGTGGAGGAGTGGGACAAGGACTCGTCGACGAGGATCCGCTGGTGCATGCCAAAGGTGGCTTCGAGGATGCGAATCAAAAGGGTCGGGTCGTCGAGCACGGATGAGACGTCGCGCAGGTTGAAGAGCTGGACGGCTTTGGCGTAGAAGTTGGGCATGATGTCGCGCACGTCGACGCCGTGGAGCTTGCGGGCGTGCCCGGTGTCGACGGCGAAGTAGGTGGATGCTAGTTCTGCTGCGACTAATCCGTCTCTGTCAGTATCCAGCATGTCGTCGTCGTCACCTTCCCAAGGTCAGGCAGAAGAACTTACACTCCGAACTAACACCAGCTAAACACCTCTGAGCAGCCGCAAACGCCCTCCTCACCTCCTTACTCTCCCTCAACCCCTCCAGTGTCCTCTTCACCAACTCGCCATACCCGCCCCCCTCCACCCCCGCCAACTCCTCCCCCCAAGCCGGCTCCCCTCCCCAATCCTGCTCACTTTCCCCCCCTCCCCCAACCAAAACCCTTACCACCTCCCTCTTACTTGCATTTTCCTCCTCACCCTTCACATGCAGCACAACCTCCCGATCACTCCCTCCATACCCAAACCCAAACCCACTATCCCTCCTCTTGTCCCTCTTTTTCTCTTCAATCCCCGAATCAACCCCCCTCAACACCTCCCCCCACTTCCTCCCAATCGTATCCTCAAACCTCTTCGCCACCAAGTCCCTCAATATATGCGCCACAGCAACTTTACTCATCCCCTTCTCCTGCGCCGACCGGATCCAGTCCAGCTGCACTTGACTCACGAACTCATCGTACTTGGTAAACAACAACAAAACCGGTACATGTAGCGGGACGATTTGTGACAGGTGGTGGAAGAAGTATTCCTCTACCGGAGAGATAGGCCGGGAAGGGTCGGCGGCCGAAACGCAGTACCAGATGCAATGGAGGCGGGTGTCGGACGTAATAACGTCCGGGGCGACTGATTCGATTTGGGAGAGGGAGGTGTGCGAGGAGATGAATTGGGAGACGGTGCGGAGGGTTTGGGAGGCGAGGGTGTAGGAGGGGTCGGACTCGAGGGAGGAGTCGAAGGGTGAAGAAAAGGAGGTGGAGGTGGTAGGGCCAAAAAAGTTGGGGGAGGAAAAGATTTCGAGATGGTTGTTTTGGCCTTGGAGGTCTAGCGGGACGTTGATGTCGTGGGTGGGGGAGAAGGCTTCTGATACTAGTTTCTGTTGGAAGCAAGATAGATGGGTTGGTTAGTGATGCTGTGCTGTTTGGTGATGATCTGGGAGATGGACATGGTGGAATTGATCGATAGAGCGCGGGCAGCGGGCTTGGCATGATAATTGGGATGCGATCGATGCGATGGAAGGAGACAAACCTTCTCAAGATCAACACCAAACACCCTCGAAAATAGTTCCTGCTTGGTCGATTCCGGATTTCCCAATACCAACACCCTGAACTTGGGGCATGGTGCAAGGAACTGCGAAGGCGGCGTCAATTTGACCATGGGATAATTGGTAGTTTCGTCGCCCATGATGTATGTTCAATCGTTGGTGCTGCCAGTCGGTATGACAGACAGTCCAGTATGATGGTCTCTGTCGTGCTTGGTTACTCGAAATACACAAAGAATTGAGGTTGTATCCCATCTTTATTTTCTTTGTATCAACCTTCCTTGCGGGAGATAAGGTGATGTTGAGCTTTGGTATCTTTCGGTGGTCTGATGACGACACGCCACCGTCACGGTTTATGTCATCCCATCTGGCCATTTGACTGCCATATCTATCGCTTGATAGGGCTTGACTCGTCGCACATTTGAGCTTCATGGTCTGGTCTTCAACTTAAAAATCGCCCAAGCCATCTCGTACATGGTGCGGTGTTGTCGCGACCGACCGAGATGCATGCAGTGGTGTTGCCAACTTGTGCGGGTTTGACAGCCAAGAAGTGCCCTGGAAGAAGTGCACTGCACTGCAGCGCATCAACACCAAGCTGCCAACTGCACAGCAGGTGGAGACAGGGGTCTCTGTTCAATGTTGATAGGGCTGATTCCGATTGTTGTTGTTGACGGAGACCGACGGCATCAACCTCGGTTTACCATTCATCAAATGCCATCAGCAAACAAACAAATACTCATCGCCTCATTGAACCATGGTATGTATTGTTCTTCTATATGGATGACATCCTTCAATCCATCACGCAGCCATCAACATTACAGCGCGACGCAGCACCAAACAAGGAACAGCAACGACAACGACCAAAACAATTTGACCCAAGACAACGGAAGAACACAATTGACCCTGGAACTGCCGACCGGCTTTTCGCATCCGAAGGCCAGAAGCTGCGAACACGGGCAGGGATCCGACCGGTATCTGAGCTAACTAAGCAATATCCACAGCAGCGCTATTTTTGTAATGCTGGGAAATGGGAGGTGCAAGGTTCTTCTAGTGTTCGGTTCTCCCGAGGAGAGCGAGGCCTTGTGACTGGATCTCTGGAGCTGGATTGGACTCGGTTCGTCTGATTCGGTTGGACTTTGAATGTCCTGGTGAGCAGATGAGGGTTTTGAATACGAAGAGAACAGAAACCTCTTCATCTCGCTCTGCCTCTGGTGTCTTGGTACGAACGGGTATAACCGCTGGTGATGACCACGAGATCGAAACCAACAAAGGGGCATCAATGAACAACACAGTCTGGACTTCGGACCCCAAGATTCAGGACCAGGCTCGTGTTTTCGATTAGACGCCACAAGCGAGAGGACGATCCCGGGTGCATCAGGAGGCCGGTGGAGGAGCGCCATTATGAATATGGGGTGCAAATGGGGTGCCAAGACGGCGTGGCAGTGTCAGATTCACGGACCAAGAGACCCAATCAGATGGGTCATTGCCCCTGAGCGCACGAATCACATCGTGTTGTTTTCCTTGCCATTGTCCAATCGCAGTCACCGACACTCTCGCCTGTGGCAGAATTAATGAGACCTCTGGCCGTGGTCAGGACGGGTAAACGGGGTCCCATGTAATTTGTCTTTCCAGCGAACAGAAAACAACAGGGCCCCTTGCGTACTGGCAATTTCGGCCCATTGGCTGACCCACAGGGCGGTTCCCCACAGTGGTGTTCCATTCTTCCAATCGTTGCTTCCGTCACCATTCCAGTTGCCGGTTTCCATGTTCCAGGGCCGCGGCACAGTGCCTTGTTCCCTGCCTGTTCCTGCGTTTTGCCTGCAGTGGGTGCATCTTCAGCTGAACTTGGCCGGGTCTGTCTTTGTTCGTTCTTTTTACTCTTCATCTTTTTACCCTTCCCTTCCCGCTTCCTTCCATCCCATCTTTTCTCTCTTCGTCATCCCATCCACCCTTCCTTCCATCCCATCTATCCAGCCCAAACCAGTCCACAAATTTGTAGGACAGACATTCGTTATTGCCTGGATATAACAACAGTTGGAAACCCGCCACTCTTTCACGAATCAACAAACAGCCCCTCGAGCACATTCGATCACACACAACCAACATAATGCGCGCTACCGAAATCATCGCCGGCGCCGCCGCCCTCCTCGCTTCCGGTGTATCCGCCGAAGCCTACCTCGGTTTCAACTCGGGCAACACGCTCGCCGACCGCTCAGCCAAGTTCAAGAAGGACTGGGTGCAAGAGTTCACCACCGCCCAAAACCTCAAGAACGCCCCCGGCACCTTCAACGCCGTGCGCCTGTACACCAACATCCAGGCCTACTCCCAAACTTCGGAGCCGATCGAGGCCTTCGAGGCCGCCATCGAGACCAACACCAAGATCCTTTTGGGTGTCTGGGCCTCGGGCACCGACACCATCGAGCCCGAGATCAAGGCGCTCCAGACGGCCATCAGCACGTACGGCAAGAAGCTGACGGACCTGATCATCGGCGCCTCGATTGGTTCCGAGGATCTGTACCGTGTTTCCGTCACGGGCATCCAGAACAAGTCGGGCGTCGGTGCCGGCCCCTCCGAGATCGTCAAGTTCATCGGCGACTGGAAGAAGGCGTTCCAGGGCACCGCCATCGCCAACGTGCCCATCGGCCACGTCGACACGTGGGACGTGTGGGTGAACGGCACCAACAAGCCCGTCATCGACGCGGTCGACTGGGTCGGCGTCGACGAGTACCCGTACTACGAGAACGGCAAGGGCAACAACATTGAGAACTCGGGCTACCTGTTCGACCGCGCCTTTGACGCCATCGGGTCCGCCGTCGGCGACAAGCCCGTCTGGGTCACCGAGACGGGCTGGCCCTACGTCGGCCAGACGTGGGACCAGGCCGAGGCTACCGTCAAGAACCAGCAGTTCTACTGGCAGGAGGTCGGCTGCCGCAAGCTGTTTGGCAAGGTCCCCACTTTCTGGTACAACCTCCGTGACTCGAACCCGGACAACGAGATGAAGTTCGCTATCACCGACAACCTCTCCACCACTCCCCACTTCGACCTCACCTGCCCTTCCACCTTCAAGACCACCCCCAAGGCCTCCAGCTCCGGTGCCAAGTCTACCTCTACTGCTACCGGCACTGGTGTCTCGGCTCCTTCTAGCTCTGCTTCCGGCTCTTCTTCTCCCGAAGCCGAGAAGTCTGGCTCTACTTCCAGTCCTAGCTCTTCTGAGCCCGTCACCGCTACTGTCCCTGCTGAGAGCTCGGTCGCTACTGGCTCTGCTACCTCCGTCAAGGGCGTGTCGGCTGCTGCTGTTGCTGGCATGACCCTTCTCGTTGGTGTCTTTGCTATGCTTTAAGGGGTGAATGTAGTGACAACGATATAGATGGAATGTTAGGTAGTTGGGATTGCATATACTGGGCCAGGTCATGTTAGGTAGACAAATAGAAGGCGATTGCTTGGTTATCATGTCTTGGTCTTGTGTGTCTTGGTGTTTGCCTGGTGATGATGTTGGATATGCGCTTGTATCTGCTGTAGCCTGCCGTAGCCCGTAGACATGTGTTAGCAATGGATGCATTCAGTCATCAACAATGGAGATCCCTTGGATTCGTGACACTCCCCATCAATGACTGAATGACAACGACGTGATTTACCAACCGTTGGCTCCGTCGTGCCCCCCACGACCACCAACCACCAACGCCCAGGCCAGCCAGCCAACGCCTCCAATTTGACAATCACAAGCGTCAGCTGTTTTCACCAGTGGCTCGCCAGTGGCTGTCCGCCCATGGTGCCAACGATTCACAGGACGATCATCTCAACAAAACCCAATAACGAAACGAACAGTGGAGAGCTTTGTGCGACGGTCGTACGGTTTGCGATTTAACCGGCTGGGGTCCCGGGGGTCGTGATCAAATGCACGCAGTGGCGGGGCACAGCAGGGTGCGCTGAAACTTCACCTCAATGCGCTCCCTGCTTTTGTACCTTTGCCCTGCCGCCGTCGCGGGCACGACTCATTATCATGTACTGGTAGAACGTAGTCGCAAAATACATTCTTCTTCTTCTTCACTGCACAATCCTCGTCAGGGCTGTTAGGGGCATTGGCTTGCACTAACACCAAGAACACTACCGCGCTTTAGCGAATTGCTAGTGTCTTCGCTCGCTGTAATCACGTCCAGGCGGCGATGCACTATCAAATGTCAACAAACTGTCGCAACACTCCGTCATCCAGTGTGTCACCCGGGCCCGGTTACGTCATTGACATACATCATAGCTGTAGGGTCTTCTGCCATTCCCCGGACCCTGATACCATTGATCAACAACGTTTACATCAACAGTTTTTTTCTTTTGCGCTTGTCGTTTGCAAAGTCTGTCAGATAAATATTAGCAATCGGGACCCTGAGAGGTTTTGTAACATTTCGAACCATCTTTCTTACCTTTCCCAAGAACAGAACAGGCATCGCATCATCCATCTCAAACTGTGCGATCCACAACAACCAAGAATATCAACAACACCAACCAACGACTTCCTATTTTAGATACCTATCCCGTCGCAAGCCACCAACACCAAAGCCAAGAAACCATACCAGACACCAAAATGTCAGCCCAACAACCAACCGACCGCCCTCAACCCCCCAAGAGCGAAGGCTGCCGACAAGGCCAAAACCCAGCCTCCAAGCACACCACCCCCGCGCACTCCCAACCCTCCTCCAAGATCGGAACCCCCCTAAACTCCGCCCCCGGCACTCCCGGCTCCCTTTCAAGCCTTTCAAGCCTTTCAGGCTACCCCGTACCCCCGGGCGGTCCGCTCCGCATGCCTTCCGAAAACGCCGTCTCCGACACCCCCCTCACCTCCGACCCCTACGGAACTCCCGCAGGCGGCGGAGCCCAAGATTACATGTCCTACCGCCGACCGACCAACGCCCAGTCCCAACTCCCGACCGCAGAAGTGCGTAACAACCTCAACGCCGCTCGCTCTGCCGCCGTCGGGGCTAGTGGTGCCGGAGCATGGGGATCCTCGCGCGGCATCATCGGCGGTTCGGGGCCTGCCAACCCAAGAGAGGCAAGGGAGACGCAGTACGTTTCTGTATCGCGGAATAATAGCAGCACGGGGTTGAACGGAATGGCTGGTGGACAAAACTATAACGGACGGGGTGGACACCCGCTGAGGGAGAACATGCAGAGTGAGGCGAGGACGGAAGGAGAACAGATGGCTACATATGGAGAGGGGGAGGTGGCTGATGCTGTTGAGGGCCAGGCGAGGAAGAGGAACGAGGGGAGGAATAGGAGGGAGTCGACGGCGCAGGGGGGGAGGCCGAACTTGAGTTTGGCGCAGATGGGAGAGGGACAGGAGGAGAGTGATCACCATGGGAGGGATAGGATCGGGAGTGCGAGCCATAGAGAGGTTAGTGGGGAGAGGCATGGAAGGGTGAGGGGAGAGGTCAGTTTGGAGCCTTCAGAGGCTGATTTGGAGAGGTAAGTTCCTCCCTCTGATACGTGCCGGGATGACGACAGTGCTAACATAAATGGTGATACAGAAAGAAGTTGCAGCAGTCTTGGAAGAGGGAGGAAATTAAGAGGGCTAGAAAGGCAGGAAAGGATGTCGACGGGACGAGCGGGTTGGGTGGAAGGCAGCCTAGGCCTGAGGTGTAGAGGGATGCGCATTAGAGACAGGATTGCACAGCATTGTATGATATTCGGATGACTGTTAGAAGGATGACAGAAGGTTTGTTTTCGGTTCTAGACAGAGGTTGTTTTGAACGTAGACTTAGAGGCACACGACAGTGGCGCAAGGAACTGAACATAGATTGTTGATGTCGCTTCGGAAGTCGACACTTGACTCGACCCATTTCTTGTGCCTGACGTATGCGTTGATGCCCCTCAAACAGGCTCAGAGTCAAATACTGAAAGGGGTTTGTGTTCATTCGTCAAACAACGCCGTCTCAAAGATGGGATATCGTCGATAGCCAGTCAGGCATGCTGTATACGCCATACGGCATGTGCCGAAGACTGATAAGATAAAGGCTTCGACGGCCAGGTAGATCCGGGTAACGACAAATGTGTCCAACACCCAAGGCAGGAGGGGCCAGTCCACCAGATCCTCAAGCAGAATGACGAACCGCATGCGTCTGTTCAGTTTTGGCTGGCTGTGGCCCTCTTCAAAGGTCATTTCCATGGGTCCAAAGTACCACTTGGCCAAAAGAGCTGGGGCGCGCAAAAGGAAGATGGCGGGAAGTGCCGTGATGGTACACAGGGCTGATATCTTCCACAAGCCACCCTCGAGACCTGTAAGGAAGATGGAATTCCATGCAGCAAGGTGAACTCCTCCATACATGCCATTCAACGCGCAGATGGACAGGCAGACGAAAGGCTCAAGTCTGCCCTCCCTGAACTCAGACAATAACAAATCGACAATCACGAAGGTCGGTTGACGATGGCGCTGTTCATAGCGAACTCCTGCTGGTCAACCGTAACCGTAGTTCGAAAGTCGCTGGAAGCAGGCAGCTGCTGAGGATCTTGAGAGGATGTTCTGGACGCGGGGAGGGCCAATTGGAGGAAGTCCTACAGATCATCCCAGAATTTTGGAGGCAGCATCCATAAGCTGGACTGCCGGGTGGTAAAAGTATCATAGTACAATGCACTCCGGTACTTGAGGTTCGGGTAGCGACAACGCGGTCGATTTGCGCATACATCTGCGCAGTTCACGTAGGGCTGGGGGCCTTTCATCGGCTCTGCGTCAAGAGCAGTGATTTGGCTCACGGCTCTTGTGGCGCGCTCTCTATTCGTGCTGGAGAAAGGAAGAGGAGGCTTTGTGGCCACCAGACTTTGGGCCCGGGCAGCCCTGCGAACAGAGGACTTTCCAGTGAACAGAACTGGGGTCGCAAACACTGTGACGGTACCAAATCCACACGGAAGTACCATCCCGTCTTGCAGAACAAGCACAGGCTGTGTGTGGAGGAGGGGAGCAAGATTCGATGCGTGTAAGTTGAATCAAGTCTCTGCTGACCTCCGTGATAGGTCTGAGCGTCGGAGTCACGGGCTTGTCTATGGGAGGCATAGTGCTTAAATATGCTGACACTGCCAAGATGGGCGTCTCGTTGTCGAGTGTCTGCTTCGGATACAGGCATGTCCTGATGTTTTGTTGTCCGCAGAACTGTTCCTGGACCATCAAGGCAAGGGCGTCTTGAAAGCTTTCGGTTGAAAGGCAGATTGGCTCCTGGATATCCATAGGCTTCTATGGTATTAGGGTGCAAGTCAGATCGACGGGTTCCCAATCTGGAGAGGGGAGGGATCAGAGCTGGAACTTACCTTGAACCACACCGCGTACACAACAATAGAGCAAGCCACGTTCACAAGAACATGGTTCTCTAGAAGCGAGATAGGCAACCCCTGCGCCTTTCGGACAACGCATTGGATTATCATCCAAAGCAGTTGGAGGAGGGCTGGGTACTTCTGGAACGGACTCGCTTTACTCTTGTCGTCCAGCTCAGTGTCGGAAACCACGAGCATATCCATGTAGCCCAGCTCGGCTAGCAAGCAGATGCCGCCCGGTGACAAGGCGAGATGCTTTGGTAGAGCTCGAGTTGCTCCGGATGTTCGATCGAGACTTGGAAGCCGCCCATGACAACGAAGAAGCAGGACTTGAGACCGAACATATGCTGTGCATAAAAGAAGACTGTCAGTTAACCGATTGTAAGAGAATGATGTGATAGGTAGGAACGACAAAATATCTCTTCCGGGCAAGGCAGACATTTTCTCTTCTTTGATCGATAATGCCCTTAAGCTCCCGCTGAAGAGCCCTCGCTTTCGCATACTCCCAAATGGCCCCGAACAACACAAAGTCAGGTGCCAGCAACGCTTCTATGACCATTGTCATCTTGCCTCCTGTCAGGCTGGCTGATGGAGGGGTGATAGTCTTCTTCTCTTCCTTGGAGATTCGGAGCGGTATCTTCGGCATTGTCGCGGAACGAGTTACGGTGTCGATGGACGTACGTGAAGGCGGGGGCCGAAAATGGAAAGTGCAACTGGTGTAAGTGCGTTGGGTGCTTGTCGTCATGTCTTGGCAGAGGGTTTTGTGTGAGGGACAGTTATTAGTCATCACCGAGACCTTGACCTTCAGGGTTGACGAATCTTGAAAAGAGGACCGTTTGCAAGGTGCCTCTTTCTTTCCTTTTTGCAGCCATTCGGGCCTTGGCAATGTGACTGTCCTGGTGTTTGAGCCCGAAATTATCCCGTTCCCACCGCCAAACGCCTGATCCTTTCTTGGCCGCCAAACGCCTGATCCGCTTGGGCACCACACCTCTAACGTTGATCAGGGCTGAGCAAGACACCAAGCAGAGTTTCCAACCGGCCAACAAAATGAGGGGATCTCGAACACCGCAACACAACTGAACCGACGAGCACATCCCCCTTACCTTCACCATGCCCGACCTTGAAGACGAGCAGATTGTGCAGGCCATTGCCAGCGCGCCGTCAGGCACAGTTCGGTCTGTCCTGCGCGCGCTCTGTGCCGACGAGGAGACGAAGCTCTGTATCGGAAGGTTCCTGTCTCAACTTCCCCTCACCTACGAAGAGTGGGACCAGAGCAGACAAGCCTCCAGCTCCAGCGCCTCGAGGAAGCGAAAGACCGCGCCGCAGATTGAAATATGCGTTCAATGCGAGTCCCCATTCGAGAAGGGCGACGAATCTTTGACTTGCCGGCATCATCCATGTGAGTTTCACGTGTTTCCTACCTGTATGGAGCCACGAAGAGCGGTTCGCGGGTTTGTGAAGTGTCTGGATCGCACGCTGACATTGCTCAACCGCTCCCGTCCGGCGCTTGCAGATGATATGGAAGTCGACTTCGATTCCGACTTTTGGGCCGATTGGGACGTCGAAATCGATGATACGCCTTGTTGTCGCGAGACAAATCCTGACGGCTTCACATTTCCTCGTTGTGGCGAGACAGGGTCAAGTGTTGACGAGGGATGCACCATGGGCAAACACCGAGCTGCAGATGGAAAGCGGGGCAAGTAGAGGCCCTCGGAGGACCCGAACGGAATGCTCGCGGCACTGGAGGAGTTACGGGCCAGGGAAAGGACTGGGAATCGGTTCCCTTGAGCGGCAACTTTTGATTCCTTGCTTTCTTAGCCAAGTCAAGTCTTGTCAAGAAGCAGTCAGAACATTGATGAAATATTACCGTTTCGGAGATGGGGTGTTGAGGTTCGTACCAGCATACCGGCACGCGGGGTTATCTGCAGGGAAACAAGCCCTAATGTCCGCCGTTAGGGCCCGCCTATGCAAGTCCCTGCGGACAACCCTCAAGCTCCAAAAATGACAACCCACGTCCATGGACCAAAGTTACCACCTCCAACATCTCGACACCACACAATCCTCAACCACAAGGCCTCGTTATTGACTTCCACATATCTGATCCCAAGTATCCCTTACACCTGGTGATCATCATCAAATCCAAGATGCCTCCCGCTCGCCAACCAATTCCCGAGGACCTTAAAAATGTGTACCTTATGATGGCCATCCAGGAGGCGCCCGAGTCTACCATCCGGACAGTTCTCCGAGCTCTCTGCGGGGACGCGGACTACAAGGCTCGAATCATGACTCTCATGTTCAACAAGAAGCTCCCCCTCAAACCTGAAGCCACCACCACGGCAGCTGGCACGGGAACTCCCAGCGGCAGCGGGTCGGAATCCAGAAAGAGAAAGGCTCCCAACACAGAAATCTGCATCCAGTGCGATGAACTTTTCGAGGAGGGAGATAAGTCCAAGACGTGCAAGCATCACCTTTGTAAGTCATTCCCATATACCCATATTCCGCCCGAATTACCAGTGGATTAGTACGAGACTAACGTGACCTCCACAACAGACGACATGGAACTAGACGAGGACGACGAGACATGGCTAGAAATGCCTATATTCCGCGAGGAGATCTCGGACACACCGTTCTGTCGCAAGGAAAATCCGCAGGGCTTTGTCTTCCCTTGCTGCGGTACGAAAGGAAGCCGGAGCAAGGTGAATAGGGGATGCACGATGGGGAAACATCGGGCTGCGGATGGCAAGAGGACCAAGTATCCGGGGGAGGAGAAGGAGAGTTCTGGTGAAGAAGACGACGACGAAGAGACCGAAGAGGACGAAGTTGATGAGAACCAGAAGGGACAAGTTGAAGTTAGGGAGAAGGATGGGGATAAGAACGAGGGGGGTGACGGAAAGTAATGCTTGCGCGGAAAGCTAAGACCAGCAAAGCTATTACAAGGCATTGGTAGGCGATAATATTGGCTGGGAAAATACGTTAGGAGATGGCCATGAAGTAGAAGACAGCGTTGGAGATAACTCAGATATGAAGATAAATATAATCAAATATAAATAATCAAGCAAGCAAATCTGTATGTGGAGATATTTGACCTAAGCAAATCCGAAGTCGATATTTGAGTTAACGATTTAGCCGCCTTTCTTAGCACCCGGCAAAATCCTTAGGTTAGGGTTTAAGGTGTAAAAATATATGATTTTTACCCTTGAAAGATTAACCTACCCCAACCCTTAAGTATGTTAATCCGCTACCTAAAATGCTATATACATCCTAATTGCTAATCGATTACTAATATAGTACTTAGATTACCTAGAGAGGTGAAATTTCTAATATTTCTAATATTTTTAAATTGTACGCTAAATTAACTAAATTGAGTATTTCGACGTTATATTACTAACTTTCTTCCTTAGTTAATTATAACGCTATTAAATTACTTATAATCCCTCTTACGCCTTTTAATTACTTTCAATATTTATTAGTTTCCCTCTCCCCTATTTCATTAGTTAGTACTAATTTCTATTAGCGCTATTAGTATTATAATAATACCCATCATTTAAAATCCTACCGCCGCCGCCGCTAGTATCTTTAATTATAATAAAACTTCCTTTACCACGGGCAACCTACCGACCGTATCTTTTAAAAATTCGCCTACGTACATTGCCACCATTATTATATTAAATAATAACCGACGTTTCCTTACCGGGCGCTAGATTTCTTTATTACTAAATATTTACCCCAACGATTTATTTATTAACGTTAATAAATAGCCGAAGGCTAAAATTAAAAGGGACGAATTTATATTAAAAAAATAATTAAACCGTTACATAAAGAGGAATTTATAAATCTCCTAATACAATACTTTCTTCGTTAAAATATTAAAGAATTCGGAATCAAATAATTATTAATATTACAATATCTACTACAACATTTATATATTATTTACTACTAATTCTACAATTTTATACTTTCGTCGTACTTATCGCCTTAAGAAACCGGTCTACAAAGAGGCTACGGAGGAGTAAGGGAGGAAACGGCCTAAATTAATCGTTAAATTCCTTTAAAATTAACTTAATATCCCTATTCTTAAGCCAATTAGTGAGGCCTTCTACAATATATTAATAGAGATAACTATTAGTACGAAATTCCCCTTTTCCTTCGTTGAAAATTCTACTTTCAAATCCCTTTTAAAGTTATTAGATAAGAATATAACCGACTGATTACTACTTTAATTTCGCTATATTCTAACTATTTAGGTAGGTAATAAATATATATTATTTTAATAAATTGAAAGAACGTTTAAGAAATGCCTGCTTCTAAAAGTACTTTTCCTTCGATTTTTAAACCTTTTTTAATAAGTTAATTATCCTTTCAATTTTTATTTATTATATCGATTATTATTATATATATAGAAATAACTTGCTAGGTTTTTAGGAAGTATACGGTCGTTATAACAGCGAAAATATTATAATTATTATATTTTAAATTATCAAGAAATACGAAATTCACTTTAATAATATTATTTATTTCTAGAGCAATAATATCGAGGCTAATAACCGTTATATATATTATATTATTCAAGGTTTTTACTCCGCCTTTAGTAACGAAGAGGTTAAAATTAAGGTACCTTATTATCGATTATATTATTTCGATTACATTTTAAATTTCGGTATAAAGGCTACTATTAAAGGAGGAAGAGTTTAAGTTCTTAAATCTAATAATCTTCAACTCCGTCCTTCCCTTGCTAATAAAAATATTCTATTCCGAGAATAGCGGAAAGAAGGCCTAATTAACTAGCTTTATAACGTTATTTAATTTATTCGAAGAAACTTGTAACATTGTACAAGGTTTAAAGAGATTATTTAATTTAATTATAATAATAGTTTTAACGATAACATTCAGGCTTAATTTAGTATTATTATTAAAGAGGATAGTTTTTCTCCTAGTATTAGCATTATTTTTAATAATATAATATATTAAAATTCTAATTATCGTATAATTTATCGCGCTTAGAGGTTGCGCAAATTCATTAATTACTATATTAGCGAAATTATTAACTATTTAGAACTATTTAAACGGCTTCTTAAAAACAATTAATTTAGTAATAATATTTAGGGGATTTTAATAGCTACTATAGAGGTAATAAAATTATTCGAAGATTTTACTAAGGTATTTGAGAAAAGAAGTCCCTTCTTTCTAATAATTATCCTTAACTTTTACTACTTTATTGAGAAGCTTATTGAAATAAGGGTGCGGTTTAAGGGTAGTATTACCTTTAAACTATTTAAAAGTCCAAATATTTTAGAATTAAATATCTATATAACTACCCTTACTCTTATTTAACGTATTCGTATACGTACTTCCCGTATTAGTTAGCCCTCTTAAACCTCTTCCTAAATTACCCCTTTTACTTAAAAGGACCTTTACAATACTCCTCCTATAAATTATATTAACGATATAATTAACGAAGGTATAGAAGCCGTCGGTTTTATTATTGATAGAGTCTTCACTAAATTTAAAAAGTATAAAAGGGTGATAGAATAGTGCCTAATATATTAGATTATATATATTTTATACCCTAGTTATTGAGAGAAGTAGATTAATAAGAAGTTAGGTCCTATTAAGTAGGATAGTACCCTTATAGAATTCTAATTTATTTATAAGAAGAATTACGCTAATTAGTTAGTTGCCTTACTATTACCTAATATTAATAATTAATAGGTTAAATAAATTAATAACGATAAGTTTATTAATAAAGATTTCTATAATACCCTCCCCGTAGAGCTAAAAAGAAGGATAAGCTTTATTATTATTTTAACGACGAAATCTACGCGGTTAATAATATACTAGGGTAGTAGAAGGCCAACGAGAGCGCTTACCCTTAATTATTTCGTATAGTATTTAACTTCCTCTCTATACCTTTTATAATAAACGATTATAAACGCTTCTTTAGTAGCGCCAAATTAACTATTAATAGTTAAAGATATAAACTTACTACTAAAACTATTAATACTATCGAAAATTTAAAGTTTTAGCTAGTATTTAAGGTACTAAACTATATTTAATATAGAAAAATAATACATACAACGTCGTAGTTGTTTGGGGGAGGGATTCATCGCTGTAGGAAGGTTTTGAGAGATTAGAAATCGTAAGAATTAGAGTACTTTTGAGGCTAAAAACACTAAAAACGCGATTTCACGTGATATTATTTGTAAATATTTGCAAGCAACTCAACTCAACTCAAATCTCTACCCTGATTTGACCTACTCAATTAAATCCAAATCGATATTTGAATTGAATTGAGTTATTTCCAACGCTAGTAGAAGATACAATGATGAATGACCTTTCACCCTTTGATTAGATGCGTGAGAGCCATGGCTGGTGGTTCGTCTGCGGGACGTAAAACAAGATTTGTAGAGAATCCGTCGCTGCGGTTCAGGATGTTGCCGAGATGGAATCACAACTGTCATGCTGCCGGTTGGTGGGTGGTTTGCGCGTCGTCAATTTTAACTTTGTGGCGCCGGGTTCTGTGCGGGGATGACCCATGTCCATGCCAAGCAAAAGCAACCCCTTGACTTCAGCCAAATATTCCCAAGATAGCCTCACTCCTCCTGATCTCCATCTTTCTTGACCTTGTCTTGACCCGCGCCATCCTGGTCATCCTGGTCATCCTCTTCGTCTTCATCCACATCTTCATCATCATCCCAATCCTCCTCGCTCTCGTCAAACTCCTCCTCGGTCTCCTCATCTTCACTGGCGGTCTCTCCATCAGAGCCCGGGTACTTGCTCCTCTTCCCGTCCGCCGCTCGATGCTTTCCCAGCTTACATCCCTCATTCGCCTCGGTTCCTAGCGCCTCGCAGCAAGGAAAGGTGAATCCGTTCGGGTATGCCTTGCGCATGTGCTCACTGTCGTGTATGCCGTCTGGGTAAGGCCAGTCAACCCAGGCAGGGGCGGAGTAATCTAGTTCCATGTCGTCTGGTGGCTGTCAGTCAGTCCCTTTACTATCCTCGGGCCAGATCTTTTGATCATGCAAGACCAAAAAGTCAAAGGCGTAGTATCACAACCTGACTTACAAGGGTGATATTTGCATGTCTTGGACGTATCTCCCTCCTCAAAAAGTTCATCGCATTGCACGCAGATATGCGTAGGCGGAGCTTTTCTTTTCTTGGAAGGATCATCTGACTTTCCACTACTTCCTGCTGCCGTGGTTGCAAGTCCAAGAGGCAGCTTGGCCATGAGTGCCGCGATGCGCGACTTGAATGCGTCGTCTCCGGTGAGGGCGCGGAGCACAGCGCGGACGGTGTCTTCGGGCGCCAAAGCAATGGCAGTCAAGAGCTGCTCGTCGTTGAGTTTGGGTGGGCGTAGGGGGGGCATGGTTGTGAAAGTATGAACGGCAATAGCAATTAAAGAAATGTAATAATAGTGTTGTATGGGTTTGTTGTTGAAAGAGGGACAGACTTGAAAACGTTTGGTGGTCTAGAAAAAAAAAGGACGGCACAGGGCAGAGCCTCCAGGGCAGCTTGGCATGGAGATGCCCGGCTGGGGTGCCCCCACATCAGTGCTGTCAGTGCGTCCTTCTAAGCCCTAGTTGTAGCGGGCGCCATAGGCGCCCGGGGCGCTAAAGCGCCGTTTGTACGCTAGACTTTGCTAGGCACGTCTCATGCCCCTCGGGAGGCGGAAGTAGACGGAAAATACAAACACACACACACACACACCTTCTAAGCCCTAACCCTTGGTCACCCGTCTCGTCCCCTCGTTGGCGATTCTGGCAGTCGTCCCCCACCAGTTGGCAAATGTTGTATTCCTTGCTTCCGGACTGCGGGGCCAGACCTCTTCCCTGGATTCTTCTTGTCACAAGCAACCAAACACGACAGATTTCCAACTGCTCTGCCTTGTTCAACTTTTTACGCAGTGTCTTGCGCGCCCTTTGACCAAGACCACAATGCAGACTCTGACGCCCGGTTTTATTCTGGGAAAACCAGATGCCCGGTAAGTCCGACTCAGCAGGTTTGAGGTCTTTCATTTGCATTAACAACGACGTACATACAGCCGAACGCCACAGACAAACCTTTAGACTGCGTTTGTTTTCGTACTGCTGCCGTACAAAGAATCTGGTCGTATAGTTTTATACTGCAAAGCTCGGGCCACTTTTGAAATGCACCGTACAGCCTTCTGCACCCCCCTTATATTGCCAATGTTGAGGTTTGGAAGTGGTCGGGTAAAGAAGGACGACGGCTCAATTGAGTACGATAGGGACGAGGTTCTTATAGTGGGTTATAGGGCTTCAAGCGCTGGGCGAATGCGCTGCAAAAGATGCATCGGGTTGACTGTACGGCATAGACTGCATTTTCGAGCGTGTATACATTTTGTCGTTTTGTACGATTATGCCGAAAAATGTACGATTTTTTGGCCATATATAACCCTAACCCGAACAAGGCTATGCGAGGCTGACATAAGGGGGTCGCACATTGCATTTTCTCACGGCAACCGACCAAACGACACCACTTTTGTACGGTTTTCGTACAAAAACAGTCGTACAGACCCCTTTATACGACAACCGTACCAGAACAAACGCAGTCTTAACCCTCAGGATGTGTGAAGAATAAATGCAATGCTCAGACGCCGAAGGACCACGGAAGTCCGTTGCATTTATTTCTCACATGCTGACCCTACAGGAACGGTGCCGGACTGACCTGCGTCGAATTCGGCCTCTACAAAATTTACGTCAAGTGGCCGACTTAATAACAGCCCACCACCCACCACCTTCTTGGAAATCGAGTTCTCTCCAAACCATTACTCTTCCAAACACCTAGTTCCAACAAGTTCGAGGCAGCAACCCCTGTTCTCTCCAGACTAGTAGGTAACCATCTCTCTAGCTCCCATCCCCTAGATCCCGCCATTGACATAGAACCGCAACCACCCCTAGCCTAACCAGTTCAGCACAACAACCGCAACCATGGCCTGGAACAACAAAAAGGTGTGCTTTGAACCCCCCTTGCTCCCCCCATGCCGACCATCCGCCTTGGGCCGAAACATCATCGACCAAATCAACACGGCTCCAGATGACACCGTTCGCGCCGTCCTGCTCCATCTCACCGCGGACTACGACCAAAGATTCATTATCGAAAACCTTATTTCGAAGCTTCCACTCGACGAGTCAGAGTTGCAGACTCCTGAGGATAGGAGCAGTAAAAAACGGAAAGCCGAAACTCAAACACCCAAAGATCACAGTCCAAAGAAGAGAAAGGCCACGCCGAAGCTGGAGATCTGTCTCAATTGTGAAGAAGTTTTCGAAGAGGGCGACACATCCGAGTCATGCCGCTATCATGTCGGTATGAACACCAACGCTACCCACCTTTCTTGCACAAGAAGCCCCGAGTTGTTTGAGAACGTGAAAGCTAACCAGAAGCCTTGGTGCCTGGCGAGGCTTTTAGCAATGCAATTTGATCCCGACGCCCCGTACTGGGAGACCCTGGGTCCTGGCTACCTTGTAGAAGACCGACCCATTAACCGAAAGGTGCACAAGCGCGGATACTGGTTTGGCTGTTGCTGTAAGCCCGGACTGTATTACAGGCTGGGGTGCAGATTTGGCAGACATAGAGCTGCTGATGGGAAGCGGCAAAAGGACCTTTATGGCTGGAAAAGCTACGACGAATTTCGAAACGCTATGGTTGTACCAAAGCAAAAGGAGATGGCCTCGTGGGAGGCTAAATGCATCGCTCTCCGAAGGGAAGCCTCAGAGGCATTAGAGTCTGATTCAGATGCGGAAGAGTCGGACTCTGATCCATCTACAGAGGAGTCGGACTCTACTCCAGCTACGGAGGAGTCGGACTCTACTCCAGCCACGGAGGAACTAGCCGCCAAGAAAGCCACCACCCAGAGGCCAGACGTCTACGATACCAAGGGGGAAGACGACCATGGAGAGGAGGAATACAGCTGGGTCGACGAGTATGACAAAGATGGCCAGGACTTTCCTGACTTTATGCAACTGCTTCAGAAAAAATTGCTTGCCGCGTTGAGGGCTCAAGAGATCGCTATCCGGGAAGCTTTCACTACCAGAGAGGCCTTTGAGGCCCAGCAGCCCCAGCTTGGACCTCTTTGGCCGAGCCAAACCTTGATGGTGGAGAAGCCTACGATGGAATCGTGTACCAGTGGCCGGGACTCAAACGGTCTCAAACGAAAACGAGAACAAAGCCCAGGAACAGAGCGGAGGCAAAGAAAAAGAATTGATCAAGGACAGGCAGGATCTGCACGCTAAGAAACTGAGCCCACAAGGGTTCAAGTTCGGGTGTTGTGGTGGGAAGCACAACTCGAAGGGCTGTGCGACCGGAACGCATCGCGTTGATGAGGCTTAACTTGGACCTGTTAAAGTGTTATCACGCGGGGAATGACGATGGGTTGAAGACATGTTGGCTACCTGAGGCAATGGTGTGCGAAAATTTGGAGTAGTTTGAATCTTGATAGCCAGTTCGGCAAAGGGACGGGATGTTTTGGAGAAAAGCAAGTCAGCTTGGTGGTTTTCAGGCGCGAGGTCACATGAAGAGGTGGTGGTTGAACGACTCGTCTTGTTACTTACAAGGAAGGAACGACCTCCCCGAAATTTCTCCTCAAATTACGTCGTCAGTACCGCGCCTTCCTTCTGTGATTCGTTTCCTCGCAGGGCAGTGTGCCCTAATGTGCACGTCAATGGTTTTTGCTCCTTTGGACTCTTCTCTTGTGACATTATACTCAGTTCTTCTTGTTGGTCCCAATCATTGCCAGCAAGGCTTCCACGCATTGAACATTGGTTGCGAGATCCAATTGACCTTTTGACCAATCCTTCGTGTGTCTAGGCTGCAATAGTTCAAGATGCCCAAGAAGAGGACTGCCTCACCTCCGCGCTCGCCCGTCGCCAAGCGCAAGCGTACTGTCAAGGCGCCCTCCACTGCTCCAAAGGCCACCGCTCCCAAGAAAGCCACAGCTTCCAAGGCCACTGCTTCCAAGGCCATTGCTCCGAAAGCCACCGCGAAGACCACCGCTCCCAAGAAGGCCACCGCTACCAAGAACACCGCTTCCAAGGCCAACACTCCAAAGGTGACCGATCCAAAAGTCACAACTGCCAACGAGGAATACAAACCGAAGCCGCCAACCAGGGTGAAGGTCTCTGAGCTCCAAATGCCTCGATGGGAGCCGAGGATGATCTACTCGGGAGAAGAGCAGGTCTGTGAGTGTTCAGCGTGCGGTGACGAGTTCGATCCAGAGACCGAGTTGGAAACTTGCCGCTATCATCCCGGTAAGTCTGCTGCCGCCCAGGTTGCCAACCTGACCATTCCACACACGCTTGTCAGAGACTAACATCATTTGCTACTGCGTTGATTTAGGCGAGTTGTATGTCGACCTCAAAGAGGACTGGTTCAACTCCACAGGCTTGGATCCCCGCGATAAATATGATCGGTTGCGCATGGATGACGAGCTGTACCGTGACGAGGAATTTCCGGATGGATTATCATGGAGCTGCTGCGGTTACGACCGTTGGGGCAAGGGCTGTGAAATGCAGAGTCATGTGCCTTACTATTTCTAAGATGTGAATCGGAACCGTCGTGTATAGACTACGTGATGCATGACGAACAGGAGGACTTGCTATGTAGATCAAACTTTGAGCACCTCACCGGCGCATGACGAAGAGCGCAATTGAATGTAGGACACCATGGGTACACGGGATTCCACTGGATGACGGCACTCAAAATGTTTTTTGTCTGGACTGCTTCCCGTCGTCTCCATTTGGGGATTTTTCCGATTTGGAGTCTAGATGAAAATGAAAAGGAAGGAACGTTATCGAACAGGAAGAGCCCAACATTTTACTTGCCATGGCCCATGACCCCTCCTCTGACCATCGCGCTTTCCCTTTTCATTGCATTTTCTCTCAAGGGCAGCTTGCCCTAAGGATGCACCAAGAGCTTTGTGCCCGCATCTTTCTGCGGACACTGAACTCGGATTTTTTTCGCTCTAGAATGATTACCCAGACGCAAATATTTGGTACTTGTCACGATCAGTCTTTCATCCAAGCCTGTCAAGATTAAAACACTCAAGCAGCGGTGGAAATAACTCAACTCAACTCAAATATCGATCCGGATTTGATTGAGTGGGTCAAATTAAAGTAGAGATTTGAATTGAGTTGAGTTGCTTGCAAATATTTGCAAATATCCGCCAAGACTAAAAGTCCCTACCCAACCCTAACCCTGACCTAGGTTTTTCTTCCAAGTTGGGTCCGCGGGCAAAATGAATACTTTTTATGACTTAAAAATATTCTGCCGGGATACTAAGAAAGGCGGTCAAATCGTTAACTCAAATATCGACTTCGAATTTGCTTAGGTCAAATATTTCCACATGCAGATTTGCTTACTTGATTGTTTATATTTGATTATATTTATCTTCATATTTGAGTTATCTCCACCGCTGCACTCAAGGCGCCCATGCGAAAAGGTGTCTCACCTCCACGCGCGCCGGTACAGAAAGACAAGCAGACTGACGATGCAATTTCCACCACCACCTGGGAGGCTACCTCGACTAATCGCACAGAGAGGAGGCGACGGTCCGCCAAAACCAAGGATGACGGCAAGCCGAAAACCCCCATCGAAAAGTTGACCATTCCCCCGGCCCCAAGCCCTCCAAACATCAGTGATCCCACAACGACGGGAAAGCGGAAGCGGGAAGCTACCCCTGAGAAGACCTCCAAGAAGCTCAAAGCTTCGGAGGAGATCCTGGAACCTAATTCAAGCAAGGAGGAGGGTGCACAGGACTCTGAGGAGCAGCCGGAGCTGGAGATCTGTCCAATGTGCGGTGAAGAATACGACCCAGAGGATGAAGACGAAGATACCGTTTGCGAGTTCCATCCCGGTAAGTCAGCCCCCGGCCCCCCGCTTAATACCTCTCCTCTGGAGCAACTATTCTATTCAGGCTATGTTCGAACACTAACATCTCTTATGATGATGCTGTTCTAGGAGAGTTGGTAATCGACCGAAAGGCACCCTGCTGGAAATCGGAATGGGGCGTGGATCCCTACGACGACGAGGATGTTGAAGAGTTTCTCTCATCTCATGGGTATTACTCAGGGATGCTCATGTGGGACTGCTGCGGATATTGGGAAGGTGCACCGGGTTGCGAAAAGCAGGGTGCGCATGGAGAATACTGAGCTGGAACTGTCATGTCAAGCCAGCCAACAAGACCATACACGATGGTGTTCAACCTGGAAGCATGGAAGCAGTGATTGAACTGGCGTTAGGGCCTCGAATAGATCAATGTTAGTTGTGTCTTCCCAGCTGCTAGTTTTCAGAGCATCATCAGAAAAGCAGGGTCTTCTCTTGACCACTCTGACCGTTGCACCTTTTGCGTCCATTTGCGTGTCTGCAAACAAGGTAACTAGAAACAGATAGAAAGCCGACGACAGAGCAAGAGCCTCATTCTGTGGTTGTAGCGGAAGTGAAAGAAGGAGAGGGAATCAGGCAGCCTGACATACTGTGAGCGAGAGGATAGGAACCTGAACCAGAGTGAATGGGAAGCCAGGGCAGGGCACGGACTTCCCACACAACTTTTGACCCAATCGATGCTCCCAAACTTTTGCGCAAACAACCAACGCGTCTAATTTTCCCCTGGTCCATCTCACCAACTCCATTCCACTCCTCGTGGCCCTTTCAGGCGCGAAAGACCTCAAAATGACGAATGCACACAGTATTCCGCTTCCACAAGAGAGCGAGAGCTGCAACAAGACCCTTGATGCGATTATTACAGCCCCCGTACTCAGCATCCGCGCCATGCTCTTCTCTCTCTATGCTGAGGGAGACCGCGATCTGAAGTCGCGCATCGAGAAACTGGCCTCCGACTTCACAAATCTCCCAGCTTGTGAGGATCCTGACGCGCCCAGGATTGCAGCTGGAACGGAAGGGACCACGACCAGTGAGGAGCACTCAGACAAGGAAAGAGCCACAGAGCACCTGCCGAAAGATCAACAGAAGGGAAAGGAAACAGAGGTGGTGCCAGACCTCAAGGTCTGTGACCATTGTTTCGATGATTTTGATGCAAACGGATACCACGAGCAGGACGAATGCTGCTACCACGACGGTAAGTCGCCCATTGCTCCATGACCTCTGAAATGTCGGATACTGGATTTCTAACAAGAGTGCCACTCTAGGTAAGATGGTAATTGAGCATCAATCGAACATCTGGGAACTTGAACTGGGCGTCAATCCCATGAACTTCACGGCAATGGTGGGGTACGACACAGCCTACTACCGTGCTCATTATCCAGATGCATTCTACTGGGACTGCTGCGGACAAGTTGGAAGCAACGAAGGCTGCATCTACGATGTACACAGGAGCAGACATTGAATCGTCATGTCAGGAAGTCGGCAAGGAGGGTCAACCAGGAAGGTCCGAATTACATATGCATTGGTCAGTTAGATTCTCGATTGTGAAGCCCCTCCTTTCCACTTATTACCCTGTTCTGCACCTTCCCCTTGTAACTCTCCCTTTCTGGAGGGCAGTTTAAGTTGCACCAGCTCGCTCCCGTTTCTCAGAGAACACAGAAATCTTGTTCCCAACAACGACAGTCAACTCACTCCAACGCATCGTGTTCAATTTTGGCGTTTTGCATCATTAAACTTTGATCCACCACATCCCATCGCTTCTTGTATTCCATCGCGCAAAATGTCTAAACAAGAAACAACCTCGTCTTCCTCAACCCCTCCCCGAGATATAGCATGCGTTAACCGTTACCAACAAACCGTCGATGCGATTCTTTCCAGGCCCGAGTCCGTAATCCGCGCTGCATTACAGCAGCTGTATCTTCGGGACACCAGGGATAGTGAAGCTCTGCAGTCGCGCATCTACGAGCTCGTCACCGGCGTCTCCGCATCTGTAGAGGAGTCCAACGAAGAAAACCCACTGCCGAGTCCGACCAAGCGAATGCGGGAGGAGACTCAGACACCGGAGGAAGCGAGAAACAAGGCCAAGAAGCCAAGGGCCTGGGAGACGAGCATACGGGAGCCAGTGGAGTGCATCCGCTGTCGAGAGCAGTTCAATCTCTTCGACAAGGCGAAGGGTTGCTTTTGCCATAAAGGTGAGAGGGATACTCCATCTATTCCTGATTTCAACTCCCTTCAAAAGCTGATATATCCCTGACACCTTGTCGAATCAGGCACTATGAAGCTCAACCGTCATTCCCTTGCCTGGGAAAAAGAGGCGCTCATGGATCCAGATAAGTATAGCTCGAAAGAGTTGGACATTGAAATCAATCGTAAGCTTTACGCCAATGGATTCAAATGGACCTGTTGTGGACAGCCTGGCGGCGCAAGGGGGTGTGAATGGCATAAACACAAGGCGTACGAGAGCGATGATACCGACGAGACATGGAGTTCCGAGAGCCGCGAGAGCGGCAAGAGCGGTGACGGCGACGAGGGCGGCGAGGGCGACGAGAATGCCTGATCTGACACTTGCAAGAAAGGACGTGTTAGAGCCTAGAAGAGAACAAACGGAAATATTTGGAGCCCTCTGTTTGTAGGAGGATTTCAAACTTCGAATACATGTTTAGGTACCATGGCTATGGAGTAGTGATGGATACGGGGGGAAAGAGGAGAAGTTTCGGACTGTCCTAGGGACCTGGAACCGTCAAACAAGGACCTCGAGGTAGAGAAATAGTGGGAAAATTGTGTAAGAAGTGTGGATGTACAAAAGGTGCTTGGGCCTTGGGTTGCAACTTGCAAGTCTGTCTCGACTCAAAATCGCACCCCACCAAAGTTTTCATTCTTAGAACTAGGGTATTTAGCTGGGCCTTCTGGACTTCCTCCTCTTTATCAATTAGGTAATTTGCACCCCATTTGGTTTCCTCTGTTTCAAGTCGAAGCAGCTGGTAATGGGATTGTCATTGATATGGCCCGTGCATCACTCCACTCCAGCCCCTGGATCGCCAAGATGACAGCGATCAAAGTGTTGGTTGGTCGCCCAAACTTTGGCAAGGCAACTGCCAAGTGAATGGAAGTGTTGCAGGTAGTGTACATAAAGGACCTCAGATGGTAGTTTTCTAACACCTTTGGAACAATGGCCGAGCGGTGTGTTGTTGGAGTACACGTACCGTGGTGTGTTGCTTGCAGGGAGGAGCTAGCGGGAGGCGGCACCGTAGCCAGGTAAAAGACCTGCTAAGGACGCTGGCTTGTAGCGCGCTTATGGAGCTGCCACCTGCTATAACTCGGACCCAGTAGAGTAACGTATCGGTAAGGTTCCCGGTTCGAATCCGGGCTCGGTCAGTTCCTTCTTCTTTTTTTTCTTTTTGCGTGTTTTTGCTTCTTCTCTTTTTTGCCTTGTGTTGTAGTACATTCAAGTCGGAACGAGCAAGGGATTCCTTGCTACCTACACGAGATGTGCATCGGCCTGAAGGTGGCTCGAGTGCCTGTGGTAAGCGAGTACGAGATGTGCCCCTGGAGTAGGATTGTGAGGCAGCCCACTAGCAAAAAGAGGAATAAAGCTTTGGAATACGGGTGTTCGAGTTCCCACTGATGAAAATGGATTGAGAATGGAATGGAACCTAGTTGGAGCACGGCTGTGATTGAACTGGCATGCCGCGGCAACTATCACGTCTCGAGCACGTGCATTTAGCGGCAGGCAGCATCCATGTTACAGCGCTGCAAGGGCGGGGCTGAGGAGCCGCAGCCCAGGCAGTGCTACAGGTACAAGCGCGGCATCTTTCCCACCGCCAAGAGAAATTAAACTTCCTCCCTCGAACATCTTTCTTGGCTTTTCCATTTAGTTCACCTCAATCGGGCTGCCTGACCAGCAAACGCGCGCGCGACAAACCGAAATCATCATCCTCAAAGAAGCGCTGCCATCATCTTCCAGACAACAATGCGTGGCGTCCAACCGCACGTTTTGCGACTCCTCGTTGCGATCCTAGCAGCAGTCGGACTGCTCTTCTTCTTCGATCCTCTCGGTTTGCGACTCGCATCATCGTCGGCTATCGGCAACTTCTATCCGTCCGACAATCGGGCGGGCGGGTGGTTCATGTCTTCCACGATTACGCACATCGTTCTGTTCAAGTTCAAGGCCAGTGCCGGTGCCGACAGGATTCACACGGTAGGTCTTGGAACTGGAGCGCTTCGTCATGGAATCCTGCGCAGCGCTGATAGTGCCCGACCATAGATCTCCAGTCGCTTCCTAGGGCTCAAGGAACAATGCGTTACCATGACACAGCAGCCGTACATTCGCAAAATATCCGGCGGAAGGGATAACTCTCCAGAAGGATTGCAGGTGAGTAACCACACAGATAAGCAGGATCTTGGCAAGAAGCTGACCCAGGTGCTGATCCAGGGCGGCCTTACACATGCGTTCGTTGTCGAGTTTGAGACCGCCGCCGAAAGAGACTACTATGTCAACCTGGATCCCGTGCATCAATCGTTCAAGAAGGATATCGAGCCATTCGTGGAAAAGGTTACAGTGGTGGACTTCACCAATGGTGCCTTCTGAAGTCAGGAGATGCCCGGCCGGCTCGATCCAGTCGAGATCAGAAATATCCCTTGGAAACATCTAGTCATCGTTCATCCAAATGCGCAAACCTCAGTGTTGACTTGACAATTGGATTGTATTCTCCCACGTGCTACGACCCATGCTAACCTCTGATAGCCGCCTCAAAGATCTCCATAAACTTGCACACATCCTCGAACCGACAGTACATCGGCACCGGCGCCACGCGAATCACGTTAGGTTTCCTCTTGTCGCAAACCACGCCATTCTCCTCCAGCGCCGCCGCCACCTTATCCATCAACCCATCCCTCAACAACAAGCTCAACTGCGTTCCTCTCTGCAAAGGATCCCTAGGTGTAATGATGTTGAACGCCGGCTCCTCGGCCTCTGGCTGTCTCCTGACAATCTCATCCAACAAATGCTCCGTATACGCCGTCAACACCAACGCCTTGCTCCTCAAGTCCTTCATGCTAGTCTTGTTAAACACTGACAACGCAGCCGCCAAGCTCGTCAAGTCGATCGCGCTCGGGTTGCTGATCTGAAAGCCCTGCGCACCAGGCGTAGGCTGGAACTCCTTGTCCATGTTGAATCGCACGCTCTTGTCCGCTCCATACCATCCCGACAATCTTGGCTTAAACACCGGCTTGCCCGCGCTCATGTCCACCTTGCCGTGGCGCTCGTGCACGAAAGCACCAGCCATGGCACCGGGGCCGGCGTTGAGGTACTTGTACGTGCACCACACGGCGAAGTCGACGTTCCAGTCGTGGAGCTGGAGCTCGACGTTGCCTGCGCAATGGGCCAAGTCCCAGCCAACAACGAGGCCGCGCTCCTGAGCATACTTGGTGATGCGGGGGATGTCGAACAGTTGGCCGGTGTAGTACTGGATACCCGGCAGGAGTAGGAGCGCAGCATCCTCAGCGTGCTCATCAATGGTCTTGAGAATCTTCTCCGTAGAAAGATAAAGGTTCTCATCCGGCTGGATCTCCACCATCGACTTCTCAGGGTCCAAACCATGCCACTCGGTCTGCGACTGGAAAGCGTACCAATCACTAGGGAAGGGCCTCCACTCAAGGATGATCTTGTGCCTCTTCTCCGTGGGGCGGTAGAAGGAGGCCATCATGAAGTGCAGGTTGACGGTCAGAGTGTTCATCATGACGACTTCGGAAGGGTCCGCGGCGCCGACGATGGTGGCGGACTTGGCGGCGCAGTCAGCGGCCATGTCTTGCCAGGGCGCTAGAGGGGAGTTCGAAAAGGAGGAGAAGTGCCCGTTGACGCCGATGGAGGCCCAGGTCTCTAGTTGCGCTTCGAGGTACTGGCGGACGGCCTTGGGTTGGGCGCCGAGGGAGTTGCCGATGAAGTAGATGCAAGGGGTGTCGGCATCGGTGGTGCCGTTCGTTGGGACGCCTGGATGCAATTAGTAACGGGGCTTGTCGTAGATGTTTGGGTTCTGGGGTACTCACCAGGGATGGTCCCGTCAAGCGCCTTCTTCTTCAGCGAGCCGCGAGTGGGGATGACGAACTCATCTCTGAAATGCCTGAGCTCATCTTGCGCATCCAGACTCTGAGCATACTCCAAGGTGTTGGCGTTGGAAGGAAATTCGGGCTTTTGGCCGTCCCTGAGGACCTTGACTTTCGATGCGAAGTCGCTCATTGTGTCCGTTTGGTTGGGGCAATGTGGATCTGACAGAAAAAGGGGGTTTGTTTACTTGGGTGGATATCGGTGAGCGGATCCAAAGACAGGAGATGGATGTTCCAAAAAGACGGAGTCCCGTGTTGGTGAAAAGGTACGTCAGAAAACAGCAGATGAACACCACCAACAATGGAAATCAATAAATCATGCAACAATTTCCTAACGACCCAAACTGGCGGTTTTGTAGTCGAAATCTGGCCATTTGTCTTCTCCACTATCGCCGGTATTTCTCCGGATGCTTCTCATTGCTTTTGCTTGAAAAAGATTATCCACGAGACCAAAGTGCGGAAGCGGAAGGTCAGGACGGGACCCGCTATTTTTCTGATATGTGGGGCATTTGTATCTTCCGTCTTCCGTCTTCCGCATTCCTCATTCCGTGCTTCCGCCTCCGTGTTGTCCGTCCACCGCTCACACGACACAACGAAATGACCGATCCGACGACCGACAAAGGCCGCGCGAATTCGCGAATCACAATGGAACCAACCAGCCACTCAATCATCCCAATTCCGCCCTCTGTACCGCCAATACCCGATCACAACGGAAGTATTAGGTAATTGTCAACTTTGTAAACCGAGCAGATGACGAACAACGAACGGATGGTGAACAATGTGCTTGGAGTACAGTATTTCGTCCAACAAATCCTGTTTCAACGGTGCCGAGATCACAAGGAGAGTTCCACCCTTCGAAAGTTCGGTGAAAGGGGGCGCAAAGGGGCCAAGTGATCTGTGTCACCGACCTTTTTCCCTTTTGCTTCCAAGACTTTTCCATGATTCCATCCCGATTCTAGATGGCCGTTAACTCCACAATGAACATGTGAAGTGCGGAACGGACAGCGGAAGAAGGGTCAAAAGTCTCGGAACTTATAGACCTTGATGGTCAGGATCAGGATCAACTTATCAAGAGAGAACCCGGAGGTATGAAGCATGGCCAGTCACCATGGCATGCATCAAAGTCGTCCGAAGAACGCACGCAGTGCATGGGCCCATTCACGGTGGATGACGCTCAGCGAAAGTGAACAACGTGATTTTGCTGATTGTGGTTGGGGATAAACCTGGGCATTCAAGTGAATGGCAGTTCCTCGGGGATTCACAGTGAGACGGATAACACACGGCTTTATACGCATACTTCTGTCCTCCGTTGCGTATAATAGATATCCCCGACGCTGTCTTACCTTCCGGACTTTTCTTTTCCTTTGTTCCCTTGCTAAGGTACCTACTCGCTACTGCGGCTAATTTGTGGACTGGACTTCACTCGACCACCAGCATCAAGCACTCGGGCTTACTTCCACGCTTCCTATTTCCAGCGGCAAACCCAGATATCTGATATTCTCGACAAGATGTCGTCCTGCGAACCCCTCCCTACATCTGCTGCCTCCAAGCAGAAGGCCTCTTCCGAGTCCGAGTCCGACTCCGACTCCTCCTTCCCCGATCACATCCAGTCCCTGTTGAACAAGTACGACGTTACGACCAACGGGTTCCTTCCGGAGGGGCCACCGCTTGAGGTGCTGCCAGACGAGTACTATGCGCCATGGGAAGAACTCATCGGACGGTTGCCAGAGTCGTTAGATGCCGGCACGTTTCGAGAGGAGGCAGATAGGTTGCCGATTCTGGAGACGGATCGGCTGAAGACTGAGGGAGAGTGGAGGAGGGCGTATGTGGTGCTGTGTTTCTTTGCGCATGGGTATATTTGGGGAGGTTCGAGGCCAAGTGAGGTGAGTTCACTCTCTTTCCTTCGCCGTGACATTCGTCCATGGCCGCCTTGAAGATGAACTTGTACTGACAACCAACAGATCCTCCCCCCACCAATCTCCATCCCCCTCCTCGCCGTCTCCTCCCACCTCGACCTCCCACCCATAGCAACCTACGCCTCCCTCAACCTCTGGAACTTCCGCTGCGTTCCTCCCCCATCGTCCTATCTCAGCGGTCTTCTCCCTCCCTCTCCCCCACTAACCCCCGCCTCCTCCTCCTCCTCTCCATCTCTCACCTCCGGCTCACAGCAGCCCACATGCGCCAAATTCGACCCAACAGACCTCTCCCGCCTGCAAACCCTCCACACCTTCACCGGCACCCCTTCCGAATCGTGGTTCTACCTCGTCTCCGTCGCCATGGAGGCACAAGGCGCTTACATCATCCCCACCATGCTTCGCGCTCTGCAAGCCATCGGTCAACGGTCCGAGAACTGGAAGGAGACGACGACGAAAGCGCTGAGGGAGCTGGTGAAGTGCGTGGACGCAGTGGGCGAGCTGTTGGAACGGATGTACGAAGGGTGCGAACCCATGGTCTTTTATCACCGGATTAGACCCTTTCTGGCGGGGAGTAAGGGGATGAGCGCCGTTGGGTTGCCGAAGGGGGTGTTCTATGACCTTGGCCCTGCTGCTGAAGGGTTAGGGGAGGAAGGGGAAGAGCGGGTGCAGGGAGAGAGAAGGAAGGGGAAGTGGATGGCGTATAGAGGGGGGTCAAATGGGCAGTCGTCTCTTATTCAGTTTTGGGATCTGGTGTTGGGGGTGGAGCATGTTAGTGCTGGGAATTCTTCTCCTCACTCCGGCTCCGGCTCCGGCTCCGGCAAGAAGAAAGAGCAGCAGAAACTCAAACCCTTCCACGAAGAAGTAAGAGAGTACATGCCGCTCAAACACCGACAATTCCTCTCTCTGGTGTCGAAAATGGGCCGCGGCAAGGGGGGGATTCGGAAAGCGGTGATGGAGATGGTGGAAGCTGCGGAGCAAGAGGGGAGGGAGTTGGACGGAAAGGAGAGCGAGCTGCAGAAAGCTTTCCAGGATGCGACGAGGGCGTTGGCGGGGTTTAGGAATAAACATTTGCAGATTGTGGCGAGGTATATCGTTATTCCTTCGAGGCAGGCGGTGCCGGAGGGGATGGTGAGGAAGATGATGGGGAGGGGTGGTGGGAGGGGGAGTGACATGGAGGGAAAGGAGCGGAAGGAGGAGCAAAGGGAGAGGGTGGTTAATTTGGCGACTGCTAGTTCGGGGTTGCAGCTGAGGAAGGAGGGTGGCAAGGAGGATGTGAAAGAGAGAGCAGGACCGGAATTGACAGGAACGGGAGGAACGGCGTTGTTGCCGTTTTTGAAGCAGACGAGGGATGAGACGTTGAAGGCGGGAGAGGTCGGGAGGTGAGGAGCTGCGAAGTGCGAAGGAAGGCGCGATGGGGAAGTGGGATGCATGCCGAAAATTGGGATTCACCTGGGCGTAGACCTCGTTGGTGCGAGTGGGAACAAAGGTTAGGCGTTGGAACCAAAACATGTTGTTGAAGACGACCAAGATAGCTCTAGTGGAGTCAATAAATGCCAAGAAACCACAATAGCCTCAATTTCGGCCAAGCTAAGCAACTTGCCATGCATGAAGGACGTGATGCTTCCTCAAGGTCCCCTCGTTTATCTCGCTGCACTGCACCGTCAAGTCCGCTTCTTAAGGTCTGTTTCTAAGGGTTGTCATCAACAACAAAGTAATTGGCTCAATGGTCTAGTGGTATGATTCGCGCTTCGGGTTAAACCCTCATGGTATCCATGAATGTGCGAGGTCCCGGGTTCAAATCCCGGTTGAGCCCTTTCATTTTTCCTTTTTTTTTGTTCGACTTCGGCCGTTCTTGCCTTGGCTAGAACTACTGGTTGCATGGGATTTGGAACGCTGGATGAGTCAGGTAGGCCGATCTGCGTTAACTCCGCACTGCAAGGAGCGAGGTCCGATGCTCCTTCTGTCTGTTTTTGTTGGGCATGTCGGACTGCATCGGTCGTTGCTGCATGCAGTGGTCTTGGGCCAGTCGTCCCCCACCTGGTTGACCATCTCATTTCTTCTCAAGGTTCCAGGGGGCATTCGGCATTCTTTTCTCCCTTCTTTCTTCCTTCTATTTCTTTTTACAATTGCTTGATCTCTTAATTTGCCTCCGACAAGCCCTCTCTATTTGCATCTTCCTTGGATAGCTGCGGTGCGATTTACCTTAGTAGAAATATGAGAGTGGGTGGGTTGCCCGCCGGACTGACCCAGTGGTGCAATCTCACAGAATAGTGTGTACCAGACGCGAATTCCCAATAGGGAACTCGCCTACCGGCTGGGACTACCACAGCGAAACCCAGCATCCCAGGGCCTTATTCTATAGTGCAAAAGAATGGTGCACCTTTTGGTGCTTCTTCTTTTTCTTTTTCTTTTTCTTTTTCTTTTTCTTTTTCTTTTTCTTAGTGGTGATGCATCTTCTTGGTGGTGCATCTTCTTCTTGGTAGTGCATCTTCTTCTTGGTAGTGCATCTTCTTCTTGGTAGTGCATCTTCTTCTTGGTGGTTACGGTTACGAAAATAAAGTTGCACAATCAGGATTCGAATGCAAGATTTGAGTAAAAGATCAATTTTCTATCTGCGCGCGAGGCGACTTGGGCAAAAGACCATTTCTATCTAATCGAAGAAGGTGCTCGAAGTTGATGCTTATAGATGGGAAGGTGCTCCCTCTTCTAACTCTTGGCGGAAGTTCTTCAACTTTTTTGGGATTCTTGGGGTCTTTGGGAGCTTTTGGGGTATTGGGTTTTTAGCCGATCCTAGGAGTCTCCTAAGGACTGGGAGAGTCCGGGGAGCGACTTCAGTACGGGTTTATTGTACAGATCTCCCTATATAGTGGCTACCGTAGGTACGAACCACTAAGGGAACTCACGCCCGGTCCCCGTTGTTACGACCCAGCAACTCTCATTTGCGCACTAAGGTATTAAGAGAAGTCACCCTTTCCCCGCCATTCACCCGGATTTGATCGAAACTAACAAAAAGCTGTTCAGGTACTTGCACTATCACGCCCACCACCTAAGGTCCAGTCAATCTATGAAGTTATCGTCTCCTCCTACGGCCCCAGCCCGTATGCCGTTTTGCCCTTGCCAACGCTTCTAAACGTTCACCTATCCAAATCCGCACATACAACGAGTAGTGCTCATTCAACATCCATTGCTCGGGCGGGACTCTCGTTTTGATTGGAAAGGAAGGCCTAGAATCTCGTGCAGCTTGCAAAGCGCCGGCTGTATTTGAGTCTTCCACTTCCCATCGTCCCTCTCGAAGTCATCATCATCGTCATCGGGGCGTAATTCCGTCCGTAAAATAGCCAGAACATAACGTGCTCCGAATGGCTTCTTGTCTGCATTTGCGTATGCGACGGCGGTCCTCAGAATATTTTTGATCGTTCGTCCCTGATACCTAGTTACTGCTGTTAGTGGCACTTCGAAGCTCTTGCTTAGGGCACGGCGACTTACGTTGACGCCCAAATGGCCAAGCTGGCCATATATTTCTTCATAAGAAAACCTACCCACACTCACCCCCAAAACTATACGCACCCTTCATACCCTATCTAATAGCTAACATATAAAAACCGTCATTTTATATAGTAAAATCGCGTTTTCTTATATCTTTTAATATCCCTATTAAAATCGCCATATATACTAAAACCGCCAAAGTCGTCAAATTTTCATAATGTTAAATACAAATCTATTCTCTTATTTATCTATTTTTTATTTATTTACTTAATAATATCTACTATTTACTCCTCGTCGTTACTAATTACAATAAAGTTCTTCTTACTACCCTCCCTTTCAAACTAAATATTAATAGGGTTACGATCGCTCTCGTCATTAGTGTAACCATCCTTATACTAAGCCTAATACAATAAAGCATCCCAATCCCACCTCTCGTTATTAATTTAATAACGATATCTCTTATACCTTTTAAACTCCTAAGCACTCTTAATATTAAATAAACAGCGGGCATGTTCAATATACTTATTAGTAAAAAGACTACTATATAATATAATTTCAATTATTTATTTTCTATATATATATAAGCGAATAAAATTAACTTCCTACTTTACTTTTAGCTATAGTTCTAAATATTTAATACAACTTCTATACTATTCTAACCACTTTCTATCCCTCTCGAAAGTAATAATATATAAAGGCTTTATGTTATAAAGTAGCCGCCTTAAGAAATAATATGAGGAGTAAAGGAAAATATAAACGGCGGCCTCCTTTTACTCCTATACTTGTTGAATAAAATAAATTTACTACTCTTCGTCTATAAAAGGGGTTAGCATCCCCTCTTTCCTCAACCTCACTATATCCCTCTTATTAAAAAGGATAAAATACTCCTCTAAATCCGACTCTTAAAAGCTATATCCAATCTCTACTCTATTAAAATAAATAATATCGTCGTATAGGATTATAGGAGGTAGCTACTCTCTAACGGGGAACGAAGATTACCGTATAAAGAAAGGGGAAGAGGACTTCGAAACAGGGAGGGATAGAATATTAAATAAAACAAAGAGCCTAAAATCCGATTCAAAATTAACCTCCTCCTTAAAATTAAAAATAATAATATAATTAATAATTAGAATAAGCTCTTACTAATGGGACTAAATAAGTAAGGTAGGCTCGCTTAGCTAAGTTACTTTCTTAATTACCTTCTTAAACCGTTAGGATTATTAAAATCGCTAGGATATAATTATGTTTACAATATTAAAAACTTCGATATTATCGTCCAATTTGTACTATAAATAATAATAACGAATGAAAACGCTAATAAATATAATATTCTTTAATTTCCCGCGCAAATTAACTAATTATTAAAATAAAATAATTTAAAACCGTATAATCTTCTATAATTAAAATTATAAAGCGCCCTCAATTAGCGATTGTATTATAAAACTATAATTTTTACTAAACAGTCCCCCTTTATTACGTAAATAATTTTTAAATACCGCCTTAACTAATAATTTAAAATATAAATATTTATTTACCGGATCCTATTAAATAGATTAATATAAAATATATCGGGAAAAACATAAAGAAATTTACTTTAATCTAATTTAAATACCAAAATAAATAATAATCTTCCTTAGTAACTGATATATTTAATTCGCCAATTAGCAATCCCATTATATATACGTAAAATAATTTATATTATTTCTTAAATATATTAATATAAAGGGGTAAAAGTTTACCCTCGACCCTCCTACCCTCTTTTATAAAGGGGAATACTATAAATAATTAATAATATTAGTAATTTAATATATCGAAAACCTATAAAGAAAGTTCCAAAAAATAATTACCTAACTACACACTATTAATCCAATTAACCTGCACTCTTAAAAACGATTTATTACTCGTTACTTTATAAAATTTATATTAGTTATTAATATACTATAAATAAACCGAATAGAAATTAAAGAGGCTACTGTATATTAATACGTAATATAATTTTAATAAATTGTTATTAAACTTATTAAAGGAAACAATTCTTTAATTATAATTAAAATTATTTATTATATAGTAACCAACCTAATAACACTTATTAAATATTTACCTAACTTTAATATATTTAATAACGAAGGGTAATTAGAATTCCCTAAATTTTATAATAAGAATTTTATATACTTTTTCAAACTTATCGATAGTTAGTATAAATTATATATTACTATATAAAGAATTACCCTATATATATATTAGTAACCTCGTTTTCAATAAAAGGAAGGAAAATAGCGGCCATCCTTATTATTATATAAATTAATTAATAAAAGTATTAAAACTCTTTAAAGTTATGGGCGTTAGTATTATTTTTAATATTAATACCCCTATCGTTCTCGTTACTACTACTTTCTAAATTAAACGAATTTAAATTAGAATTATTATTATTATCTTTATTAAAAAATTACAAATCATCATCATCGTCGCTATTACTATTAAAAAATCATTACTTTAACGCCTCTGCTTCTTCTTAATTTATTCGATAATATTATAATTAATATATTAAATACAACGTTATAACTAACAATTAGAAAAATATTATTCAATACGCTAATTAGCTATTTATCGCTATTAATAATAAAAATACTTAATAAAGCATTTTTTAAAATATTAGTAACGTATTTAATTTAAATAGCGAAATAACCAAATCCAATTTTCCCCTCCTTATTAATCGTAATTTAAAATATAAATATAAAAATATTTATATAAATTGAAATAATACCTTATACTAAAGGGAAATAATAATAATTAATTTTATATATCGCGTTAATAGAAATAATAAAAAGGGATTGCTTCTACATTTTATACTAGCGCTCGAAAACCTAAATAGTATTAGAGAATATAATCTTGCCCTCGTCCTCCTATTCGATATAATAATAAATAACTTCATTATTATTTTCTAAAACTCTTACGAATATTTACGTATTTTAATACCCCTCTTAAATTACCTTCTTACATTATAATCGTATATTATAAAAATCCTTATATGTAACGAAGTAATTAGAATAATAGTCTTTATGAATAGAATAAATAAAGTAGATAATAAACTCCTTTCTTTCGAATAAAATATTAACCTAAAAGGTTGCTTCAATATCTAAAATTAATACTTTCTCCCGCCAAAAAAAATAGCTATCAAAATTCTTAAATAATAAGTAACCTTCGTATATACCTTTAGTAACCGTTATAATCTATTTCTAACTAATCGTTGCAATCGTATTAACTGTTATTCTAAATAAGTATTGCCTAGTAATCTTCGTAAATATACGAAAGCGTTTACTACGTAGGTTATTAGACAATTATTTATAATACGAAGTATAATCGTATTAATAAACGTAGTGATTAATTATATTATATATTAGGTACTTCTTATTTTTAATCCTATATATTTAGGATTGTAAAATAATAATACTAAATTAGTAATAATAATAAATAATAGCGAAGTAGTAATATACTTTATTAAGGGTATTGAAGGGGAATAATAGTTATAGCGGGTCGGGGATAATCTAAGTATTGCGATTAAACGAGGCGTTTAATACGAAGGTAGCGATCGAATCGTTCGATTTATAGCGACGGTGTAACGGGTCTGAACGAGTATTGCACAGCGAGCAGTCGTATAAGGTTGAAATGCTATATTTGATAGAGAAAGTAAGAGAGGAAAGATTATACTAGAAGGGTATAGTCGAAAGAAGGTTTTATACACTTGCGTACGGGCTAGGTAATTATGCGGGTTTGGCCAACTAGAGGGCCCGCATCCTTATTAATAAGGCAAGTACCTTATCAATAAAGACAATACGGTTTGGTAATAGCTAAGTTTAACCCCTAGGCTCTAGCCCTATAATATTACCCCCCTGCTCCCCTTTAGGGAGCACTATACAGAATATTTCGTAGCTAATTATACGAGAAATAATTAAAATCTAATATAATTGTACCTATACTATACATTCGTAAAAGGGGAAAAAATTAATAATATTAGAAAAGATAAGATTTCTCTATTTAAGCCCCTAAATAAACGCTATACAATTATTTGCCTACTACCCGAATCGGTAATACCGTACCCGCCATTACCTATATAAAATTACGCTTTAATTAAAGTAGTAAGATTAAATTAAGGGATATTTTTAGACCTTGTCTATCTAGGACCCTCTTCTACCGTTAAATATATTTATACCTAGGAAGTAGTTAGAATTAAGGCTATTACCCAATACTTTGTATTATTCTGCTTCTCTTACTAATAGGAGCCTTATCCTTACCGCTATAAGAATAGTTTAGTAGTCCTTATGCTTACGAAATATAATATTTATTACCTTCCTACGGTTGTATTTTATAGTAAATTCTTTTAATAGAAATATGCGTAGAGGGGTGGAATGAAACTAATTAGGTCCCTGATTAGTAGGTTATATTTAAATAATTATAGAAGTCCTTCCTTTACGAATTTGCAAACCTCCTTCTACTGTAGTTTTATTAGGGTATCTTCTATTTACCGATAAGATAATTATTTAGTCCGAATATTCCTCTTCTTTATAATCGTTGCTATTATAACTGCTTAAACTCCTACCGGGTTGTATTCGAACGTTATTTATTTTCGTTTTTTACTTATATTATTTGAATTAATAAGAATTATTCCTACAGTTTATATATTTACCCTTTTTCTTCTATTTATTTTTCTACTTTTAAGACAGTAACGAAGGTTTTATTACCGAAGTATTAATAGAGGTATCTATAGCATTACCCTTATTTTTAACTAGGGTATACTTTGAAGATGACGAGGAGGTAGTAGCTAAAAGAAAAGTATTATTATTAAGACGACGAAGATATTTTAATAATTGAGAATATTACTTAGGTACGTCGGTTCGGTCGGAGAGGCGTTACTTCTAATCGTGATTTAAAGTAGCGGTTAATTAGTTAATTTTAGTAGGTTCTAATTATAAGTTAATACGAACTTGGTAAAATATTTTTTTGAAACGGGCGAAGAAAATTGCTATTAATTCGCTTAATTTCTAACGGAGTTGGTAAAGCTCTTGTCCGGCCCTCTTAGCGGCGTTGGGGTCCCTATACGTAAGCTTAAGTTTATTAATGAGGGTAGCCGGCAATTATAATATAAGGGAGTTAGCGAATATAACGAGTAGTTTTTTAATAGTAGGTAATAGGTAGGCGAATAGACAGTAGAATTACGCTTCTATATTATTAATAGTAAATCTATTTATATAGAATTTAGCTTGCGCGCTTAAAACTTAAATTTCGAATTCTTCTTTATCCCCTAAAAACTTTTCTCATTAGAGAGGTACTAATTTCGGAGCGGCGGGTTTCGAAATAAGTTCGGTTAGTAACGTTTAGAAGGCAGCCGTAAATTACTATAAACGTTCTTAGGGATCCTAAAATTAAGGAATCGCGAGGAAAGCGGTTAGTACTATTATCGAAAGGGACGGGGGTCTAAGTAATAAGCGGGAGGATAAAAATTTCGTTATTAGAAGAAACAAGAGTAACGGGGAGAGAATTTTTTAGCGTACCTACGAGACAAGGGTAATGGTATTAACTTAAAAAGAGGATTAAATATAATATAACGGTTCCAAACGAGTATTATATAACGAGTAATTATATAAGGTTGAAATGCTATATTTATTAGAGGAAGTAAGAGAGGAAAGATTACACCAGAAGGGTATAATCGAAAGAAGGTTTTATATACCTGCGCACGGGCTAGGTAATTATACGAGTTTAGTTAATTAGAGGGCCCGTATCCTTATCGATAAGGCAAGTACCCTATCGATAAGAACAATACGGCTTAGCAACAGCCAAGCTTAACCTCTGGGCTCTAGCCCCATGACAGACGGCGAGGAAATATCTATATAAAATCTATTAACGATAAGCAAAGGGCAATTAATTTAAAATAATATAATATACTATTAATTAAATACGATATAAGGTTATAATACAATTAAGTATAATTGTATAATATTAATCGACTGCTAAGGTAGATTGAATTAAATAGATTGAAAAAGCAAAAGGTATTCGAATGGCTATAGAATGTTACGTATATTAGAAATACGAAATTTTGCGGCAAAAATAGAAGTTTCAAATATAGGTATTATATGTAGGCTACGGACTGGCGTGGGCTGTCAGGGTAAAGGTTTACTATAGGGGGTAAGTGCGTATAGTTTTGGGGGTGAGTGTGGGTAGGTTTTCTCTTCTTCATTCCATAACTCATCCCTTACGATTGCCTTGTTCGCTTTCAAAAGGCTTCCCATATTTGGCTTTGAGCTACTGAGGTTAACGCAGGGTATGATATCGTGACGTGAATACGTGACTTGAAGGCGTTATCGAAATCCTTTTTCCTGCTGGTCGTGAGGAACAGCACACCTTGAAAGTATTCAAGCATTCTTAGAAAGACTTAGGCTCTGTTAGCATTTGCCAAGCGGAATTATTAGAGAAAACCTACCCACACCTATACATTTCCTCCATGCACCCATAGTTTTAAGAGTTAGGGTCCCTGGCACTCTGTAATAGGCTATGATACTTGATATCCAAAAGCCTACTTTTAGCCATAAAATTTCGTCCTTTCAATACTCGTCATATTGAATATCATTTCAGGCACTCCGTATTCTAGTATTGAATTCTTAAGTGCACGCGCGTAGTGTAAATCCTTTTGTCAGATTCCGTATTCCTTAATATTCTGCAATCTCCTTATCCCTCGTTACTACTAATTAAAAGATTCCTTTTACCTCTTCCCTCTTAGATAGAAGGGGTACCCAATAGACTATAGTCCTCCCCGTTAATACAAATAACGAAGTTATTATGATAATAGAGATCTTGGTGCCCGGTATTGGCAACAGATCGGAAATACTAGGAAACTTGAAAATACCTGCTAAAACAATCATATTATACGACAGCTGACGCGGGTGGGTATATGGGTGCATGGAGGAAATGTATGGGTGCGGGTAGGTTTTTGTTAGGATCCAATAAGGGATCACTTATGTAAGCAGCTAGATAGACCAATCAGGAACGCGCCGCAGTACCGGCGCCGCAGCAGCGGTGCCGTAGAGGCGGCTCCGGGAGCGCCGCAGAGCCGCAACTGTAATAGCGGCGCAGCGGCGCCCTTCTGAAGGTCGGTATATAAGACGGCCTCCCCAGGCCTCTTATATTACGGCTCTTCAGCAAGCAATAGCTTTCACAATCGATCAGTACCTTTTGGCTACTACTACCATTGTTCTTATTCCCAGCGATATACTCCTGTGCTTGTAACGGTTCGTCACAGTTTTCTCAATTATTGGGTGAGTTGCGACACTTGCCTCCGACAATGGCATTCCTGTCAATTTCTGCAGAGTTTCTCCTGCACAAGAGAACATCTGCCTCGTCGAGAAGCGTGACAGCATTCCATCGCTTGGCCAAGGAGAAGATGCTTTCGAGTCTTTCTTCGACCTCACGCACGCGGGTACCGATTTCTCCGCCGGAAATGGAATACAATGGTTTTTCAAGATAGTCCGCAATGCTCTCTTGGCTATAGTTAGTGGGTGTGGCATACCATGCACCTCGCAAACCGCAATGGGACAGAGTACATACCAGCTGTGAGTGTCTTCCCTAGCCCGGGATTTCTATAACTTGTCAGCCGTTCATTCCCGAGAGCTCCCATCCTTCAACCCCAATAGCATGCATGGCAGCGAGAGTTGCGCGCTGTGGCCGTCACGTACCCATGAAGGAGAAAAATCAGCCCTTGACCCTTCCCAGCAATGACATCGTCAAAGACAACGCCTTTGCTCTTGTGTCCCTTGACCAGAGCCTCAACCATGTCCTTCGTCATTTGGTCATGTTAAAGAGATTGAAAGGCCTTTCTATTCCACTCGATATCTTGCAGCTCGTCACTCAGGACCCACCACCACTTTTTGCCTCTCAAACCAAACACGGGAACAAGGGCAGGAAACAGCAACCCAAAATCCTCCTTCGATATGTGCAAGTACCTCATGGCAGCTTTCGCTACGCCATTAATCGTGCTTAGATCTTGTTGGTCGGAGTCGTCGGAGTCAATTGCCATGGAGGATTCAGCGGTTCGGTACGCCATCACATCCTCGACGTCTTCTGGCCTGATTGGGGGTTTCTCGGTCTCTGACTCGGAAGTGTCTGTATCGGAACTAGAGGTACTGTCACGTCGCCGCCGTCCTTTCCGCAACTTGGATTTCAGATTCCGTTCAGGGACCATATCTGTCGAAAGTCATGATCACGTGACGTAGAGCCTTAACTTGAGCCTCAACTTGAGCCTCACTCTCGTATTGGTATATAGGTAGATAAGGGTATCTTAAGGGTAGACGAGGCAAGCGGATATAAAAGGAAGGTAGTTATATCGTAGTTTACTTTCTCTTATTAAATAATATGGCTTTTTTCCCACTCTTATCATATATATTTTAATAAATTATGAGCCCAGCTCCCGCTATACGGCAACTATACTGATATTACGGGCTAGAAAGCTACTAAGCCGCTTTTAATTTAGCGTATCGGTAAATACGTTTCTCCAAATAAACGATAACCTAATTCTAACCCTATATTTTATCCGATTAGAATAAATATATTTATCCTATTTCCCTTATACCTAAAATAACGAAAATAATATAAAAAAGACGGGAAAATACATTAAAAATCGGGTATTTATCCTTTTATTCCAAATATTAGACTACTAATTTTGTTTTATTTAATATTAAATATAGAAGTAAATAACGGACTAAAAACGGGTAAGGGTAATAAGTAACGTAATTATCAATATGGACGTTCTTAATTTAGGCGCTTTATTTAACCTTTAAGTACTATACGTACTATAAAATAAAATAAGTTTTTATAGTTAATTAGAACTATTAAACGCTTATTAGAGTATAGTAATTTATAGAACCCTATAGATACCGAGAGCGATAATACGTTCGAACTGGTAGGGATACTATCGCTAATATTAAAAGAATTTGAGAAGGTAGGGATAGTTAATAAAATCGAGCTACCGAGTAATAGGGATATTTTCAGTATCGAAATTAAATCCCTAAATATTAGTAGTCTCCTAAATTAAACGGAATCTCTATTCTAATTTCAAATATTTTATTTCTATAATAATAATACCCTTATCTATCCAATATATTAAATAAATAATTTTATTACCTTAAATAATATAACTCTACGTATTAAAACTAATAACGACGATTGTAAAGATACTATCGAAGCTATTATTAATTAATTTAATAGGGTTTTAATTCCGGATAAATTTAGAAGAAATAATACTTCTACGGAAAATAGACCCAGCGGTACAATACCGGTAGCCCCGCATATCGTTCCCGTTATTATAGGTCCTTCCGTTGCCTTTAATCCGATTTTTCTTACCGGTATTAATATTAATATTAATTTAAAATTAAACGGAAAGGAGTCCTACAAAGCTTAATATCGCTTCTAGTAGTTTATAATCGACGTTATAAATATTTACAATATTAATAAAATTCACCCTACTGTAAATAAAGTCCCTATCGACTTTCTAAAAGCTTAGAAAAATAAGTGATATTAATATATTAAAATTCTTTCTATAATACTTCATGAATTTACTAAACAATTATTAGAAGGGGAGATAACCGTTATTAGGTTCTTTACTAAAGCTAAAGTAGAATTCTTAGACGAAGGAATTAGGGTACTATAATAAATTTAATAGGAATAAGACAATCTAAAACTTATTAATTTCGATAATATTTAAGCATTAGGTTAGAAGATCTCCTCCCTATAAGAAGAATATATTATTTTTAGCCCTGACTATCAATTGCCCGAAAGTTAATTAATTCTAAAACTATTATAAACGCTTAATTAAAAGTAATATAGTATTTAAAAGACGAGTTTCTAAACTATTTATAATAAAGTACTACCTATTTTTTAAAATATATTACGTTTAGCCGAGGATAAATTTATCTGTATTAGCGCCGAAATAAATGATTATAATTCGGTAGCGATATTAGTAAGGGAGTGGAGTATAATATTAATCCTGCTTATTAACGACCTTCGGAATAAATTCTATATATATTATAATAAGAAGTATTATAATAAGGACGGGTGTTAGGATTTCTACCTAGAATTGAAAAAGGAATACAATGCCCGCAAATAAAGGAAGAAAGATAAAAACCTATTTTCAATATTAATTTTTATAATAATAACCCCGACCTATTAAATAGTTTTTATTATAAATATAGGACTTTCTATCTTATCTTCTTCCATCCCTATTTACAATAAATTGAAAACGAACATCGTATTTACTTTTTACGATATATTTTACAACAGGATAAAAGTACTTTACTCAGTTTAAATATCCTACTTCTTTAATTCGGGTTATAATTAATATATAATAATAATTCGAAATAACTTTATTAATTTTAAGCTATATAATAGCTCTATTACCGGTATTGGCAGCGTAAAGGTTCCTATATTAAGTATTAACGTAGTTAAGAAGAAATATAACTTTAACGGTACGGTTATTATAATTCGATTTAATAATATTCTTTTTACCCTTAATTTTAATATTAATTTAATTTCTATAACCTAATTCCTTAATTATAATACTAATATAATTTTATTTAAAAATTACTAGCGAATCGAAAAAAGCGGGATAGGTATTTAAGTTACCCGCTTTAATAATTTATTTATTTTATAAACTACTGATACTACTTAGTAAATTCTAGTCTTTCATTCGGTTAGCCCGAAGATAAGATTTTAGTACGAATATATAGGGTATTTAGGGGAGGGAAATTTTATTAAAATAAAAAATATAATCGATAAAATAAAAGATACCCAATAATACTATACGTACGAAATATACATTAAAGGCCGGATAAAGGACATTCTATACTATAATAAACTTCGATAAGCTGAATATATATTGAATATAATTTATATAGATATTTGTAATCCATTTAATATTATAAGACATCGAAGTAAATACTATTAAATTATATTAAATCGATAGATATAATAGATTTAGCGGATTATTAGTTATTAAAGATAGGGTAAGGGTATAGGAATTTATTTAAACTTTCATATAAAAGCTAGAAATAAAGGAACCCTGAAGAACAAAGTATATAATTATTTACTTAGTAATACGAGGATTATTCAAAGTACGTAATATAGGGTTATTAGAATGAGGTTATATTGTGTGCAAAAAGAAGAGATGTTGTAAGAGGAAAGGACTGGCTTCCAGCTAGCCGTCTGCACGCAGAAGGTATACTGTGCAGCGAGCTAGGGCACGGGCCACGAGGTAGCCCGAGCTCTAGGCGACAGGACTGGGCATGGCAAGCTAGTGCCTCCATGGCAGCCCAGCTAATCTAGGCTGTCATTACTAGTCTAAGCTATAATATAGGTAAGGTAGGGAAATCTAGGAATTACCCTATCACTTAGATAGAGCTTAAAAATTTAATAATAATGAATTTAATATATAGGTAGCTAAGAGAGGCATACAAATCGAACGGTCTATAACGGAATAATATTAGTCTAATAGTATAGCGGAGAGTTTAAATTTATATGTCCGTAAAAGGTTATTACTAATTATGATTGGAAGGAATATTCCAAAGGAGTTTTAGTTAGAAATCTTTAAAACGGTTAATTACTTTAAGAATCGAAGCCCCTATTTAATATTCGATATAACGCTTTATAAGCTAAGTAATAGGTAAAAATAAAATATTAGTAATATTAAAACTATTAGTATAATAGCTTAATATTTTATTCTAGAAGCAAACCGGAAAAAGATCGATAAAAAAGTAGTTAAGTGTATACTTATCGATTTTGAAGAATATATAGTCTATAGGCTTTTAACGCCAAATAAACGAATAATTAAATTAAAAAAGCGTTAATTAAACGAAGGATAAAAGACGTAATTATGTAAATAATTCCGAATCCGAATTCCCGGACCGGAGCCGATAATATAGCGCTGGATTAAGGTAAATACGTAAGTATAAAAAGTAAATAAATAAATCTATAGGGTAGACGACCTTAGACCCTGGACTAAAGTAAATAATTAATTAGTTAAAGTAGATTAAAGAGTATTCTAGGTAGATTAGGACGCAATTTAGGTAAATAGAAATTTCCCGATTTATTAGTATTAACTTTACCAATAATATAGTCTTTACCTTCTAAAAAATAACGTTAAAGGTCTATTATTACATAAATTGTACTTGTAGGGTAATAGCGTATACTAAATAACTTTTCCCTAAGTATTCTGGAAGTAAATAATAAAGTTTAAGCCTTAAGGGGATATATTATTAGGCCGTAATATAACAGTATAAATATAAATAACGTTATTAATTAATATTTTAATGAAAAGATATTTAGAATTTTAATATCTGTCAAAGGATAGGATTCTCGAATATTAATACCCTATTTAATATTATATATTGTATATTAACGATAATAGTACGGACTTAGAAAGAATAGAACTAATAACGCTAAAGGAAATAAAGTAAAGTTTCTTCTAGAAAAAATAATTAGAACCGATAGCTAATAAATATAAATCTCTTATCTAAAATAGTATATAAGAATTAATAGACGTTATACTAAAAATATAGATTTTACATAATAAATAAGTTTATAAACTTAAATGTAAGCTAAATAATAAGGTTATTAAACGAAAGGTTCGATAGGTAATCTATAGTTTTGAATAAATCGAAGGAGTAGATTATTTTAATACTTTTACTTCAGTTATTAAGTTAATAAATTATAAGATTCTATTTACTATTACTATAGCCTTAGATTTAAAGATAGAATAAATAGATATTAAAATAGCGTTCTTATACGGGAATATAGAGGAGACAATTTATATAGAATAACTTTCTAAATTCGGAAATAGTACTAATAAAGTCTATAAATTAAATAAAGCATTATACGGCTTCAAGTAAATACCAAGAATTTGGTTCAATACATTTACCTTAGTATTGAAATAATTAGGCTATAATCCTATTACTATTAATTGTAGAATATCCTTTAATAACGGTATATTTATAGTTGTTTATATAGATAGTTCACTAATTGTAGGGAAAGATAAAATTGAAATCTAGAATTTAAAAAATACGTTAAATATTAAATTCTAAATAATAAATTTGGGTTTATATTACTACAATTTTAATATCCGTATTACCCGTAATCGACGGGCTAAAATAATTTATTTCGATTAATAGAAGTATATTGATAAAATCTTTATTTACTTCGGTATAATATATTATACTCTAGTAGATACTCCGATACTTATTAACTAGCTAAAGAAGGCCAGGGAAGGATAGTAAATTAAGAAAGTCAAAATAATAATATATTAATTAAGCGTTAGGTCCTTAATATACGTTATATCCGGTACGCGGCTAGATATTACGTACGCCGTTTCCGTAGTTAACCAGTACTTTAACAACTCTATTAAAATTTATTTCTATATGTTAAAGAGGATTTTTAAATATTTTGAAAATATACGTAATATAATACTAATATTCTTTAGAAATTTAAACCCTTTACAAAAAATATTCTAACTTTAATTGGGCCGGGGATTATAATACTGAAAAATTTATTATTAGTTTTATATTTAACTTCGGTAGCAATAATATCAATTAGAATTCTAAGAAACAATAGATGGTAATTCTATTATTAATAAAAGTAAAATATATAGTATAAATATAAATAAATAAAGAAACTATTTGGTTAAAGCGGTTATATATAGAATTCAACTTTAATTTTCGGGGGGAAACTAACGTAGATATAGGGGAAACAAAAACCGTTATTATTTATTACAATAATTAAGGAGCTATATTATTTATATTAAACCCTATATACTATTAAAAGATAAAGTATATCGATATTTAATAATATTTCGTACGTAAAAAAGTTGAAAACGGATGTATTAATTTTATTTATATACTAACGGAGGAGTAAATAATTAATAAATTAACTAAATTATTTACTAAAGATTAATTCTTATCCTTTAAATAAGGATTAGGTTTTATCGATATAAATAGAGTGTAAGGAAGTTTTGAGGTAGGTACGAATATAGGTATTAAACTACCTATTAAATAAGAGTTGGAATTTAGTAATAGTGAAGATAAATATTAATAGACGGGTATAGAATATGGGGGAGTCTCTGTATTATTTGTGACTATCGAGGGGGAGTGTCGAAAATTATAATTACGTAACGCAGAGCCTTAATTTGAGCTTCAATTTGAACTTTACTCTCGTATTAGTATATGGGTAGATAAGGGTGTCTTAAGGGTAGACGAGGCAAGCGGATATAAAAGGAAGTCAGTCATATCGTAGTCTACTTGCTCTTATTGAATGATATGGCTTTTCTCCCACTCTTATCGCATACATTTTAACAATACCCCTCGCAGCGGAGCGCAAATTTCCGACAACCTTTTTTCGGGATGGATCGCAAATCTCCTGCAGGGTTGGGAGACGTGCGTCTTGGGATTTGGCCTTAAAGTCCACCATAACGCGTTCATCGATCTGCTTTGCCGTCAACAGGGGGTTTGCTCCATCCAAAAAACTTAACTGACGCATTTTCCATGACGGTCCGTTGTACGTCTTGCACATGAAGGATGAGAGGTCAACGCCAAGAGCATCGGTAGCGATTCTGACCTTCTCTGCTGTTTCCTTTTCAAAGATTCCCAGTCGGGGTAGTACCGAGCGGGAATCAAGGATAGCCCAGATATCTTCAGTGGGCGCATGCCTGTCAAGGGGGTGAGGAATTCCTGCTTTGTCAGACCCGGTGATGAGCCGTCAAAATCGATTCTCAGCCCGGTTACAACCCAGTAGGTTTGGCCGGTGTGAGTATCGGTCATAGTTGACACGTTGCGGCAGATCCAGCATTCTTTCAAAACCCCGGTGTTGAGCACGAGCAAGCTGTTCGGTGGGTATATTGTCCAGAGGATGTCGTTGACGACCTTTTCTTCTTTCAAAAACCTGTCGTGGTCTTGGATGATGCTAGCCATGAATCCGTTGGGTTTGTGCACAAACTCATCGAGACCTTTGGCGGCCTTTCGCAGATCCTCGTCAATGGTATCATCTTCGGCAAGCGCTTTGATCTCTTTTCGATAAAAGAACAATTCGGAGAAAGGGCTTCTAAGCTTGATCGGATACGTTTGGAAATCGGTGGTTTCGTATGCTTTGGCAGCAATTTCCCGAAACTTGACACAGAGAGGCTTTGAGTAAATCTCCAGCTCGATGCTGACGAGAAGCGATACGTGGTGGTGCTCCATCCATGTGCGACGAAGGACAATGGCATGATTTTCCAGCCCGTCCTCTGGCTTTGCCTTCGCTGAGATCTTTTCCCTAGGCAGAAACTTCGCAGTTGGGAATATGGCGACATCCTTTCCCCCGATGCCTTCAGCATGATATTCTATAATATCAATGAAACCTTTCAACGGGCCGGTTGTTGCGTCCTGTGTTTCGCATCTGTTAGCACTCCGTTACCACGTTCCTAGGCGAGTGAGGTGCAATGATAGTCTTTCATACCTCGTCAACTCGCGGATCTTGTTCACGACCAGCGGTTTGCCCAGTGTTGCCAGTGCTTGAACCGCTAGCGGCAGTTGCACTTGAGGGATAGTGTGTGGGAAGCCTGGTACTATAATCGTTGAACGACATCGCAATCAACTGAGCAGACAAGCAAAAAACTGAGGTGCAGGGTCAAGTCACCATGCGTATTTTGTGTATGGATCTGGTGGAGATACATATATCTTGTCGAGGCACAGAGCTGAGTGCACAGAACTTGCATGCTGCGGAGATGGTAGTACCTAATCACCGGAACTCAGCCTTGCTAAAGTAAGCTAATCGCGCACAAGCATCTCAAATCTCGATGAACATGCATATACTACAACTGAGTCGTCGCTGGCTTTCTGGGTAGCGGCAGAAAAACTGTTCAAGACCTCGAGGTGGATGGGCTCATACTTGATAGGCCAGTGGAAGCTGCATTTACTAAGGTCGCTAGGTAGGTAGAATTGACAACAGACTCTGACATGGCACCAAGTCAGGTATTGTCGATTCTGGATCTTTCCTTCCCTGCAGCGAGCTGGGATTGACTGTGATGTGCCACACTCTGTGGCTTTCAGAAGTCCACAACTTTGCCTGCAGCTCGAGGCCCGATCAATACATTCTAGGCGTGCCTACATCAGCTCTTCGCTTTTCTTTCACTGTCAAATTTGTTTTACCCCGTGGAAGCGTTTCGAACATCTACCAAACCTCTTCTGAGGTTCAAACCCAATACATCCTGTTCTTTCTGCCACCATTTTCTCCTTCATCATTCGTTCTATTGCGCTCTGCATTGTTGGTCTCGAGCGCCCAAACATCACATTCGACAATTCATACGCCTAGTTCAATATGAAGGCCCAGATTCCTCTCCCCGTCGCCATGACCAAAGGTGACGATAACACGGGAATGAGAGGGTGGAATGTGGATCGAAGGACTGCTCAACAGAAATACCGGCAGTCTCTCATCATCCTCGCACTCTCACTCGTCAATGTCAACGCAATCTAGCGAGCAGATCCAGCCAAACCCCATGGAAGTCAACAAAGATTCTCCAGAACCAATTACCATTGATGAAAACATTGTCCTCAAGGAGCTTTCCATCCACAAATGCTTCCGCTTGCCGGCTCATGCGCCTGGCGTCGAGGTTACAGATCTCCCCAACTTTGACGATGTCACTCCGTACGGGGCAACAGACGAAGTACAGCAGCAACTGTGGGAACTCGAGACAAAGAGACTTGTCAAGGCTGTCACTGAACGAGAGCCTTTACGGTTTCGAGGTTCCATGGATCTGGCCATCGACTCAAAAGAGGCATATGCCATCCTTGCCAGTCTTGCAGACAGGGTAATGCAGGCCCTGACTATCATCTCTCACGACGGCGAGTCCATGTTAGCAGAACATCACAGATCACTCTTCAGCAAGACAAAGTGGCGGGATTCCCAAATATCATTAGGATATATGTGCGATAAGGAGGACGACCGAGATGCTGGCGAAAGACGGCCAGAGGAAGCAGCTAAGGGGAACACTGAAGACTTCTTCCGCTTCGTGGACTACTGCACCGCTATCACGGCTCGTTTCCTTTGCTCGGCCACCGAGGGTACCTCCGTTCACGTCAATATCCTCGCACACATGGCAAAAATCACGACGAAGATCAAAGTTGTAGCAGCCGATTTCAAGAGACATGCACAGGTGTCACTCGACAATGGAGTCTCAGAACGGCAAATTGCAATACCCGATGAACACGGAGTTCGCGGATTGAACAAGGCGGTAAATTTGCCAACCATGAGCATGGCCGCTGGCAAAGCACCAGGGCAAAAGCCGACTCGTGAAACTGCTGATAGCTCAGAGGAATTCGCAGATGCGTATATGGATCGTTTGATTGAGAGTCTGGAGTCCCGAACTCTAGATCGCATGGCACCTCTTGAGACGGCGACAAAGAAAAAGGCACTTCGCATAATATACTATCAAAGATGTGATAGCTACCGATGCGGTCTTGTCGGAATGCTGGAAGGGTTCTTGGTCCATCTCAGAGGGACTAGCAAGTTGACACAAACATTTTCGACGTCCTATGAGATCAGTGGGATGGTCTACGAAACTGGCTTTGAACGTTTTCGGACACTTGTATTCCAAGACGAGGAGCACAACTTCAACGGAACTTCCGACGCGCTCAATGTGAATTATGCTCGGAATGGCTTTCACCTTCTCAACCAAACCCTCGAAAAAATGCAGGCGGAGATGATGCCAGAAATAAACACACCGGATGAACACGATGCAGTTTCGATCGGGACCGCGATATCATGGAACTATACGCCTGACAGCCCTAACACGGGCCCCAAGAGCCCCAGCACACAAGCCAGACATATCGTCAAACTCAGGTCTATGTCCGACACTATTACCGTACTCGTCCCGCTGTTACTCGCAAACCCATCCAGGGCATGCTCCGTGTCCAACTTCTTCAACAGGATAACCTTCGTACAACACCTGAGACTCCACTCACAACTGACAGAGGAAGATCGGAACGTTCCGTTCAAGCCCTACACTTACCCCGATTATACAGCCTATTTTTCTCTTTCGACGGAGGAGTATCGTGTTGAACAGTGCTCCCGTCCCCTTGATGGACCGAAGTCGCTCTCCAACGCCCTGATGCGCCGCAACAATCTCCATAGAGGGGATGGCATCACAGCGCTTCCACGAGTAAGCAGCAATGCTTGCAGTACGCCGGATCTTCGAAACACAGGATCTTTGACATCTCGCATGGCCGATCAAAGTGCGCTTGAAAGGATTGAGTCTCGCCGGCAAGAGCTCGACCGCGTGGGAAACATGATGAAGTCCTGGGTTTTTGAGGAGAATGGAGTCATGGTTACGTGCAAAGCGTACGTGGCTTTGACAATGCTCTTCTGCGCTGTTCTTGTTGGAGGCGGGATAGCCGTCGGGGCAACAGTCGGCACAAGAATCACTGCGGTTGATCCGTTCAACGTCACGATGTACTGCTGGGTGTTGGCAGCGTTTGTGCTACTCGTGGCAAAAAGTGTTCGGGTCCATGACTGGCCTTGGAACGACTTCCTCCATTGGCGAGTCCTGTGCAGGAGCGTCTCCGAACTATCCTCAGTGACGGGGATTGATGACCAGCTCATCCTGGCGAAGTTGTTACAAGACGAAGCCGTTTCCTGCCTTGATACCAGAGGACCGTTCAATACGGTATTCTGCCGGAGGTCCGGTGGCGGTGACGGCTTCTCGATAGATCGCCCCATTGGCATGTGGGCGATGCTTGTCAGCGGGTTGATCATGATTGAGGTTGAGTCCATGAACGGTCGGGGGTTGGTCTGTCTAGACCTCCGCAGAGGGACGAGGGGTGCAGTCATCAAATGCGTGGGGGACTACTAAAAGTGTGATCCGGAAGACCGGCCATCGTATATCTACTGCAACCGCATACCAGAACGCAAATGCAAGGAACGCGAGGCACAGGGCGAGCAGGGCCACGGAAACCCGTGCAAACTCGTTCTGAACTGTGGGGATATCCTCTGGATGCGAGCCTTGGGGTTCTATTCTAACAAGGATGCATTGTTCATCTAATCAACCATCCCTAGATTGCCTCTTGCCTGGAGGGGAGATACCTAGTATGAGAGCGGAAGTTCAAGTATGAGGCCAGCTGGGTGAGCAATGTTACAGTACTCATTACTTACCTTCCTTTTTGCTGTAGATTGAAGAAATCATTCCCTCCCTCCACCCAACTACCTACCAAGCGTTCCACATCCCACAAAAAGTCGTCCACATCCCCCTTGATATGCCACGCCTCATTATACGCACAACTCAAACACAACACCCCATCAAACTTCCCCAAAAACACCCCCAACCCATTCGTCAGTTCCTCCCCCGTCACCCACGGCCTATGCACCTCCAACTTCCCCCTCCCCTCCCCTCCCAGCCCCAAGGAATGCTCCCTCTTCACAATCCTATCCACCACCCCCATGCTAGAGATACTCACACTCGGCACCTTTTTCGGCTTCGGCACCTCCATTTTCTCCTCCCCCTTCAACACTCCCTCGGGAAGCAGAGGCGTATGCTCCGCCCAGGTTGCGGGTGCTAAAGCGTAGTGCAGGGGATCGTCCCTCACAGCGGTATAAAACCCCTTAATCTGCTCCAAAACAGTCTCAAACTCCTCCCTCCTCTCTTCCCTTGTCTCGGGAAGCGTAGGGGACATGTCGACTTGTAGCTTGGAGGCAGACAGCGAGTGATACACCGACACACAATGCTTCGGCGTGTCGTAGGGCGGTTGACAGGAGCCGCGCTCGTTGTGGAGGAGGTAATTGGTGTATCTGACTTTTTGTCCTGGTCCTGCGGCAGGTCTATGGGAAGCGGTGGAAGAAGGAACGGAGGAGGAGGACTTGGAGGAAGGGGGTTTCATATGGGTGTTGCGCAGCGCGAGGGCGATGGCTGCGTGGAAGGCGTGCGTAACTGTCGTTCCAGGGTGGTGCTTTTTGAGGGAGGTGGTTAGGGCGGAGGTGCGTTCGCTGGAGATGTAGTGCGCTACGCGTTGGTGTTTGCCCGGCAAGAGGGGGCCCTTGGCGAAGGGGATGCCGATGTCTAGGGGTGCCAGGGTCTGGTCGTCGGGGTTTGATGAGGGCTCAGAGGCTGCGGCTTTGATGGCGTCTAGTCGGGCCTGTTGCTCTGGAGTCGGGACCAGAGGAATGTTGGCGGCCACCCGGTAGGGCGGGCTCAGGTTGGATGCTTCGGAGCCGTCGAAAACGGGGAGCTCGCGGAAGAATTCACCTTCGCTGAAGGCTTGGGCGGTTTTGGTGACGAGACTGTTGAGGAACTGGAGAGTGCCGATGCCGTCGATGATGTCGTGGGGAGAGCGCAGGACGAGGTCTCGGCGGATGGTGGAAGGATCCTGGAGTGGAATTGCAGGGCAGACGACGAACAGAGTGGCTGTGTTTGGAGCGGGTGGATCGCAGTTGGCCCAGTCTTCGCCGGTGTGGCCGAAAGCGGTTGATATCACTTGAAACGTCTTTTCGAGCCATGATTTTGTTGATACGTCGTCGGGAATGGTTCGATAGGACTTCTTCCATTTCCCATCGAGGGCGTCGTAGTGGACATATGAGGCAATGGTTGGGGTCTCGTAACGCTGTCTGAGCCATGCAATGCGGAGGGATTCGTCGAGCCGTTTGGAAACGACTTCGCGGTCCTCATCTTCGGGGACTTGAATGGACAAGGAGATGTGGCCCGTGATGGCGAAGAGCATCCGTCCGGAGCCTTCGTAGAGCTTGACCAAGGTTGAGTAACACACTTCTGCTTCATCGGCATCCCGCTGCCATAGTCCGGGACGGATTTGACGCCAGCTGTAGTCATCACGCTTGAGTCCGGCCTTCAGCACCCTCATCTTGGAAGCTCGGGTATGAGAGTGGAGTCGTGATGTTTTGGTGTCAAAAAGGGGGAAGTAAACAAACGGTGGGTCCGGTTGCTTGGCGTCTAGACGAGCAATTCTTGGCGGGATTGTCGCCCTTTTTGCTGTCGATTTGTCGATGCAAATGAATCGGACAGATTGGATTCTGTGGCCTTATCATGGGTTGAGAGGCTTCCTCAATCTTTCGTGGTTCAAAGTCATGAGGTGTTGATGCCTGGAATCAATCCAGAGTCAGTGCGGCCCGACGGGCATGAAAGCTGGATCATGTGTGCCATAGAGCCGATCTTGTTGACAACCAGCAAGAACGAAGGGACAGAGGAGGTTGTTCCGGGGTGTTCCATTGGCCACTGCTGAAGCATGAGCGATGTTTAGCCGTTCCGTTCCGATCCGCCAACCCGATCATCACCGGCCGGCATCAGGAAGGAGGGGCTTGCAGCAACGCAGTCTGATGTGTGGCTGCATCAAGCCTCAAACACCCCGCCATTGGATTGTGGCTGACAGCTGGTTTCGACTTTGGGGAAATCAGCTGCCAACATCCATTTCCTTTCCATTTCCCTCGAACAACCCCGGTACCTGCGACATGGAGTTACACCCGACCATCCCAAATGCACAACGGTATGTATGTATCCCACGAGAAATTTGGTCCCGGGCCTAGTCAACTGATCATGAAGTGTTAACGATGTAGATGTCTGTTGACAACTTGACCCTTTGCTTTCCGTTCATCTGTTCACTACTCCAACTCGTTACGTGAAACAGACGAGTAAGCACTCTATCGCTGTTCACATGTCATGAGACGGCTCGTTCCGAGTTCCGACACTAGCGCAAGTCCAAAGCATTGGAGATTGGGGGTAGTGGTTGATGAGGTTCGAATTGACTTATCAAGTGGCTGGGCCGTGACCCGAGTGTAACAACTCAACCTGCGGGATCACCTATCAGCGAATTCTAGACGAATCCGACAACACACGGAGTTTGTCGCGGAGGTTCGTTACCCCTTCAAGTAAGTTGGGTGGTATTGTGGTGGGGTCTTCAACCCGACTCAAGAACTACCGGATACTCTTGGTAGAGGATGAGCCAATCACGCTTTTTGCTCCCCTGCAAGATCTTCCCACATATCTTCAGAATGGAGCAAGCCGAAGTCCGGGACTACGGGGACCAAAAAGTTCTGAAGACCTATATCAACGGCTTTCCCTTCACGGATATCTGGTGCTCTTCTCAACATCTACGCAACGACAACATACCCAGACATGGCTCTCACCGAGCTGCTCGGAGCCCTCCCGTTGGTCTCCAGCGGGATGCCCAAATTCCAAGTTGCCGCCATCTATCTCGCCATTGGCTTTGTCTCTTGGTACATTATCTCATCCACTACGGCTTGGTATCGTCTCAAGGCCTTTCCAGGCCCTCCTACCACCGGCTTTTCCAACTTTTGGGCCGCTAGAGCTGTGTGGACCGGCAAAACACGCAAGATCTTTCCCGAGACTCAAGAGAAATATGGCCCAATTACTCGCATTGGGCCCAACGCTCTCATGGTCTGCGATGCCGCTACCGTTGTCAACATCAATGGCGTACGCGGCGGCTACGCTCGGCCAAAAGACTTCTACGACTGCATTCGAATGGACCCATGGGATCAAACTGTCCTCTCAGAGACTGACTCAGCTATGCACAACGAGCGCAAGACAAAGGTCTACGCAGGCTACCAGGGCAAGGGCGAGATGGATCTTGAGAAGGATGTCAACATGGTCGTTTCTGAGGCCGTCGAGCTTGTTCGCACCAAGTACATGCACTCTGCCACTTCTGGACCCAAGCCCCCCCTGGACTATACCCGTATTGCTCGACACATTGCCGTCGACGCGGTCACGCAGACCGGTTTTGGCAAGGCTTGGGGTGATGTCCGCGAAGAAAAGGATCACTTCGGCTGGCTTGGCTTTGCGGATATGGCGGTTGGGTATGTGCATACCTTGGCCTACATTCCTGCAATCAGCAAGATCGTGCTGTCAAAGCCCTTGATGGCTCTTCTAGGTCCGAAGCCAACAGATAAGACCGGTATGGGTGCTTATCTCGGGTGAGTCCACAAGTTCCCAAAATTGCATCAACGACTACATGCTAATAGCTAATCCTTCCCAGTCTCATCGAGCGTGAGGTTGCTAGACGCTACAAGGATGGTGAAGCGAAGGGTAGGCCCATCAAGGCCGACACTGGCCGCTCAAGCATGCTTGTAAGTCACCAACCTCCACCGCTCTCATCCACGCTAACACATCTTCCTCAGGACGAATGGGTCAAACATGGCGTCACCCAACGGACGGCCGTGCTCGAAGTGTCCGCCCAACTCCCCGCCGGCACCGACACCACCGCCTCCGCCCTTCAAGGCACCATGCTCTACCTCCTCTCCACTCCCTCCGCCTACTCGCGCCTCAAGTCCGAGATCGCCACCGGCATCCGCGAAGGCCGCATCTCCTCCCCCATTACCGACCAGGAAGCCCGCAAGCTGCCCTACCTCCAAGCCGTCCTAAACGAAGGTATCCGCATGATGCCTCCCCTCATGAACGGCTTCCCCCGTCAGGTGCCTCCCGAGGGAGACACTATCTGCGGCAAGTTCGTGCCCGGAGGTACGGACATCTTTGTCAATTATATAGCGTTGTTGCAAGATAAGAGCGTGTTTGGCGAGGACGCGCACATGTTCAGGCCGGAGAGGTACCTGGAGGGGGATGAGGAGCACAGGAATCGGTTGTTCAAGACGACCGATTTGGCGTTCTCGCATGGAAGGTGGAGGTGCTTGGGGCAGAAGCTGGCTTGGTTGCAGTTGCAAAAGGTTACTGTTGAGGTGAGTGACTCAATGATTATAACGGGAAATGTTGTGGATGATGAGAGGCTGACAGGAAGACAGTTCATGAGGAACTTTGATATGCAGATTGTGGATCCGATGCATCCTTGTAACTTGAGGTGTCACTGCACGCCGGAGATGGATGATTTGATGGTGAGGATTACGGAGGCGAGGTTGGATTAGGTGTTGAGACACTACATGAGGAACACATCTCGGAAGATGAAACATTACAAGGTTGGTGTCCAAGCCAAAAAAAAAAAAAAAAAAAAAAAAAAAAAAAAAAGTCATCCACCTTCATCACAGATTACCTGTTACCGATCAACCACCACCGAGTGTACCCGTTCCCCCATAACCATCACCATTACCATCAACCATTAGTCGTCAAGCATCAATTATCAGCCATTATAAAGCATCCAAATCCTCGTATTTTTTCCCATGATCATGTTCTGTATCTCTCACATCCCGGACCGCATCCTGCCCCTCCGATTCATCATGATACATCTTGCACTTGAGGATCACACTCACTCCTAGAGTTCTTGAATCGCCCTTCGACTCTTACTCTCCATTAACGGGAATATTGGGGTGTACAGAGCGCTTAATATATCTTAAGCGTAGCTCAACGCTGTTAACCGCTGGCCAACGCCTTTAAGCGTTGAAATATCTTACAGGTATGCTGTTGCTAGTTAGATGGGCGTAACTTCGGGTAAGTGGTAGCGGTAGAGATACTGACCATGTGAAAAGAAGAGTACAAAAGCTGGCTGCCTACTAGCATCGACTACTGCAATGTCTTCAAGGGGGGAACATCCCCCCTGACCATGCCCCAGTACTGGATAGCCACCGCAGGTTCGGTGCCAACAAGGTGTTTCCTCTCGTTCTTGGGATCCGCCATGAGGGTGATGTGGCTATCGCAGTTCCCGTCCCAGGTGACATACAGGTAAATATGCCCCGAAATTAGGAGCTTTTCGATGTTGTGGCCCATAACGACGGTGATGTGCCAATCGGCATCCCGCTGCATTTTCTTCATGCGCCCAGTTCTTGGGTCCCTAATCATAGTAGGGACTCCGTCCTCATACACGCTTTGGGTGTTGTGAGGGCCCTGGCGGATCCCCACGTAGTTGAGGCCCAGGCGATCTGTTAGACATGCCCGTGAAGCAGGAGCTCGTTGATGTTGTGGCCCATGAGAACGGTCATGTGCCAATCAGCAGGCTGCTGCTTATGAACCAGGCGCCTGGTGTTGGGATCCATAACCATAGTAGGTAGGGATCCCATCTATGTTGACATTTCGGGTTCGGTGAGAACCCTGTGAACCTAACATGGCTGTTAGGATTCAGCTCTTGGGCAAGGCGCCAGGTCTGGCCGGGCACCTTTCCGTTCTTAAGTGTCCACGGTCCGGTGGGTGGCATCGTGGATTAGGCGACGAGTGGTTGAATGTCGTAAGGTCTTGGGCGCGGGGCTTCGGGCGCCTCGAAGGACTGTGATTTGTTGCTAATGAGGGAAATTCTGCTGATAGATAAAACTGTGAGGATGGGGCCGGTGCACGTCAGGAACATCTGGTCAAATGCGGCCTGGTGTTTACCTAAGTTCTCTCCGCCACGGTCGATCGGAACCTGTCGTCCTTAGCTGGCTTCTTTCTTTTACCTCGCCGACGAGAAGAAGTCAAGCAATGTGAGAGTGGCTGGCCGTTGTGGGTTGTGGATTGGAAGGAGGGAATTCGTTAGGGTACCTACGCAAGCTATATATGCATGAAATGCTATGAACCAGCCATAAGCCTTGTGCTTCAAGTTAATCCGCAGTGCTGTCACAGCACTTCATAAAGCGTTGCGTGCGTAGAGGTATGTATCACTCCACCTGTCGACACCTATCTTCCACGCATCTCGTGGAACATGGAACGGAAGAGATGAAACGCCGGAGACACGAACAACTGAATGTGGAGGGGTTAAGTAACTATCCATTTATGGAAGCCTTTCTAGTCATCGATGACTTTGGATGAATTGTTGCGTGAGTTTGCGTCTAACATCTTTTGTTTGCAAACGACAATGTTGGGCCACTCCGTTTCGCATCCGCTTGATTTTACACTACACGCAAAGCTCCAGGTCGTCGTTTCCTCCCCAAACGCTCATGTTGGAGACGGGAAAGCACTGAGATAGAAAGCTTCTGGGTGCATCTCCTCCACCTAAAGACAAATGATTATCGAATAATAAAACTCTTTTACAATGAACCAATGCTTGCCAGGAGGTTGCTGTAAAAGGAAGCATGCTTGCGTAGAGGTAAAGTCGTGGTAGATGACGAGTTTTGGGCTAACGGGAAAGTCTTTGCGTCTCCGTAAGATTGAATTGCCGTCTTTGGCCATCGCTTTTGTGTCCATTTTAAACGCTTCGGGTGAAGCGACGTAGCCTGAGCTGTTGTCGGTAATCCCTTTAATGTTGGAGTTGTACGTCTCGAGTAATGGCGTTATGCGTATCATTTGTCATTTTATCTATCTTTATAAGCCTTACCAAGGCACTTTTAGCAGTCTAAAATCTTATACGTGCCTGCAAGGAGTAATGAAAGCACTTTCCTGGTTTGCTTTGTTCGAATGTTCATTGTTCATCGTCAGGGGGGATCTGAGGCGCAGCACGGACCATCGGAGTTGGGCTCAGGGCAACCACTCCCGAGCGACTTCAACTATACAGAACGGCGGTTAATTGACCGATGCTGACATGTTCTTGTTGATATCCTGGTCTTACCGCCTTTTTAATACATTTTTAACAAGCTCACTATTTGCAATTCTTCTAGAAGCGCTTGTTCTCGAGGAGTGTCATAGGTCGATTCTTACGGTAACGTTGGTAACATCGTTACGTTCGCGTAATAAAACCTTACCAGTCAAGCGATGTGATCACTGGGCGTCCTTACGCCGCACCCTCAATTATTTCTACCAAATTGGACAAATCCTGCACTTGAATGCTGTCAGATACTTCTGAAGGGTAATTTTACTGTCACAGGTGACATGCAAGTCCGATAACACGGAATGGTCGTAGGGTTATCATGTATTGTTTCGTGATCGTAAAGACGAACTGATCACAGAGCATCATCAGAGGTGCGCATCAAAAGGTACAGTACGAAAGGTATCACCGGCGCAAACATTCGCCTCACTCATTAACAGCTTAAATGCAGAACTTACCTACATAGAGGTCAAAGATGAAACGGCAGAAAAAGGTAGGTATTAATCATTCATTCCTGCAAAACGCTAACTCCTGTGCATTCCGTCAGATCTGAACCCTGAGCCAGACCAAGTACCAAAACTTCCATGCTTCCTAGCTGTGAACCCCAATTTCTTTCCTTCAAATATCCCGTGCCATGGTATCTTCGGTCGTAACATAGGTCCCTTCGTCAAATGTCGCTGTGTGCTGATGCCGCTCGATGGTGATGAAAAAAGGAGAAAAGGAAAACGCCAAGACTCCTTTCCGAACCAATCGCTGTAGTACTGATGAAATCTCTGTAGCATCGCTTGATGATATCTTGTCGTTCCCATTCTGGCTTGGAATAGACCGAGCGTCGGATTGAATGGGTGGGTGGCTAGAATGGTGGTGGAAAGACATCGCCATTGTTGGAGAAGGGGGCGGAAGCTGGCTAGAACCTGGTGGTTAGAATTGTGTAGCGACTGGACTGGATCCATGATATGGTAGGTAGGTAGATACTTACTCGGAGGAGGATAAGAATTCTGCAGGACCTCCTGAGCTTACAAGGCAGAAGACGAACGTGGTATTCCGAGGCAAAACAACGACAACAGAAACAACCCCATGTTGAATGAGGGAGGGAAGACAAGATCTCCGACAACGGAGACGAGGACAAGAGACAGGGGGGTTAGGTGGTCACAAGTGGTAACGACATCCAAATACCCTCTTCATCGCACCTCTCCACCAAGCTGGGGAGAAGGGCCGGGAGGGACATGGAGGGGATCGAACTCAAGGTTCTCCTTTGTGCCCCTGGCCCCGGCGAGCATCGGGACTGATTCATCGGAGCTTTTTCATGAAGTGCCGTGCTGGGCTGCTTTGGGTTTCACAGTATGTTGTGGGGACCTTTGCTGCTCCACGCTCACTCATATCGTCCTGTTCAAAGGCTTGCCTACGGTCCAGAAGTGCGATGAGTAGGTACAATACGAGTGCAATCACGCCTGGTCCAGCAAGGTACGCACATATTGAACCGGGTTGGCGTTCACAACTTCAACGAGGCTCATACACCACTCCAGCGCGGCTTCGTGCTATTCGCGGGAAGATTTGGACGGTGGGAGGTCCACAACACGTCAAGTGCTGTGGGCACGGATAAGGATGATAACGAGGACTATAACTCGCGGGAAGAGGAGGAAGATTATGAGGATTATGAGGATGGTGCTGGTGCGGGGCCTGGACACTTGGATCGTTCTCATGGTTCTCGGGGATCTCGTGAATCATCGTCACCTAATGTGAGCAGACGAAGTTATCTTCCTTGTTTGTGGAAATTAGAGGCAAGGTGGACCGGAGAGGTTAGTAGCCTGACTGGTTCTAGTACTGGTAAACCCTTGGGTATGTGTGACACATGTTTCTTTTCTTTTCAGTCACGTTTCGCTTGGAGTTGGATGTTCTACTGTAAGACCTTGGGTCATAATTTTTGTTTCATGTCAAACAGTTGTCTTATGTTTCATGTACTATGTACTTTGTATCTACTTTGTGCTAGTTCTCATGTCTCACCCGTTTGGTCCTGCTCTTCCTTGTGCAATCTCATACCCAGCAATTAGTTCTCATTCTGTCTGTACGCAGTACAATCACACACTCTCACAAGCCTCACACTACCGCACCAGCCCCGGGTCCAAATACACCCGTAAGACCCCAACCCAAGTTGGTCTTCAACGTCTCCGGCACCACCAACGCAAAGAATGCCGGAAGGAAGCTCGCAGCCCTCGAGGCCGCCTTCCCAACCCTTCCACTTCTCATCAGCCTCCCAAGTCCAATCATGGACGCCAAGCCTGCCAAAGCGCCCACGCCGACAGCCATGACCCGGGACTTCGCCTCCTAAGAGAAGCTCCCGGACAAGAGGCTGCCGGCGCTGCCAGCATTGAGGTAAGACTTGAAGCCCTTGACTACATCATCCACCATGTTCCTCTTTGTGCTGACGCGCTGAGGGCCCACGGCAGCATTCTGATTGCGTTCCTCAAACCAGGGATGGTCGAGTACTTGTTGGATCGTTGCGCGATCTTTGGGGTGCCACTTGAAGATGGACATGAGCAGATCAAAGAGCTGATCGGCCTCTTCGTTGTCCACCCGCAACTGAATGTACTCATCATCATCATCATCATCCAGTTACTTGCCGTTTCTTCTGGCCTCATCAAAGGGCAATTGCAGCATGTGCCCCATCTTGTTGCTGTTGTGATTCTGTTGCGACCGCCACAGCTCATACTGCTTCTTCATACCATCGGCCTCCTCCTGCGTGACCGACAGGTATAGCGTTCTCTGCAGGTTCCTCCTGAAAGTTTCCTCGCCGTGTTTCATCACGCGCTCACCTCTCTTGACCTTCTCCGCCCTCTCGGCAGCCTGCTTCTTCTTCATCTCTTCCACTACCTCTGGGCATATTGAGGGCATCTCCGTGATGGGCTTCAGCTCCCCATCGTTGCTTTCGTCGGACTCGGCGACGTCCGCCGCAAAACACCTCCACTTCGGCTGCCGCTTGTGCTCCTCCTTGTACGCCGCCCTGAACGGCTCGGGCATCGGTCCCATCAGCGACTCCATCTTGGCGGCATGCATGTTGCCGTCGTCGCCCTCGTCTTCGTGAGCAAAAGGGGTGAAGCCCAGCGCCAGGTTCATGATGCAGCAACCGAGTGCCCAGATATCCGACGCAGGGCCGAGGAGTGCCCGTGCAGCCCTCTTCGGGCGGGTCGAGAGGGGAGTAAGACACGCCGAAGTCGGTTACGGCGAGGGAAGCAGCGCAGAGGCCGGAGTAAAAGCCAATTGACGTGGAGCCGACGAGTTGCTCGGGTACAGAGGGCGCCGAGGCACGGGTGATGGGCTTTCCGTCCTTTATGGAGAAGACCCGACCGGTTTCGGGCTTTTCGCCGTTGCGGAAGGATTTGAGTAAGGTTTCTTCGGGGAGGGAGTCGACGCCGTGGCAGAGGCGGACGAGGATGTTGGGGGGTCGAAAGTCGCCGTGGCAGAGGCCGCGGGAGTGGATGAACTCGAGACTTAACGAGCTGGAAGCAGAGGTCCTTGACCAGGGTGCGGCTTTGGCCGCATATGCTGAACATATAATTGGCGGTGATGGCAGAGAGCGTGAAGACGAGGGCGAGGTGGCGGCCGTTGGGGCCGTTGATCCAGAAGTAATCGAGGGGGACGGAGATGTGGAGATCGTTTTCAATGGTTGAGAGGTCGATTCCACGGAAGGCTCCCATTGCGCGAAGCTCAGCGCAGTCGAGTTTCGACTCTTTGGCGGACATAACCTTCACTGCTCTCCACTTGGGGGTTGGGGAGAGTGTGTCCTGGCATAGCCAGACAGTGCCGTAGCCGCCATGGCCTAGCTTGTGTACCACACGGAATCGACCATTGTCACCGAGTCGGTCGCCGAGGATGATGGGATGGAGGCCGCCGGGTTTGTAGTTCTCTAATGGCTCAGCACAACCCCAGAAGTCATCTTCCACGTCGTACAGGAATTCTCCCTCGTCATCGCCGGCATGGGCGGGGGGTTGACCGTCGGGAAGGCTCATGGTGTTGAGGCTTGCCAGATGTATTGGGGCGTGTCGCGGTGTCTCTCTGATATCAGATTGCTGGTTCATGGTTGGGTCCATGGGGTCCATGTTGAACTGAACGCCTTTGGAGTGCTGGGGCGCCAGTTTCCGTTTCCGAAATGGCCCGGAACATCTGGGGTGATAATGGGCTTCAATGTTCCAGGTTGATGGCTTCCGGGTTGGTGGCCGGCATAGTGGTTGTTGACGTACATGTGGCCAGTGATGTATTGGTTTGTAATATACGGATTGTTTCCGTATTGATAGTTGCCGTTTTGGGAGTTGCCGTACTGGCGGTTGGGGGCGTCTGCATCCTAGGCAGATCCTCCAATTCCGCGAGCGAGTCGCTTCTGAGTGCTGAGGGTGACTGCCCTGGTCAGCCACCACTCCTCAGAGGCAGATTGTTCGCCAGGCCTGGGGAACTCTCGGCTCGCGTGGAGGGGTCGGCGAGGTAGACGAAGTCGTAGTCGTCTGTCTTTCATGTTGTCTTCGGAGTCGGGGTGCTGGAGGCTGGAGCTTCTCTACCTGTAGGTAAATGTGGCCCTGGTGATAGAGCTCTTCACCCCGGCGTCCAGGGGTAGGCATAGTCGCCAGAACAGGTACCCTCACCGCGGGGCTTTGGAAGCACTACAAGATACCAATCTGTCTTTCGAGATGGAGCTTGTTTCCAAGATGTGCCAGGCAAGAGCGTCCGCGGGGCGCCTTCTAGGCACTTCGGGCTGCTCAAGGGAGAGCGACTTCGTTGGCAACTAGTGAAGTTCCGGACGGAACTCGGGGTACGGCTTGGGAGGTAGACGCGGCCTAGATTGGTGGGTACCTAGGTTTCTCGCTGGATGACAAAAGAGAACATACTGAAGGTCGAGAAGAAAAGCCGTGTGAGAGGGCGAGAGACAAAATAACCAGCTTTACCCGGTCATTAAGACGTGTGCAATCCAGAAGTGGCCTTCTAGAGACCATTCTCGCCGCTACCGTTAGCTCCAGCTAGAGCCAACGCTTGTGTGTGCCGGTCCCGAAGAAACCTTGTACGTAGTTTGTGTATACCACCATTCTTCCGACGCAGGCTTCTCGCCCCATCTGTGGTGGTACTTCCTGGTCGACGGGTTGGCGGGATACTGGTAATCGAACTCTTCAACGTTCTTTCCGTCGCTGCGGAGAATCTTCTCCAGGTATATGTGACCTTGGAGGTACAGTTCCTCGCCGCATGAGCTGGCATTTCTGCCTGCGTGTGGTGTAGATCTGCGGGATGTGCAGGTCGGCATCGCTGGTTTGATTCTGGGTCTTCGAGGTCCAGCCGGTGATGGCGTCCGTCTTGGCCGCCTCGGAGAAGCTTTTGCAGGTATATATGACCTTGCAAATAGAGTTCTTCGCCCCTGGTACCCGCCTTCTTGCCGGCGTAGAGTGTGATATGTAAGTCCGCGGGAGAAGTTTGGTTACTAGTGCGACCGGTAATCTGGTTGGTGAGTTGGTGACCCTCATCACCGTACCGAACTCATCATGTTCGTTCTGGTCCTCATGAGGATCGGACCGGACAACCGCGTAGACAGGCCCCAGCAGGGTAAGACACTCTCGGATAATTTGTTGCGTTTGCGCGAAGTTATCAACGCCCTGTTGATTTTTCGCGTATCTCCGACGCGGCTCCTCGAGCCAGATAATGCTGGTGTCGGACTCGCAGCGGTACATGGCCGGGTTGTAGATCGTGGCACCCATGGTAGCGGGACCACCCCTTCCACCTCTTGCGGAGGGTCCCCAACCGCGGGCCTAGCCTCCGCGGGTTTTGCTGCCCTCAAAGATGTCTCCCGGGGTGTACCTGACATGCATGTCGGGATTGGGTTTGTGCCGATTCCTGCCAGGGACGTTCGTTTCCCTCCTTGGTCGTCCAAGGATCAGTGGGAGGCATTGTGCTTGTGGTATAACAGGCCTGCTTGGGAGCTTGTGGCTATACGTAAGAGAGGTAGGGGAGCCGCTTAGTTAACTGGGGCCTCTACACGGTCAGAGGTAATTTGAGGTTCCGTCTGCCAGGGGCCATGCCAATCTTTTTCCTCGTCGGCATCGAAGGTGGTGTAGTAGATACACGCTATGTACCTAGTTGGGCGCCTCTGAACAGCTCCGAGATGAGGGGTTGGTTGACGCCGATGCCGGAGATGGGACCATTCTTGGTGACGTCGACACATTGTCCCTTCTCACCTTCCGCGGGGGTCTGTTTGGTGTAACCCCCTCGTCTCCAATCGTCAGTTGACACGAATGTTGTCGAGACCGGAACCTGTACCCGTTGTGGGGAGGGGCCCTGGGTCCTGGATGCCCTATGCCGGGGGTTCTTGAGGATGATGATCCTTGCCCCTGCCATTTTTGTTGGGTTCAAGGAGGTGTACTAGAGGTAGAGTACGGGAAGTCAGTGCTGGTTGTCGTATAAAGTACCTCTAGTGGTAGAGCGACAAACATCGGGTAAGCTACAAAGAGTGATTAGGATAGGTACTGGGGGGTGGACAATTCCTTGTCGGCAGAAGTGGGGAGTGGACAATGGTGTTTTGGACAGGAATGGTACGTAACACGGTAACCAGCTGGGAGTACTGGATTGGATTTGAATGTGGATGCTGTGGCCATGCAGAAAACGGAAGACTGTGCCGTGTGGACAAAGAAGGTTTACCTGATTGCAGATTGCTCTATATATTGAGCCCTGGTGCTGTGAGGCCTGTATGGGGAGGGTGACGAGGCTGTATATAGAGGTGCCTGTCCACCTGTTGATGATGAAACTGTAGTTCTGAAGAGCTGGCAATCGGACAGTATCAACCACTTGGAAAGCCTCTTATATACACACTTCATCAGTCCCGCTTGGTTTGGGGGCACACTTACGTATGTCCAGCTTGTCGATGTTGTCGTCTGGTCTAGCACTCCGTAGCAAAATGATCAGAGTCAGAGTAACAACTATCGCCATCAGCAACTAACTGACAAGCCGATACACCATGGTTGCCCTCGCAAATGGTTGTTCGCGATATGATATACCTTCCCTGAGCAAGCTCATTGCCTAGCACAAGCAGAAAACAGCAGGCCGAGTGCTCAACAACTAGGAGCAAATCGTTATGTGAAGCAAAAGGACAAAACGACAGTAAACACACAGCGAAGGGAAACATTCAACATCCCATGGGACTAGAATGGCAAGAAAATAAAGGTCGGATAAAAGTGGGAGAGGGAATAAAGGGGGAGAAAAAAAGCAAAGTAAACAATCACGAAATGCGCCACAGCATCGCCAACCACGGGCATCCTGCCAGGTGCCAAACGCCAGCCCCCAAATCCTTCCCCAGCTCCCCGGAAAACACCCGCCAATAACGTGCCAACTAGTCCCCAAGCAGGATGATATGCGCCGTACTGCGCCGGGATGGTGGGTGATGCTCGGGATTGAGTTTCACCCTAAAATCTCTCCACGATGGCGTTTTGTGAAACCCCAGAAATTTTATAGAAATATGTAGTGACCAGATAGGCAACTGAATCATTCAGCTCTCTGGGTTACTTAACCCCGAGGACAAGCACTTCCGCCACCACAACCAAGAGGAGGAACTTTCCTCCTCGATCTTCTTCCTCCAACTTCACAATCACCCAATCAGTATCTCAGTTCGAAGGAGAACCACCGTCAAGATGCGCCTCATAAACACCACCACCCTCACCCTCACCTCCTTCATGGTCCCCGTCTCCTCCCTCCCCGCCTACGCCATCCTCTCGCACACGTGGTACCCATCTCCAGACGAGGAAGTGACCTTTCAAGATTTCACCTCTCTCCCGCCTCACCAATTAGAAAAGAAAAAGGGCTACGCCAAGATCAAGCAAACATGTCACCGCGCAAAGAAATCGGGGATCAAATGGGCTTGGGTGGACACGTGTTGTATTGATAAAACGTCGAGTGCGGAGCTGACGGAGGCGATTAATAGTATGTGGGCTTGGTACCGGGGGGCGACGGTTTGTTTTGCTTTTTTGGAGGATTTGGAGCCTGTTCCCAAGGGGGTAGGACATGGGCATGGGCAAGGGCAGAATGCGCGAAACTCGCAGATTGTTGGGGAGCAATGGTGGTCGCAGATTGGGGAGCAATGGTGGGAGGATGGGGGGAGTAACGTGGGTAGTAGCAATGCTGGCAGCAACGTTTCTGCTGCTACCGGGTCGGGGACGGGATCGGCGACATCATCGCACACCCAGGCCGGACGAATGGACCACCTAAGCCACGAGGAGAAGGTCGCTCGTTTCAGGACCTGTCGCTGGTTTACAAGAGGATGGACCCTGCAGGAGCTGATTGCTCCCAGCCGCATGGGGTTCTACAACAGCAAATGGGAGTTCGTCGGCGAGAAGTCCTCCTTGAAACAAGTGCTCGCTGAGATCACGCAAATCAGCGAGTCCGTCCTCGAGAACAGCGCCTTGCTCCTGACCATCCCCGTTGCGCAGCGCATGTCCTGGGCTTCTTCGCGGGTGACTACCCGCCCGGAGGATATGGCGTATTGTTTACTCGGTATCTTCGACGTGCAGATCCCGTTGCTGTATGGAGAGGGAGAGAAGGCGTTTATAAGGCTGCAGGAGGAGATTGTCAAGGAGACGAACGACTTTTCGCTTTTTGCGTGGAAGACGGGGAAGGGATCGGGGACGCAGCACCAAAAGCATTGGGGCATATTGGCGCCGAGTCCGAAAGAGTTCGCGACTTGTAGGGATATCGAAAACTGGGGAAACCCGTTGTATAACGCCGAGTGTCTGATTACGAGTAAAGGACTACGAATCACGCCGGCGCCGGGTGACGGGTTGAGGAGCGGCAGTTCCAGTTACGGGCTCAAGGGGACGTATATCCTTGATCTGGGGTGTTACCACAGGAGTGAGAAGGGCAGGGCTATCGGCGTGGTTTTGCAGCAGCATGGCTCGGATCTGTACTGTCGCGTGATGCCGGAGAGCTTGCCCATGTGGCCGACGGGACCGGGGCAACAGCCCGTGTTGCGCAAGAGCAGGTTGTTTTATATCACCAAGACGGTATCCCCCGTGGCGTCGACGCTGCTGGGCTCGAGTCATCGGTGGGCATTTGACCTGTCGCAGGTGTTCGCAGCGCTGGCCGAGATCAAGTTCGTTCCGAAGCAAAGCCAGTTCCAACCAGAGGAAAGCTGGGACGCGGAGCGCATGCTGTTCTTGAGTCAAGGGTCGAGAGACTTTCAATGTTGCGCGACATTCGTGACGACGAGGAAGGACGGGTTGGGGGCGTTGAGGATCTTGGTATGGTGCCACCTACATCTCGTTCACGGCGGCGAGGGAGAGGCGCAGGCGTCGGTCAAGGTTGAATTCGATCCGCCCACCGAGGGGGAAACTGACGACGACGGTTTTGTCAAATGTGAAGGGAAGGTCGTGAGGGATGCCTATGAGGGTCAGCCGGTATTCAGAGTCCTGATCGAGGCGACGACGAGCAAATTCCGCGCGCTCCCGACCATCATGTTTTTTCGCGGTACCGACGAAAAGATGGCGAGGAAGAACCAGATGTACCAGCAACAAAAGGTAGCGGCGGCCGCGGTAGGAAGAGAAAGGTATTTCAATTCGGCGGCGGCGAGTATGTCGAGCAGCACTGTGGGGAAGTAGGTACCTTTCAGTTTGTTTACTTTGGGAAGTTGAAGATGGAGTTTGTTGGATGGAAGAGGAATGACGAGGGGACGAAGACGGGATGAGAGAGATGTACATCAGTTTAGTGGTAATTGTTAGTAAAATACCCTGGACGCGTGGTACCACAAAACAAGAGGTACCTCAAACTGAACCCCACCAGCCACACGTGATCTCCCTCCTCTTTCGCGGAACTCGCCAAAGCAGGCCGCGACTCCCACCAACACAACGCGAGCACCCATCACCCTGTAACGCGCTGTGGCCAGTGGGGTTCTCACGACTCTTTGACCTCTCTCCAACCCGGGACCCCAGTCGATCCAACTTCCTCCCTTAGTTATCCTTTCGACAACAGCCAACTCTTCCCCTCGACACAAGACCCGTTCAATCCCACGCGCACTTCCGCGACCCCAACAATGTCACAATGCCACGACAAAATACCTTCACCGTGGTGCCCAACCCACTGGGCATGCAAGGCCTGATCTCGCGCGACGATGCCCCGGCTACAAAACCCCAGGCGATGACCTCCAAACAAGCCAAGAAGCTGTACAAACAAGCCACGAAGCAACCGAAACTCTCCAAAGCCGAGCAGCGTCGACTGGAGTTGGAGGAGCAAGAACGAATCCGCAAAGAGCTTGACAAGCAGAAATCAGCCAACAAGGCGAGGATTGCGAGAGAGAAGAAGAAGGCAAAAGAGTTGGCAGAGATACAGGCGCGGAAGAAGAAGGGGTTGCCGCTGGTGGATGTGCATCCAAGTCAGGGTACGATTTTGCGGTTCGTAAGGGTCGGCGTGGTTAGTACGGCTACGAAGAGGGATTCGAGTGGGAATTTCAAGGGCAAGGCTGTGGAGCAGCAAAGCCGGACTGTTTCCCCGGAGAGAGACCATTCGAATAAGGAGAATATTCCGGATGTTGGGGAAGAGGCGGTTGAGAGTCCGAGAAAGCGACCACGATTAGACGAGAACCCACCGAAGAGGCCAGATAGGCTTATGATACCTGACGAGGAGAACATACAACGGGTGGAAGACAAGAGCAAGGAACCGAAGCCTCGAAACTCACAGAAGCAATCCCAGAACAAGGAACTGCCCGGACCGAAACATGAGGACACGAAATCCGAGATCATACGATCGGTGGAGGACAAGAGAGAAGGTAAACCGTTCAACAAGCCGAGCTTTCAACCAAATATACAGGAGGGTCCAGCCACTATCGCCAATAAGGAGGACATGCCACGGGTGCAGGACAGGACAGGGAGTACCAGTCAGCAAAACTCTCAGCCACTGCAGTCATGGAAAGCAGGCTCTCAGTTGAACAGCAAGACGAGTACACGTACGGAATCCAACAACGAGAGGCTGGAGACTCCTGAGGAAGTTGTGATGGTTGTGCCCAAACCAACAAGGCTGCAACCGGACAGGCACCTAGAGGATATGGGTTTAAGTCGACCGCAATCGGACGTGGGAGCCTTGCAACCGAAAGAACATGGTATTGTTCCTTCGAAGTCGGCGCCGGCTAGGAAGGTCGTTAAACCACTACCGACTGGCATGCGCCCAAGACCTGCTTTGGGGGAAACTGACGGGAATCGGTCCACTCCACCAAAGGTGTCCAAGGAAACAGTGCCACTACAAGGCTATAAGAAGCAGGAGCTCTTGGACCAGGAGAAGCAGCAGCAAATGCCAAAGGACAACTCTCAACCAAAACCTAGAGTCTCTACGCCGAAGCCTTCGGTGGCTGATGTAGCTGCGGAAGCGGCCAAATCATTTCCGTCCCCTCAACCCCATGTTGCCCCAATGCCACCACCACCACCACGACCCTCGGTGCCTGCTCGTCAGCCTTCATATGGTGCGAGACTAAATCCTTCGGTACCCAAGCATCCAGCCACAGCTCCTGCAAACCCACTCAAGCCGTCGTCTACGGCGGCCAATCCCCACAAGTTCGCTTCCCCATACAGACCTATGGGTCCTCCAGCCTTTGTACCACAACGTCCCTCGCCTGGTCCACCAAGCTTTAAGCAACCTATGGCCAGACCTAGCAGCGGGGGTATTCATAAGCCCAAATTCCTTCCCAGGAACCACCTTCAAGCGACGGCTTCAGGAGCGTCTCTTTCCAGGAACAACAGCAAGATGGCAGCAGGCCAAAACGTCAATACGCCCCCAACAAGCACCCAGTTATTCGTCATGTCACACCTCGACGACCTCCTCCCAAGTCCATCTCAAGAGCTTCGAGAATTGGAGGAGGACATTCAGCCTACGCCCCTATCGCGCCCACCGGCCTTCATATCCTTGCCTAATAAGCGAGGACGAGTCCCTGAGGCTGCCCCCAAATCTCCTTACGCACCAGGACCAAGAAGGTTTACCCGTCAAACGTCGCATGTCCAAATCGCACCTCCGCGGCCTCGAATGCAAGAAGTCAAGCCCGTCGATGATGACATCTTCCCCTTTCTCTCCACTCAGGACTTGCTCTTCTCATCCCAGGACATACGGGAGCTGGAAAGCGATACTCCCAGCAAGGTTAACAACCGAAAGGAGAGTTTCCAGCCTCCATCCTCGAAGCCATCACCCAAGACGGCCTCTCCGTCACCTTCGATAATATCTAATCAAGGACATCGTCCATCTCACACAGCGAGTGCAACACCGGTCCCGAAACCCGTACTCGCGATGGTCTCTGAGAAACAGCGGGAAGGAATACATGCTCCCTCGAACCCCAGCCCGCTGGCTTCCGCGTGTTCAACTCCCAAAGCAAGCCCGCCCATTGGAGACCAGCAACAAGCGGAAATTCCAAACCCAAGTTTGCCCACTGCGTCAGCCGCCACTCCTCCCGCCCCCAAACCCACCCCTCCGCCTCGATCCCCGTCACCTCAACGTTTCTTTGGCTCCAGTGGCGTAGGCATGCAAATCCTACTCGCCATGGCAGAGAGCGAAAAGACCTTGAGGGAGGACGAAGAACGACGGCAGGAAAAGGCGCGTCGTGAAAAGCTAGCCGAGGAGAGGCGCAAAAAGGCAGTGGAGGAAAAAGCCAAAAAGGCAGCGGAAGAGAAGCGCAAGAGGGAAGCAGAGGAGAGAGCGAAGGTGATGGAAAGGCTGCGGCGTCACGGTGAGGAAATCGCCCAGTTGAAGATTCCTTCGGCGAGAAGAGCAGAATCACCGGCAGTGGGATCGGAGCAGAGGCCTGCGACTCAGGCAAAGCAGCTGCCACGGCAAAGTATCAAGCAGCTTATACCTTCGATTAGCAAGGTGAAGAGGCCAACAGCGGGGTGGGTGCCGGCGCAAAGGCCTAGCATGGCGAAGCCGGTCATTCAAACAGACCGTCCACAACATCAACCGCCGCCGCCGCCGCCGCCGCCAATGTCCGACGTTCATGCGCAACATCGGCCCCAGCAAGCACCACAGGTAACCAAGACATCCTCAGCTCTCAAGCCAAAGTCCAGCCTCCCAGGACAGTATCAGATACCGCAGGTCTTGAAGGTGCCCCCTGCGCCATCCCAAGAGACGGACTACGGGGATGAAGACCTGGATGGGCTAGGTGAGTTGGGAGGTATGGGCCTCACACAGTTCCTGGGGCCAGACAAGGATCTGTCTTGGCTTGATGACGATGATGATGATTTCTGATGCTGAAGAGGGTCGCAAAGACCCGTCAAAAGTGACGTTGGTAGAAGCGGCCGGCTCATTATCATTTTGGGCCCGTTTACCTATTGTTTCTTTAGCTATCCGATATACCAGTACTGATTAGATGCCCGACAAATGTCATTTCAAGTTTTTCCGTTCCAGGCCTTTGAGCCCGTTGTGCCTTCCAAAATTTCATTTGCATGGATGACCAACCAGTTTGCATGCGACGATGTGATATGGCACATATGGAAAGAGCGATGCTGGTGGAGAGGAGTATGGTTACCTGCTGAGATTGCTGGGCTTCTCGATCTGAGAACGATTTTCTCCCCGAAACATCTTCTTCCAAGCTGCTCAACGGCCGCGACACTCCGAGCGACCTCCATTACTTCCAAACCCCACTTTGTTTACATCGCCAGGAAGCACTTTCAACACCAGGTCTTCGATGTCACGATATTGATGGCTAGTTTGTTAGCGTCCGCAGCGTCACATCACGGAATGCCAGGGGCAGCCACAGCGGGCATGACAGCGGCCAACGACGGCGCAAGGGGCCGATGTCCAAGCCACTGCACCACCACAAACCACCAAACCCACGACGCTAGACCGCCCACCAACTGTGTGTAACACCACCATCCGCCCCATCACCACACCACCACAATCCGGGGACCAACCGGCATCACGTCCACACACCTGCAGATGCGAGACAAGACATGCAACGCGTCCCCGGCGTCCCGTAATTTCCACCCAATGAGCGCCGCTTGGTACCCAAACTGACCCAAACTGACCCAAACATGGGCCAAACAGGAACCCAGACCATGGCAGACCAGTCAGGGCCAGTCTGCACCCTCCAGACCATCCCACCACTACGGCACCACAGCGAGACACAAGCAGGCCGCCTGAGGACAGCCGTGTTGGCCATGGGGGGATGGGGCAGACATGGCAGATTCCAGATTCCAGGCTACCTACGACTTTTCGTCTTTGCACCATTCATCCGCTCCACAAGCAAGTCGCCTTCGATGGTTGACATCCGGTGCGACGACGATCTATACTCCGACGACTCATAGCCAGAGCAATACACAAGGCAGACCAAGGCAGCTGGCGGCCTGCGACCTGTTCTGCTGTCAGTCATCGCTGCCATCATCGGTCGGTCGTTAGCTGGCTGGACTGCTGGCTAGGTGCTACTCGGGTGCCTGACGCTTAGGTTGACGCTGCTGCATGCTTGTGTGGCATCTGCCCTGCGTTGCAGCCACTCATCGTCCACTCCCAACTCTGCGGCTTCATGCCCAGTTTTTCGTCAAGGGTTTGCAACGCTGGTCGAACTTTGTCTTCTTGCATTCACTTCTCCGCATATCATCACTGTTACCAAAAGATTGTTTGGAGTTTTTGCAGCGCTTAAAGTATTGTTGCTGTTGTTGTGCTTACAATCTCGCGTCGCGCCAACACGCTGCGCACCTTGACGGTTTCGCGCTACGCTACAGATACAGGGAGCTTGTGCGCTACACCAACCGCCAACGACCAACAGCCCCGGACTCCTCACCTACCATCACTAGCGATCGCCGCGCCGGTCGGCAACCGTTAGCCGGGGTACTCCAAGCTTGTCAAGCTCGTCGGGCTTCTGTCCGACGACATCCAATACTTTGTCCTTCGCCATGAGGAGATCTGAGCGTCCTCGTCGTATCGACGATTCCCTTCGGTTCAACACCTACCACAGCGATCGTGACTTCCCATCGGGCCCTGCCACTGCCCCGCTCGGTTCGCCAAGGGAAACCCGAAGCCACGAAACCCGAAGCCACGAAACCCGAAGCCACGTCGGCAGGCTCGAGAGGGACCGCGACCGCGACCGAGAAAGGGATCGAGACCGCGAACGTCCGAAACCACGTCTTGTCGAGTCAGCTTCAACTATTTCATCGCATTACCCTTCTTCTCGTCGTCGGCAGGACAGTCTCGAGCATGTTCCCAGGCATGCGCGCACGCGATCGCTTTCAGTGCCCAGGTCTTTCTCCCCGCCACCATCCGATGATGAAACACCAGCACAGGACTCGGACGAGGAAAGGCGCAGGCTGAAAGCCAGGCATACGCTGAAGACAAAGACTCGAGAGCGAGAGCATTATCCTTCCGGATCCCACCACCGTCCGTCGCTTCAGTACTACAAGAACGATCGAGCGAGTTTATCAAGTCCTAGGCTAGCTGGTTGGCCAAGTGCCGGTTCAAGACCACCATCTAGGTCACCTGAGCCAGTTCGGCCTAAAAGAATGGACAGAGAGCTTAGGAGGGATCTGTTTGATCGTGCTTCGTTTCACCAGCTCAACGATGATCGGGACTCGCTGTTTTCTACGCCTTCGGAGCCGAACTTGCGGGCGAGGCTAAATATCGGCGTGGATGATGGCCATGTTGGACCGGGATTGGTGAGCCCGAGAAAGCCTAGTGCGCTAGCAAGGAGTACAAGTGGTACAGGGGCGTTTGAGTATGAAGGGAGACAAGGAGGGTTGAGTTTAAGGAAGCCGGGTACCTCTTCCAGGGCTCCTAGTGTTGCGCCTTCGTAAGTGACGTTCGTTCAACTTGTGTTTCTCTTCTGTTGTCAGCCATGACGAGCAACCCCACGAACAACACCTAACAGGAACAGGTATCGACATCCTGCCCCGGAGAACGCCCAGTACGCAGAGGTCCGCGTCCTCATCCTGACTTGGGCCTTCCACGACCTGAAGGTCAGCGATAGCGACTCACATCCGTACATGTTCGGCCCCGGCAGCGAGTTTGTGTCCCTTGAAGAAGAGACGCGACGACTCCGGGATACCTTCGAATCTTATGGGTATACAGTAGACGACTGGTTGATTCCCATGCGAGATCCACTAAAAGCTATGTTGACCAAATTGGCGCAGTTTAGCAAATGGGCGAATGACGAGACGCTTTTGATTGTGTACTACCATGGACATGGAAGCTTGGATGAGAGAAGCGAGTTGGTCTTCAGCAGCCACGAACATCCGACAGATGCGCAGTGGGCGCAAACAGCTGCGGCAGAACTTTATGCTGCGATTTTGAACCAGGATGCGTGTACGCATCTTGGAAAGCCTACGACGCCTTATCATGAGTTGATGAAGAAGTAGTACGTCGTCCCTCGTCCATCGACCGTGATCACCGCTAACACCTTCAGTGAGCGCTACCGCCCAATCTCCAAAGTGAAATGGTCCGACATCCGATCCACCATCCTCGGTATTAACTCCGATCTCTTGCTCATTCTCGACTGTTGCGCTGCTGGCGGCGCCAATCTCGACATGGAACACTCTGACGCCACCGACACCTACCACACCGAAGGACCTAGCGGCAAGATCTACACCAAGCACCTCTTCGCAGCCTGCGGTTTCGAGTCCAGTACCAGTGACGACATGACCAGCGCTATGTGTGACGTTCTCGACGAATGGCCAGGCCCGGACGACGCTGGGTTGGAAACTAGTGGGATGTTGGTATCAAGTCACGGCGGTGGACCAAGCGGACATGGAGGGTACTCGGGCAAGTGGCTCACAACTCGGAAACTCCACCAAATCGTCGAATCGAAACTTCAGCGTGATGCCGCCATGACAGCAGTGGGTCTCAGAAGTGCCAGTCAACCGATCTTCAAGCAATTACTACCCGTGGACTTGCCAGAGCGGTATATCACGCTGCCAAACTTGCAGGGGAGACGAAGCTCAAGTCGAAACCAGAGCCGCGGACGGAACCGGTCTTCTCATCACAGTCAGGCTGCGAGTACCGCGGATCATGATACCATTGTCGGCAGCGCCATGAACGGAGGAGTAGAGTACGGGATCGACGAGGGGATCCCTGGGAGTGCAACGCAAGTCGGTCTAGGAACAGCGAGGAGTCGAAGCCGGTTTTCTGCGAGGGACCTGAGTCTGGGAAGGATATCAACTCGGGCAGAGAGAGATCGGGAGAGTGGATTGAGAGAGCGGGATGGGAGTGTACGGGATAGCGGAAGGGACAGAGAGGGGAGTATCAGAGAGCGAGAGAGGGAGCGGGATAGAGAGAGTCATCGGGATAGGGATAGGGAGCGAGAGGAAAGGGATGAGGGTTGGGATGTGGTTAGCATGCGAGAGGGCTTGAGGGAGCGGGATGGAAGCGTTAGGGAGAGTGGGAGGGACCGGGATCGTGAGAGGGAGAGGGGGAGGGACTGGCAATGATGATACGAGGGGACGCGACCGCGATTGGATGTAGTAATGATGATATGATGCTCAAGGTCAGGAACGGGACATGGTGGTAACGGGGTATATGGGTCGTTGAGGACAGGTTATAGCGGGTCCGGCCATGTTGGTAACGATATGCAGCCAATGGGTCTCCTTGTCACGGATTAGTTCTGGATATCAGGGAGTGTGGGAGTTTCGGGTGCTCGTCAAGCTGTTTCTTGGATTGATCTTTTTCTCATGTTCAATGTTGCAAGAGTTGTTCATTGTGTTAGAAAATCGTCATGTTTCCTCAGCTTCTTCATCCTTAGGACAAGTTACAGCAAGAATATATAGATTACTACATTTCTCCCCCTCTTTCCCAGGTTTATGCGCATTTGAAAGATCGGTCTCCAAAGTATCACGGGCGCAAAAAGGAAGAAGCAAAAAGTAACAACAGCTAATCTCTCCAAACTTGCGCAAACAAGGAAAAAAGTCAAAAAGAGAAACTCAAACTCCCTCGGTAAGGATCGAACTTACAGCCTCCAGATTAACAGTCTGACGCGCTAGCCAATTGCGCCACGAGGGATTTGAATGCTGAATGTTTCCAGCTGTTGTTGAGGATGGGTGTCGGTTGAGGCATTTATCAAGGTGCATGAGGGATCGAGATCGGGAAATCGCGATGGAGTTGCATGCGTTTTCTTGGCTTGGCGGGTGGAGGGCAGTGAGGGCTGGCGGGGTGGATCGCCGATGCACTTCCCTTTGCCTACGAAAAGAAACCAACCCCGTCAATGGTGAAGTTGATTACTATGGAAGTTGCAAATAGTTTAATTCACTTCTCATTATGAATTCTCTTTCGAAGGGTCTGCTATGAATGAGGATTCTAGAGTTGCGAGAGGGCCGTGTTGTTGGACGACTGCAGAGTGCAGAGAAGAATGTTGGAGTCCAGGAGGCCCGTGCCACGACCCGACTTAACGCCCTTCAGTGGGATGCCAGCGCTCACTGCCCTGGGCCTTCTGCTTTTAACCCTTCGAGTCCGCCCTGTTCTTACGCAAATTCAAGACAAGGTATCACCATTACCGGAATTCTCTTCGTCGTCATTCTTTATGTAAGGTACTCATAGGAATAGTTGTTGAAGAATTACGCTGGAAGGACGCGCTACACGAATGCAATGCGCAAGAGCACATGAGGCACTGCACGAACGCACTGGGAAATTTGGATGCCAAGACGCTTCGCTGGCAAGCAGATGGGTTAAAAGGCACCAGTGGATCACCACCGCACAGCCCAGGGTTATAAGCGAAGTGGGTTAATTCCCGACTATACATAGAGGTACGTAGTGTTTCATTGCTGGGACTTATCTTCCATGTGTTTCGGTGTGTGGGTGGTTGTGAGGAATTGCCATGTGGAATACGATGTGGAATACACTGCTTGATACCTGTAGCGCTGCACCGCGGAGCACCAAAGGTGGGTTAAAACTGGAGAAGTGGATCATCACGCACAGCTACCGCTTTTACTCACTCGATGTCGCAAACGCTAGCTGGGTAGATTCAAAATGCTCCCTGGGTAGACTCAACCTACTTTTTTGGGCGCGTAGCCATATTTGCGTCAGCCGCGCAAAAACTTGCAAGGCGCATTACCAAATCCTCATTGTTTGGAGTTAGTCAGTGTCGTTAATTTAGTTAATTGTTTACTATTGAATCTGTTGATACTGGTGTTGTCGCCTGCTATACTGCTGTCTAAAACGCCGCCTTGATTCGGGTATTGTACGTGAAGCCTTCGCTGTTAGTGCTGCCCACCGTGTAAGTGCCGGGGAGGGTGCTGGAAGTTCGCCTGGCACTTGGGGTGATGCTAAGGCGATGGAGATAACAATAATGATGACGATATTATTGACAATGACAATAACATCGACATTGACATCGACATCGACAACGATAGCGACAGCGACAGCGACGGAGATGGCGATAGCTTCAAATCAATGGCAGCACGAAAGAGGGCGCGCGCGAATGCACTTGGCGTTGGGAGCCAGATATTGGCTGCACACCTAGAAAAGTGGGTTTAGTCTACCCAGGGATCATTTCGAGTCTACCCAGCTAACCTTTGCGACTCGATGTGGTTTTACTCAACCAATCCTAATACTGGATCGTTCCCAAGAAACCCTGCGACCCGCATCAACTCACTAGAAGATTGGTCGAAGCCCTTGTCAGGCTTTGCTAGTCCAGATCTTAGCGCAGGTTGAGTAAAACCACATCGAGTGAAAAAAAGCGGTACACAGTAAGCGCATGCACATGCTTACAAGCGAAGTGGGCTAATTTGTTAACGCCAGACGACAGACGACATGTCTTTCACCGAGGGAGATACTCGTTGGACACTCGACTATTTCTTGATAATTACTAACCTTTGTTTGCTACGACAAGGAACCTGACTTTCTGAGATGGCCGAATCTGCTTTTCAAGGTGTTTTTCATTGACATTTACCGACGGTGGTGGAGTGTAGAGGAATGGCGGTTGAATGCAGGGAGTCAGTCATGTTTACGATTGCGAAGTTCTAAAGTCACACGATATCACGAAGTCACGCGCTCACAGTGATCATGAATGATACTATGCCTCTCAATTGGTTAAGGCTATCTGGATACGAACTCAAAGAAAAAGAAAGAATAATCCGCTCCTTTTCCTGTCGTGCCGATCCATAACTCCTGAAATGCCCTACTCCTACAATGCTGCGAAATGGACCATGAACTCCCAATGCTATGCCGTTTCCTTGCCAATACCATGCCTCCTGGATGCTGAGCCATGGCCGCTGTTGACATGTCCTTGTCCGAGTGCCGAACGCCGAAGAATGCTGCGCCTGATGAACCAAACCAAATTCCAAACAACTTGCTCCGCCTTATGTTCCCCTTGGATGACTTGGGTAACATGCCACTTCCTCCATGACCCATCTAGTATCTCCCCTATGCCTTGATAGAAGGATTAACTAGCTCGGGACCACAGCAGAAACTGTTCTGCCATGTCATGCCATGCCATGCCGAATGAGAAAAGAGAGAAAGGGGAGAAGGTAAGGGAAGGACCAGGGGTAAAAGCAATGCTTGATGTTGTTGATGTTGAAAACGGAAGACGACTTGCCGAATGCTGTGCTGAGTGCTGCTGTTGTGTGCGTCCAAGTTCCTTGACCTAGATGCCGAAGCCAATGAGAAGGAATGCCGTAGACTCTGATGCTAGTTTAACTAGTTTTCCGGAAGGTGTTGGTGGTGTAGTGCCACTCCTCCGACGCCGGCGGTTCGCCGGGCTTGGGATACAGCCTGGTTGAAGGGTCCGCCAGGTAGACATAGTCGAAGTCGCCGGAGTCGTCTGAGTCAGGGCGCTGCTTCTTCTCAAGGTATATGTGCCCTTGAAAATACAATTCGTCCCCGCGCTTTCCGTTCTTCATTCCGGCATAGAGAGTGATGTGAAGGTCCGCATCACTAGTAACGTTATAAGTACGACCGGTTCGGTTGTTGGTCCAACGGACGACGGTGCCTAACTCGTCGTGCTCGTTTTGCGTGTCGTGGGGCCCTGCACGCACGACCGCATAGTCAACTCCAGGGCCCAGCCCGCGCAAGCGCTCCCTGATGATCTGTTGCACTTGTTCGAATTGTCGAGCTTCATCTTGCCTGAAGCACTCCAACGGGTCTTGAAGCCAGACAATATTCGGGTCTGACTTAAAGTTGTACGCTTGGGGATTGAAGATTAGGTCATCTGGGTTGGTTTCCCTTCCCAACCTTCTCCTCAGCATGATGGCTGTCGCCCGAGGCTGAAGACGGCCTGGACGACCATTAGCCCGCCTCGCCTAGGCCTTAGGATCACTGTCGACACTCAACAGATATACAAAGACATCATGAGAAAGGGATGTGTTCCATTAGGAGGAGAGAAGCCGGGTCAAGAAGTCAGGGAAAAATGAAGACAACCGGAAGCGCAGGAAAGGAGCTTGAGGATTCCGTTGAAGCATCTGGTTAGAAGCCATCTGCATGAGGAGGCATACATTGTATGTCGAGGTAGCGTAGCATACTCCAAAAGAGATCGTAGAGATGACCGAATTAATGTCCATCATTGGCATGAATTTTCTGTACTTTTATATATCAGTAATATCCCACAAGGAAGTCGGAAATCCGACACAATGACAATGACGCTGGACACTCACCTAAAGCATCGCAAAGCGCTCACGAGGCTGACCCAGATTTTTGTCGAGCGTTAAGGTTCTGTCCTCTCGCCTGTGGGGCAGGTGCTGGCTGCAAGGCTGTCTCAGCATGGCCGTCTAAACCTGGACTTGACACCATTCACAGGGCCATTTTGGGATCTTGGGAGGGCCAGCTAAGGTTTTGACCTTGGTCAGCCCACTCTTCCTTTAAGACCGTGCTTCTCCTCTCCCCCCAAAATCTCTCTCCCCTTTTCAATTCACCATTGAGGAGGTCATTTCCTGTCCACGCCTTCCAACGAACCACATGCCACCGCGTACCCCAAATCTCAACATCAAGCCGATCATCAAGATGCCCGACCAAAAACTGCCCGTGACTCCTCGGCCCAAGAACGGCGGCAACACGCGTATTACGGACTACTTCACGTCCATCGAGCGAACTGACAACGGCAAGAAGTCTAAGAGAGAGCTCGAAGATGAAGAAGATGACCAACCGACGAAGAGACTTAAGCGAAGCGATGACGGACATGCCGGCAGCATCCAAACTGCCCGTTACCAGATCAAGGTCGACACCCCGAAGACCAGAAAACCAGCGTCTGCTCGTCTTCTCGACGACACTGACGGCGGACTCCGCGAAAGCCTTGTAGGCCGCTGGGATTTTCTTGAGGAGGAAACCGTGGAAGACGAGGTGGGACCTCAGAACACCGACATCGAGCGCGACGCTACGACGGTCGACGCCGATGACATTGCTAGGAGGCGCCGGTCCAAAGCACCATCGCCTCGACTTCCCACCCCACGACCGAAGAAGAAGTCTTCAAGCGCCCGTATCTTGGACGATACCGACGGAGGTCTCAACGACGCTCTTGCTGGTCGATTCGAGACCACGCGATACGAGGAGCCAATCACCGGGGACGAAGCGGAAAACCCCAACCACAGTCCAAAGCACGATGGACTGAGCGATAGCCCCAAGACGACCGACAACAACGATGTCACCCCGAGAGACCGGTTCAAGACGCCATCCCTCCCGCCTCTCCCCACAACCCCCAACCAGCACCGCAACCAGAGTCACGAGGAACAAGACCCAATTCCGAGCAACGATCCTTCGCCCGTGCCGATTCGTACCCCGACTCACGCCAACAACCCCAGGTGCAGGAAGCCGGCATCCTCTCGCCTGTTGGATGATGTCGACGGAGGCTTGTCGGATAGCCTTGGGGGTCGATTCGAGACCCCTAGATACCAGGAGGCAGTTTCCGGGGGTGAGGAGGAGACGGGGGTCGAGGACTTGACGCACGACACCGTCGATGATGACACTGAGGCTGAGATCATTAGGATGGACGATAGCGAGGACGACATGAGCAGCGCCGAAAATTGCGACAACGAGGATAGCGAGGACGAGAACAAAGAGAACGTCCCTCCGAGAGTTCGCTACAGAACACCCAGCCCTCAACGCCTTCCTCCCGTCCCGGAGCAGCATCACGATCAGAACAACGAGACACGCAACTCGACCCCAAACGGCCCGCCTTCAGCCAGTCCATTTTCGTTTCTCCTCCCGAGCCCCGTTGTGGATCTGCCCGCGCCTTAATCGTCTCCCTCGTCATCGCCTGCCTCGTCGGACTTTCCTGATGACGTGCCTTCTTCCCCGTTGTCGCAGTAAATCCTGCACAATCGGGCCCCATCCACTTCCTACTCGGACGCTTCCCGTTTTCCACAGGATAGAGCGACAATATCGGCAATGAAGGTAGAGCGAAAGCCCAGAACGAACCGAAGGATTGCAGGGGGGCATACGTGGAGGACCTTTTCGAGGATTACCAACAGCGTCGACTCGGGCATGTCTCTAGGGGTGGGCAGAATGGGCTAGCAGGTTGAAGTCAAGGAGGAAAGGCGGTCAGGTACAACGAGGAAAGTTGTTGGCATGGAATGCTAGAGCAATTGTAGGGCGAAGATGGCATCGCTTGAAGCTAGAAATTGATATTGGGGTATCATTTAGCTGAGAAGCAGAAGATGGGAAAGATGAGGCAGCATGAGGATACTGTTTGAGAGACGCCTATCACCCGGGTACCTCTACCGAGTTAATTGCGATTGTACGGGCATCGGGCTGGCGAGAAGACGTAGAGGTGGCGGTGTATCCAGGTAGGTAGAACTCATGGGTTTCGCTCTATGTCCCAGAAACATCTGTATCTCTACCTATATATCTGAAAACATGCCTTCTATGCGTCAGCACTTCCCTACAATGAAGGCAACGACACTCACCTGGAAAATCGGGAAGTTACCGCTAGGCTGAGCTAGATTTCCGTCGACCTTGATGTTTGGTCCTCTTTGACTGGTAGGACCAGCAGATTTCTGCTGCAAGGCTACTGTAAGAGGGAGCCGGAGGCAGGGACGACCGAGCAGTCTTACTGCTCGCTCTTTCCCGTTGCTCTCCATCGCTCCTTCTTGTATACCCTCCGACCGCCAGTCTGGGGAAGGTGCGGCCGGACGGGCTGATACCAAGGTCAGCCTTCCAAACCTGAATTTGACACCATTCACAGGCGCATTTTGCGACCATAGAGTGCCAAACTAAGGTTCATCAAGGTCGAACCTGAATCTGTCCATCCACGCTTGTCAAGGGGCGCCCCTCGTTTCCTTGCCCAAATCCTACTTTCCTTTATCCTGTCAAGTAACAATGCAAAGTGATTTTCACCCGCGCCCTTGCGACCACAAATAAATCGCGACTCCCACATCCATAACGAACCGCACATCTCGACTTCAAGCTCGACGTCAACAATGTTCGGAAAGCGACCTACACCCCAAACCCCTTCGCCCAGGAGCGACAGGAGGTCGAGAATCACGGATTACTTCAAACCCATCCACCACAGTGAGCTCCCAAAGCGATCCAAGAGGGAGCTGGAGGAAAGCGACGAAACACACGGCCAGCCAGCGAAGAAGCTGAAGACTCGGCAAGACAGACATACCGCGCACAGCTTCAGGACAGTCCGTCTCCGAGTCGGTGTCCACACGCATCGCCCCAAGAAGACGGCGACCAGTACCCGTCTGCTCGATGCAACCGATGCCGTTCTAGCCGATCGCCTAGTTGGTCGGCGTTTTGTGGAGGAAAAGAAGCAAGTCGTCGACAAGAAAGTCGCCAGCCCCAAGGACGAGCATACCGAAAGCGCTCTCTCGATCCGTCTTCGCAAGATTCACAATACACGTAAACCAAAGAAGAGGCCGTCAAGCGCGCGTCTCCTCAACGATGTTGATGGCGGCCTGATGGATAGCCTTGTCGGTCGATTCGAGACCACTCGCTATGAAGAGGAAAATGAGGAGGACAAGGCGGCCAAGAAAGACGGCAACCTCGAGCACGACAACTCGAAAAACGGCACCCCCTCAAACAATACCAATACCTCGATAGGCGCAACATCGGCAGGCATCACTGAAGGCAACGCCAAAAGGGACAGGTACACGACGCCTTCTCCTCGGCCTCTTCCCTCTACACCGGAACACCACGGCTACCAGGGCTCGAGTCCGAGGGACCAGCCTTCAGCCGGTGACAGTCCATCGTCGTCCCTACTGCCGAGCCCGGTCGTGGATTTGCCCCTGTCTTCGCCGCCTCTCTCATACAATTCCTCTCCCGTTGCATGGCGTTCTTCCCCGTCGTCACAGTGAAAGGCAGCGAAGAAGATCGTCTCCGGTCATCACTCGAGTTTGAAGGTCAAGAAAGAGAAAAAAGGTCGAGAAGGAGACAAACCAACCTAGCCCTGGGAAAGTGAAAAAGAAGAAAAGAGAGGTGGTAAAGGATCAGCGCGCGAGGCAGTCGGAAACCCAGCCGAGGTGTACGTCGATGCCTCTGCCACAGCACAGGCATGCATCAGGGAGTAACAATTCCCATCGCATAAGAGCCACGCCCCCCACCGGCAGGCAGTTTGGAAGAAGTCAGTGTTGGGACAGAGAGTGAAGAAGAGGAGGACCGACATAGAGGTGGAGGACGAGCTACATATGTTTTGGAGTGACCAGCCACGCAGATGTCGATGGGAATGATTGGAAAGGCAGACTTCGGGCTGGAAAAAGGGTGTCGAGCTTGGTACCTGGCTTTGCTGTTTGCGTATCGATAGAAGCATGGTAAGCATTTGCTTGGAAGCCGGATGTCTGGAAATTCGATGCAGAAGACGTCGAGGAAGGGGATGGCTCGTCTTCGCTGCTGTTTGTTTATCTGTAGTTCTATCTCATAGGGAAGTTAGTCATTCAATTCTGTGACAGCTACAACGACCAGTCCGGACCATGACATACCTGAACAGATGAGCCGTTCCAGTTACCAACCTTCCAGCTCAAGTGAACGACGCTGAGCGACTGACACCCAGTTGCCGCTGGATATGATATAGAGCCATCGCCAGCCTCCATCTCAAACTTAATCCACTGGCATATTAACCACGTTTTTCGGCCGCTTACCTGTGTAAGTATCATGCCTTCTTCCCCCTCTTCTTCCAGTTCAGGGTCAACGGCAAATCCTTCCTTCCTTTCAAACCAAGCAGAACTGTTGACCGACACTTGTCTGTCACGTTTCCGAGGGCCTATTCTAGGTAGGGGATCAACAACAATGGTGTCCACGGACAGTCGATCTTGTTGGATCAGCAACCCGTACGAGCGTCTGGGGGACTGGGCAAAGCAGTTCACTTGTAAGGGCGCCAACGAGCCAGCCAAACAAGATTGGGAAGAAGAAGGCGACAGGGTTATGGTAAGCGACGGCGACGACCACTTGGTCGATCTGAGGAGTACCGATGATAGCATTGAGAGCATAATCGATATATATCTGGACATTCAGCAAGAAAAGCAGAACAACTTATACCGGAGCCTGGAAGAATGGGCAAAAGGGTTCGAAAAGGACGACGAGCAGGGCGCGGATGGCCCGCTTGGGAGGGAGGGAGAGGAATGGAATGCCTGTCCGCAAGACAGCACAGAGAAGCGAGCAATACCAGATGCCGATGATCCGATAGACAACCACGGTGACGACAGCGAGGGCACCATCGACGAAAACACCATAACGAACGGAGAGAACGCGAAGGACCAAAAGAAAGACAAGCAGACGAGATGCAAACACAAGTCAGTCATGTCAGGACTTCTGCGGACTTTCTTCAACAGTCCTGCACTCTGTGAATACGAGCAGGAAACCGCGTCCGTGGTCCAGTCCCGCAGAGATGAGCCCGTGGTCACTGGTCGCTCCTTCCGCCAGAGTTCAGCGACTGGAACCAGCAACGGCCACAACGAGGCCAACAGCAGCTCCACATCCCCCACGAACATCGAAGACGACTACGTCCACGTTGCTCGCCATCCAGGGATGTATGCGCTGCCGAGGGACCGCTGGAACCCCAGGCCACCTGTTGCTAACAGCCTCATCCCTATTGAAGCCGGTCCTTGCACCGCCGTCCGCCCGGATGCAACTAATGAGTCTGACGTAGAGTGGGAAGAGGACAGTGATTGGGATATGCTGTCAGACATGTTCGACACCCCAACTCCGGAGTGTCAGCAAGGGAAATGAAATAGGAAGACAACCATGGGAAAGGTATTAGCTCGAATGACGGCGGTAAAAGCGGGGGAAATTAGGCGTGGCTTCACGATGAAGAAGCGTGCGAATTGACAGGAGGGATTCAAGAAATTGGAAGAGGACAAGGAGGAAGGTGAAAACGACGTACGGCCGGGATATAAAGTGGCGATAAGCTCAGTATAAGGTCCTCGCCGGTCTCGATGTATTCTTGTGTGTGAAGATTTCTAGGGGTCGGCGGCACAATGGTTTCAAGCTGTTGCGTCTCTTCTTCCCAAGTCATACCGTGATGACTGGCATCGCACTATAAGAAAAGCCGAGTAAGTGAACTGGCCTGGACGGCTTTCAAGTTTTTACATTTGGTTGGCATGCACTCACTCCGATTTTCTTCCTCTTGCAGTTCGCACATGAACCTTGTTTTCGGATCAGAGCGGACCTTCTCTTTATCTCAGGCGTTAAAGGGACTTTCCGCCATGGTTTGAACCGTGAGATTCGACTCGAAGATGAAGGAGCGTTCCCATCCTTGGGTACCCGGGTAGTGATGGGCATAGTGGGCGGTTTTGTCCGTTTTCGGATTGGAAGGGCGAACGAGAGATGAAAAACTTCACGTCCATCGCGAGGGGAAAAGGACGGGGTGTACTGAAGCCATTATCACTAGGGAAGGAGCAACCCGATGCCTTGAAACCGCAACAAAATCTTCAAAACACCAGACTCGCAAATAAAAACAAAATGAAGCAGAAAAGAGTGAGCATATTCCGTTGTCGCCTTATTGTCTGCTTTGGGAGATCTGTAAACTCTCCGTTCAGATCTTTCCAAAGCTTGTCAGCATTCCACCACAGGCGTGCTAGGCCAATGATTAGCCAAACCACCGCAGCCGGAATCCAGATGAAGAATTTCCAGTTTGGATTTGGAATAGGTAGTGGTAAGGCGGGTTGAGGCATGTTGTCCGACATGTTGTTTGGGATGATGTTTGAGATGATGTCGTCCATGATTGGGAGACTGTTGCATCATGTTAGAAAGGAGTTGGAGAGGGGGGAAGTGGTGCCTACACGTAACTTTCGAAGGCCCGGATTCATCTTCGCGCCCTTAGCCCGTGAGCGACGCGCACTGGCGGGGCCTGCCGGACTGCCCGCAGGAGGCCCGGGCTCGGAAGCATGCCGCCTTCGGAAGATGCTCTCCTGCCGGCCGGATCAAATAGTGAACCTTGACGGACCTCCGATGTACAGCGGTACCGTCAGCTGCAGTGGTGTCCTGTTCGGACTTGGGATGAAAACCTGGGATCATATCGCGAACAGCTGCAGCATTCACTTGATAGCTCGGCTGAACAACACCGAGATTTGCATTTTGCATGCCGGCGACTGTCGAGTTGTTAGCCTTCACCAACTGTCATTCCGAGGGGCGCAAACCTTTGCATAGCTTTCATAAATATATCTTCTCCGGGCTGCATCCGGTTCTCAGAAATCCACTCCTCTTCCAAACAACACCGCACCTCACCTCATACCACTTACCACCACACCCCATACCACTCATCACCACTTGTCACCACAACAATCTATCATCGCAACGTCTCATCAAGACCATACCATCGCAAACGCTTTACCTAAAGGTTAGCAGTATGTCAGCATTTAACACTGTAGGATACGGTAACTAACATACCTTCGACAGGTCAGTCGACAATCGCAGTCGACAGCCGCACGACAGATCAACAAACGTGACCACACATCCACATACTGCCCTCGCAACAAACTGACGACTTCAGACAAGAACGCATCTATCACAACGAATCCACCACACGTCGACAAGTCAGCAACCTCGACATCGACGAGTCAATAACTTCAAGACAAGACGATAACTCGAATCGACGACAATACACCACAACATCCTCAACATTACACCTACACACCACCATCATCGCCACAGTCATCATGGCGTCCAGACCTACGACCCCCGTTAATCCGCTTCCCCCGGCCCCCACCACCCCCATCCGTGGTCGTGCTCTCAGCCCCCCCTCCAAATCGCCCATTGCTACTCCTCCTCCCCCCTCTCCCATTCCGTATCTCCCCTGGCGAGACCAGATAACCTGGGACCACCTCAATCCCCACTCCGCGCCTATCGTCGACAACTTCGACGACGAGTGGGATGTCAAAACCCTCGTGCCACAAACCCCTGAACGAAAAGTCATCCTATCCAAAGAGCGTCAGGAAATTGTACGACAACGGCTTGAAGCGGGTCATGGCACTAATCATGTCCACTTCATCGTTAACGATGACTACAGAGCCGACGTCCACGGCAACAACATCCCGGACTCGCACATGATCTTGGTGACGGGGGACCCCAGGCGGAATGGAGGCATTCTTTCCTTCGACGGCGTTGATGTGGAGGAGGGAATGGTCGTCGAGAAGCGAGACGGTCTTTGGGGGGTCTATGAGGTGGATTGGGATGTGGAATACGACGATGAGGAAGAGGGGGAGATTCCAGTAGAGCAACAGATCTATCAAGTGTTTCTCGAAGGAGCTGGAGGTGACCACGAAGAGGCCTGGGATCTTTACGAGCGCTTTCGTGCACATAAGGAGCGACAGGCACAAAAGGAACGAGTCTACCAAGCAATGCTGGCGGAGTTGGAGGGAAATGAAGTGCTGGCGCGGGAAGTGTATGCGCTCTGGTGCGAACAGGAAGAGCAGCAGACGGAAAACTCCGAAGATGAACGGGAAGAGAGAAGGGATGATGACGAGCAAAACGTCCGCGCCCGTGCAACGATGTGGGCAAAAGGATTCAGAATGGGGTACGAACTTCGCGACTCGTCACTCCCGAAGTCGCCGACGAAGACCACATCCTCTGTTGTGCACGAGGACAGCGATCAGTCGACCGAGTCAAAGCAAGAGCCCGACGTTTACGACTGTTTGGGCGAATGGGCGATGCGCTTGAACGGTGAACAGAATATCCGTGATGGCCATCCGCTCGGAAAGGACCCAAAGATGACGGCAACCAGCACTTTGTGCGAGGGTACCAACAGCTTGATCGATATTGAGCAGGACCAAGACGTCTACGACTGTCTCGACGAATGGGCCAGCAGCCTCGAGCATGGCACCAAATACGCCTCTTTCTTCCACAAGGCCTCAAAGTCGGTAGGCAAAAGCAGCAGTGAGCTCATCGACATCGCGATAGAGACGCCCGATGTGTACGAGTGTCTTGACTTGTGAGCCCAACAATTCGATATTCCTGGTGGCGACTCTCCAACCAAGGAGCGCTTGTCCGAGGCCGTCAAGACGACTCTCACCGGCAACACAGATTCCACAGACATATTCTACGACGGCAAAGTAGCCACCGAGACTACCCCAGCGACTACGCCAAATGTCCAATCATATGCCGGCTATATTTCCTGCCCAGACCCTATCATCATAACGCCGGACTATGCTGCCACTAGGCTGAAGACTCCCGAGGACTTTTTCCACTATCGTCGCCATTCCTGGACCAACTTCGAAGGCCAGTGCAGATAACTTGAGAGCCATGACCGTTCTAGGCAATGAAATGGGACCTGTCGATTGAACGGAGGAGTATTCAACCGAGAAGACAGGTACTAACCGCCGGAGATATATCACCCCTCTCGCACAACCTCACCAACGCAAGCCACGAAAGTGATCAGAAGACGATTTCGCGGAAGATCCAACCTCCTCCGGCGATACAAGACGGACTTCGAAGGACCATCCTGCTTGAGCTCCCCATCATTGGTGCCCCTCGCAACTATACACCCGGACCGATTGCACTTGACGACATCGTCCGGGTTTTCTTCAGTTGGGTAGGTCGAGGAACTTTTGTCTTTCATGGAGGATTGAGTGCCCGGTTACTGGAAAGGAATCGTGTATGAGTAAATGGGCGGAAAGAAAGACAATGGTAGTAAGGGGGGAGTATCGCCATCGGGAAAGGCTAAAGGCAGGGAGTGACGGTAATTGATAAAGTAGAAATTCGAATATGTGAAGGTTGGAAGTGCGAGAAATCGTGATGCGCAGTGAGTGTGAGAGTGAGTACATCGAACTTGTGACTGAGACTTCATATGACTGATCAGGAAACTTGATCTTCATCCTTCATCCATTAGTTTTGGTGACATTCTTCGTGTCGAAGCTGACCCCAAAGTGAAGCCGTGATGTGAATGTTTCCGTTGCTGTCTTGATCGTGATGGCCACTGGGCCAGTGATGCTTGGTGTTTTCAGTGATGCTCCAGTGATGTTCCAGTGATGTTCAGGCCAAGAGCCACTGCAGGGAAGAGTTCTAGAACACTGTGGCCAGCAATATCCCAGCATCGCCAACCGCCAATGAGCAAGCTTGACAGCACAACCTCGTGGTGGGTGTCGGACAAGAAAAGCCCAGGAAAAGGGCCGTTACGGATCGACACAGCCTCAATGCTTGAACCGTCCGTCATGCTCGGTCTGGTCCGGTCAATCGGCGAATCGGTGAATCAGTGATCCAGAAAAAGAAAAAGGCTTCTTAGCCAGTCAAGTGAGAGACAACAAGTCATGAAAAGCGGAAGAAAAGCCGCGACGGTGGAACTCGGAACTCCCGTATCATTCATGCATAAACTGCCGGCATAAAAGGCCGTTCGTGATGGCGGACAAAGTTGACAAGAGTGGAAGCGAGTGGCGGATACGATGTGGAAGACGGCCGGCCAGTCGGTGACGAGAAGGAAAACGAGAAGACGGACATCAGCGAGCGAGAGGAGACTTGATGAAGTCACAGCGTGCAATTTGCTAACAGATTGCGTGCGTAAGCGCACCAAAAGCTGTTAGCCACTGGCAGCGCCCATTTTCAGAAGAGCGGGCAGGCAAGACCGAGTTCGAAAAGTGGAGCACAAGACACAGGGCTCGCTTAACACATTTCGCAGCAGGTCTCACCAGAATCTGATGACGGCATTCGTGTCTGTCCGTTCCCGTCCCTCAACTTTTCAGCCTCCAACAACCAATTTCAACCTCATCCGTACCATTGTTTTGTCTTTCCAGGCAACCACCAACTCCTCCCAACAGTACGATATCCATCGGTCGCATACGAGCGGCTCCATTGTATCTCGATGTGACCTGTGACCTCGGCACCAAGCGGGAAGTCCGGCACCATTTCTCCAACACTGCACCGCACCAAGCTCAGATGGCCAGGGGTCGATCATTGTGGACCAGTCATTGTGCCTTGCGTTGGTCGCTTTTCATCTCCACTGCCCTACTTCAGGGATGCCCCTGAACGAACACCACCTGACAGAAGTGCTGTGAGTGGCTGACATTGCGCAACACGGACCCCCTACGGCACCCCAAGAACATGGCAGAGATGATCGATATCAGACGCGACATTCACAATTTGGTTGGGCTGTTTCGAATGGTCAATCATTGGGACTATGACTCTCCAGAATCCAAAGCAGATGCGATAGTAGACATTGTGATCTGGATGCGACTGGACTCGTACAGACAACGCCGGACAGCTCGCCTCCCAAGGGCCAAGAGGCATTTCAAAGCATCCTGATGTTTCTGACTCGAACCGGACAGGCCTTGACAGGTCCACCAGGCCAGTTCACAATGCAGGAGTTCTCCCAGGAAAAGAAAGCCCGATAACGAAAAGCTCGTGTTCAACAAGCCATAACGGGTACCCTATGGGCGCCACATGGTGCCCGTCAGCCAATGGTGGGGATTTCCGCCATCCCGGGTTCGCTGTCATCCGCCGTCGTTCCTGCATTCGACTTGTGATCAGGTCGAATCCACGGCGAATCATTGGCCCAGGAAGATAGTTCTCTTTTTTATTTCTCCACTCTCTCTTTCGGGACGAGCGAGGTCCATCCGTCTACTTACCCATGGCATCCGGTCACCATCAGTTCCATATCTCCACAGCTGAATCCCTTCCTTTTTTCTCCATCATCTTGCTAACTTGAAAACCGCACGCTCTTTTTACACCGGTTCCAACTCGCGACCTATCCTTCGTTTTCAGTCCGCAAGTCACACATTCGCTCTTTCGACGTCAGTCAACTATATACACTCGCTCAACACCAAGACCTTAATCGTCTCCATCTTCGAAATCTCGAACCTAATCACCCACATCTAATACCTCCAAAACAACCAAACACAACCGCCAACATGCGTTCCACCACCACCCTCCTCCAGGCCCTTTTCGCCACCTCTGCTCTGGCCATCCAGATCACCCACCCCGGAAAGAACGACGTCGTCGCCCTCAACTCGGGCGTCCAGGTGACCTGGACCACCGTCAGCACCGACCCCAAGTCCGCTCACTTGGTCCTCGTCAACATGGCCAGCGGCCACACCCCTTACCAGAAGGACCTCGGTGAGGTTGACCTGACCAAGGGCTCCGTCATCGTCTCCGAGGACGACGTTCCCAACGACTCGGCCTTCCAGTTCAACCTCCAGTCCGTCGTCAGCCAAAACGCCGGCATCCTCGCCCAGTCCGAGCAGTTCGAGAACAAGAACGCCCCTGAGGACGACAAGACCACCAAGAGCGCCGCTGCCCAGACCACCGCTGCTGCTTCCACTCTCGTCACCGCTTCCGAGTCTGCTTCCCCTACTGCTGGCGCTTCCGAGTCTGACTCCAAGAGCTCTTCCTCCGCTGTCTCCGTCAGCGGCGCTTCCACCATGGCTACCGTCACTGGTTCCGCTACCACTACCGCTTCCGGCACTGCTTCCAAGACTGCTGCTCCTACCGGCGCTGCTGGCAAGGTCCAGAGCGGTTCTCTCCTCGCTCTCGCCGTCGGCATTGCTGCCGTCCTTGCTTAAGCGACCAGCTAGATTGAGTGGTGTTAGCACCAAATGACGGGCTGTCAAGTCTAATGGGATGTGCGCGGTGGGTGTCACGGATGATCAGTCGTCCGTGATACCCACCTCGTTCATCCCGCCCGCCCGTCAATCGGTGTGACAACAAACAAGGGGTTGAAGGAGGATGATGATGTCAACTTAGGGGTTGTTTGCTGGCATGATGTTCGCTGTATATACTAGTTAATATGTATCAGCATGGTTGTAATAGATGTTGTGTGAGGGAAGAGATAGAAAAGATTTGGGATGCCTTAATGGATTACTTAGAAAATTGCATGGGAAGGCGTTTGTCTTTTTTGGTTTGTTCAATTGGCCTTTCCTGGTCTGTTCAATCGTGACTGTGACCATACCAAATGGTGATTGTGATCGTGAGATACATCATTGATCGTGAACTCCTCTGACGCTGCGCCCCGACACATTTCTCCTCGCTCCCAGCTTTATTCTTCCGACGCGCGCGTGCAGTCACCTGCCATTACCTGGTCGTTGAACATTGAGGTCCGTTCTGCTGCTGCTCCCGCCCTTGGAGTGTCAAACGAGGACTGTCACCTATCGCGTCTCTTCTCTCCCTGGGTGCTTTGAGTGTGAAGATTTTTACATTATGACAGCGATACTACCACCGGCTTCTATTCCACTTCATATGTCTCTTTCTGACATATATAAATTACCTTCGTTGTGGTCCGCGCCCCCCGGAACGGTGATCTCAAAAGACGATGGAGGTACATAGGATGGATGACTGAACATTTCATTTTATTTTGTAATTTTCGCCATATCACACTCCAACAGGGTCAGGACTTCCCGCGTTGCCTGCCCCCTTTAGACGCGCAACCAACTGTTCTTGACTTCCCGGCCCCTATGAAATCTGACATATGTCCCTCATCAACACCAATCGTTTTTCACACGTCGAGATCGATCTTTCCAATACCATGAGCGTTTCCTGGGTCGCGCAGAAGTGGGAAGGCCAAAGTGTCGTACAGTTGGAAAGTGTGGCAAAGGTAGGTAGTCAGAGGTAGAAGGAACTTGTGTGACACTGGTGATGATTTTGGGTGTTGAAGACAGTGAGTCCAAAGCAAAACACGGAAGTTTACGGAAGTACTATGCACGCGGAGCTCGAAGTCAAGACTAGAAGTACAATGTCGTGATTGATGCTTGTCATAATGTTGAGGTAGTTGGGTAGTCGTGTCCAACACAATGAATTTCTACAAGTAGTGCTGTTCAAACATGATTTCGGCGTCATCGGATGCAATTCCGACTACGAGGAATTGATGGTGTTTGCTACGTATTTCTTGGTAAGTTGCCATGGCGATGACAGAGACACTTGATCGTTGGCCTTTTCGATTGAGGTCATCAAGGCGTACATCGGTCCTGGGATATCATGGTGTATGATCATGCACGTTCGTTCCGTTCACCTGCCATCATAGTAAAATCCCCATTTCCTACCCATAGAGCGCTGGGCCGCTCTTTCTTTTCACGAACTTCATGTTTCATCACCATCACCGTGCTTGCCCGATCGGCCGATCACTGTCATCTCCCCTTCAATGAGTCTTGTGAATCTGTCGATGCTTCATCGGTTCATCCTTGAAGGGTTTGCTGTTTGTGCTGTTCTCGCATATCAATACCTCGAAAATGAAGCACGAGAAACGGCTGTTTTGGTGCGAATCATGAGGCAGTCGTCAACCGCTGCGTGGTAACTCTCTCAACTAGTCAGGTTTCTTCCTCTTCAGGCTGAGGCGTCAGTTCAGCCCACGTGCTGATTTCAGACCATCAAAGCCGGACCATTATTGCAGCGAAGTACCCGCTTGAGTGCCATCGCATTTTAGGTTGTCGTCCGTCTTTCTTTCGAGTGTGGAAGTCGCGACTCCTTTCCTTTGTGCGCTGATCAACTTGGAAGTTCCAGATCGTGTCTTTCTCATGCGTTCCTTTCTTCCCTCTCAAAGATTGAACCACTATCCAGTCATCTCTATCTGACACGTCAAATTGCTTCTGTCCACTAGACGTCTGGAAGCACCTTCCTCACCCACCTTGTCGGCAATTTCCAATTATCTCGCAGACAATTGGGAACTGGATATGCTCATTGAAGTTCAACATTGCCTTCCTCGAGGCATTCCTTCCAAGCCACTGCTGCATTTCACAAAGTTCACTCTTGCAACAGATAGGTACAGGAAGCTGGCCCGTTCTCTCGTTCCGAGGACCTCGCTGTCTGGGGAATCCGTCCTCCAAGTACAGTATGTCACCAATCGAGCGAGATCCAATATCATGGAAGTGAGATAGGATTGCCTTGCCTCCTTTGCCTCTGCACTACTCCTTCCATATTTCCCAGACCCATCGAGGGGAGAAAGGCTGTGAGAAGATTCTGGGCGTTTGTCGCTTAGACCGCTACGTCCCAGAATCCCCTCCTTTGCAGACCTTCGTTCTTTGTCATCGCCAGCTATATAGCTGGCGATCTCTCCCAGCCATCGTTAGCTGGATCCCTCAATACATCATCATTCTCTTCATTCGTGATCCATCCCATAAAGGCTCCCGTCGGTCGATAGAACGGAAGGAACGAGTTTCGGTACCCAGGGCACTCGCCCACCACAACTCGAAGCTGCTCCTTCCCCAACAAAGGTACAGTTGCTAGATTACGTCGAGTGAACAATTTCTTGGTCGCGCTTGGCAGAGAAGCTCCTTCCTACTCCACTCTGTGTAGTACCTTGATGTTCCGGGCTAGGGATCGATATTTTCCGTAAATCTGGGATTTTTTCATTTCCTTACACTTTTCCTTACCGAAATTTCTGAAAAGGCCCGTGCACGAGTCCGTGCATTCTCCCGCTGAGGTACCTCCGCACCACCACTTCTGCGTGTAAGCTGACCCAGGTACGTACCTTTTGAGCTGGTGGGCCAGCACGTGCTGTAAAAACTGTAAGACATTTTACTTTTTCATTACTTTACCGAAATTTCCCTTTCTTACCGCTTACAGGAATTTCAGGTCGACCCCTATTCCGGGCTCCTGTGGAGATGGAGAACGAAGAGCTCGTTACCTAAGGTACTTGCCGTACGGAAGGGGGGGGGTGTCTGGCAAACGCTGTAGCAACAGTAATTTTACCGTTGCTAGAAATTCCAACGGTTGCTCAATCCGTGAATTTGTACCCACGTTTAACAGACCCCAACGTTCATTCTCTCTAGACATATAGCAGCTTAAAACTGTGTAATTACCGTCATTCAACTATTTATTAACCGTTGGTAAAATTCAAACGTTTGGAAATATCAAACGTTGGAACATATTAAATGGTTAATCTACTGTTGAATGGCCGTCGAGGTAGGTGCAAACGTTTTAAAAAGTCAATGATTGAGCAACCGTTGGCCGGACCCCCCCTCTTTTAGTACGGTGGGCCCTTCCAATTGCTCCTTCTTCACTCTTCCTGCCCCGAAACACCTAGGTCGCTTCAGACGTATCTTGTGATCAGGGCATACATCACATCCCTTCCGTCGTTGAGAGGGAGTAGTTGCCCGTTGGCAAACTGGGCGTTTCTTCTTTTCGGCCAGGAAGGAGGTTTGCGACTACTTGGTGAGCAAAATGAGATGGAGTGAGGCGGATGGAAGGCACCCACTCAGCGGGCATGATGCGGCTTCCAGACCGTCCAAGCAAATCTCGGTAAGTATGGAGTCAGCGGAGGAACACTAGCTCACATCATGATTCGAGTGATCTTCCCCGACCCGAACAGCCTTCGGGGCCCGAGAGCACTCCATATTCGCTAGTAAGCCGAATGAAAGTGAGTGTACTGTGTGTCATGTCACGAGTTTCGGACGACGCATGCCGTACGATACATGAGCCGTCGACCTGGCATGTTGATACAGTCAATTCGATAGGTAAAATGTACATTCACGGTCCTCCGTCCATCTCTCTTGACGCCCAAAGTGTGCCCCCGTAGTGCGCACCAAGGCCACTCCAAACTATGCAGATAGGAACGAAACGATACTGTATCAATCTGTGATGAGTCTGGTACAACCCATCGGACCATCAGCTTCTGTTCTGCTGATTATTGACTACCTCTACAAATGTATCCTTCACGATCACAAAACCTCACCGCTTTTAGAGGTCCGGATCCCGGACGGAGAGAGCGGAAAAAGAGGAAAGCAATCTGGTTCACACCTCCCAGCTTGCCATTCTGTCTCTTGCGATAACCCGAGATGATGAGACATGTTGCGATAATCCAATCTAGCGTCCCGTGATCCGTATGAACTGCAGATAACTTGTCTGACGCGGGGGTGGTTTCCAGCAATCATCTGCTTAGTTGTACCGCCTTTCATCGAACCAGGCTTCCAGTCCCGACGCGGTCCTAATAAGGCATGGAAGATGGTGTGAGTTCAGGCGATGGTTGTCAACATACCGGTAGATTACTTGTCCGTGAATGAAGATGTGATATAAAACTACGGTTTGCGAAGCTTTGGGGTAGCTCACAAAAAGCAGTGCTAGAAAAATGAGAACTTGGAGCCAAGATCAGTCGGCGCCGACTTCCCCGGCATCCACCGGTAGCGAGTTAAGAGACCGCCGCGAGTGTTCTATGGTTGACTGGCCACAACGTGTCGGAGTTCCAGTTCTTTTTGGGTGGGCAATTTGGAAGCACAAAGCCCGGTAAAGTTAACCGTCTGATTGACGTTGAAGTTGGCTCGGAACTCGATAGGCGGAAATGCCACTCTGATGATGACTCTAATGTCAGTACGACCGAAATGGGTATATCTGGAGTTCATGAGGGTAGCATCAACCCCAGATTTCCACCGCCTTAAGCCTTCTCCTATCGGTAGATGTGCCGAAGTTATTCCGCCGAAGGGTTGCGCTCTACCAGTGATGAGAGCCGTGATTTGACGCCGATTTCTTTCGGTTTGGGGTCCCTATGATAGCATCAATCCTAACATGGGTTGCTTTAATAATGCCCAATCTGGATTTCAACCACCCACATCAATCCCGTCGGCGAGGGTCCTTGTGGCGTCGAGGGTGCCAATGAATGCTGTCCGAGAACAGAAGATTGTGGCGCACTCCCCCAATGGTGGGAAATATGGTTACCGACCGGAGTCGATACTGCGCACTTGACCATCCATCCAGTCATGGCACTAGCCTAGATATTTGGCTCTTTTGGGCAATCAGGCAGGTCAACTCCGAGAAAAGGCCCCAAGGCCTCGATATCCAGCTGACTCGAGATTTGGGGTATCGGCACTGCACTGTTGGGATACCGGTTATGAGATCTCGGTGTATCGACCCAAGTTCGAACGTGCCGCTCGCTTCACCAGTTGACCTCAAATCATGGTGAGGACCTCAACCTCAACCTCGGTGATTATACTCGCAGCTCCCACCATCTTCCGCTGCTCCCACAACTTCCCGATGTTTTTGTGACACGTCTCTTGCTTTTCATCGCCCACCTCACCGGTTGTCGGTATTCGCCGCGATGGTTGACGGAGGTCACCATCTAAGGCATCTTTTTGTCGGAGATTGTGGGCTTTCAATATGATTGGGTTAGAGTCAGCCGCGCTCAGATGGCTGCTTCATAATGACGATAGCCTGACGGTACTTCTGGTAGGTATAAGAATAAGAAATGTCACAAAGCGACGGTATCTCGGAATACTGTGAAGGCTGCAGAACATTGAAGCTAGCATTAGCAATGCCGGCCGAAGCTCGAACTAACAAGGTTGACGTCGGCGACCCCAACCCTTCAACGACAGGCTTGAAGAGTCTAGACATGCCTTGCAAGGCATGAGACGGGAATGGGGGGGACAATGAGAGGACGTGAAACATATAGCGTTGTCGGTAGTGTGGAAGTAGTTGGGAACGCCGTCAAACCGTTCAGTCCAGCCCGAGCCGGTAGCCGCGTACAGCATTAATACTGTGTTGTACTCCGGCGGGAGTTTAAACGGCGACTTTGCTTATGGTGGAACTTTCCATCTGCAATCTATTCGGAAGCCGGAACTCCTTGTGATACTCGAAAAAATGTTGGAGGGTAATTTTATAACGTCATGCTCCGCCCAAAAAGAGGCTAGTACCCGTGGGCTCGCGAAAAGACACAGTTCCGGAACTATCAGGGGTATGAAGAGCCAATCGCATCTTTCTCCTTATACGTTCCCAAGCTCAAACGCCTTGACAGTCGCCAAGACTTGATTGAATTGTCGCTGCTGCTGCTTTTTGGCAAACGGACCTTCGAAACGAAAGGAGAAATTCAACAAATTCAACTATACTATCCAAAAGACTACTATGTTGATAGTTTCAAGTACGCTGATGTCGAATTCACAATCAGTTTTCTTGCATCTCCTCGTTTGGTGGAGATACGAGCACATGAAGTCTTGTTCTTTTCGTTTCGGAGGTCCGTTTGCTAGAAAACTAGCAGCAGCGACAATCTCATCTTGGCGACTTTCAAGGCGTTTGAGCTTGGGAACGTTGAAGAACTGAAGTGAAGGAAAAACGTGGTGTTCCACTGATAATCGGTGGTGAGGACAATGAGCCAGGGAGGTGAGGGTGAGGGTGAGGGGACTGTGACTGACTGACTGACTGTCTTGGGTGACAAGGTGATTGAGCTCCATCCATCCAGATGGTTTGGGAGTGAACATGCGACCGTGACGAAAGCGACATTGGATGGACAGACACGATGCTACCGTGACGTTAACGGTGAATGAAGGGTTCAAGGTGAAGGGAGGGTGACAGGCCAAGACACTGCAGAGACAGACCATGGGGTACAGAGATGTGGCCTTGTGTTGATATTGACAGGTGCGGTGCATAGCACCATCAATTTGATGGGTGGGCAAGGCAACGTAAGGCAGGGCAAGGCTCCATGTCATGACCGAGAATAAGAGTATTTTCTGGTGCAAATCGATGGACGGAACAGGGGATTCCGAGAGCCAGGAAAGGAACGGAGCTAACTGAGGATATTGTCTTGTTTCAAACCCAATATCATGATGAGGATATGGTACTCTACCAAGAATGAGATGGCATGGTACCACTCTCACATGAGAAGGAAAATCGGGGAATATATCAAATCAGGAATATGCATGGAATACAGCGATGCCGTCCGTGGCGGGAAAGGGGGCCTCTCGGGAATGACGGACAGCGACAGCAGACGGGCATGACATGACGGATGACAGCTCGACATTGACAGGCGGGCAAACATGTGGAGGAAGGGGAGCAAGATGAGGGGGAGGCAACGGAAGGGAAAGGGGAGAAAATGTCACTGCCCCCCTTGAGGATGGAGAGAAGTGTGGAAGGGTGGACCTCGGCGTAGTCAATCGCCGTTACACCGCTGTAAATATTTCATGTTATGATGTTGTACTGTAATCATGGGATCTCCTAATGACTCGCTGTTGACTGTGCCTCACAAGAACCGGAATTGCAGTGCTGCTGCGGATTGCGGATTGCCCATCCCAATTGATGGATGGCATTGTTCCGGGCTCCGTGACTGAAAAAGGAGAACCAAGCAGCAAAAAGGAGGGACGGGAAACCATCTGACAAGAAAAAGAAAAAAAAGAGAAAAAGGCAAGAAAGTAGGAAATGTACCGAATCCTCACAAGGCTCCCGGTCGGTTTCCGGACAATTCTCGGTTCTCGGATCACAGAGGTGTCATTGACGGCTTGTGGCCGGGGTGCAGGAGCAAGGATGCGGACGGTGATTAGTACGGGGTATGTTATTGTCAAGGTTGTTGTGTGGGATGAACTTGAAGATGCCACGAAAGAGATGGCCAAGAAATTATGGTTGAAGAAGAAGCCAACCGAGACAAAGTTCTCTCCTGTCGAGGAATTTTCATGAGCGAAGGAAAGAGACGGCCAAATCCAGATCCGTTGTTGTCCTCGAGTGTGCCTGCCACGGACTCTGGCTGCTGAAAGTGAAATCCCCTCAACCAATCACAGCACCCCAAAAGGATGGGCAGCGACGGGAAATTGTGGGGCGCAGAATTGACTCAATGGCCAATCAGAATCGTCCCTTGACACACCAATTCAACCTCGTCTCCAGCAAATGTTGCAGTGGAAGGAACCCTCTGCGCTGAAAGATCTCTGATGAGCGGGAGGGAGCACTGTACAGATCAATGCTGGTTTGTTTGTTAGCTCGAGACTTGCGATTCACGCCAGCAGTCCCGCCTAGCTATCCTGAAAGTGGTAAAAGAGTCCTCTGCAAGTACCCTGCTAACGAACAAACCAGGGGTGAACTGCAACGGAAAGTGCCTGCCCAGTCGCAAAGCCTCTCCACGTTTTTGATCAGTGGGACATTTGCCGTTTTCTGTGGCCTTTCAATGCAGCAATTTGCGAATCAAGGGCCGCGGCAGTTCAAGGGCCTGGACCGGCGGTGGACCGTGCTGGACCGTGACCGACACCCACCACTTCCCGCTCCGTTGCCGTCCGCGTCCTCCGTCCCTTGTTGACGGGATTTACACGGATAGACTGGAGAGAGTCAGGAGTCTGGGGTAATTGTGTGGGATTTGCCTCCTCCGTCTCTTCCATGAGATGATGACAGCTAAGTACATGGCAAGAGTACCTCCAACTCCCTGGTGATGCCAACGGTCGACCGCTCGGAGACATTTGGGAATCCCCTCGCTGACCAGTGTGGTAGACCAGTGCGCCGTCAGCAATCTTGGACTCTCTACACTGGAGTCGCTACGGAAATGACAAGACTGATAGCAGAGATATCAGCAGCCAAACGGATCCATCAGCGACCCGGTAGCTCTACAGCTATTCCCGCTATCATTGATCAAATCTGTACCAACGTCGCAGTCAAGAAAGACAGCCAAGCCGCGCGGAGATGCAGCGGCGCAGCACTCAAGACAAGAGACAAGAGACATGCTCGACATGGTGCCCTCCACCTCCACCCTCCACCTCCACCTTGACGGGCCCCTCCACCAAGCCCTTTTGCAGTTCGGAGGTCATACCGGAGGCCATGAGAGGTTACCATATCGAAATACCTACATATGTCCCCGCCTGCTGCTGCTGTCTTTCTTCGAACAAGACGTCGCCGAAGCACATACATACATATACAGGGTGGAGGAATATAATATCAAGAGGAGGCCATAAGACAACCGAATGGCGGCCTACGCCCAAATTAGCCTACCCACGGGTATCATACCGTGATACCATGATACTGCACTCCTGCCACTATATTCTACACCACACTAACATCGTCTCCGCCCAGGATTAGAATGACCTGAGCTAACATGTTCCAGGGGAAACCGATCCGGTATTAGCGTCTTTCCACTCTGTCCCACAGCCCACTATACCTTGCCCCCGCTAGTCCCGTTATTGGCTGCCTGGCAGACCCGGACACCACAAGAAAACATGACAAACCCGCAGCACCGTACCGATGTCGAGACGGCCTGTCTTTGACGCACTCTTTTCAGTTTACACACTCGTCTGTCTGACTGACAACCTGCCGGCTTTTTCTAGAAAACAAAACAGGCTAGACCTCAAAAACACCAACGGGGAATCCCGCTGTCAACGCTACTGCACCCAATATTAGAGGAGCAGACGAACCGAGTACATACTAAACCCACGCAACACCCACCAGCGGACACTCACCATTGCCCTACCTACACCAAGACAAATCGAGAGCAATCCCGAACAGGGGGCAACACAACCTGGAAAAAGAGCCAAGCCAAGCGAAACGCTACCATCGAACGCTACGCTGGACCACACTGGAGTACTGGACCACCACACTTTGGCCTGTCAAGAAATCGGAACCTCCTTCTTAAACCTCTGCCGGCTCCCCTCCCGAAAAGCCCCCCCCCCATCGTCATTCGCTCATTCTTGCCTCTTGTGTCGCAAAGGCTTGAACAACAACATCATAATCATCATCAACAACAACAATAACAACATCTGTCGTACCTGTCGAGCTGTCGCCACTATCGAATACACACCCAGGACAAGCAAACACCCCGCTCTGCCGCCTGCGCCCGTCCATGTCGGCTGCCCACTCATCAACCACAACAGCGACGCCCGCTTTGCTCTCATAGTGTGTAGTGTGTGACCGGTTGGTGTGATGGAAGTACGAGTCGCAACCACACAGAGCACTTCGTCGCCTCCAGGCGCCGGCAAGTATCCTCGCCGTGGAAGACGCGAGAAACCATGGCCACCCTCAAAACAACGAAAGCTGTTGCGCCTCTATGTCTGCACACAAAGCGAGCGCCTGCCCCTGGTGCGCATTCTCGAGAGGCTAAAGGATGGCACTTTTGACCCAAGGTGCGATCATCTTGTTTCCTGCGATATTGCAGTACCACGTGTGACGGCGATCACCACCCAGGCCCCGAAATTGCTGACTCAAGGATCACCGTGTTTCATAGGCAACGAAATTCTCACAAGCACCTCAAAAATCTATTACCAGACCGTCGCATCGATGACTGGCGACCAAGGGACCTCGCATCCATGTTGGTTCGAGTGCGCTTTCTCAGATCAGTCAGGGCCGAGAGGAGGATGAGGAGGAAGAACCGAGATCACAGGACGCGCGGCGGCAATCCAGACCAGCACCACGCCGCCGACACAGAGTGGACATCACCGACGGGGTTCATGGGCGGTCGCATGGGGGGCATGGGTATGGTGGACATGGGGGGCATGGATACCGATATCATCATGAACTTGGACGGAGACTCTCTCGGTAATCAACACATCCACCACCACCGGGGCCGTCACGAATCCGCCCGATCATCACCACAAGCCTTGTTATCCGAGTCGGCCACGGCAAGCCCCGAAACTTCGCATGCATCCCATGCGTCATGTCAGCTTCACCAGTCACCCGTCGACTCCCCGGAGACCTCGCACACCTCACATGGGGCCCCTTCGCATCGGGAGAGGTCGCCAGTTAGGTCCGAAAAGTCCATGTCAAGTTCTCTCAAGTCAGCATCCGAATCCCTTAAATCAGCATTCAAGAGGAGGTCATGGGCATCAGTGCTTTCGAGTATCTCGTCGGGTATCTCCAGTCTGGCTCGTTCTTCGTCATCGGCATCTTCCAAGGGGGTTGGCCATAGCGATCACGGTCCTACGGTTGCCCTCAGCAAGTTGAGTCGGGATGATTTTCTTTCTCTGCTGGAAGAGAACAAGCCATCGGCATCAGCAACCAAAGCAAAGGCAACCAAGGCGCTGCAGACCCCCTTGTTCAAGAAGAAACACTCTGCTGTCAACCCCAAGACGGAGGAGTTGAACAATGCGTTGCTTAGTATGTGCTGCTCGGCTCATATTTCAACCAGCTCTCCTCCTTGTGCGCATGAGAGACTATCAAAGGCCATTGAAGCCCAGGACTCAGAAGGTCATGCCTTTCACAAGTTTACAGTTACCGACGAGGAGGCTAATATGGTCGACAAGTATGGCAACATTCTTCTGCACGTCGCTGCCCGATGGGGCGCCCGTGTTTCGATTTTGTTGTTGATTCTGCGACACACTGATGATATCCAGGCAGTTAACGTTCGTGACGAGACTTTCCTCCATGTGTACGAACCCCCAAGCCACCCAAAGCTAAGGCCAGCCTCCTTCATCAACCTCGTGCGACATCTGCGGTCTCGGGGCTTCGACTTTTGCCAGCGAGACGTCGAGAAGCGAACATTTCTTCAACACCTGGTCCCGAAAGAGACCTTCCCCATCGAGATCCTCCATTGTCTTTTCCGTGAAGTCGGCCACGGGACGGCCCGCTTCCTTGTTGCCAACAAGTGCTCGGCTGACGAACGACTATGGCACTGCATCCGTAAGAACCTATCCTATCAGTCGCCCAAACTCCACCGCATCTTCGGCGACGAGCACGAGTTCGTCCGGCGTTACCTCCCCGAATTCATGGCGGATTCCTCCTGCAACAACTCCACCCGCATTACCATGATCTCCGACTCGGACAGTTGGCGCGGCAGCGGTTACACAGGCCGCTCAAGTCGCGGCAGCACCGCCAGCAGCTCCCAATGCATCAAGCGAACGTCCGTCATGCGCCTCTTGTGCAAGATTGCCTCCGGCCGGGACTCCGAAAAGAACGGGGGCGAGGCAAACCTCGATCAGCGCCTCGAGACCCTCCTTGGCATCGGCCCGAAGATGACCAAGCAGGATATCGAAGCCCTCCTCAATGAGCGTGACACTGAGGGTAACTCAGCGCTGCACTATGCTGCTGAATTTGGCATTGTGGCTGCTGTCAAGTTCATTGTTTCGCATGGCGCACAGGTGAACGTGATGAATAACTGCGGCAACACTCCGCTACAACTCGTCAAGTACGCGATCCAAAGGACGGACGTCAGGACGGATGTGTACATGGAGGCGAGGTACCTACGATGCGCCGTGTTGCTATTGGAGAGGGGAGCATTTGATCAAAGCAAGCTTGTCAGCGAGAAGAGTGTTATCTACCCGTATGATGTATTTGATGGAAGCGAGAGGTGCATTACGAATCTGGTGAAGCAGGGCGTGGCCTACGAGTGTCGGGGATTGCATTTGCTATCTTCATCAATAGCACCGCATGGGCCGGCCATATGGATGGATGAAAATGGGCAGGTGCAATTTGCGCAGCACTTTTATGATGAGGAGGGAGGTAATGGGGAAGGAAGTGGACATGCGCATGGACACGGACATGGACACGGGATGGGTGGCGGGATGCCGATCGGTGCAGGTGGTATGCCGATGCATTTGGAGTTTCAGACTTCGTTTCTTTGATTTTGCTTGGTGATCTCTTCTAGGAGTTTTGGACATGAAAGGGGGAAGGCAAGGACGGGATGAGAAACGGGGAATGGCGCATATACGGGGAAATATTGGGATAAGAAGCGATGGCGATGTGGTGGGAGCGATTTTCTTTTTCCTTTGTCGGCTTCTGTTTTTCTGATGCCGATTTCGATATCTCAAGGCTACGGTTCCTCGCACCAGCAGGCGACAGGCGACAGGCGACAGGCGTTCAATGCTCTTTCATCATCACCAGGAGATCTTGTTGCATTTGAGAGCTATCAGCGAGCAGCCGTTGAATATGTAATATCATCTTCACCTTCCCTTTGTTTATATCGGGGCCCTCACTCCCAGGTGCCTCTAGTTATTACTTTCTGGCTCTTACCTACGGGGCGGACGTCGATGGAAAGCTCACGATGCCGACGAACAAAAGTTATGTCTTTCTACGTTAGAGCATCGGGATAGTCTTCCATTAATGCAATAAAAGTACGTACATACTCGATTAATACCTACCTACTCTATGTATCATTTCCCATCTGTCTTTTCCCACTGCTAAAATCTTCCACTGTTCGCATCCTTCCCGTCGTTCCCCTTTCAATAATTGCTTCGGCAGATCTTTACGCATCCCATCCTGCACACACCTGCAGTTATACTGCTAGCGTCGGAGATACCGCAGATCTTTGGGGGCTCGTAACTCCATCCACACAGCCCATTCAGATCAGATTCCCAGAAGTCAGGAGCCGACACTTCTCGGAAACACTGTCGTTTTGACTGTTCAAGATGCAAGTCGTCAACCGACCGACGAGTGTCTTTGCTCGGGAATGCCCCACTTACATACCACACAGTCTGTTGGAAATGTTTGCTCCCTAAGGTACTCCATCCTTGCTGGCGATGGCGGGCGCGCTTCCGCTGGTAGTACAATAGGTAGAGATGCTCGCTCGGGGCTCACTCCGTCGGGAATCCCATTGGGCTGAATGGATCGGACTTGAGTGGGATTGGGATTGCTTTGGGCTTGCTTGTACAACGAGCGTCACTAACTAACCCTGAGAGTAGAATAACCCCCTTGCGATTGACCCTTGAGCACACTCTCTCCCCCTGGTGACACCGAAGAGCCGCATTGACAAAGAGCATGGATCCGATCCCCAGCATATTAGTCTAGGGAATCACAAAGATCTGGCCAGGCGTGAGATTTGGGAGGAGAGGAGAGAGGTAGATTGTACGTAGAATAGGTTACACCGCTGACCGACCGCTGGTGACACCAACCGACACCGAAACTGAGTTGGAGATCTCGATCTGTTCTGTCTCACCATCAGTCACTTACTCACCCACCCGAGAGAAGCCAAAGAAGAGAGGTTCAACGGCTACCTGGTCAACAAGAGAACCCTGAATCCCACACTCTTGGTTCATGAAATCTTACAAGGGCTGGGCCTGTCTCGAAGTTGAGGTTGAGACTGGAAGATGGGGAGATGAGGCTCTTTCACAAGCCTTGTCACAAGCCTTGTCACAAGCCTTGTCACAAGCCTAGCGCGAGACATCGACCGAAGCAAGTCTGATACTTCGTTGGCAACTGGCAACTGGCAACTGGCAACCGGCAACCGGCAACTGGCGACTGGGATGGAGGTGACCCAGATCGATATCCTGGATGGATGAGGAAGGAGGAAGGCGGCTATTTTCGCCAAGGCCATAACAAGCAACGAGAACCCTACAGCAGCTACAGTAGAGGTACCTACCTTGACTACGACCCGAGACCGAACATATGCAAAAGTAGCGTAGGGGTATCCGGTATACCGTTACAGCAGAGCTGGTGACTGATTCGGAATTCTGCCGTTGATGAAACAGCACGAAGTGGTCCCGGTGGTCCAGTCCCGGTGTCAATCTCGGAAAGGCACCACATCAAGGTAGGTATGATCTCGGAGAGCACGACCTCCGCTGTATAGAGGTACCCGGCCGGCATGTTTATGTTGCCATTGCACGGCACCACCCATCTACCTGTCGTCCCGTCCCCGTCCTCCAGGGATCAAATGATGATCACCGCTATGATACGGGGGAAGATCAAGATTGGATGGAGGACGGAGGCAGATGACAACAGCGTGCCAGTCGCAGGGTAAAAGTGGTCGTCCATATCATCTTCCCGTTATGCCGTCCCGGGACGAACGATCACCATGCTAATACCACGACTGTGCACGGCAGAACACGGCAGGAGGACAAAGTTCTAGCCCCGGATATTGATCTTAGGCCCGGCATTTAGCCACTTACCCCAGATGATCCAGATCCCGCGCGGCTCTAATATCTACCTCTAGGGTATTGAGCCAGATGCCTGCCAAGGCGTATAAAGACGACGTCCCATAGCGAATATCATTTGGATATTGTGTTGTGTTAGTTGACGCGGTTCGGGGTGGAAATTTCTCGCTACGTGTAACCGGAAGGGGGCATATCACTCACTGCTTCCCTCCCGCCACGAATGGGGAAACCCAGCTGTGAAGTGGAATGCTCATACGGCGAAGTGAACCACCACCCCTTTGACCTCCATCACTCACCTCGAAGGCTTGAAGGGTTCCAAACTCACCTGGAAACACCAATCCTCCATCACCATCACCACATCGTCTTCACTCACCCACTCACTCACCATGCTCTCCCCCACCTCCTTCTTTCTCATGGCCATCGGCCTCACCACCGCCGCGGTGTCCACCCCCCTCCCCCTCCCAGCCTCAGCTCCCCTCCCCGACGGCACCCTCTCCGCCCGCCAGTCCACCGCAACACAAATCATCCGCCTCTCCTCCATCGAAAACCTCGCCGTCCGCTCTACCGGCGCCATCCTCGCAACAAACATGAACTCCGCCGCTCTAATCTCCATCGACCTCATCGCCAAAACCTCTTCCACAGTCCTAACCATCTCCGGCGCCCCCGGCCTTTCAGGAATCGTCAAGTACGCGCCCGATCTCTTCGCCGTCATTGGCGGGAAGGGGGTTTATCGCGTTGATTTCACTTCCAATCCGCCGAAGAGTTCGTTGATTAAGACGATTAGTGAAGCAGGGAATTTAAATGGATTGAGCACCTTTACCAATGAGAGTGTGTTGGTCGGTGACGCAGGGAAGGGCGTGGTGTATAGGTTGGATGTCAACAAGGGGACGTACGAGCAGGTGTTGAAAAACGTGACGATGGCGCCGAGCGGATCGATCCCGTTTGGTATTGACGGGTTGAGATACCGAGCGAGCGATAGCACGCTTTGGTACACGAATATCTTTAAGAACTCGTTCCATCGGGTTTTGGTCGATCCTGTTACTGGCAAGGCGGCGGGGAGCGTGACGACGCTGTGGACGAATCTCATGGGCGATGATTTGTGTTTTGGCCCTGCGGTGCAGCAGGCCGACGGGAGCACGAAGGAAAGTGCGAAGGTGTATGTCGCTACTAATGGGAAGAATAGTCTGGTGGAGGTGGATACCAGCGTGCAGAAGCCCAGTCCGAAGACGGTGGCGACGGTTAGTGGGAGTACGAGTTGTGCGGTGGGGAGGGGGGAGGGGGATAAGGGGGTGGTGTATGTTAGTGGGGGGCAGGGGGTTTATGCTGTTAGGGTTTAGAGGGGGAGGGGGGTTGTGGTTGGTGTTGTGTGTAGAGGGTGGTGATGTGGTGGTGATTGAGAGACGATGGGGAGGCGATCGGGAGGTGGAGGTGAAGTTGGTGAGGTGAGGTGCGATTGAGGTCCGGGAGAGTCGGCTGAGCGGAAGTGGTGATGCTCGTATTGGCGATGGTGGTGATGGTGTAAATTTGAAGTCGGGATGTTGACATGGTGATGCTGGTCATGGTGTTTTGGTCAAGTTTGGTGCCCGTTCCGCAGTGCCCGGTGTTGCTCGGAGGAAAAGCTCAGCACTGTAAACAAAAGTGGAAGCACTGTGCGTTCTGCATGTAACCGCTGCAACTTTGTCGCAGAAACCACTTTGGAGTTTGGATTCTCATCCTTCCTTCGTGCATGAGGGGTATGTTGCTCTTGATTGGACTTGCGTTTGTGCATCGGGACGCCTGGTGCCTTCCCATGCAGTTTTCACCTTTTCGGCAAGTGAAACCCTCTCCTTGAATCAGCCTTGAACGGCGCCTTCCCGCGCTGGCCTCGCTACAACATGCAGAAGGGAGATTTGAAGGAGGGCGACGAGATGATCATTGGACCGTAGGGATTTTCGTCTCCGAGGAGGGAGGCAGCTGCCCAGAGGCCAGGCGGGCCGGGTACCAACATCAAGGTGCAAGTTCCGAATGTCATGATACTACCGTGGCTGTTGTTGCCTCGACGAAGGTAGGTACCTACCTATTTGAAGCTTGGCTCCCCCATTGAAGGTTGGTGGCGCTAACTCTGTCTCCATCTCTCCCAGTCAGTTACCATCTCCTCCGTCTGATCTCCGCGCAAGACTCACGACATTAGTGACGCTTCTCAACTTGTTCATTATCGTTATGGACGGACTTCGAAACCTCCGTGCCGTTGCTGAAGATGGGATGTCCGGCCGACGTTGGTTTGAATTCAGATCTAGGTTTAGACCCCTTGCCGACTATAGTCGCCACCGCACACCAAAGGGTGAAATCATCCAGGTGCCTATCGTTCCCTGCGCCGTTGCACAAATATGGCCGAATCCCCGTGGACCAGCCGCTGAATACCGTTTCTCCCCAGAAATACAAGCATTATTGCTAGCAGAATTCGTCAAACGCGGCTATTCCTTAAAAGGACTTGTACCCAACGGCTCTGAACCATCACAGTATACACATACGGGCGCCAAAATCGCATTCGTTCATGTGAAGGAAAAGCTCATGAGTGACGTGGGTTCCCAGGTCGTTGAGATTCGATACGAGAGCTTCAAGACCTTGTGGATGGCTCTTGATCCTCACCCTCGACTGGGGAAGATGGTGTCTTACGGGATGCTCCGAGGCTTTGATTTTTTGGGCCTGACTGCCGATAACGAAGGTGTCTCCGGTTACCTGGCCACCCGTTCCATCAAGTTTATGTGGTCTATTCGCCAGCACGACCAGTCGCCAGAATTTGATACGAGATGTATCCTTCTTTCAGATCTATCCGCCTTCATTTATGAGCTGGATTCCCCATCAAAACGTGTGCTGCGGGGAAAGTCGTTTCTTGAGGAGAAGGTTCACCTGCCCGACTACATCTCCAGCCACTCACCGGTGACCGATGCTGTGAATCACTTGAAAGCTTTCAAGGAAGACTCGCACTCACCGCTCTACCTTCCATTTGCCATTTCGGTATATGCTCTGGAAGAGTGCCGGGAGCGCATTGGCCTTGTCAACGGGCGGGTCATGACATGGTTGTCCAGAGACGAATCGGGAGACCACGCTCAGGGAACTTCTAAACAGAAGTTGGAAAGACACGAGGTCAATCGTAGGTTCATGGTTGAGTTTACTCAACAGGATATTCCAATGGAGTTGGAAACTGCGAAGATGGCGCTTAACACCATCGAGTCCCTGTGGCGCAATTTGGTGATCATGGCAAAGGAGCTCCCCGACACGGCGAAATCCGAGAATGTCTGCCGCAGTAACGAAAGCATATTGACTGCGCTATATCAACTCCAACAGGAGCTAGAAGGAATGAGAGAGCTACTTACATTCATTGAGATGCGGATAAACAGTTACTTATCGATGGTAAGCTTCCTCTTTGAAACTGTATCCCGATGTCAAGAACAGAAACCATGTATTCATTTCACTGTACTAATCCAAAATGATCCACCAGAGGGCTCATTATTTGAATCAAATGGACGCTATACGCAATATCGAAACGGCCAAGACCACTCATGAACTTGCTCAAGCGGCTCGTCAAGACAGCGCAGCCATGAAAACCATTGCGATTCTCACCATGGCCTTCCTACCGGCTACGTTCCTATCCACCCTTTTATCAATGCCTTCCCTCAATTAGAATCAGCGCAAGCATTTCGTGGTATACTGGATACTCGCCATCCCACTCACCGTTGCGACCTTCATTCTCTGGGCGATAGTTATTCATCGTCAACTGGTGCGAAGATGGTTGCTGACTATCTACGCAATACTGCGAAGGTTGGGTATGGGTATCTACGCGCCTCTGCGAAGGATGTGGATGGGTATCTGCACACCTCTGCATAACAAGAATGAGGACAGGCTGGACAAAATTGATATGCAACGAGCATTTGACCATATCTACAGAAATAAGCGATGGAAAGAAGAGATGATGAGCTCCGGAAGTTCCGCTGCTTAAGGAGTCGTATGGGATGCAGACCTTTAGTTTGTTCCTGGCAGAACTCTTCCCCTTTGTTCGTCACCCCTTCTACAACTCAGACGAAGTCTAAGGTACTCAAGCCTTGATGAGAATCTTCAGGCCTGGAAACTTCAAGGAACAAAAGGAGATGGCTACAAAAACAAGGAACCAGCCAGTTTCGTATTTCGTCCTCGCCCTATAAGTCTTGGTTTTCGGCATCACAGCGTTCACATGGCGGAAAAAGCCGGTGTACAGACAGGGTGTCTTCGGTACAGCGGCGTGTGTGCATCAACCTGGGAGAGGTGTTGCCTCCGATACCTGGTAGGTGCATTCGCCATGCCATCGCTCGACTGGAATCTGCCTAGGCACATGATTACCTGTATGGATTCCGCCTGGCAAGGCATCATTTCGGTCACGGTTGCCACGATCATCTCCGGGGAATGGTCACTCAGCTTGAGGTTATGTGGCGGTGGCTATGCTTGAGTCGAAGGCTTGGAGACGCAGCAGAGGAGGGGGCCTGAGGCTGAACGCACTGCAAAGGATGCACGGGCGTTTTTATGCATTCTCCTGTGTCGAGGAGTCGTCAGAACGGCGATCTGGGGTAGTACAAGCCACTACAAGCGCCCAGTCGAAGTACAGCACGACACAGTTATTGGACAGCGGGCGGGCATGCCCACAAAGCTGAAGTGGCAGCGCCCGATGAGAGGGAAGACTTCCTCGCCACGTGGAATTCTGCCCTTCGTTGCATAGGCGGAGGCCTTGACTGCTGCTTTAATCCAAATACATGAGCCTGGGATGGACTCACCCACGATCCTGCATTACCTTACTATTTTTCAGGCCTCTTTTGTCTTCCATCTTTCTCTTCCATACAGGTACCAACTCACTGTGAACATGAATGGACTCCGGGCTCTGGCACGCAAAGAAGAAACGCGCTTCACCTTCCCACCTGACACACGCTACAACAATGCGACTACTATCGAGGTCCGGCCAGATTTATATGAGCCAGGAGTTAGCCATTGGCGCACGCAATACGCAGTGGATGATCTGCTTCTGGCTAAATTCCTTGAACGCGGTGGCCCGGCCTTCAGCACACCTGGCAACGAGGATCAAGGAGAAAACAAATGCACCAATTATGGCACCAAGCTGGTTATTTTAGCTGCGACAACCAAGAACAAGGCTAATATCTTCATGAAAGAGTCGATTTTCCAGGACCTCGTCAAGACCCTGAACCCAGACCCTCTATTCAATCGAATCTTTCACGTACGCTACTACCCTTTCTTTGAGTTTTCGGGCAGCATTGCGAACGGCGGTATAGCGACAATAAAGCTCAGCATAAAAGCTTCCACTTTTCTGTTTATGTTGTCAATCCGACAGCACGATGAAGACCCTGCATTTGATTCGAGATGCGTCGCCTTAAGGGTTGTTCAGGGCGTTGGACCACCCCAATTAGTTGAGGCCGACCACCTATTCGATTGTTTGGAAGATTTGAAGGAAGAGGTACGTTCCCCTCTTTATCTGCCGTTCGCTCTATCGGTATACGCAGTTCATGCTTGCCGCGACTCCCTTACCGCCATTCACTGGTGTGTGAGTTCAGCGTCAACGACAACCTCCGATGGCCTCTTCGGGAAAACATACGGCCTGGGAAATGGTACGCCAATCGATCGAAACAGAGTCGTCAAGGAAAGTCGCTCAATAGGGATTGCTCTGAGTAACGCGGCTTTTGTCACATCCACATTGAACGGCGTGGAATCTTTGTGGCAGTACCTAGAGGCCATGGCAGAAGAAATCTCACCATCGGCCAAGACCGAGCAGGTAGTACAAAGCACCAATAACCTTTTGGAAGCCATCCGGTTCCTACGGCAGGAGGTCAAATGTATGAGAGAGACCGTACGCTACGGCGAGGTTAGCATCCGGAATCATGCGTCACTGGTGAGCTTTCTCTACATGCCCGTTTTGACATGCCCCAAAACTGCCTGCCTCTAGTCATCAGCCATCTTAAGGCATGAAAGCAGCCTGCTCGCAGAGAACATCACAGCTAACTGACCCTCCCACCCCTCCAACAGATCTCAGCCCACCTCTCCCACCGAGACTCAGAAACCAACATCGAAACCGCCGTTGCAAGCCGTGACCTCGCGGCAGCCGCGACCGAAGACAGCTCAGCCATGAAGAGTATCGCCATCCTAACCATGTTTTTCCTACCAGGCACATTCTTCGCCGCGCTCTTCTCAATGCCCGCCCTTGGGTGGGATCAGCCCAGGCACTTCGTGCTATACTGGGCTTTCACCATCCCGGCTACCATACTCACCTTTGCTATTTGGGCTGCTCTAACGCAGCGATCGGTCGTGCTGGGGTGGGTCAAGATGGTTTGGTTGAACTGGCCTTGGGGGTTTTGGCGAGGAAAACGAGGGGAAGAGGAGGACGAGGAGAAGGGGAAGAAGGCGGTTTGAGGGTTGAGGCGGAGAGAGGGAAGGGGAGCTGAAGGAAGGGGATCGATGATCGAGTGGCCGGCAACTAAATGCTGAACGCCGCCATCCGAAGGACTCTGCGTATTATTGGGCTAGTACGGCGCCTGTCATCGTTGGGCGTTCTGAGGTAGATGTCGCTGGTGTTGTCGCAACCGTAAGTGCTCCTGCACATGTGTGTACGGCGGAGGTGTCTGCGCCATGCAGGCCGAGGTGGATTTGGGCACGGGGTGCAAGCACAACTGTTTCTCCCCCGGGTATCACCACCAAACAAGGGCTTCATGATGGAAATTGAACACATTCCTGAAATATCACATTCTGGTTTCATCGTTCTCGCTTTTCGTTGTTGCAAAGGCGTGGTCGTCGGCCAGAAGAATAGCTGGCGGATGGTTCTCTTTGAGGCCAAACACGCAGCGCACATGCAGGTACCTTGCAGCTAGACACTCCGTTATTTTTGCTCAACGTCCGCTCCTATCACATATCACAACATTGTATCTGGTTTTTCCAGAACCTTAGTGCTCTTTGCGGCCTATAAGGGAGGGTTAGGCGGTTGGAATGGTTGTTTTGCCGACGAAACATTTTGCTGGAGGTACATCCACGGCGGTCAGCTCATTGTGGGCCCACTGGACTTGCACGACAATGTACAATGCACGATTTCACGACAGCGACATTGGTCAAGGTATTGTCGACGACAACACTCACTCTGATCACCTGCGTATTACTTTCCGTTGAAACCATTCCAAATCCATTAACTCATAAGCCCTATAATAACTGATTATCCCCATGTTCCTCCATAGTACCAAATCCGTGAGACCTCTCCAACACATTCTTCCAAATGTCAACGCCCCAACGCCTTGCTCTGCCTCTTGGTCGAAGGATAATAAGGCTACCGTGACCCGTAATGCCGAAATGAGAAAGACGAGAAGAGAAAGTCGAGAAGAGAAAGTGAGTCGAGAAGAGAAAGTCGCGAAGAGAAGAGAAAATCGCGAAGAGAAAGCCGAGAAGAGAACGTCGAAGAGAGAACACCAACACGCCGTGGGAAAGAAGGCCAGAAGAAACGCCGATGGGTGTTGCTGGGATATCGGTGTCTGTAAGGAAAAGAAAGACGGAGTGCCGAAAAAGAGAAAGAGCCAGAGAAGGGGATCCGTTGAGGAAGGCTAGAAGACTGCTTCTAGCGCATTTCTGGACTGTCGTACCGCTAGGTATGGGCCCGTCAAAGGGAGAAAACCGACGAGAGGAAAGCCGAAAAGAAGAGGAGGGGACAAGACTGGAGACAAACCATAAGGTCTGACAAAAGGGGAAGGGGTGAAAAGCCAACTCCAGCCTGCCTTTAAACGGTCCAGTATTCCGAAGCGACGTGCCCCTTATCAGGGTCGACGTGCTTGCGCTCCACCAATGGGTTGTTCATAATCCGTAGGCCAAAGATGACCTTGGGATCCCAGGCCACATAGATGTGACCCTGGATGATGAGGTTCTCCTCATCATACCCCATGTACACCGTAAAATGCCAATCGGCATTCGTAACGTCGTTCTTAGTCTGGCCGGTGCGTGTGTCCTCGTAAGTGGAAGTCAGCACGGTCCCGTCAGGGGCATGCTGATTTTTCTTGTTGTGTAATCCGGTGCGAATCACAACAGCGTTCAGTTCGAGGCGCGCGGCCTCAGCACGGCAGATCCTCTCGGTGGCTTTCACCAGATCTGGGTTGCTGTCATGGTCGGTGTTGAGGCCCCAGTCATCTATCCCGTGGATTGAGAAGGCATGAGACTTGAGGGCAAATACCTGTGAAATAGCACAGGGTCCAGTGGTAAGTGATGGCACTGGGCTTCTCGTTCGGCGCGAGGTGTTTGCGCTCGCTGGCATCCTTGACGATGCGCATCCCAAACATCGCCTTGTGGTCCCACACAAGGTAAACACGGCCATGTATGACCAGATTATCCACGTCGTAACCCATGAACACCGTCAGATGCCAGTCGGCATCTGTGGTGTCATTGACGATGCGTCCAGAGCGGGGATCGTTCTTGGTCCTGATAGTTCCAAAGGCATCATGCTGGTTTCTTTTGTTGTGCAGACCAGCACGAATCACCACGGCATCAAAACCGAGATGGGCAGCCTCAGCCCGGCAGATGGCCTCTGTCCCCTTGACTCTGTTGAATGAGTCTTCACCGTAGGCCGGATTGTTTCCCCAATCTTCAATCCAGTACACAGAAATGTCTGGAAAATCGGCAGAGTTGTGGCTTTCATGACAAAAGCAGGAAACTGAAGGGGCTTGTCGCGGCGCCGACTGGCCCGCGCATAGAGAATGATTGTTTGGGCTGTGAGAATATGTCCCTGGAGGATGAGGTCCTCCTCATCATACCCCATGTAAACCGTAAAATGCCAGTCTGCATTGGTTGTATCGTTACCAGCCGCTGGGTGACGGCTGCATGTTGGTTCTTCTTCTTGTGCAATCCGGTTCGGATTACAACTGCATTTAACTCGAGGCGGGCGGCCTCGGCACGACGAATGGCCTCTGTTGCTAGCATATCAAATCCTTCTTGCCGTCGTAGTTTCGGTTCTCGCCCCAGGTCTCCAACCAGTGGACTGAGATTTCCGGGAAATCCGGAGAGCCAAAACTTTCGTTCTTGAAGTCTGGGACATCAACTGGTTTTTCTCGATTCCGCCAGGACCGCTCATAGATCTGCTTGACTGTAAAACCCTTCTCAGGGTAATACCCGGTCTCCGGGTCCCAGGGATGGTATGTGGTCTGTCGATTTAACGGTGTTGTCGATGGGACGGTTGTTGACAACGGAGAGTGGGGTTATGCTCGGCAAGGACGGTGACGGTGGTACGATTTCGCTCACATTCCTGGTTTCATGTGTCAGCGTGTTGGTAAGGTATTTGAAAGGGTCGTGAAGAAGTATATATAACGTTGTGCATTCGCCTCAGCCGATGGTCAAGCCTTCCATGTCATCACGTTCCGCATTTAGCCGTTTCACTGATCAACAAAAGCAAATAGCAGAGACAACTGTGGGAAATAGCAATTTTATAACGATGAAGAACTCCAAACATGCTCGAAAACCCGTGAAATAGAAGCCCAAGCGATCAAGTGATCGCGACTGTCCCACCGCTCCATCCCTAAGACGCTATGTGCATGGGCACCATATGGATTCGCTGGAATCAACGCCCGAACACCTAGCTAGTATGACCCCACCCATGACTTCATGCGCTGGACTGAACGAGAACCCAAATTTCGAAAGAAGAAGGTGTCGAAAGAAGATGATCTCGCAAGAAGATGATTTCGAGAAGTGCCGAGGGGAAGTTCGGAAAGGGGCGCCTGGAAGCCGTGGACGGATCGGCTGGAATGAAGTTGAGAAAAAGAAAAGGTGAAGCGGTACCACTCAGTACACACCGGATGTCGTGACCAGGAAGTCGACAGGAGGAAGACGAAAACAGATTGTTGAGGGGTTGATGGACCCAAAGCAACAAAGGATCATAGGAGAATGGTGAGGCCGACTGGTCAAATATACCAGTATTCGGATGCGTCAGGCTCCCGCTTTTCCTGAACAATCTTTCTGTCGTCCCTGCACCGAACGATCCGCATATTGAATGGAGCTTTAGTATCCCAGACGCAAGGGAAGACATGCAGGATGTCTGAGGATCATGGGTGGGCCACCAAATTGAGTAGAGGTGGGTTATTGTGGTTTAGCTGGTAAAGATGGCGATTGAGGTCCGGGGCAGAGGAGGGAGGCGAGAGGAGATGCGCTAGGAATCGAAGTAGAAGATTCACGTGGAGATAGTGAATTCATGAGTTGATATGGTGCAGATGTTTAAATCGTTCGCTTGGTGATGCTTTGAATGTCGTGAAATGACCTCCGGTTCTCATTGGCTTCCATGATTCAAATTAACATGGTGTACTATGAGATTGTGCGCGCAGTGGTGTTTGTGGTGCTCTATGCGGAAATCTTGGGCGGGCGTAATGGTGAAGGAAACTTGCGGGATGTGCCGGTACACTGATTGAAGACACTCGGTGATTGAACCTGACATCAAAGCTTTTTGATCATGCAAGGTGTTGTAGCACTCTGTTACGATCCGATCAGAAGCCCCTTATGTAAGCTAGATAGATTGACCAATAAGCGACAACCCGTACCTAGGGTCCCGTTGTCCCGAGAATACGGGACTACGGGACCAGGTTACATTGGGTGTCCCGGAGTCCCGAAAACACGGGACTACGGGACCAGGTTACATGGGGTGTCCCGTGGTCCCGAGATCGCGGGACTACGGGACGGGTTTGAAGACCAGTATATAAGAAGGCCGCTTCCCGGCCTTCGTTATTCTGGCTCTTCAGCAAGCAACCAACTGATACAATCGACCAGTACCTTTTGGCTACTACTACCGTTATTCCTATTCTTATTTCTCAGCGATATACTCCTGTGCTTGTAACGGTTCGTCACACACTCAATGGACCGTCTGGTAACGTTGGGAATTGTTTCTCATGCAAAGCGAACATATGTAGCAGTCACGGAGCGAGTTTCATACCGCTACTTGAACTATCACCACTCCGTCTGATCGTATTTTGGCCATTTATTGGTTTTTCTATCTACAATCAACCGTCTGCGAGAATTGGTAAGGTAGTTGAGCAAGGTTGAAGATTGCGCGAACAATCCAAGTGTCTCCGTGACTCCTTTGTCCATGACCCGCATTACATGCCACACATGATCTCGATCTCGTGAACTTGCTTCTCCCTCCCCTTAACACTTCTTCCTCTTCAGCTCCTTCCCTCTCAGTATCCAGGCATATGACTTCCAGTAGCCACACTCCGACGACTTCCCAGTCTCTCCTCCTCAATGCCGAAGCCCTCTGACGCTGCTTGGAAAGAACACATTGCCACCCCGGTCGATCCTTCTCTTGATGACCCACGCCGCCGGAACAATCATGAGGAGCCAAAAGATGGCAGTAGGAACCCCAGAAATCTTGTCGAACGCCTTGAAAGTAGGCTGCCAGACGTAGCGCCAGAGGAAGTCTGGACCCTTTGTTTTCTCCTTCTCTTCGTCCCAGAAAAGGATGTTGAACCAGTTGTTGATGTGTGACTTGATCTGTCCCAACTTCGTAGAGATGGAGCCGGCAATGCCAGCTTCTGCGGTGGTGATGTCGGTTTTGACGGCAGCGACTCTGCGCTCCTTGCGGTCCTCGAACCAAGGCTGCTCCATGATCTGCTCAATGGTCGGTCTATCCTCGGGTTTTCACTTGAAGATGGACATGACGAGATCCCAGAACACTTCGACCTCTTCCTTGGGAGGCACGAACTTGAGATAGTCTTTCCGGGAGTAGTAGGCGCGCCTGTCGGGGTTGGGTGGGATCGGAGTCCACAATGGGAGTTGCGCCGGGTTGCTCTTGGCCTGGTTGGCGATGTCCTCTGCCTGCGCGGGGCTGATGTTCATGCTGCGGGGATACAAGATGCGGAAGATCATGGGGTCCTTGGCGCCTCGCTCCTCCATGTGAAACTTGCGGTTCTTTTCCATCTCTTCGGGGTTGGTAGCGATGTAGGACAGCTCTGAGTTGCTCTTGCCCTGTAACTCTTCTTCTGATTCGGCGGGAAACTTGTACCACTCTCGAATTGTAGCCCGGAAAGGATGCGGAACAGGACCCATGGACTCCTCCATGCTGGGAATGGAGCTGGGGGCGTGGTTGTTGGTGCCGAAGGGTGGGAAGCCGAAGCGGATTTCGAACATGGCGGTAGCCAGGGACCAGATGTCGGCCTTGATTCCGATCAGCTCCCGCTGGTGAGTGAGATCTTCGGGGGATGCATACGGGCCCGCGACTCCGGTCGTGCACCTAACCGGGTGGTCGGAAGAGGGATAAGCGACGCCGAAGTCGACCGTGACACAAACGGACAGGGGTAGCTTGCTCAGCTTGCACACCGATAGCACACGATGCCCCCATAACTGTCCCCGTCCCAGTTCACGTAGATATGCCCCGAAGCAGATACTCATCAATCTTACGGCCCATAAGGACCAGAACCGCTATGTGCCAATCAGCATTCTGCTGCTTGTGGACCATTCGCAGGTCCATAACCCGCCCACGGTCCATTGCAGTGCAGTCACTGATACCTGCCTGCGCCATATGAACCACCAGTTTTGCTTCCTCTCCAAAAAAGAAGTGATGATTTTTAGGAGTGTGGTGTTGATGGTTAAGAAGAAGAAGTACAGGAATCCCAGCGAAAATGCAGCTTTTATCCACCGTGGTACACGGGCCACGCCTTCCATCCTCCAGCTTGCTGCAGTGCTTGCTGCAGTTCTTGATGATGCTGATGCTTGGAAATGTGGCGTATCGATGCATCTACCTATCCATACATGCATTCCTAGGTGGCTTGTACATAGGAATCCCATTGTCGTAACGTTTCGGGTACTGTTAGGACCCTGCTTCCACACCCCCGGTGAGGTTGTTAGTCAGGAGGACATACGGACATAAATACGGTTTGGGTCACGTCTTGGCCGGGGACGAACATGAAGTTGAAGTACTTGTCAAAACCAGGATTGGGGTGAAGGTGCTGGGGAAAGTTGACGGGTAGGTTGGTGAAAGTTTGGGGGGAAATTGGCTGAGGCAATTGGCCTCGTCGTTGCAGATACGGTAGGTATCTTCCGCTTTACGTGTATTTGGGAAAGGTCTGAAGGTGAGGTTTGGGGTTCTGCGCTGGTGGCTTCCTCTCTACATGGGAACCGGGGTTGGCTGAGGGTATTGTGTGGCTCTGCCTAGGAAGTGGCAATTGGGTTCGTCCGAGGGCGGGGACCTTCTCCAGGAAATTGGGTGAAGGCTCATGATTTGCCCTGCTGTTGATGGGGTAGTTGTAGGGAGGATTGATGTAATTTGTGAAAAACATAAAAGAGGAAAGAAGGGAACAGTCGCAAGCTGTGCGCGACCCCATATCCACTGTGAAGTGATAGTCTGCGTCCTATTGAAGGACTTCCAGAGGTTAGTCGCCGTCAAGACTGCTTGAGCGCGGTTCTAAGCCTTCTCCTCTTTCTCGTCGTCCACTCGGGATAGTCCCCCTAACTCTCCATGGCTTGATTCCCATAGGATTTGCTCGCCGGCTTTCGTTGGCCATGAAGACCTTTCTCGGCTTCGCTGCTTCGGATGGTGTCTTTGAACTGACGGATTTCCTTCCCCGTATCTTGCACCGCATTTGAAAAGGCGGCGAATGTATTTTGGGCTAGTGGCCATGTTAGCTATGCAAGTTGCCCCGGATAGGGCTAGGGGTATCCGAATGTGTTTGCCCATCGGGCGGAAGATAGCACATACGTGTGGATGGCTTTAACGGCCGGTCGTAAAAGGTGACGGGGATCCCGTCGTTGGTGACATTCCGCGTGCAATGTAATCCTTGTTGGATCACAGCATAATTCAATCCCAGAGCATCTGCCTCAGCCCGGGAGGTGGAGACGCTCGTCTCCGGGTCCCAGGACTGGTACCTGATCTGTCTCTTAGGCGGCATCTTCAATTGGTCTGTGGTCTGAAACTGACGCGAGGTTAGAGAGTGATGTTCTGGGTAGAGGTAAGGAGTGGAATGTGTTGACTGACTGACATGATGGTGGTAGATGTGTGTTCCGAATTTGGTGCTGTCCGAATTTCTCGAAGAAAAGATCAGTGGTTCGTTAGTTGGACTTGACTGACATGCTTCCGCTGGCTTAGCGGGTCAGTCATCCTCTTGAGATTGCCAAACTCGACCGGGTCCCAGACCACATAGATATGGCCTTGGAGCAAGAGCTGGCTCTTGCTGATCCCCATGTATACCGTAAAATGGGAGTCGGCGAGTCGGCATCTTGCTGGACGTTTGTCTACTCCCCACTTTCCCTGTCGTAGACAGCGAGAGTCCTCCCGTTTTGGTAAACGTTTCGAGTTTCGTGGGCCAGCTGTCTGATGACCACATAAGCCAATCCCAATCTATTCATTTCCTGTCGGAAAATATTGGAACTTGGTGATCGGGCTGAGGTAGAACTTGGAATAGAGGATGGTGAGGAAGGCGCCATGTTGAACTGGATACCAGTGTATTGGACATACCGGATGGAGGTAGTTGTTGTGTATTGCGATAGTTTAATTGGTTATTAGCCACGTTGCAATATATAGGAGGATCGTAAATATAGTATAGGCCTGCCCAATTTAACGATGCGAATGAAGATGATGGTCAGAAAACCTTTCGTCCATGACGTCCTTTGTACGGCTGGGGGGGACAGACGCTGACACTTGACGTTGACTCAACAGTCAACATACATGTGAAGTGCTCTGGAGCTCCCTTCTGTTCTTTCCTTTTCCAATTCATATGTGATATGGTCCGTGCCTGAGTCGCAAGCGTTGTCGTGTCGTTTGACGGGCAACATGCTCGCATGCGCGGAACAAAGAAGGTGCGACACGGCAACGTTTGGTGGTAAACCGACACCAAGGTTTCCGTCCCACACCACCGGATTCCAGAATCTTCAAACTACCGATTGATAAAGGCTGTCGGCTGAAGGCCTGAGAGTCACTTCCTCCGCGCAAAGAATTTGCGACGGTCCAATATTTATACCGTTTGCCGCTTGCGCGCCTTCAGCCAGCGACATCCAGCTAGCAACATCAAGCGACACGCGCGCTGCGAAATTGCGACGACAAGCCGAAGTTTGCGACGGTGTTTTCATTTTGCGCAAGCCCAATTGCTCCTAAATTCCCTTCCTCATCAACCAAAGCTAACCTCCCGCTCGTCCAGCCGCCACTCGTCATCCAACACCACATCAATCTCCATCACAATGTCCTGCCTCGACACGGAAAGGTTTCTCTACGAGCTAGAGTATCCCATCGATGATTCCGATATCGAGAACCCCCGACGCTACCAAAAAGGCGGATTCCACCCCATCGTCCTCGGCGACCGACTCGGTCCTAGGTCCAACGGCCGCTTCCGCGTCGTCAACAAGCTCGGCGCCGGCGGCTACGGCACCGTCTGGCTGTGTCAAGACACCCACTACAAGCCTAGCACCGTCACCAAGTGGCGCGTCGTCAAAGTTATTGCCGCCGAGAAGTCCACCCCCGGCTGTCCCGACCTCAAAATCCTCGACCATTTTCGCGATGTCGGCCGCTCCACCCTCGACGCATTTGGCATCTGCCTCCCAATCGGACATTTCTGGCTGACCGGCCCCAACGGCCGCCATCTGGCCCTTGTTTTCCCCTGGCACGGCTGCACCCTCGAGAGCATTCCCGACTACTACGGCTTCCATCCGGCCCTGATCAAGGACATGGCCTTCGAGCTGGTGGAATCTCTGCGATTCCTGCACTCGCGGGGTCTCTGTCATGGCGACTTCCGGCCCTGCAACATCCTCCTCCGCCTATTACCAGGAGCCGACGAGATGCCCGAGTCCAAACTTTGGGAAGTCCTACCCGGGCCGCAAAAAGTTCGCATCATCCGAGTTTCCGACGACCAATTCTTTGACGAGCTTCCCTTTGCCGACCGTCCTGCCAGCATACCCGAATACATTGTTGCCTCCGTCGAGCTCCCATTTGTATCCGGTCTCTACACCCGCCACCCCGTCCTCATCGACCTCGGCGTCTCGTTTCCCTTCTCACAACCACCCAAAGAAGGAACAATAGGGATCCCCATCTCTTTCGCCGCTCCTGAATCCATCTTCCGCACATTAGACAACAACTCCCAGCCCCTCCTCGGTCCCGCCAGCGACATCTGGTCTCTAGCATGCACCCTCGCCCACCTCCGCGTCTCGTGCAACCCCTTTCAGTCAGGCTACGCCGATCTCTCCGCCGTAGCTAGAAGCTGGGAGGAGACGCTCTCTCCGACGCCGGAGCCTTACCGCTCCAAGTACCGCGAGATAAGAAATATCGAGACGCCCCTGGACGAAGTATGGGGCGATAAGCCTGCCAGCCAGCTTGATCCCGTCGTCGATCCGAAGTTAATGTACGAGGGTCGGGCCCAGCGAAGAATGCAAAGGTGCGGAACGAGGAATTGGTTGAAGGAGCGGATGGGGTTGGTGAGACGGTTGGAGATATTTCCGGAGATGGCGAGTAAGATGCTGGAGGAGGAACAGCAAGCAGACGCAAAGATGAAGGAGATATTGCCTTTCGTCAAGGACATGGAAGTGGTGAATCTCTATGAGCAGGGTATGCAAGTGAAGATGGAGAAGGAGGAAATCGATCTGTTTTGGACGCTGTTGGAGGGGTGTTGGCGGTGGAAGCCGGAGGAGAGGGTGAGCGTTGAGGAGGTCGTGCGACATCCGTGGTTCGAGGGACGACAGCCGAGGGAGATTCCGAAGCCGGCCCCGTGGAGGGTTGTGGTCAGGGTGCTGTGGTCCTTCTGGGGCTGTGTCAGGCCGTTCGTCAGTGGTTGGTTTGATCGTGGCAGGGTGGGAGATTGGTCACTCACCGTGATGGGGAAGTTGCCTCCCTATGTCGTGACGGCATATAGAAGGATTGGAAGGTTCTTCTTTGCGCTATTCGGCTCGCTTTCTCCGCCTTCATTGCGCAAGAAGCTCGTTTGGCGACCAAAGACGTTCCCCTCCAGTCCTCCAGGTACACCGAGGCAGGCCCCAGCAGACTCTACGGACTGGGAAACATGGTGAGAGATTAATGAGAGCCGGTTGGGGAACAAGCAAGATGGCAAGAACGGACTGACTGGATACGGCGGAGAGAAGAAGAAAACCATCATGAGAGAGAAAAGAAAGATTGGGTAGTGTAGATTTCCAAGACCAAATGTAGGATATGCAGAATACGGGCAATGCAGATTACAATGCAGATGGAGACATGATGCCAAGTGTGTTCAGGAACGTAGTCATCTTTGCCTTGCATATTTTGTGCTTATGGATACTGGTTTCTCAATGATCGCTGGTCATATGAGCGAAGCTACCCAGGCTCGAACCCGCATATTGTGCCTGGTCCCGAATCCTCCACCTCTGTCTTCCAACACTGAAGTAACCTCTACATGGCTTCACCTATGTAGGTATCAGAATTTTCCACATGCTGTCTCCAATTTCCCCGCGCGCCCTCTCTGACTTCATGTACCTCCTCCTCCACAACTACATCTGCATGCGCGCCATGCAGGTAAACAAATCACCCACCTGCTTCTTTCTGTACATGCGTCGAAAACGCCAACAAAAAAAAGCAGCAAAAAAACCTCAAAAAAAAGAGAAGCCAACAGATAGAACAACCGGTTTCAACCGGCCAATAGCCCGAGTCAGTGATACAAATCCCACGGTGTCATGGATGCACGCTGTCGGCTTTGTTCCTTCCAATTGTTGAAAAGAACCACATGATTCATCTCCCCGGCCGAGAATCGAACTCGAAACCGGACGGGGCCACGGTGGGAGATGCAGAGCTGAGCAGCGGTACTACTGACTGCACTATCCGACCAGGACCGAACTGGTCGTTGGCTGGGGGTGTTGGAAGGAGGGGTGGGATGAGGGGTTATAAGGCAGGAGTCACCGTTGGGGGGAGGAATGTGTTGAGATGGAAGGTGCGTCTGCCAACTGGGAGAGGCAGGCGTGGGCAGGCATGGGCAGGCAGGCATGGCAGGTGGGCAGGCAGACAGACACAGGCAGCTGCCGTGCTAGCGGCTGCATGCCAGCGGCATCAAGTTACCTTAGCCTTTCCATCGGAGCCTCACCGGTCTCTTTCAATTTTGTCGGGTGCTTCCTGGCGTGGTGGTTTATCGTGGCAGATACAAATCCCTTGAACATTTACTGGCAACATGCCTCGATCGAGTCAATTCCAACCATCACTCGCGCGACTGCTTCCTCCATCTTCTCGACTGACACTCCGTCTCCCTTCGACGATGATGATGTCGTCCCCAATCCAATTCCGACTGCCTGCCACGTTCGGAAACACAGATCACGACAGCCGAGTCCAACTAGACGAGAAGCTCCCGCGCCCGCCTCTGACTTTCGAGCGCCGTCGATGTCAAGACTCAAGAAAGAAGAGAACACGGACGAAGACTACGAACGAAGACCATGGCGATAGGGAAGACAACACGTTTCAAACCCTAGCACGAATTCCAAGAAGAAGAACCGCAGCAATGCCTGCCCGACACAACTAATTCTGTCAATCGCTACGAACATATCAAAACCACCCGCCCTTGTCGTTGTCTACGCCATATACATCCACGACATTCTCGACCCTCCTTCCTCCCCCTCCCGCTTTGACATCGCCAATAAACTCGGAGCCAGCGGTATCTACCAGGCGTCCTAATGAAAGATTCCAAAATGAAGTATACGAGTGCCGAAGACACCGTGGAGATGCTGGAGGTTGTCATGTAACGTTATATCACAGGGCAGTTATACCTCTTTTGGCCTTCACCGATCCGAAGGATATTACTGTCTGACTCCAGGCCATACTTGGCCGGATCATACATTTGGCACCCATGGTTGCCGGCCTTGACCGGACAAGTGGTTGCCTTGGGCGATGACATTCTGGCCCTAGCCGAAGCTGTTACCATAGAGGTATCCAAGGTTGTTACCTTGGCCGGAGAGGTTTTTGGTGAAGCTAGAGTTGTTGGGGGCATTGGTGATTGGGTGTGGTTCGTTAGGAAGACCTGCCCTGCCACCCCTTGCTGAAGATCCACTGCCCCGAGCTTGGCCTCCATGATGGCTTGTACTTGAGTTCACCGGGCCATTGGTGGTATTGCTTCCATACTGGCCATTTGTTTTCGAAGCGGCTGGGAAGACCACGTTGGTAGCAAAGTTATCGGTCCCTTGCCGATTCTCTACGAATCCCCTCCGCGGCTCCTCGACCCAAACAATGTTCTCGTCTTGCTCGAGCCCGAATTGGAGAGCTCTTCGCCCCTCATGCCATCCTTCTTGCCGGCATACAAGGTGACATGTAAGTCGGCAGGCGAAGTCTCATTAGACACCCGGCCACTGACGGCATCGGTGCGTTTCCGGACGGTGCCCAGCTCATCGTGCAGGTTTTGGTCCTCGTGAGGACCGGTGCGAACGACTGCATAGTCGAGGCCGAGGCGGGACAGGCTTTGGCGGATGATGGATTGAACTTGCGCAAAGTTGTCGGTTCCTTGCTGGTTCTTGGCGAACCTTCTCCTTGGCTCCTCGATCCAGACGATATTGGTGTCTCGCTCGAGCCCGAACTGGGCAGGGTCGAACGTTCTGGCGCTGCCGGTGCTGGATGCTCCAGCGCCGCGTCCTCGGCTGCTGGATCCCCAGCCACCCGGTCCTCTGGCACCGGCACCCTTCATAAACTTTTCCCTCTCAGCTGCCGCGGCTGCTTTCTTCTTCAATACGGTGGCAAGGTCAAGACCGTTTCCTTGGATTTGGTCACCAGGGTAAAACCGTACATGACTGGAAGGATTAGGAATCTGCTGGTCCATGCCGTGGACCTTACCATCCTTGGTCGTCCATGGGCGGGTAGGAGGCATCTTGATCTTGCTGAGTTACTTCTGCTTGTAATCGGAAAGTTAGGATAGATAACATCAAGATCGGGGCTACATTGGGTTGCTTACCGGCTTTTTGTTCCAGTTTATGTCTGGAGATGCTTTCAACTTACGATTCAATTGAGTCGCTTCTGCTTGTGATCAAAATGTTAAACTGGGAAGACATCAAGATCGGGGCTACGTTGGGTTGCTTACTCGCTTCTGGGTCTTGTTGATGTCTGGAGACCTATGCATTGAGGTCACGATTCAACTGAGTCGCTTCTACTTGTGATGGAAAAGTAAGACTGGGAAGACATAGAGACAGGGGCTACGTTGAGTTGCTTACATGTGTTTGCTTCTAGTTGTTGAAGCAGATTGGAGGTGCTTTGAGGTCGGGGTTACTTTGGTCGCTTCGGATGGTCGTTGATGACTGCGCACCGCCACGGCCACAGTCGGTTCCTGACATGATGTTAGTCCCCTTGGTGCCCCATCACGCGCCCATTTGCCTGGGCCTATTCCGCTGGTGGCGAGCGTATCGGTATCTCTGTTTGGATATATATGGGTTTGTAGCTCCTTGAGAGATATGGACTCGGTGATAACTTTGAAGGCAACGCGAGAGGGAACCGATGATATTCTCTTGGATTCCAGAAGCTAGCAACTCATCGCACAGCCGGTGGTGCTAGACAGCCCGTCGTCTGGCTGCGACGGCCCTGCCGACGGCCAAAGGGTGATGTTGGCGCTTGAACCATTAGTATTACCGTTACTAGCCAAGGCCAAGATCGGCGCCGGTCCCGAAGACAGCTTGTATACCTTCGGGCAGTACCAACTTTCCTCGCTGGCGGGCCTCTCGATTCTGTTGACATCCCTCCTGGTGGATGGGTCGGCGAGGTATGCCAGGTCGTACTCTTCCTTGTTGCTTCCGTCGCCTCGAAGAATCTTTTGTAAGTAAATGTGTCCCTGCAAGTATGTGAAGTTCTTCGCGAAGTGTTTCCAGTCTGCTTAGTGCTTGCCGGCATACAGGGTGATATGCAAGTCGGCGGTATGTGTTTTTCTTGGGTGGCGGATGATGGATTGTACTTGGCTAAACTGAACTACGTGCTCATCTTCGAAAGTTCTGCTGGGCTTCTGGATCCAAATGATGTGAGGATCCGTCCTGTTGGAAGCCATAATCTTCCGGATTGTAGACGCTTCGAGCCTCGTGGCTGTCTGCGAACCCCACATTTTTCTTTTGCAGGATGGTGCGAAGGTCGATACCATTTCCCTCGAGCTTGTGTGACCTTGTGGGTGTTTTCGGTGAGCCACCACTCCTCCGAGACGGGCGGCTCGCCAGGCTTGGGGTATTGGCGGCGGGAGGGGTCCGCCAGGTAAACATACTCCCATTCCTCTTCGTCGTCACTTCCGGGCCTTTGGACAGTCTCGATGTAGATGTGTCCTTGGAGATACAATTCTTCCCCCCGAGCTCCGGTCTTCTTGCCGACCAACAGCGTCACATGAAGGTCGGCCGGGATTGTCGCATTCGATGTGCGATTAGTCGTGGCGTTGGTGACTCTGACTACTCTACGGTGCCGAGCTCGTCGTGAGGATTCTGGTTCTCGTGGGGACCGGACCGAAACGGACACACCTCTTTAGGAGGGGATTCGAGTCGTACTCTACCAGCTACCCGTCTACCAGGCGCTCGTTCCGAGGGCAATCTTTCTCGGTGAAGATGTACGGAGGGAAGCGGGTGTTAGCTCACAGCTAGATGCCGGGCAGGTTTGATCTTTGAAATGGGCTGCTCGTTCTGGCAGTCTCAGTGATAGTCTGGTTGAGGCGTCCCCGTGCTGATTACTGTAGCGACGTCGCCAGTGAAGCTTTTGGTAAAAATGACACCGAGGGAGCCGGCGAAGGGAGCTTCTGGGTGTGGGATTGGGAGTGTCGCGTGGGCCGTGGTTGTCCATGCCCCATATCAGTGTAGGAGGTAGGTAGGTAGTAGGTAGGTCGATAGGCACTTCATGCTGGTTCAATATGTTCGTATATCTATTTTTGCGGAGGAGATACGCTCGTGGGGTAATACATCATGATACTCATGCTTTCCGGCTTCGTAACCAAAGGAGTACGTTGGAATACATGTAAGCTATATAAGCTGTGTTATCGGGTTTCTTCTCACAACGTTGAGTTCATCTATATTTCTACCAGGGTCCAGTCCTAATCCATTCTTTTGAGGGTAGGTACCTATCTTGCACCTTACGATATCTTCTACGGATCTCCCAGAGAATGATGAAGATGAAACGTGAACAGATGAACTGGCTGGGAAAAGGTCAAGTAGCCATTGACTTATAGGTTCCTTGCTAACCATCAATCCCGCTCGCGCGTGTATTTGTGTGTCTCTCAGGTCCGTTTCCATAAAGCGAAGTTGGACTACTCCCTTTTGCTGCCCTTCCACTAATTGCTATCATGAACGTAACTTACACGCTTGTTTGATACAACCATGTAACGTAACGTACCTAGTGGTATGAAACTTTCCTGTTGAACAATGTTTCTTCAAGAGACCATGGCAGGAATTAAGAAGCTGCCACTCGTCGTTCGAAACAATATTCCAGCACTTCATTTTTTCATTCACATCTCTTTCCTTCACTAGGTATTGTCAGGTATGGTTGACGCGGGGAGAGATGTTCAATACGGGTATTGTAACGACTTGCATTGCATGTAACGGCCGTGTTACTGTGTATGGTGATTGTTGTGCCTGACCTACCTACCCTATCCCTTCCTATCTGTTTGAAGGGCTTCTTTGTCAATCTGATATCTGGACAACCAAAAGTCATCCAACTGCTATGGGGTAGGTAGGTCCTTGTCAGTGTCACATTTAGTGAAAGAAAAGCATGCCATGAACAAAGAATTTGTGTTTGTTCCTCCCTGTCATCCAACGGAGGACATTGTGCAGCGGCAGTTTTGCAACATCAGCACCAGACAAAGCACAGGTTTGTGACCATGACACAAAGAGTTAGTAAGGAAAACTCCAATCATTAATGGGCATGTCCAACATGTTTGGACGGTCAAATATGTCACTTGTCACAAGATATTTAGGAGTGAACGTACCATGTTTGACAATGTAGCTACCGATACGTCGCCGATACCAAACTTACCGTAACAATCACAGGTGCGCATGATGGTCACTCCGGGGACACTCGCCGATGAAAACACCATTAACAAATCCTTTGCATAAGCAATTACGAAGAATGTTTATACGGCGTTATTGAGGTAGTTTATATGTTTTTTTTTTGTTTTTTTTTTTTTGATGTTTCTTGTTTCTATTTACAGTGGCAGTATAAGCCTCACATTCCTCCTTGCTACTGCACCCCGACCAGCAGCTCCTCTCCTGACTCCTGGCCACCGGTCCATCCCGTGTCAACACCACCTCTCACTGAGCCTCAAGATCACTGCGGTTGTTTGTGCGCAGGCGACCGCCCCACAAGAACCAAACGGGGTTCGAAAAGATGCCGAAGATTCGTGTGAACGCGTTGAAGAAGAACTTGCTGACTTTGAAAGGGATCCGGGCCGCGAAGTTGATGAGGCCGAGTGTGCCTGATGAGAAGAAAATGATGTTAGTGAGCGATGTCCATGGAAAGTGTAAGTGTTGATGTAGAAAATGCATACCTTGAGAGAGTTTCGACACCAGACCTTCCGGCTTCCTGTTGTTCGAGGAAGCGTAACGATCCGCAAACCACGGATGAGCAAGAATATCGGCCATGCCCGCCCGATTCTCCGGCATCCACTTGAAGATACCCAAAAGCAAGTCCCGAAACGATTCAATGTCACCGACCTTCTTCTTCGGCGCTTGACCACCACCCACCTCGGCCTCCGTCCCTTCAAAACCATAAGCCGGCAACCTCGTCTTGTCCCGCGCCCACTGCCTCTCGATGGAAGCCGCCATTGCCTCCGTATGCGACTGATGCAGGCCAATTGCCATCGTGTGACTGATCGGATCCTCGTAGCCACACATATTCTTGATTGCATTCTTTCTGGCTTTCCACCGCTTGACCGAAAATGACAACGGGCTCAACACCTTCTCGCCTGTCTCCGGGTCCGTCACCATGTCGACAGCTTCCAATGAAATGCGTCTTGAACCACCGGTCTCCCTATACCACTCCCTGACTGCCGTGCGAAACGGCTCCGGCATTGCGCCCATGACCATCTCCATGTTGTCGACCGCAGATAGTAAGTCATTTGGAGACTTGGCAAAGGGGAAACAGCCGAGCGCGAGCTCGGCGAGCGTGACGCCGAGAGCCCAGATATCGCTCTTTGGTCCTAGATTGATGATCACCTCCTCTTTTTCCTCTTCGTTCTTGCGCGTGATTGCCTCCTCCGGTGGCGCATACCGCAGCGGAATTCCTGAGCCATTGACAGGCGGTTTGTCGACATGATACGACACTCCGAAGTCGATGACCGCCACGCTTGATGAACACCATCCTCCCCTGATCAACTTGGTCATGTCTACCTCTCCGACGAAATACCGTGGGAGCTCCTTTGGCCATTCCTTCTCTTTCTGTTTGTCTCCCTTCTTGTTATTGTCGTCACGTGGGGTTCTGGAAAGTTTCGCCGTCTGTACGCCTCCTAAAGCCTCCACCAGCTCTTCGTCCCCCATTTTGTTTACCTCCTCTTTCAAGCAAAGGAGAATGTTGGCCGGCCTAAAATCCCCGTGGCACAAGCCCTTCTGGTGCATGAACCGCATTGCCTCAACAAGCTGGAAACAAACATGTTTGACCAGATCTGTGACGTGTCCGTAAATGGAGCAAAAGGAGCCGAGGCTGGGACCCAGAAAGGGAGTGACGAAACAGAGGTGCGTGCCGTTGGGTTGATAGGGGAGCCAGAAGTGCTCTGTCGGTAAAGCGATGTGGTGTTCTCGGAAAAGATCTTCGGCCGTCTGTGGCGCTTGGGGAGCTTGAGGGGAGGACTGGGAGAGGTCCGTGTAGTGAGAGTCGGAGTGGGTAAGAATTTGTAGGGCTTTCAAGTCAGGGCACTCTCTTGCAGCTTTTTCCGATGCATAGCCCAAAAGAATCTTGAGCGCTTTGGGTTTGCCATCTCTGGTATCGCGACAGAGCCAGACGGTGCCGAAGCCGCCGCAACCCAGCTTGTGGAGGACGCGAAAGCGGGAAGGGTCAGAGAGGGGACCGAGAGTGTCGCCTAGATGAACAGGGTGGAAGCCGCCGGGGCCATAGTCATCCAGAGCTTCAATGGGACTAGTGATGTCGTCGTCGTGTATGTCGAAGTATTCGGGTTCTGATGAGTCGGACTTGGCGTCGTCGACATCTTCTTGGGCTCTACAGTGATGCTTCTGTTTCCAGGCATGGAGCTTAAAGAGCAGCCTTGGGAACGGCTCGGGTAGCTGGTCGTAGAACGGCTCTTGGGGAAGTACTTCATGTACTCGCGCAGGCGGTCCGCCTTGGTGCCTTTGACTGGGACCGCCCGCCTGCGCTTGGTAATTTTGTTCCTGTTCTCGGAATGGGGCTTGGTGGAGTTGGTGGAGAGCGAAGGGAAAACCGAAGGATCAGGCGCGTGGGAATGCTTTGAAGCGGTTGGGGGGCCTGAAGAGGGCAATGTGCCGGAGGTGGTTGTGGGAGTGGCGCCATCAAGAGGAGGAAGAGCTGAGCTGTTTGCCTGGTCATTCTCGTCTTCGGCCATCCTCAACCGTTTCTTGGACGGGCTGCCACTGCCGGAGTCTTCTGCACTCCTCTTGGGCTGATCTGCGCGAGTTCCGAGGTCGTCTGCGACTACGACATTGTTGTCAGGCCTACGGAATGGCCCTCTGATTCTCACCATCGTGGACGAAGACTGTGGAGCTGATGCTGTCGGATTTGCAATGAATAGCCGGAGAAGGGGAACGAGATCTGCTCTATTTCGCTTTGCAACTGGGAATGGGTGAAAACATAAAACTGGATGGACCTTAGTCTGTCATTCTAAGGTTTAAAAATGTTCCTGTGAATGGCAAGGTTTGAAAGGCCATGCAGAAGCAGCCTTGCGGAACAAACCTGGCTCAGAGCCTGGTTTTCTCTTTGTGATATTCTATGTGAGTGTCGTGATTGTTATTGTAGCGCCTTACTGACGCCTGAAAGGTATGTTTAGAGGTATAGATACCTCTATATAGGTACCTACTAGAGATACAAATGTCTCTGGGAAATAAAGCGAAGCGTATCAGATTTCTACATGAGGTATGTACAATCCTGCCTACGATGCATAGGTAAATGTATACGTCTCGTCTCATATCCGATCAAGCCTCCGGTGATACTTCCCCGTCGGCACGGGACAGGGCAAGGTACAACGCTTGACTCCAGCCTTCACCGTGCAGCTACCAATCCTTCTATTCTCCTTTGCTCTCTAGGTGCTTCTCTCTCCTCATCATAGCAGCATCAGTACCTCTAGGTAGCCATATCGAGGTCAGTCTCAGGTCGATTGACGTACTAAACCCTAGGTCGAATCTTCTTGTGCCTAATCCTCAACATTAGTTTCAACACTTACACTCATCTTCCGAGTGTCGCTCTTAGGTAGAGGTACTTACCGCGGAGGTTAGTGAAGAGCTTCATGAAGAGCTAGGATAACTAGGGGGGCTCAGCGTCGGCGAAGGGAGTTTTGGAAAGTACTTCATGTACTCGCGGAGGCGCTCTGCCTTCGTTCCTTTGACAGCGAATATCCTCATCGAGGGACCGGACCGCTTGCGCTTGGACCGCTTGCGCTTAGTAGATGAGGACGACGGCTTGGGGGAGGCCTTGGTACAAGGCGAGGGAGAGTGCTCGTTGTTGGGAGGGATAGAAGGGTTTGAAGGGTTGAGATTGGTGTCGGTGGTGGGACGACTGGAGGTAGGGTCCGCACTTGATTGCCCCATCTTCTCTTGCTCTTGCTGGTCGTGAAGTTGCTTCAATGTGGACTGAATCCGGCCGAGGAGGGTCTCGTAGATGTTCCTTCGGGTACCGTCCTCGGAAGGGGCATCAGATTTCGGGCTGTCTTTCTTCGAGGAGGAGGCGTCGACCATGCTGTGGATAGGGGCATCTTCAAGCTTCTCCGCGCGGTCTTTGAGGTGTTCGTAGACTTCGCGAGTAGTGTCGTTCCAAAGGGCTGTGTTTAGCGGTGCTTTGGTGTTCTGGGGACTGTTGTCCTTGATAGATTGATGAGCTGGAGCCGGGGTGTTGGCCGTAGGATCCTCGTCTGGGCACATCTTCAGTCTTTTCCTCGATGGAGTGTCCCTGATGGGCTCTTCTGGCATCCTCTTGGTTTGGGGCGCTGCGAGATCGTCATCGACAAAACCCGCGTCCTGATCGTTGATAGGGGCTGATGTTTGTTTGGGTTCTGACATTGTGGGTGGAATGGTTGAGAAGATGGTCGTAAGGGAATGGAATGTGCAACTTGTTCAGGTGAGTTTTGGTTCAGAGAAAGTTTCGTGGATTGTATACTACTGGCATTGGGAAATCTATAGATCAATTGGAAAGGATTCAGGAGTGAACGGTGAGCGACCTTGATACCCTCAAACCTGCGCCAGATTCCAAGGTCGCAATGGTTCACTCTCTATCCCAGGTTTGAACTGGCAGTCGCGTTCTAACAACGATGACGCCGCCTGAGCCATTCACCAGTGGCCACGGAGATCATGACATCTACCTAGCAAACTGAGACAGAGCTATACATGGCTGTGGGCATGCAAAAGCCATTACATGCTGAAGAAACCAATGTACCTCTAGCGATTATCGCACCCGAGGGATGATACCTACCTATATAGGAGGTATCTCGTACGCTCCAGCCATGTTAACGGGCTTGCTGGACGGCGATGCTAACGACGCAGTAGGCATATATCTCGGTATCCTCTATGCATGGAAAGAGTGGCTCGTATGATAGTAGGTAGGTAGGCAACTAGGTCTAAGGATGTTTAAGACAGTCTAGTAACGTGTACCTGACAGATGGTATGGAAGTTGATGCCTATTCTCATGTTCATGTCTCCCGCCTACGGCCGAGGCCTGTGGTCAATCGCTCACCACTCAATCTTTCCGTTGAGTACCTACCTAACATTCGATATTCCTTCAATATTGCCACTTCCCCTTGACAATCTCACCGTACATAATTGCGTTTTACCAACTTGTTCCGTGCCACCGCTCCCCAACACCCGTGCACATCAACAGGGCAGTTTTGCCTACTCCCCCATCATCGACCAAGTCGCCTCAATTCCTAGTACTCCTCAGATTATATCTCGTCTTCGGCTTCACTGCTTCATTGTCGTGACTTTTCTCCTCCTCATCAAGCTTTCCCGACCTCTGCCAGTATTTAATGTACTCAGCAAGGCGCTCCGCCTTGGTGCCCGGCACCGCTCTAAGTCGGACAGGGGACCGTTCGCTGTTTTTAGTATCGGACGATGGCGAAGGCAACGGCTCTGGCTCCGGCTCCGTAGTAGCACTCCTGTCGGAAGAGGTGGAATAGCACAAGCTAGACCAACTGCCCTTGGGACCTCCCCTTGAACGGCGCGCCGGGATGTAGTGTCTCGCGGACGAGCGGGGGCGGTTCGCTACCCAGCCGTTCTGAATAAGCATATGGTGCCAACTCCAGGGTGAGGAATGGGGGCTGAGGGAGGGTTTGGGGAAAGCCTTATTGTTAGACATCTTGGAAGAAACCTTGGGTAAAGGAGGAGCGGAAGGTGAAGGCAATGAGGAAGAATTCTGGTTGCGAGGACCGGAAGGGTCAGAAGAATGCGAGTCGGTCGTTGACGCTGAAAGGTCCTCTACCGCGCTTGGTCGCTCCATCGCCTGTTGCTGCTTGTTGAGCTTCTCGAGTGTGGTTTCAATGCGGTCTAGCTGGACCTCGATGTTTCCGGGGGCGCCGCCGTCCTTTGAAATCCCCCTGTTGCTGTCTGAGGTTGCCTTGCTTGTGTTGTTGGCTGTGTCGTCGATGCAGGTGTTCTCGATTATGCTTGCGCATCTTCCTTTCAGGTGTTCGTAAGGGGCTTGATGCTTATCGTTCCAGAGGCTGGTATGTTCTGCCTGACGAGTGTTGTCGTCTGCATGGGGGGCGACTAAGTCGTTGGCAATGGTATCCTTCTGCTCGCTCACCTTCGGCCGTTTCTTTGTCGGACTGTCGGAGTCGGTCTCCTTCAGCGTCCGCTTCGTTGGTTTGGCAGAGGCTGTGAGGTTATGGGTCACTCCCAGGGCCTCGTTGGCCCCAGTGGATGGCGTTTTGGTTGTTGTCATTGTAGGAGAAGATCGCGAGTTTGAAGGCACTAGGGGCAATGTGGTTGCTAATGCGATGTACGAGTTGGTCGCATCCCCATGTGAGGAGAAAAGGCTTTCTGGCCAGGTACTACGAGGACGGAATATTTATAAAGCAGCGAAACGGAATGAAGTGAATGGAGGGCGACCTTGATGAACCTGAGTCCCATCTTCCACAGTCACGAACCTCATCAAACCTTGTTGAGGTTCTCACCAAGGTTTGAACTGGATCCCCGTTCTGGTGACGATACCGACTCCTGCGCCATTCACCAGCGGTCTTGAAGACCTGGAACCTCTACCCGGTGACGACGGGAGAGATAAAGCCATGTAATGCTGTGGCATTCCCATTAATGGGATATTTAGGTACGATATAACTATTGATATATATTATCACGGGGCGAGAGGGCACCGTTGGGGGTAGGGTAAGATATGCGTTGTTGTACGAGGGAGAGAAAGGGAAGTATACGTGGAGGACTAGCTATATAGGCGGGAGCCCAGTAGGCCAGTCCGTACGCGCGCACGTAAGGCTACACGTAACTAGAGCATGTAACCAGTGCATAAGTGTATAGTTCTGGGCTATAGCACTAGTTTTGGTATGGCATATATACAATCAGTACAATACAACCACATTATAGGCTAGCCCCATAATATTATCCCCCCTTAAAAGAAGTTTATAGAGTTAAAAAAATCTATATGTATATAAAATAATACGTTTATTACTTTAATAATTCTAATTAAACCCTCTCTTCTATTGTTAATTCCCCTAGTAGCGTACCCGGGTCGACCTCTAGACTTTCCTCGTCGTAGTTTACGAAGTAAATTCTCAGTATACGTTTACATTAAATATTTATTAATTTTTTTAAAATCTTCGTAAAGGCTATTTCTAAGTTTTTAATTTTGTATTTACGTAGGGTGCTATTGAGTGGGCGCAATATTAGTATAATTACAGCGGCGGTAGTCTTTCGTTGAATAAGGCGGGCGGAGTACCGCTACGGGGGCTTTAGAATAGCCAGTACCGGTATTAACGCTAGGTTATTTTGAGTAATAGCCGGGGTTCGAAATATTAATATATTTTAGATATCCGGGGGTATAAGTAAATCGGGAGATTTGTTATAGAAGCGTTAGAATATTTCTTTATAGTTAATAATATAATTTTTAGGCTCCTAAATCGGTTAGTTATTACCCTTTTACTTAATATGGTAGTATTAGTAAGAATTACTATTAAATTAGGTATAGTCGATAATCTTTTTAAAGTCCTATTCCTTCTATTTTTCGTAGTTGTCTATTTTAATTGTTATTTAACCGTTATTTACTTTTATGTTTAATGATATATTTTAATTAAAGAGGCCTTTCCCAATTTATAATTATACTATAAATATATAGAATATTAATATGTACTTTATATTCGTTGGGAGCGCTAAATATATTATATAATTTTTAGTTCGTACGATATGGAAGGGGCTTTCCTATTGAGGGTAGAGCTTTAAATATAGGCGATTATTAGCGAGATTTATCGTATCCAATAGGATTATATTGTTTAGGTAGTATTTGGAGGAGTTAATACGTTTCCTATTAGTATTATCTTTGTACCGTTCCTAAGTACGGTAAATTTATTAAATTACGAAGTCTTAGATCTTTTATAAGTAGTCCGCGAATTTAAAAACTTTATAGTATTCTTTTAATTAGGTTGGTAACAAATTTGGGGGGGGGGGTAGTATACGGGGCTTAGTATTTATTTATAGATAGTGACTATAATTGGCAAAGAAGGGGGAGATATTTATTAATAACGATACGGCGTTATTATTAATAAATTATATAATTGGTAATTATTTTACTTCATTTATTTATATTTAATTAATATAGAATTGTAAGAATTATTTTATTTCGGCGTTAATCCGTTCAGTTTAAATATTAATTTAGGGGTAGAAAGCGGAAATTAATTTACGAATAATAGATAGTTTTTTATAAAGGGTAGATTAGAAATATAATGTAAATTAAATACTTTTATTAGATAGGATAGTATTTATTAGATTATAAATTGAGTAGATATAGTTTATAAAGCAGTTTGTGAATTCTTTGGCTTTTAAGGTTATAGTCGGAATATAGTACCGTATTTTAATTAACTAGTCGACGACGATAGGGATGTGTTTGAAAGTCTGGCCGAGGTGGGTACTTTCCGATAATAGGGTAATATAATCGATTATAATGTCCTTTTATAGTATTAGGGATACGGTTACGGGCTTAAAGTAATTAGCGAAGCTTTGTTTAATTAATTTAGCTTTTGTGTAGGGAAGATATCCTTTGTAGAAGATCCATACGTTATTATATATTCCCTCTTAATAGAATTTACGTTATAAGAGTTCGTATATAGTGTTGTAGTTAGGGTGGTTTGCGCCTAGGGAATTGTATTAGCGGTTAATTAATTAGAGTTAGAATTCTTTGTTGTAAGGGTTGATAATGATTCTGTCCTGCTATTTTGCGATATTATTAACGATGTAATATTTTAAAAAGGTATTCTAGAAGACCTTTCCGATTATTAATGATTATTAGCGTTTTGCTTTATTTGTTAAATAAGAGACTAATTTTGATGAGAATATAAAAATCTTGTAGTTTACCCGGATTAGGTCGTTGGTTAATTTATTATTAAAGTCGTTTATATTTAATAAGTAAAGGGAGAAATTAGTTGTAGGGTTTTCGAAATAATTTTCTTCGAATTATAAAGGGTTTAGTAGAGTTCTCTTACGGGCGATTAGGCGGTCGTTTTGAATACCCGCGGGTTGGTTATTGGGTTTGCGGTTTAAAGTATTAGGGCGAAGGTTCTTTGAGCCCGGGGTGTATTTAATTAGAAAGTTAAATTGTAATAGGAATTAAGATTATTGTATATAGCGTTAAGTTAGTTATTTATTAGTCGTAAAGGTCTATAGGTTTTTATAGTCTATTAAGATATTGAATAATTATTAGGTTCCTTCGAGTTCCGGCTTCTATTCCTTTAGAGCCTTAATAATAGTTAGTAATTCCTTATTGTATATGTTGTAGTTATATTCTTAGGAGGTATATTTAGCCGAAAAGTAGGCGATGGGGTAAAGTACGCCGTCGTTATCGTATTGGGATAGGATACCGCTAGTAATTTAATTGGAAGTATTTGTTTCGACAATAATCTTTTTAATTTAATTGTAAATTTTTAATACGGGTCCCTTAATAAAGGCCTTCTTTAAAGATTTGAAAGTTTTCTAGTAGTTACCGTTCTAAGTCTAAACTGTATCTTTCTTAATAAATTCATAAAGTAGGGTCGTTATAGTTGAAAATTCTTTTATAAAGTGTTAGTAGAAGTTTATAAAATTTAAAAAGGATTGTAGGAATTTTTTGGATTCGGAGGCCTAGTATTCGGTAATTACTTTAACCTTTTTTAGGTCTATTTCAATACTGTTTGGCGTAATAATTAAACCTAGGTACTTCGTATATATTATATAGAATTCGTATCTAGTAATATCAAGGTTAAAGTTTACTTTAAGGAATTTATTAAATATATTGTTAATATAGTGTTCGTGGTCTTGTACGTTGTCGGAGTAGATGAGGATATTATTGAAATAAGCGGTCGCGTAGACGTCGAGGATATTATAAAGAATAATATTAATATAATTTTAGAAAGCCCTTAGGGCGTATTGTAAATTAAAAAGTATTATTAATAATTTAAATAGACTAAACTATATAATAAAAGCGGTTAGCTACTTGTAGCCCTATTTAATGCGGATACGGTTAAAGGTAGTAATTATATTGAATTTAGTAAAAATTTTAATACAGTAAATTGTATTAAGGGTTTTTTTAATTAATAGTAGGGAGTAATAAAATTTAAGAATAATATTATTAATACTTTATAATTAATATAGACGTATACTTTATTATTTAGCTTCTTAACGAATAAAACCGGTACTAATACTTTAGATTAGGAGAGTTTAATAAATTTCTTTTTAAAGTTATTGTCAATTTATTTTTTAATAACGTTAAATCTATTAGGATTAAAAGCGCGGCCGCGAAAGGCGGGCGGCGTAGTTTTCAAGTAGAGTTCGAACTTAAAATTGTAAAATTGAATAGGGGGAAGGATTTTAGCGCCTTCTTATTTAAACGTATTAATATAGTACTAATATTATTTGGAGAGTTTGGTTTAAATTTGAGCGTCGGTCTTAAGGGGTTTATTGGCCTTTTTATAAAATTTAGTAATATCCTTTAATGTAATTTTACTAATAAAAATATTATTAGCTATAAAATAATCGTTAATAACCTTCTCCCAACGGAAAAAATCCTTATCCTTATTAATAAAATAGATAGAATTGGCTACCCTTATTATACGCAACGTATCTTCGTCCCCTTTATTAATTAGAATATTGATTTATTAATAGAAATAATTGCTAAAGAATTTTTTATATTTTGATTTTTCCCTCTTAATATTTCCTTTAATATATCCTCTGTTAAACTATTATTAATATTTTTAGGGTTTAAGGCTCTTCCCTCCTCCTTTACTTTATTTTCCTTAATTATTCGTTTAATATCCTCCTTTATATTAATTCGAATTGGATAGATAATTTATAATATATATTTTTCGATTAGCTAATTAAAATTCAGTACAGATAATTCTTTAATATTCTTAGGGTTAATAGGGCTTTTGGGGATACTATAAAATTTAATTAATATATAGTATTTAATATTACTAGTATAGACTCCCTTAATTATTTAATAGGGTATTAAAAATACGTAGGGTTTAATCGGGGGTAAGGTAGCGAATATAAATATTTAGCCCGGGCTATTAAGGGGTTTACCAATAGGCGTAGTTTTTAATTAGTTAGGGACCTAATTTTTAAAATAATTAAACTATTAATAAGCGGCCCTTTTTACAATTGCGGAAATAGACAGATAGCGCGCAGATTCCGATTGTAATAACTACTTTAATTCCCCTTCGTTAGGGACTTCTTCGTAAGATGGTTTTT